AATTTACCCAGCGTGTTCAGATGAGCCACTTTTCCTTTATGTGCACCGTAGGGCTGCCTACAGTGGCAAATTACTTAATGACGTAGCCTCTAGACGGGGGGATCTAAGGGCAAAAATGTAGTTAATTGGACTCTTGGGTACCGTCCATCAGAGAAAACTTACTGAAGTTTTCTACAGTGCACATTTTGTGATGACAATAATCTGAAGTACCCTTTCGGGAAAAAAATGTACAATCTAAATTTGTCTTTATCCTGAGAAAATGTGACATACCTTTAGTGGAGAAAAAGTCACTGAGTTTCCATCAGCAACCCTCTCAGTGGAAAAAATGTAACGTGGTGGTCTTAAAGATGCTCTCACGTGGGGAAACTGTGATTTTTAACCAAGTATAATCCATGCCGTATTAAGTAATCCACTGATGTTACAGTGACCCCCCCTGCTTTACTTCTTGCTTATCTCTTGCTTCATAATAACCTTTGCACTTCCTTGTTGCCCATCAGCCTGAGATGATGTCCCTTTGATCAAACAGAAGTGAAGGTGTTGCAGAGATAAGCAGAAGCTCAGGCTGGGAGAGATTTAAGAGACAGGTTTTCAATCTGTTATATTATAAGGACAAATTTTATACAATCCTGATAAGGTTGGTAACTCCTGTAATTCCTCTTCACAGAATTATAGAGATTATGATATATTTTCTAACTGTATGTCTCTTAGGCTGTATGTAGAGCAGCTTTACTTTACAAGCTTTATTGTCACTGACATATGTTTATTCTCTTATCTAATCCACGCTCCAGAGATATAAACCAGAAAATGGTCCCAGGTAAGACGATAAATGTTTCCTGAAGTTGTCTGCGGTGTTTAAAGATAATTACAATAGGAGAGATAAAATGAATATCAGCTTGGCTGTTTTTCAGTCATGGGGTTTAGGCTCAGAGATAGAAATTCACAGCCGTCATTTAATACAGTAATTTCAAAGCAGGATAAGGTTATGAAAATGATCTTTACCAACAGATCACTTGTTTTTGCCTTATAATCTTTAAATCCGTGCTTTTTAACTCCAACAAGGACTGATCGAGCTGTAACTTAACAAACTGATTGATGTCGACTATTTTTATGGCTTTCTTAGAAATGGAAAAAATCTGGTTCACATCTAGTGCTGTGTCTAGGTTTCCCTATCCACCTTATTCCCAGCCCTCATGATGCCTTGCATGAATTTTGGGTGCATCTTCTGCTGCATTCTATCACTGGACATGTAACCAGCATTTTCCATGGTAACTGTACACTAACTGTGATTATTAGAGCAATCAAAGATTAAAAAAATGTGGTAACATCATCTGTCATACCTTAAACGGGACAATGGTATCATTCCGCTGTCCCCCTCTATCCTGGGGTGGGAGGATGATATAAAGAAGAGGCCTCAAATAATGTAAACCAGCATATTTAGCTACTTTGTTAGCTCTGTTGCTGTAGATGAGGCGGCTGAGACTTTTCAGTACTTGAAGAGTTACAAGGTTGATTGTCTTTCGATAATAGAGGTTGGACATTGTCTTATGTTCTTGAAAGCAAATGTAGAGGAGAGTCAGAGCCTCACTATCCCACATCATTGTGCCCAGGTTTTAGCATCAACTCCAGGTGAAATACACACAGCTGGCTGCTCATGTACTGAAGGACCAGGATGGTCCTGCAGCCATGCAGCTGAAATACTGAGGAAGGTGTGTTGGTATTTGGTCAGATTTTCTCATGTTTTAATAACAAAATTATTAAATAACACATTTAAATCACTGTGACTGTTTTTTTTTAAATCATGGGTAGTTTTCTAATGTAGGTGTACTATATGGGTTTTCATCCATCTGCCTTTTATTGACCAAATGAAATAAACAGGCATACAGAGTCCTTGGTTGTTTCTTCAGGTTTCAGGTTACACGTGTCAGGGAAACCCAGCGGGGCCCATCTTCCCATGGTTGACGATTTGAAAAGATGTGGCCAACGTGAGGTGTCCATTCCTGAAGACAGCGACTACATTCTGCTGTTCTGTGTAATCTCATCACGAGTTGGAACTGATGTTGGCGAGGCTCTGGAAAACGCTCCACATAGGTGACAGGTTTGGTTGATGCTCATGGGGCAAACAAGCTGAATTCAACTCAGGAGTGACCGTCAAATGATGGTTATTTCACCATCTCTTTATGCATCTGTATCTTACCTTTGAACTAAAGAGTAAATTGAATCAGTTGATAGATTTTTGAACCAGGATGTTGAATATTTTTGTGCTTTAAGACTGTCCTGCAGCCCCCACGTGATCATATGAGCTACAGATCAGTAAGAATCACTCAGACCCCCCAACTTAAATTTCATCCTGTACAGACTAAGTTCAGATGTAAAATCTCTGTGCTTACAGGTGGCAAAGAGGTGATACTGGTGGTGATGCATCACACCTATGATCCTGATTACATCACAGCTGAGAGCAGAAGATTGGTGGAAAACCCAAATGTCCTCCTGGTTGTGGACTGTTACTTCCATGAGGGACAACTGCTGCAGTGTGACCGAAATGACAACGCATTGTCTGACATCAAGAAATTCCTCAGACCCAGGGATCCTGTCTGGGTAATGCTGCATTAACTGGCCTAACTAAACCGAACTAAAAAGCACCTATATCATGAAATTATGCAGTTTAATAAAATTACATCTGTTTTTTTTATTCATGTCTGTCTTACAGAAACCCACCATTATTGACTGTAAGTCTGAGGTCACTTGTATATTTCATGTCATAGTTTGAGCGATATGAAAACATTTATGTCTATCTGATTCGAAGGTTTTTTTTTGTTCTAAATGTTTTAAAAATAACTCATAATCCTCCTTTTCTTCATTGTAGGGCTCTGGAAGAACAGGAAGATACTCATCGCTGGAGTCATTTGCGCTGGATTCGTGCTGGTTTATAAAAACTACAATTATTTAAGAAACTTTTCATTGTTTCTTAACGGAGGAAGAAATGTGAGAGAGGAAGGGTGAGAGAGGGAGAGAGGTGGGGAGAGAGAGAGAAAGTGTGAGAGCCTTCCGACCCACAGCTCACTCCTTCGGGTCATTCCATGTCAATTCAACCAAGAATCTCCACTTACGTCACATTCAGGTGTCATTTTAAAGCTCTCTTCAAGTTCTGTCTTTTTGTTCATAACTTTTTTCCCCAAATTGGACCAGAAAAAAATTATAAAAGACCAAAAATTTAAATTGGAAATAGCAAAAAACGCGCATCCTTCAATTTTCTTCATATTCACACTAAAGAAAGACTATCATGTCCACTAGCATCCCTGCAAGTTTCAGGATGGGCATTCCATAACTTTTTGAGTAATAAATCAAAATGTGTGGTATGTTAGGTGGAAAATCGCCATATTTGGCACATTATACAGTCCTGACCTCATCTGGAGTCAGCCCCACTTGCCTGCTTGTGTAAAATATTACCTCCTCATAGTGCAAAGAATAGAACAGCTTATTTTTGCTCAGTTTTCCATCACATTTAATTTCCATTTGCACCTATATCCAGAATATAAATGATCTTAGCTTCATGGGAGAATCATTTGGACATACCTGCATGACCTGGTACCTAGGGTTGACAAATAACTTCTACCTATGCACCCTGAAATTTTGTTGCTGGTTTCCCTGTGAAGTATTCCAGGCTATTTATCCTGAGCCCTTTCAACGTTTCCTTTATACTTCAAAATGGAATGACATGGAATGACCCCTTCTGCAAAGACGCTTAGCCTCCATGGCTGTGTCTCAATTCTGGGTCTGCACCCCCTCATTTAATATTTTATTTTACATATTACGCACTATAACATCACAAAGAACAACAAAGCACACTATATTTACAATATACACTTACATATATACAAAATATATCCAAGGATATCTCAATTAAGTTCTGTTCATAAATCATATAACTCCTAAGGCTTCACATATTTTCACTCTTTTCTTTACCTTTTGATTCCTGATTCCTTCCAGTGTCCCACGATAATGTCCAAATTCCATTTTAAATTGCTGAATACATGGTTTCCTCCCAGTCCATTTGGATTTATGTATGTGGAATCTTCCAAATAAAATAAAAAGGTTCAACAAAAACATTTCTCTGTCTTCAAAGCTTTTTTTAACATACAGAAAAATGTAAATTTTTTTATATATTTATATTTGTGTGTACAAAAACAAAACATTTTGTCAATTTCTATAAATCTAGCAAGTATTATTTTTTTTGACTGGATAAATCAAATGAACAATATTAAAGGAGACTTCTCTTATCTTATTGGTGACATAATATTTTTTTATTCATACTCCATAATAACTTCCACTTAATATTTTGAATTTTCGCCTCGCAGATGAATTTAAAGGACTTTTTTAGTTGTCCGTTATTGTGGGGCTCGAAGTGAAAAAGAGAAAGCAGTGTCTTCCTTTGTGAGGACTTCCATTACCCCCATACATATACAGTTTGTGTGCAGGTGTGTAGCTCTTTCATATACTGCTACATGGACATATTAACACCTGTGAATGTGAGTTACTCAGCCAGGGTGACTCTTAACAGTAGCATTGATATCAGTGCGAGATTATTTGTTAGGAGACATGACTTGCACATGTACAGGACGAGCTCAGGAAAGTGTTATTTGATGCATTTGTGTTTTGTGTAAGGGGTTAAATCCAGAGTGAGAGACCCTGTTTCCCCTCAGTGCTTTCACTTCCTCCTGCCAACACTAGAGGGAGTGTGAAACAACTAAGCTTTCCCCGTTATTTTTCAGAAACATCACACTTTTATCGACTGCAGATGATCCATAAATGTCGTGTTACGCTAATTTCTGACTCTGTGTGTCTTTCTTGTCTCTTGGTTCATAGCGGCAGGTTTACTCAGTCTCACATCCTTTTCCTTTGTCATTGAGTTGACGTTGCGTCGAGTGAAAAGAAAAGTGAAAGTGTTTCAAGTGTTGCACAGACAGACAGACAGACAGGCAGCAGGTCAGGCTTGGAGAGACATGCCAGAGACTTTACAAAATTATCAATCGTTTCCGTAAGTAGAAGTTATTTCAAGTGATTAATAACTGGGGAATCTCTAGGATGCAGCGGAATCATAGAGATTATACTCTCATGAGGTATTTGTAACTGTGTTTCTCTGCTGGCTGAGAGTGTCTGTGGAGAAGCAGTGACGAAGCAGCTTGTGAAGCAAATTATTGCAATTTTTTCGGCTCTGTTAAATGATTCGAGGTTAATCTGTTTATATTTTTTATTTCTGCAGGAACATGGACCAGGAAGCACCAGCTGGTGAGACTTATATGATGTGTTTTTAGAAATGGAGTTGTGTTTTATGTTTGATGATTTGGCACATCAGAGTGAATGATAAAATCAGGAGCTTAAAGATCACAGTTGTGCAGATATTTAGTCAAATATGATAACCTCGACAACAGACTGCATGTTTTTTATTAGTTTGTTAACCAAATTACACAGCAACTTAACTAAACCTGCACTATTACACAACACAACAATGTTTTTTTTCTGCCCTCTTTTTACTTTCTGTTTCACGAGTTAATCTGTATGTGTCATTTATCTCAATAAGAGTCTGTTGATGTTTAACTTAATGGTCTTGGTGATTACAGGGGTGCTTTTTGACAGCAGGATCCAGAATCTAAATTAAAATCAACTCTAAATAAAACTCAGAGCTGATGCAAAGACATATAGAAGTCATATTTCTTGTTTGTTTTAATGGTAAAATATGTCAGAAAATGTTGACAGTGTGGTGGTATTGAGCTGCATTTTGAAAGACATTTTGAGATGGAAAGGTGGCCTACATAATGCAGAGAAATGGGCAGAGTAGTTAGTTCTGCAGCCTCTACTCTTTATATGTATAACTGCTTTAGATTAAAAAGACAAGTTTATGTAGCTAAGCAAACAAGCCAGCCACTGTTGAAGGCTGAATGTGCAGTGCTGTGTAAGTTCACACTTAAAGTTAGTGAGCCCGAAGTACAGTTAACAAGGTTTAAATGAACTAATTCACGTTCACTTTTTTTAGCTGAGCTCACCTGCAAGCTACTTTCAGGTACACCTTATGCACTGATCAGTTATTTTGCAAGATTATTCTCTCTAATGATGGTTTCAATTAAACAAAAACTTCCCTTTTCTATCTTTAGTGAAGTGGAAAAAGTTCTATGTACACCTGTCAGGGAAACCCAGCGGGGCCCATCTTCCCATGGTTACCGATTTGAAAAGACGGGGCCAACGTGAGGTGTCCATTCCTGAAGACAGCGACTACATTCTGCTGTTCTGTGTGATCTCATCACGAGTTGGAACTGATGTCGGCGAGGCTCTGGAAAACGCTCCACGTAGGTGAAAGGTTTGGTTGATGCTCATGGGGCAAACAATTGAATTCAGGAGTGACCGTCAAATGATGGTTATTTCACCATCTTTTTATGCATCTGTATCTTACCTTTAAACTGAAGAGTAAATTGAATCAGTTGATAGATTTTTGTATCCAGGATGTTGAATATTTTGTGCTTTAAGATTGTTCTGCCACTCCCAAGTGCTCCTATGAGCTACAGATCAATAAGAATCACTCAGCCCCCCGACTTAAATTTCATCCTGTACAGACTCATTTCAGATGTAAAATCTCTGTGCTTACAGGCGGCAAAAAAGTGATACTGGTGGTGATGCATCACACCTTTGATCGTGATTACATCACAGCTGAGAGCAGAAGATTGGTGGACGACCCAAATGTTGTACTGGTTGTGGACTGTTTGTTCCATGAGGGACAACTGCTGCAGTGTGACCGCAATGACATCGCATTGCATGACATCAAGAAATTCCTCGGAGTGAGGGATACTGTCCAGGTAAAGCTGCATTCACTGGCCTAACTAAAACAAACTAACAAGCACTAATATCATGAAATTTTGCAGTTTAATAACGTTAAATCTGTTTTTTTTTTTATTCAAGTCTGTCTTGCAGAGACCCACCATTACTAACTGTAAGTTTGAGTTCACTTGTATATTTCATTGAGATAGTTTGAGTGATTTGTAAACATTTATGTCTATCTGATTTTAAGTTTTGTATTTTAGTTCTGAATGTTTTCAAATAACTCTTAATCCTCCTTTTCTTCATTGTAGGGCTCTGGACCAATAAGAGGACGGTGCTCATCTTTGCTGTCGTCATTTGCGCAGGAGTGGTGGTGCTTCTAACTATCTTGGTTTTGGCCGGAAAAAAACATAAAGATCCATAAAGTCTATCAGTGAGAAAAACTTTGCCCTCTTAAGGACAAATGTATGTGTTGCATTGTACACATAAATCATCTTCAAAATATACATTGTACTTACTGCTTGATGCTTCAGCTTTCGTGGAGGTTGTAAGGTTGATAAAGATGTCTTAGTCTTGAAACGACAGGGTGAAGATGTCTGTGTTAGAGAATAAGCTTTACAAAGACATACATAACCACAGGGGGGCGCCAAAAGTTGAGTCACAAGAAGTTCCTCACATTAACCTTGAAGAACAAAATACACTCACCATGTCACATATATCCTGTAATCCACAGCTTTATTCAATGTGAGTTTTGTTTGATATATGAAGGAAAGTAATTTTAGGAAACTAATAAAACAGTACAGTGAATGCACTTGTGTACCCATGTCTGTCTTTTTTGTCTTTTCCACATTCTTATCTTTTTTTAAATTTACCCAGCGTGTTCAGATGAGCCACTTTTCCTTTATGCGCACCGTAGGGCTCCCTACAGTAGCAAATTACTTAATGACGTAGCCTCTAGACGGGGGGATCTAAGGGCAAAAATGTAGTGAATCAAACTCTTGGGTACCTTCCATCAGAGAAAACTTACTGAAGTTTTCTACAGTGCACATTTTGTGACGACAATAATCTGAAGTACCCTTTCGGGAAAAAAATGTACAATCTAAATTTGTCTTTATCCTGAGAAAATGTGACATACCTTTAGTGGAGAAAAAGTCACTGAGTTTCCATCAGCAACCCTCTCAGTGGAAAAAATGTAACGTGGTGGTCTTAAAGATGCTCTCACGTGGGGAAACTGTGATTTTTAACCAAGTATAATCCATGCCGTTTTAAGTAATCCACTGATGTTACAGTGACCCCCCCTGCTTTACTTCTTGCTTATCTCTTGCTTCATAATAACCTTTGCACTTCCTTGTTGCCCATCAGCCTGAGATGATGTCCCTTTGATCAAACAGAAGTGAAGGTGTTGCAGAGATAAGCAGAAGCTCAGGCTGGGAGAGATTTAAGAGACAGGTTTTCAATCTCTTATATTATAAGGACAAATTTTATACAATCCTGATAAGGTTGGTAACTCCTGTAATTCCTCTTCACAGAATTATAGAGATTATGATATATTTTCTAACTGTATGTCTCTTAGGCTGTATGTAGAGCAGCTTTACTTTACAAGCTTTATTGTCACTGACATATGTTAATTCTCTTATCTAATCCACGCTCCAGAGATATAAACCAGAAAATGGTCCCAGGTAAGACGATAAATGTTTCCTGAAGTTGTCTGCGGTGTTTAAATATAATTACAATAGGAGAGATAAAATGAATATCAGCACAGCTGTTTTTCAGTCATGGGGTTTAGGCTCAGAGATAGAAATTCACAGCCGTCATTTAATACAGTAATTTCAAAGCGGGATAAGGTTGTGAAAATGATCTTTACCAACAGACGACTTGTTTTTGCCTATAATCTTTAAATCTGTGCTTTTTAACTCCAACAAGGACTGATCGAACTGTAACTTAACAAACTGATTGATGTCGACTATTTTTATGGCTTTCTTAGAAATGGAAAAAATCTGGTTCACATCTAGTGCTGTGTCTAGGTTTCCCTATCCACCTTATTCCCAGCCCTCATGATGCCTTGCATGGATTTTGGGTGCATCTTCTGGTGCATTCTATCACTGGACATGTAACCAGCATTTTCCATGGTAACTGTACACTAACTGTGATTATTAGAGCGATCGAAGATTAAAAAAATGTGGTAACATCGTCTGTCATACCTTAAACGGGACAATGGTATCATTCCGCTGTCCCCCTCTATCCTAGGGTGGGAGGATGATATAAAGAAGAGGCCTCAAATAATGTAAACCAGCATATTTAGCTACTTTGTTAGCTCTGTTGCTGTAGATGAGGCGGCTGAGACTTTTCAGTACTTGAAGAGTTACAAGGTTGATTGTCTTTCGGTAATAGAGGTTGGACACTGTCTTATGTTCTTGAAAGCAAATGTAGAGGTGAGTCAGAGCCTCACTATCCCACATCATTGTGCCCAGGTTTTAGCATCAACTCCAGGTGAAATACACACAGCTGGCTGCTCATGTACTGAAGGACCGGGATGGTCCTGCAGCCATGCAGCTGAAATACTGAGGAAGGTGTGTTGGTATTTGGTCAGATTTTCTCATGTTTTAATAACAAAATTATTAAATAACAAATTTAAATCACTGCGACTGTTTTTTTTTAAATCATGGGTAGTTTTCTAATGTAGGTGTACTATATGGGTTTTCATCCATCTGCCTTTTATTGACCAAATGAAATAAACAGGCATACAGAGTCCTTGGTGGTTTCTTCTGGTTTGGGTTTTTCAGCCAGTCCTTTTTTCTCTTCCTCGGAAGACAGATGATGAAATTAGTTGCAAGGGTCACAGGAACACGCCTTCTTTGATTTGAGTGCTCCTCAAGCCATAAACTCTACTTTGTCTGGTTGTTAGTACAACCGCGGATGGTGCTGTATGTACCAGAACTACATAAAGACATTTCCAAATTTGTTACACACAATAGAACTTAGAGTACGTTTAAAACGAGGTGGTATGAGGTATTTTAGATTTGAAGCAACTGCTAACGATACTCAGTCACTAAGATTAGCCACTGTGAGAAACCACATTACATTAGCAACCTCAGGAATAAGGTGGATAGGCTGGAACACGACACATGTAAACCTTAACCACTCCTTCAGACGTAATATTCAGCTTGGTTGCTGCACTCTGTCATTTATATCGTGGTTAAAAAACCTCTCTGACATACATGTTAGCTCTTGTGATATCCGTACATTCAGAATGTGAGTTCTATTAATCAGAAGCAGAGAGCCAGACTTTGGTTAAGTGGGGTGGCTGTGCTCCTTATTCACACCTTAACCTCGGTCCAGTGTTGTGGTTTTAAAAACATCACGCCATGATATCTCAGATATTCCTTCCTGTCCACAGCATCCTGGAGGAAATTCTTTGTCAACCTGTCAGGAAGAACTGATGGGGCTCATTCTTCTCTGGTGGAAAAACTGAAATTGATCGGCCAAACTGAGGTGTTTTCTCTTGAGGAGAGCGACTACGTTCTGTTGTTCTGTCCAGTCACTACGAAAGCAAAAACGGACATCAGTGAGGCCCTGAAGAGTGTTCCAGGTAGGCAATGGATTTATCCAAAACAAGACATATCAATCAAACGGCTCAAGCTACTTTGTTGTTTACTTTTACAAGTCATTTTAAGTCTTCTCTTTTAAACTTTTAGCACCTGTCCACAACGCCAGAATTTACTGCCAAATGGTTTTCTGGATTCACATTGCTTTGCTTGATTGGCCAAAGTTATGAATAATTCACATTTAACCACCATTTGCCAGTTATATGGACTACAGGTTGAGAAAAAACAAACAGCTGTACGTTTACGTTTTCATTGTGATGTCGCCGTTTTACAGGTAATAAACCAGTAGTACTGGTGGTGCTGCATCACACCTTAAATCATAACTACAGTGTGGATAAGAGCGAGAAACTGGTAAACAACCAAAACGTCCACCTGGTTGTGGACTGTCTCTTCCATGATGGACGCCTGCTGGACTGTGACCGCAACGTTAGCGCATGGAGTGAAATTACCAAGCTGCTGGCAATCTGCACTACTCAGGTAAAACCTGGATGTAAAATAGTAAATACAGAGAGCTCTGACAAGGGTGTCGCCAGGAATTCTGGACACCCTAAAATGATGTCACTATTGACCCAGACATTGCTGGAGGAGTTTTCAGTCGTTATATCTTTGTGTTTTTGCCCCAAAGTTGGAGATCAATAAAGCCTTTAAACCATTTCTATGCCTAGAGCTGATTTTGATGTACTTTTTAAAGATTTTATCAAATAGAGTTTTAGTTTGGGCAGGCCACAAGGTCAAGCTTAGTTCACGGTACATTGGCTGATAGTAATGCCAGCCAAATACCATCCCCACTTTCAACTGGTAAAGGGAAACATTAATTAAAGCTACTTTCACCTGCAAACTTTTCCTGCTTCCCCCCGCCTCCTCTGCTGTGACAGATTTTAATAGTGTCACATTAATTGCCACTGTTCTGTACTCTATTAGGTCTTTGCTGCTGCTCTCCCCGCCTCAAGCTTTGGCGCTGCATATTTACACACATGTTAGAGGACACAGAGCTCTCAGAACGCAGCCATACCACCAAATATAAATTACCGTATGTGGATAATGGTTCTCTTTGATGAGAGCAGCCTGAACTAAAATGTTTTTAGTGGGTCCTCTTAAACTTAGGAGGCTTTTTAACCCCTTAATGACTCTCGTAATCAACTCTTTGCAGTCCTTGACTTTACTTAGATGTGTAAAATGGGTGGGCAGACAATAAAGTTGTCCCGCTCTGCAATTCACTGAAGGTATTACAGATGAAACAGCTGGATAGGAGAAAATGGGCGAGCATGTGTGAGTGAAAAGAATAAACTAGGCACAAATGAAATGCCAAATTAGGCACTGTGAACACAAATACAGTCCTCTCAACTGGAGTTACAGTTTATTGCTTGACGTGTACCTTGAGCTCAGTTGCATAAGGCAAGAAAGAGTAATTTCAGGAAAAGTTTCATCAAGCTATAAAGTATGTCTTTAATTTGTAAAAGTTGTGATAAATTCATACATAAATACAGCTGTACTGGTTGAAGAGTGTAGATTTAAAGTATAAGAGCGAAGTTAGGTAGCACACAGTGATATCCAGTGAGGAGAACCAGTGGTAGCTCATTTAGAGATCTCTATGACAGAAGACTGTGAGTGACAATAGACATAGTTAGATTTTATGCTTGAAACTGCAGGGGAGGTGTCAGTGGAAATGATTAATCAAGACAGCCTCTTATCATCATTTCCATCATTTTAATGAGTTTGATTTACAAAAGCAGGATGAGATCTGTTATCCAATTCAAGGCCGACACACACACACACACACACACACACAGGATAACCTCAGATTATGACCTAAATTTATGTGTCGCAAGAGAAGTGGTAGAAAAAAAACACTGGTTACTTATCACCATTAGCCTACGGTAAAAGAGCAATGACCTGTTAACTAAGACATGAAGAGCAAGCCATGTAGTGTACAGTCTGGAGGTAAATCCTGTTTTCTTGCTGAGCGTTAAGTTGCTGAACCTGAGGGAAAAGTTTGAGGTAGCTGTTTGATCAGAGATCTTTGCAGGAGAAACTGAGGGCTCTATTTTCGTGCGCGCCGGTGAGGCGGCGGAGGGCGGCGAGCCCCGGGCAGTTGTATTTTCGTCTGGCGGAGCCCAGCGTAAGGCCAGTTTGGTATTTTCGTGGCATGAGCCGCACGGAGGCGAGCCGAGATCCGCCAAGCTGGGCGTGGTGGTGTGGCAGGGGGAGGTGTCGACAGAATCAGCTGGCGCAGTGACATTTTTGTGCTCGCCAACGGCGCGTAAAGTGCGCTGAAAGCTCGCCGATTCAAACCTGGTCAGCTTTCAGCGCAAGGCGGAACGCAGCTGGTCTAGTAGTATTTTGGTAGACCGGCGGCGTATCGACATACGTCACTGATGCCTCACCGGCAGGTTTCCACAGTGTCAGGCACATTTCAGTGCAATAAATAATCATCATCAACTATTAATCTGAGTCAGCACATACATTTAGATCTATATCGATATATTCTGATCTATATCTGATCTGATGAGCGCGTTTGGCACGCGTTTGGACACACAACCTGACCGAATCAACACAGCTGAAACCGCATCAAATTAAATTAAATATCTAGTAAATATTCACACATGATGAAGTTAACAAGATATGTAATTCGTCTCCCTCCTTTTCTTTCTTCCTCTTCCTCTTATTTCTCGCACAGCTCGACCTGGACACGTCTCCGTGTCCTCTGTCCGTCTTGCTGCTGCTGCAGCTGAACAGATGATTTGTTTCAGTGCTCAGATGCGTTATCTACTTTAAGCCGACATACGGATATTATAATATTCAGTTTTGTGAGTCAGATTTATTTTATATGCCAACATCTATGAAAGAAAGAGCCAGGCCACGGAGCGCGATGCGCACAGATGGTTCCGATTTTAATGCCATTTTTGGAGTTTATGTTGTGATCTGTGCGCTCAACCCACCTTTGTCACGTGAGGTTTGAATATGAGCAACTTTATGTGAGTGTCTTTATTTGTGGAAACGGGTGTTTGTCTTACCAGTGGGTCCAACATTACGCACACTAAATCCATCTGTGCTCATTTGAGAGAGTGTGGAGGACACTTGTTGAGGAGCTGCCCTCTGTCGCCATCTTGTGGCATTACTGTCTTAAGACATCTCTTGATCTCTTTGACTACTCCATGAAAATAGTAATACGCCTCGCCTGTGGCGGATTTAAAGGCAAGGAGAGGAGCCTATGTGATTGGTGAAAACAGGTCTCGGCTGTGTTAAACCAACTACACGCCCTTTCTCCTCCCAGTCTACGACTTATGGTGCTGGGAGGAGCTGAGTTAGGGAGGGGGGATACTTACGCCGGGCTGCGCGGCTCACCAAAATACCAAAATGTGCTTGGGAACGCCTTGTCAGCGCGGCGGATCTGACTGACGCTGCGCTTGCGGCACGTCTCCGGCGAGGCACCAAAATAGAGCCCTGAGAGTTAAAGAGCTTTCATCAGAGCACCAAAATTAACGACAAAGAGGGCTTGGCTCGTGGCATGTCTGAAAACTACTGCTATATTTTTCTATCCCAGCCTTATTTTCCAATAATCAGGATCATGGACAATATGGATCTGTACATGTATGAATGTTTAAGAGCATCTTTCAAAAATATCCTACAGACATGATCAAACACTGTTATTGTCATCAAAGGTGTGCTGCATCATAAAAGAAATGTTCAGAGGCCATCCACCACAGTTTAGAGGATATATTAATGGTTAGACTGGAGGTGAACATTTTTGCTAGCGTTGATGAAAAACTTGGAATAAATATAACTTAATGAAATCTTCATGGCTTGCATTAACAACTTTGTGTTTACAAGCACTGCCTAAAATACCCAGGTCGTTTTAAAAGAACTCACCTCACCTCTTGAGACAATACCATCTAATGTACTAAATGTGATCTGTTTTCTCTCTTTTTCTTTTCTTTATCTGACTTTTTTCAGAGCTCCAGTGAGACGAACAACAGCAGCAGCAGCAACAGTGAGTGTAACTTATCTCATGTCTTCTTCCAGATGGTCAAAGGAATATGAATTATTTGTGCACCTTTGTAGCTCTTCTGTCTTGAAAGGTTTGAAGATAAAACCATTTATAATCCCAAATTCAAAACTGTTGGGACGCTGTGTGAAAAAAAATGATGGTTTGCAAACTGTTAAAACTCTAGTGTGAATGAAACATGTCAAATATGACACGTTCTTGTGCTATTCTTAGGGAAAAGTTATTTGTAAACATCAAAATCAGTTATTTTACCAACATTTTAGAAAACATCCCAATTTTTTTTGGCACCAGCGCAGATTTGAACTCCATGTTAATAGTTGCTGTTTAATTTTTGTGGTGCTGGTTCTGCCAAAATATTTAGTGTGCAAATCACTGTAAATGCTTTTAACTCTGGATTTAATATATTTCTTCTCTTTCAGCATAACCACCCTCATTGTAAATTGAGTTGTTTGTTATTTGTGAATGATGTCAGACAATTTATGGATTTATCTCTTTGTTTTTAGGTTTTTGCACCACTAAGAAGATCGTTGCTTTTATCATTGGTTTTGGGCTGGGATTTACGGCTGTTATTCTGGCTACTCAACTGGGATAGTAAAAAGACCATCTGTACAGACTATAGAGGCCTATCTGTACTCTATTAAAGTGTTCTGAAATTAATGTGTTTTTGTAATTGAATCATCTGATAAAATTACATGGTACGGCTTGACAGTGGCCCTTGTATCTGTGTCTACTGACATCTCCTCTCTGTTTGTCGACGCAATAAAAAAACATGTTCAACTCATGCACATCATCCAGAAGCTTCTACTGCAATTAATGCTCGGGTTCAGTTGCAAAAGGTTACTGTACACAAACAAGAAGCAAACACTGATTTCACAGCAAAAATAATCAGAGTCTTGACTTGACTAAGTAAAGTTTACAAAAATGAGCCGCATGGGCCGCATTCACATGCAGCTGCAGTATTACTTTCTACAAGGCGGACAAGGAGCAGTGGGTACTTCACTGGAGTCCCCCTAGGCTTACTTCTTGGGCCAAATCTTTTTTTCTGTACCTTCAAAATTATAGATTTTTTTCTTTACATCTGTATGCACATGACACTCAAGTATACCTGCTCTTGAGAAGTGGTAAGGACTTGCTATGACCTTTATTAAACTTTTTTCTAGGACACTTTGGCCCGGATATCTTTGAAGTTTTAAAGTTTTAATGAAAGTCGTCCTGGTGTTTGGACTCATTGCTATCAGTTATGCTCATCTTTTAAACCTTTGTTTCCAAAGTATTTCATACTGTATTTTTTTTTTTTTAAATGTGTTTTAACTTTAACTTTCAAGGTGCAGTACTGTGGTAAACCTTGTTATTAAACTGTGTGGATCACATTGAATCAATGGTACAGTACAGCTGCAGATTGGGTTGGATAGAATGTCTATGGCCCAGTTTTTAACGCTTGAACCATTTTTTGGTCACCAAAGTCAGAGTCCTGATCAGGCTTTGAGACTCTGTGAGAACAGACCTGGAGTTGTGTTGCAAATGTATTGAATTTGGAGTGCATTACTTTCAAGTCTGCCATCTTACTGTTTCCTCTCTCTCTCCTCTTGATGACAGCTCTGCACCGAGCAGAGGTTTGGAGGAGGGGGATTAGTTGGCTCGAGGGGGGATGGGGGGGTGGGGTGTTAAGGTCACGCCTCTGGCCTAAAAAGGCGAAGCAGAATACCAGCAGCAGCAGGCCGCTCTAAGAATAACTCAGAGCCTGAGGCTCAGAAACATGGCATGAATGTAACATTTCCTCATTAGTTCTGTGGTTTATTCAGACAAATCCAAAACTTCTTCAATAAATATGAACTTTCAGTGATTTTGATGATTTATAGTTAGTTGATTTTAAGTTCTGTCAGACCACTCTGTCCACTCTGTAATCACGTGACTCAAGCGGCAACACTGGCCGGTGGGATAAAGTTACCTCAAAGCTCCCTCTCCCAATCTCTCTTTCCCTTCCGTCAGTCCGTCAGTCCCCGTGGTGGATCTAATTCTGTCAGAGCTGGCAGAGGGGGGGTCCGGCTGCTCTATCTACAACCCCAGCCTCAACCAAGCAAAGGGCAAAGACACCTCAAACTGGTCTCTGTCCGTCTCCTCAGCCTCATCCACCGCTGTGGAAGTCAGCTCTCTGGACCACTTTGCAAACATTTGGATCAATGAAACATTTTTGACGTCTTGAGGGAGACAGAAAACGCAGATTTAAGAAATCAGAGGGGGAAAAAAGGTGCAAAGTTTCCAGTGTTGACTCTGGTTTTCCACATGCTCTGCATATGACGTGGCTAAATTGGAATTATCACTGGGATTGAATCTCGCAGAGGAGTTACGGATTTACTATAAATATTCTTTTATGGCAACTTAATCTGCACTGAGGATCTAACTTTTATTCTGAAACTATGACCGAAGCAGTTGAAGGTAAAGTATCCATCACAACAAGTGTTTTTCCGGTCAATTTAAAGTCCTAATTTTATTGTGTACATGCCACTCTTGGGCTTGTTTTGTTTTGCACACAGTCCCTCTGATTCTGTCTGGACTGGAAGTTTCTAAAAATATGCTGCTATCATGTCGCGGCTATTTGTAATGTAGCTTCAGGACCCATGTGACATCTACAGTGCCGTATAGGATCAATCAGCATCAACACTGTGGCTCGTATTACATTTAACCAGAGCAGCTGATACCGTAACATGGTTTTAATTGTTTTATTGGAGTGTGGCTGACGGAATAAGGTGACCGAGGGGTCCTGGAGTACAATGTTGATGATGATAGGAAAGATCTGCCCACCTTTGACCTCCCAGGAGCCAATCAATCAATAACCAGAGAGCTCATAGAAACTCATGTGATGTACCATGACTTTTATAAGTGGATGTAGCTGGAGTTACCATATGACAATGCTGATGCAAGTTAAAAACATGGAAACAGCAGCTTGAATCAAACCTGCAGTAAGGTCTCTACAGCACTTGCTTGAGCTCTGTGCACTTACTAAGTCAATGTTATGACTGCTCTCCTCTGTATTCTGACCGGATAGGCAACAGCTGGCCCTTAATGACTCCTCTGAGGTGAGCTGCCATGGATACCCAGTAGAGGGTAACAACAGAAACGTCATCTTCAGTCTGCAGACAGGTCAGCCATAAAAGGAGGAATCATGCAGGGATGGTTGGTCAAACCATTTAGAGTCGGGTTTGAAGTTCGGCGGTCAGCTGAGGATTCACAGAGAGGGAGAGGACTCCAGGTGTTGTTGTTTCAGAGACAAAGCTCACTTTGTAGGCCATGGTGAAAGTGGAAGCTGTAGCTTGGTCAGTGTCAGTGGAAAAACCACATTGTTTCAAGGTTTAAAGGTTCATTATCAGAGTGATGCCTGATGCTGAAGCCAAGGACACTAAACCACAGTGAAGAATTTAAAAAGAGACCCGAGGAATGATTTAACTAGACATTAGAGGTGGACGAAAAGTTTGAAGTTGCCCAACACATGTGTTGCTGTAGATCAAAGTCTTGTAGTATTTGTTGTAACAGCCAGGTTGGTGGTAGTCTCATGACAAAGTGCTTTATAAATAATAAAAAAAGAGTGTGTAACTCGCTTCAACTTGAGTATAACTCACTTCTTAAATCTTGGCCTTCATGCCAAGAGAACCAAGGTCTCAGCATGTGATGAAGCACATAGCAACAGTAATATCACAGAGAATACGATCCAGAGGAAAGACCCAAACCTGTCCCACTACGAATGCTGTTTATACAGGTGTTTGTCACCTGGATCATTGGCTGCCATAACAGTTTCAGCTTCAGTTTCAGCTGACCCTCCAGTGATGGAGGCGGCCATCTTGGTTGTTTACAAATCCGTTGAAGTGGTGCTCTTTTGTCATCATCGTAAACAACGGACTGTGATTGGTCTAGATAGATCTAGCAACTCCAGGTCAAACCATGTTGAAGCTTGAGTAGCGCTCAATCACAGTTTTGCAAAAGATGGAACTGACCCCTTAGGACCCCGATGGACAAAGGGACCCTAGACAGTCCTTCAAAAAACAAAAACTATGTACAGGATCTCTCTCTCTGAGACACTGTTGTCATGGTCACAACAGTCCATGGTAGGTTTGAGATGCATTCAGTTGTTCTGCTGCTGCTGTCTGGACTGCAGCACTGAGGAGAACTTATTTCTATTTCAAGATGGAGATGTATATTTAAGTGTGTAAGAATTAGTTACATCTTAAATCTTACACCTATTGAGTAGGTGTTTGGCTCTATGTTAAAACAAACTGTCACGGCACGTCACTTTGAAAGATGGGATAATTTGGTGTATGAGTAGAAGAAGGATGATTACTGTCTGTTTGGTGTTTGTAAACTGCTCTCCATGGTGGACTATATTCATTAAAGATTTACAGTCACTTTCATCTGTACTCAGACTTTAGTTTCACACCAGCAGAGATGATAGACTCCTGCTTGTCATGTAAATAAACAGACGGTGCTTTAAACACCTAATGTCACTACAGATGAATAATGCCTGAGATAGAAATTAACATTCCTGCCACAGAGTTAACAAGCAGAGAGGGGAAATGGACTCCTTTCCATTTGGTAAAACATGTGTAACTGGTTTGTCCAGCATTGCTTTTGCTTTTGAAATTCAAACACCTTCGTTATTGAGTTTTTGACCAATCAGAATCAAGCATTCAGTACAGCTGGATAATAACCTTGGTGGAGGCCACAGTATGTTTGCAAAACCTCCAGGAGTTTGAGCTTGACAGAGGTAAGCCTGTTGTTATTATTGGGAACTGTTAATGTTTGTCATTAGTTTGAGTTTGTCAGTGTCACACTGGTTCATTATAGCTCTGCAGTTTTCCAGACATAAAGCTGATTCAGATCTTCGGATGATGCAGCATCTCTCCAGGATCAACTAAATCAGTATGACTTAACTGATGCTTAAACTCTCATTAATTCAGTAAAACTTCCAGGAAAACTTTTTTACGTAATTTTGAGAAAAGTATCCTGCTAAATCAGAAAAAAAAGAAAAGAAATTCAAAGTTTTTACTCAGGCCTGCATTAAAATACGCTGAATTTAAAGTCATGAGCTAAAGTTATTTGGACTTATTCTGGCAGAACGCAGCAAACCTGTGTACTGACTCTAGTCGCTCCCGAGACTCTGGAGTGTTGCTCCGAGTCGCTCTTATTTTGAACTGACCTGGAATCAGGACGATGACGTTAGACTGAGGTGTATGTCTGCTATGTGTGTGTGTGTGTTCAGAGTCCCGCTAAGCTGTTTGAGTCAGCAGTAACAGAGTAACCTACAGTAGCTGCCAACAGTGATCTGAAGAGAGTCAACAGGTGCTATGAGTTTTCCCAACACACCCACTGTGGAAAATCCACTGCAGCTGATTTTACATGACAACATCAGTCCATATGTTTTTGTATCTGTGGCTGAGTGTGAGGGACTTTGAATTGTGTCAGTGTGATACTAATAAAGCTGCACTGACATGATCTCCTGTCCTCATTAAAAATCAGTGAGAGATGAAGTGATGTTCTATAAAAATTGAATTTACAACTAGAGAATGAATCAAAACACAAAAATACAGCTTGCACTCATATTTAGAGAAATAACTATTCTCTAATCAGACTAACTCTAGCATGGACGATGTAATTGACCAAAGTACTGATGTCATTAGAGCTCTGTAGCCTCTCCAGGGTAATCTAGTCCAGGTCTGACAAGGGTTGGGCGATAAAACGATAACGATATATATCGGAAATTAATTTCCTACAATATCAATATAAAACGTGGTCAATATCCTTTTCAATAGTCGACATTCTGCCATGCTTTGGTAATAGCCAGTGAAAAGGGGAGTTGCTCTGGGTCCGTTTCTCGCAGAACCAATCATGTGCTGAATTAGAACCAAGTAGCAAACAACTGTGTAGTAGCAGGCTGCAGCTACACGCAACCATAGCGCTTTAACACGTGAAGCTGACAGCACTGTCGGTGAGAAGAAAAGAAAATGAGTGCTACTGCTGGCAGAAATGCAAATGAAGGCTCAACAGATGACGACATCGTCGACCTCACTGCGAATTATTTTGAGTACATGTTCCCGCAAAGTCGGTGAATACCTCAAATCTCTTTCACCACCTGAAGCAGTGCCACGTGGCAGAGCGCGCACAATGCAAAAGGTTACAAACCCTGAGTGGAGCATAGAGCCCATGGCACCTGTGCACCTGAAACAGCTGACCATTCAGCCCGCTTTCCCTAGCGCAACGCCTTACGACAAAATGTCAAAGAGACACAAAGCCCTTACAGATGTTGTAGCTTATTGTATTGTAAAAGACATGCTACCAATAAGTATATTGTGATATAAATCAATATCGACTGATATAAAAAAAAAATATTGTGATAAACTTTTCCCATATCTCCCAGCCCTAGATCTGACTGATATATAGGTATAGTGGTTTTGGATCAGGACCTGTACTGATGTTGTCTTGAAGTGGGAAAAAAGCAGTTTAAACTCCCTGTGTTGCTTTTATACTCATAAAATCTAACATTTCACTGATTTCAAAGTGGATTTTAGACTTTTCAAGGCTTTCCCTCATATGACAAACCTCCAAAAGAGCAAGACAGACAATCAGACGCTCTTCACAGAAACTTAAGTTTCACCTAACTTCCTCCTCTGCAGCCAGAGCTGACACTAACTCAAGCTTTGCCACAGGTTGTATTTGAGCATTCACCATTCACCATCAGTCTGATGTTTGAGTGATCATAAAAAATGATCAGTGCAGTTTGACCAACTACTATTTCCGCCCCTCAGCTCGGTCCACCACCACCACAATGGTTATCGAAGGTAAAAACGGAGACGCTGGTTCGCCGCCTGGGAAACACAAGAAAACTTTTACAGAAGATCTTCACTCGACCTTCAGCTCCCCCCTGGCCTGGATCTTGGTCCTGGCTCTCATCATTACGTGGTCTTGTGTTTTTGTCATCCTGTTTGACCTCACGGACTACAAGACCATCTCGGGTAAGTCAAGTTGTTTGCTGCTCATTCGCATATCTTCCAATTTTCAGCAAGAGGCCAAAGTTCTGACACTGATCGAGACCTTTAAAAAGAAGTTTTTCGCCGTTTCCAACTGTAGATTTGAATTTCTAACAAAATCGTTTCATTTAGGACAACAGAGATTTTAATACAGGTCGGCTTATTACAGGCCAGGACGACTGTTACTACAGACTCTGTTCTGGGTTAATTGGGGTTGGCTTTGGTTGATCATGTAGACCAGATTGGCCCAGTTTTAAAGTCTTCTATCTAAAAGAGCAGTTTTCTTCTCTCCGACTGTGTACAGGTACGTCCTTCAGACTGCATCCAGTCCTGACAACCTCTACTAGTAAATCAGGATGGCTTGTATGTAACCCGAGAGGTGAAACCCATTGCAGGAAAAGTCTGCAGAGCGTGGCAACACAACCTGCTGCTGCTCCTTCAGCTTTGATGTGTGCAGTTTTGAAAGCAGAGGTAGCCAGCCTTAAAGAGACCAGATTAAGGAATCTAGATTTAAAGGCACTTAAAATACTGTAGTGTTTTTTTCACTACTCTAGCTTTAGTTTGCAGATGATTGCACATGCAGAGTGCAAACAGGGAGGATGGGGGAGCATCCCTGTAATGATAGGATGGACTTATTCCATCCACAAATAGATGTTTTTGTTACTTGATGTATTAAAATACAGTCAAATAGACTTTCACGTATTGAGTCTAGTGTCAGTTGTCCATCATCGAGACCTGTTGCACCACCTCTTTAGCCACGTTTACATGGGTAAAATTTCTTGATCTGATTAAAAATTTGAGGGAACGGATAATCTGAATCTACTGTTTATATGGGTGAAAAATCAAGTCATCCGATCATGACGTGAGTATACATGCACCAAGCTTCATTCGGATTAGAAGCATTTGAACATGCACAGAGATGTCTAATTTAGCTGATTTGTGATGGCCTCAATAAATAAACCAAAGATGAATGAGTGAAGATCGGGTAAGGTAAGAGAGTCATGATTGGTATAAGTGTTTACATGGTCATGTTTCGGAAAATGATTGGCATAGACCACCCTTCTCGATCGAAATACAATTTCTTTTCGATTGAGCCGAATTGGATCAGAATCTTCCGATTGACATGTTTACATGATGCATTTTTATTCCCATTGGGCATTTATTCTGATTATTTGTGCCCATGTAAAAGCAGCTTTTGTAAACTGGGTCTTAATTCAGGATGCAAAGCCTGCAACAGCTGTACACAGTTACTAGACTGTGACTCAAAACTCAAGGTCTTCAGACTAGTACTGTCATGATATCCCATTTTCCCATCATGATTATTGTTTTACATTGCATATAGATATAATGAGACAAAGTTTAGGCCAGGGACTGTCTTCTCTATGGGCTGAAACATCTCTTCTCTGCATTTTAACCTTGTTTCTGTATGTACATTATTCTAACTGTTGTATCTCTCTTTTCCTTCATTCATCATGATTTCTCAACTTGATGTTTTTCTCCATCTCACTGACCTGACGTGATGTAAACATGTACTAATTGTTCTTTCTTCATAACAGTGGTTCAACTGCATTGCGAGTGTTTGTTCAATCTTTTCTCACAACATTAAATCCAAAATCCCGGTCATCCACGTCATCTAACTCTAACATAAATATCCTTGAACTATTAAATGACATGCAGACTTCACTTTGAATTAATCCAAACTCACAGCAGGAACTCCAGCTTTGTCGAACACGTACTAAAACACAGAAATGCACTCTTTTCACCCTAAAACAGCCTCACTTTTGACATTTACATTTCAAAACAGAACATCATCCTCTCTAGTGTCCTCACTGACAGACAGTATCAGACATCACATGGATCAGTGTCTGCTTCACCCTCACCCTCACCCTCATCACAGTGTGAACACCAATTACTCCGCACCAAACCTCTCTCCTCACTGTGTTTCTCATCCAACCAGGTCCTGCTGTCAGGAAGGTTTTAAAGGACTCAGGCCGTAGAGGCAAGACTCTTTACTTGCTACTAACCCCTCAGAGCAGACGCTATCGCTAACATTGCTGATAAACACCACTAACCGCCTAACATTGAGCACTACAAACAGCTTTCAATGTTAGCGACGTCTTTAGATCAGCCTGCAGATCTGCACATGCTGCTGTTTGTGAAAGTGCTTTTATGCTTGTTGTTAGTTTTAGTTTTAGTTTGTCTAAGTTAGATGAACCATATTTATGACGTTAGTTTGTAGCTGAGTTTGTGTAGAGGTTTTTCTGAGCAGTCTTTAGCGTGTTTATTCTCAACTTCTAGCAGAAAAATGATATATGTTTTCAAGCCTTTCCCTCTGATAATTGTCTTTTTAAGCTTCCCTCAGCTGAGTTCGATTTACAGAAATTTACAATAAACCGCTCTCATGGAAAGGTTAAGCCTTTTTTTTTTTTGCTGAAATCTCTGTTGTTCGCCTGTTTGCGCTTCTTGTACATGTGGTTCAATCAGGTTTGGATATGCGCTCCAGCTTCTTCCTGGACAACCCTGTCGAGGCTGAATATGAATTTTCCTCTCCTTCCCCCTCTCTTCTGGATTTAATCGTCATTGCTTTGTTTTAAAAAATGAATGTTGTTTCAAAGTTTGCTGGTCCTCCTTCATCAAACTATCTCGAGAACGTTTTGTGGCATCTCAGCAGGTCTGAGCCACTTTGTCTCTTGCTCGATGTCCCCACACTAGAATAGCCTTGCACCACTTCTTTATTTTGAAATCTTCTTCTTTTTCTTGTATTATCAGAATCAGAAGAATCAGAATGCCTTTTATTGTCATTATACGCAGTACAATGAGATTAAAGCCACCCATATCAGTGCAAAACATTGGAAAAAAGATAGATAAAAAATATAGAAAATATGAAACGAGATTAATATGAAGTATATACAATGTAAACATATGGAACTGAGATTCTTTTTACAGGATAAGTATGGTACGGATATGCATAAATGTAATATGTAACAGTATAAAATATAAAGTGCACAGTCCTGAGATCCTATTAACAGAATAAATATGGTAAATATACAGAAATAGAATAAATGTAATGTGCAGATGAATGTATATTGTCCATCAGTGATTCTGAATATTGCACATGTTTAGGTATATAGGAATAGAAATATGACACCAGAGTAATATGAAGTATATACGATGTAAACATATGGACCTGAGATTCTTTTAACAGAATAAATATGGTACGGATATGCATAAATGTAGTAAGTAACAGTATAAAATATAAAGTGCACAGTCCTGAGATTCCTGTTAACAGAATAAATACGGTAAATATACAATTATGTTCACACCCTGCTTGTATGCTATTGACCTTACAGACTCAATCACACCTTATATACAAGGTTTTTTACTTTTTGATCAGTTAACTTGCTTCTAGTGTCTTTTCATCATGGCCTACAGACTGGGTTATTTCAGTCTATGCAACCTAGAAAGTCTGGCTGCATCATACAGTGGACTCTACAAAGGATGCTAATCTTAAATTATGACACATGGGGGTTCACTTAATTGGCACACAAGAGCAGGTGATCCTCCAATCAGAGGCATTATCAACCCATTAAGAAAATTACTGCCATTCCAGACAGTTCGCTAAACATGGCCAATCACATGTACAACCAACAGATGTTTCGACACCTGACAAGAACTCTTTATATACAGTCAACTAGCTTGAGGAAGGAGGATCGCCGGGCTGTCTCAAGTGCTTTCTCCGCCAAAACTTGTCGGCCTTTTGTTCCGGTTAAACTTGATGGTGGGTCATGCTTCTAAAAGAACCACAATCTCCTCCTGAAATCCAGATTTCTGCTCTTTGACTTCAGCACAGCCCACCTCAGTTTAACCCTTCGCTCAGGCTCAGGAGTTAATGTTCTGCTTTTGGGCATTTCCTCAGTGCAGAAGAATGGACGGCTTATCTGTCCTGAGGAAATGTACGAGTAAGAGAGACAGAAACTCTTACTGAAGGTTGGATTTGTTTGCAAGAAGAAAACAAGTGTTAAAATGTTGTTGTAAAATTTTGTTCCTGCTCCACCAGGAGGCCTCAGCAAGATTGGCTCGGACCCTGTGAAGGCTGTGAACGAGGTTGTGGACGGTTCGGCGAGCGTGATCGGTGCAGTGTTTAAATTTGCTGCCAACCTGATCGCACCAGAAGAAGATGAAGGTACAGTCATCGTTCACATATCAGGAAATCACACCGTTGATATAAATATCAGTCTGTTAAAGCTGTAGGTTTCTCATTTTTGAGTTATACCGAGCAGAAAAGCAGAGGTCTGCTCATGGAACCATGATGGGATAGTGGTGGTGTGGACTGCTCCAATAACTACAGCTGGATGTCTAATGACATTTTGGCTGTTCAATGAGTACTTTTGAACTTATCACAGCTTATAAAGCCTTTAGTTTTTTTCTAGTCATCAACTTGATCAACTAGCAGTATCTTTTTGCCCTTTAGATGCACTTGAAAAAGTTACGTCTCTTATTTTAACTTTGTGCATCAACTAATATCTGTCTCCTCTTCTTTAGGAAATCTGTACGCAGTGAGAAAAAAAGGTTAGTACTGATGCATTTTGTCTAACTTTTTCTGCTGCAGCAATCATTCAGCTGCAGATATAAAAGATAAAAAAGCATTGCTTGTGGTTGTAAATGTCTTGTTCATGCTGCACTGCTTTTTAACTTTTAGAATTTATGTGTAGGTCATGTGTGAAGTAGTAAGCAAAAAACAACTGTTGTAAAAACTCTGATGCTCTTTCCAGGTTGGTATAGATCATACGAAAGAGGATCAGGGCCACAAGAAGAGAAAAAAATAACTGCAGGAGGGAGATTTTTTCAGTTCCATTTGAGATTAAAGTCGAAATTTCAAGATTGAAGTCGAAATGAAATGCCATATGGCTTAAGTTTGTTGTAGCCATCCATGTGTCAGTACGTATTGGGTCCCCAGCTTCGGTAATCCTTGTGCCTCATCCGATTTCAGGATCAATCAACTTGATCAGTTGTCTTATTGTATCATGCGATATGACAAAGCCTCGCTGTATAGCACGCAGGTGTAACCACCAAAAACCCTTCATCTGCATCATAATCTCCGGCACAGTCTTTTCAGAGTCTGAATACTTATGAACACACCGTGTTTGTGTGCTTAAAAAGCGAAGATTTCCTTGTTACTAAATCCAATTGCAAAGTACAGCATTACAAACTGTTGTACAGAGGACATGTTGTCGAGTGACGAGTGACAATGCTGTTGATTCATTATCATTAATCTCAACATTACAACTTTATTCATGAAATTTTGTCTTTATTTGTGTCAACTTTAATCTTATTTCAATTTAATTCATGAAATTTCACCTTTTTTCATGTCAACTTTAATCTCAAAAATTCAACATTAATCTTGAAATGTATAATTTTTTATCTCAAAATTTCAATTTAATTGACATAATTTAGGTTTTATAATCTCGAAATTTCAACTTTAATCTCGAAAGTCTTGTTCCTGTAATTATTTTTTTTCTCTTCATGTGGTCCTAATCCTCTTTGGTAAGATCACCCATCCTAACTTTTGACTAAGGCAAATAGGTGGGCACTGCGATCATTTCTTTGCAGGTGCATGGTCTAATTTACCAACAGTGACAGGGGCTGCATAACAGTTGAGGTTTCCTTGTTTATTGAGAGACTGATAGGAATAAAAATAGAGAGAAACAGCAACTTCTGAGGGAAGTTTTAAAAGAAAAACAGAAGAGCATCTTCTGCACGCTCTGTTGTAAATATACCTTACACCACAATTGCATAAGAAGGGGAAACATCTTACAAAAGCCCTTGTTTACCGAACTTCATCTGACTGATCCACACCTGTATATGCAAGTTGCAAACGGGAGGACATAATGTTATTATGATCATGGTTTTAGTTTTCAATCTGACTTGACTTGTGAACCATCTCAAAGATTCACGTTGGGTGGAAGAAGAGCGGGAAAAAGAGGAAGTGGAGGTGAAGGTGAAGATTAAGAAAAAAGGTATATTTTAAGATTATTCTGTGAGAGTGGAGATTAACTCTAGATGGATTTGATCAATCCTGACCCTCACAGTTTTAACAGAAGGTATACTCGCTTTAAAAAAAACAACCCAAAAAACTATCTCCTCTCCCAATAACTGTTTTCTCAGAAGTTTGTTTTTTCTTTTTTACTAACTCTACACTAACTATACTACACGAAGCTGTTTCATTCTTACAAAAACTAATTGCCATCCAAACTGACACATGCAGTTTTTTATGAACATATCACTCATTTTTGTTTCTCCTTCTGTGTTTCAGGTGAATTTCTACCATCCCGAAGTAAAGGTAAGCAACCTTATGGTAGAGATGTTCAAATCCTCTTCAGAGCCTAGATATAAGCATCATCTTGCATATGTGGAGGTGTGCTCTCAGAACAGGGCCTAATCACTTATTTTATGAAACAATTCTCCTTTAAACTGTTGAATTATCTCGTCATTTTTGGTTTTTAAATAACATGATTTTATTAATTTTTTTAAGTTATAGGGATGCAAGCGCAGACAAAAGTACCAGCAGTTGAAGTAGTGGAGGAGGAGGAAGAGGAGGCAGGCGAGGAGGAGGTAGAAGAAGGAGACCAAGTGGGTGATGCTGGGGAGGAAGAAGAGGAGGAGAAAGAGATAGAGGAAGAAGAGGAGGAGGAGGAGGAAGAGGAAGAAGAAGATGAGGAGGAAGATGAAGATATGGAGGATTTCTATGAAGATGAGGAGTTTGATGAAGAGTATGAGCAGTACTATGAGGAGGAAACATATGGAGAGGAAGATGAGGAGGAGTATGAGGAGGAGTATGAAGAGGAGGAAGATGAGGAGGAAGAAGAAGTGGAAGAGGAGGAGGAAGAAGAGGAGGAAGAGGGAGTGGAAGAGGAGGAGGAAGAAGAGGAGGAGGAAGAAGAAGGAGCTGAAGCTGTAGAGGAGGAAGAGGGAGTGGAAGAGGAGGAGGAAGAAGAGGAAGAGGAAGAAGGAGCTGAAGCTGTAGAGGAGGAAGAAGAAGAAGAGGAGGAGGAGGAGGAGGAGGAGGGAGAAGCAGGAGAGGAGGAGGAGGGAGAGGAGGAGGAAGAGACAGAGGAGGGAGCTGAAGCTGTGGATGAGGAGGAGGCTGGGGAGGCAGAAGGAGCTGAAGCTGTAGAGGGGGAAGAGAAGGAGGAGGAAGACGAAGAGGAGGAGGGAGAAGCTGAAGAGGAGGAAGAGGAGGCTGGAGAGGAGGAGGAGGAAGAAGAGGGAGCTGAAGCTGTGGATGAGGAGGAGGAAGAAAAGGGAGAAGAAGAAGAGACAGCAGAAACTGCCGAGGAAGTGGCAGAAGCTGTTGAAGAGGAAAAGGAGGAAGAGGAGGATGAAGAGGAGGGGGAGGAAGCAGCAGAAGCTGTTAAAGAGGAGGAGGAGGAGGAGGGCCCTGAAGTTGGAGTTGGAGCAACTGCTGATGAAGATGAAGGTGAGGCCAAAGCAGAGGAGGAAGAAGTAGCAGAAGCTGTGAAGGAGGAGGAGGGAGAAGAAGCTGAAGCAGCTGAGGAGGAGGAGGAAGAGGAAGGAGCAGCAGATGTTCAAAAGGAGGAAGAAGGGCCAGAAGAGGAGGGAGAAGTTGGAGCAGCTGCTGATGAAGAGGAGGAAGAAGTGAAGGCAGAGGTGGAGGAAGAGGAGGCAGTGGCTGCTAAGGTGGAGCAAGATGAAGATGAAGAAGATGAGATAGAACCTGCTGTTGAGGTTGAGACTGATGAAGATGAAATCAAAGAGGAAGCAGCAGCAGTTGCAGAAACAACTGATGAAGATGATGATAAGGAGGAAGAAGAGAAGGTAGATGCTGCTGATGAAGAGGATGAAGATGAAGTTTCTCCTGAACCTATCTCTACCTCTGAGGATGAAGAGTCGGCCGTGACACCTGACTCTGACTCTGACATTCCTGTGGACGTCAAGGACAGTGATGAAGACGTGACTCCTCCTGAGGAAGATGAGGATAAAGACGAAGAGGAGGAAGAACATGATGAAGATGAGACCAGTGACGATGTGTTGACTGACACCTCAGAGGTCAGTGAATCCGCTCTGCTTTCCACTGAGGAGGAGGAGGATAAAGATGAGGATGATGATGATGATGAAGATGATAAATTAGCAGAGGGATTCCCATCGTCAGAGAGCGAAGACGTCATCGCCGTGGACAGCGATGAAGACCTGGAACTTGACCTTCCTCCTCTTCCTGCTGCCAGTGAGGATGAAGAGGAGGCCGCTGAGGAGAAGGATGAAGAACATCTTGAAGAAGTTGCTGAAGAGACTAAAGAGGAAGATGAGGATGATGAAGCTGATCTGGACCAATCAGACGAGGATGTTTCTGTTGCCTCCTCTGAGCACTTCGCTGATGATGAAGATGAGGATGATGATAGTGACCTCAAGGAAGAAGACCTTGACTTAGACATCCATGTGGACCTTGATGATGAGGAGCTTGGAAAAGATGAAGATATTCCCAAAGAGGACATCCATGATGATGACGAAGATGAGGATAAAGAGGAAGCGGAGGAGGCGGAAATACCTCCTTTAGAGAGCACAGACAGTGGAGTCTTGGGCGATGAAGATGAAGATGAGGACATTGATCTTAAAACAGAGGATGAAGAATCTGTCGGCGAAACCGTCCTCAGTGACGACCTTTCCTATGAGACACTAGATGATGATGATGATGATGATGATGATGAAGATGATGAAAAAGATGATGAAGATATCGACACCAGTTCGTTTGAGTTTACCTTTGACTTTGAAGAGGAGAAAGAAATCACAGAGACTTTGGTTGATGTTGAAAAAGATGAAGGTGACCTCTTGGGAGAGCCTTTAGCTGATGAGGATGAGGATGATGAGGATGACGACGACGATGATGACGATGATGATGAGGATGAAGATGTTGATGACCTCTCACTAGCAGGTACAGTTGAACAGTCCTCCTCACTTAAGGTTCCAGAATGTAGCTGAACAATACTGGTTTCTGATTGGCTGCCTGGTGTCCATTCAAAACACTGTTGATAAATATCAGAGTGTTGTAAACAAATGCTGTGTTCCAGTTACCTCGGAATTTGGATGTCCGCGCTTGGAATGACGTTATACCCAGGTTGACAGTGCTCAAGTTAACAAGTCAGAAACCAAGATGGACGTCTACAGTTAGCCGTTGTTAGCTGTTGTTTACAATTGTCAGCTGTTGTTAGCCGTTGTCAATCATTGTTAGTAGTTGTTAGCTATACCAGTTGTAAATAATGCACAACACAGTATTTTACTCTGTGTTCACAGTTAGACGTTGTGCAGTACAATAAACACCACTTGTTTAATTTCACAAAAACAAAACAGAAGTGCTAATGAATAAAAAATTATGAGAGCTTTCACTGTTATGGGCAAAACCCACAAGGATCCGGAACGGCTCCGCTCTGCTCCTGCACGGCGGGTGGATCAAATACGCAAGCATTATAAGCAATGTGTGTGATTCCACAGAAACCCTCTGGTGTCTGGCTCTGCTGCGGATCGGCTCTGGCGATCTTCTATTTTTGCCGAATGCCGGAGCATGGTGCATCAATTCAGTGCAGCGCAGCACCAGCACAAGTTTTTATGTGGCTACAGAGTAAAATAATCGGTTGCTTTTCAAAATAAAAGAAAGTCGGTACAATGAAGTGTTCTTAACTTGATAACAGGAGAGGCCATGGTTGTGGGATGTGGGTGTTTATATACATCGCCGTTTATATGCACTGATCAGCGGATCTCATCCGCCTGCTGGTCTGGAGCGGAGTGGAGCCATTCTGGATCCAGTGGGGTTCCCAGGTTACTCTTCATTGTTGATGCACTGCGCTGCCATCTTGGATTATGACATTGTCATAAAGTCGGGGTTGGTGAGGATTGTCCAACTTTCTGAGTCGGACAATTCCCATCAGGGGGGCATTCCAGAAGAATTTCTGACTCGGAGCTTGGAAATTCCGACTTACGAATACAATTGGAAGGCAGCAAAAGGCTCCAAATTCATCTTCATCATTTTAACACTCAGATGAGAAGTTATCTCTATGAACCCAATGTCAACCAGAAGCCTTAAATTTTAAAGGTCTTAATTTAAACAACAGTGAAAACTAAGATCTCTTCTCCACCTATCACAGGATGGCCTATTAGGTGCACTACGTCACAATTTTTTGTACAGAGCTGCATTCATTTATTGTTGCTAGGCAACTAAATTACTCTGCAGAAAGAAATCAAAAATCTGATTACTAAAAATAGAAAAGAGAAAGTTGGAAGTTGAACTTTATGCAAACTGTTAACTGTGCTGTAGCTTATAACATTTACAGAACATTATGTTATTATCTATCTATACTCAAATCAAAATAACATTCTTTTTAGAAATCATGGACAGATCATGTAGAGGGCCTGTCATCAGAATATAGTTTATAGTATTAAGATGGCATCAAATTGAAAAGTTTGTAGTATATTCTTTATAAAACTATTTTTCAGTTTCAGCATTTGATCTTCAGTATTTCCATTATTGTTAAATCATTTAGGATTTTTAATCATTTGCAAATCATCAAAACATATATATTTTTTACAGATTTTTTTTTTTATTTGGGTTGTGCATGTTAATATTTTCCCATCTTTTTATTCAGCATAAAGGGAACAAACTTTGATTTTATTTCCACTGATATGTCCTCACCTCTCACTGTGCGTGTGTGTGTGTGTGTGTGTGTGTGTGTGTGTGTGTGTGTGTGTGTGTGTGTGTGTGTGTGTGTGTGTGTGTGTGTGTGCGTATGTGTGTGTCAGCCTCTGCTGCAGCAATATTGACTCTCCAGGAGGAGGCAGTAGAGACTGAAGCTTACACAACAGAGGAGGAGGAGGGTGATGTCACCCAGGCAGCTGATGAAGACCAGGCTGAGGAGGATGACACAGAAACAATCGGTATCAGACAACTGCTGTATAAACACAATATAATAAACCAGGTGGAGGATACAGTGTGATACATATTTACTGAGGCCATTAGACCTGTCATTAATACTGTTGTGGTTTGTGCAGCTGTTTTGTAAAGTAAAAATGTCTCATGATAGAGCTATTTTCTTTCACCTTTAGTCAGCCAGTCTGCAGCTCCAGAGGACAAGGATGAAGGAGAGGACGAAGAGCTGACAGCTGACGTCAAGAAAACTGTAGACGAACCAGAGGATAAGAAAGAGGAGTACGATGAAGATGAGGATGAGGAGGAGAAGGCCTCTGTGGATGTGGCTGAACCTGAAGAGGAGGCACCGAAGTCTGAGCCCACAGGTCAGACAGAGAGTTTCATAACAGAGGTTTGATCACTTTTACCTTCAGAGTGACTTCACCTGTACGCTCTGTGGTTTCAGTGTGCCCCTGTATGCACTCTGCAAAGACACAAGAGGCAGAGACCAAGACTGAGGAGAAGAAAGGTTTGTCCTAGACTGTAATAAAAAAGTAAAAAAGTAGGTATGTTACCTAAAAAAAAGTTGAAATTTTAAGGAAAAGGTGAGAATTGGGTAAAAAAAAGTTTAAGCATGTGTAAGAGGCCATACTTTTGAGAAAAAGTCCAAATTTTGAGTAAACAGTCAGACTTATGAGAAAACCGAAATAACTGCCAAGAGTCAATATTCTTAGAAAAAAAAGAGTTTTGAAGAAAAAATAGAAAAGGTCAAAATCATGCTTCAAGAGTCATCAATTAAGTCAGAACTCAAGTCTAAGAATTGTTTGTGGGGATTTTTAGTTTTACCCATATCCCATCTGTTTACATGGAGGAGGCGGGCTTTAATAAGATATAAAGCAGCCAACCAGCAGATGGCTTCACTGTGGATGAGCCGTCTCACCATCCATTTTTAAGAGCATGTGGGTAGAAGAAATCCAAAGATCTGTTGTTGATGTAATGTGAGAAGTGCTAAGAGGGAAATACAGCTGCTTTTCTGCACAATATTGCAGAAAGAATAAATGATTAATGACAGAATTAGGAATGAATTTAGAAATGTGAGGAGGAATGTTTCTTTTCAGTGAGTTGTGATAGAAAATAAACTCAATTTGCTTTAATTAGCACAGATTTATATTCTATTTTCATTGAGTCGGTGCCATAACACACAGTAAAATCTCAGTGTGTCATCCTCTGGTGTAATGCATATCTGTATTTTCAGAAGGTCCAAGGAGAGTTTCAGCTGTCAGAAGGAAAAAAGGTATTTGAAACTTTTTGAATTGCTTAGTTTGAATCTAACCAAAGTTATTTAATTATAATGATCTGATGAATTAGTGGATGCTGGTTTGACAGAAAACATACTCTTTGGAGAAAGATTTGGGCTCTTACTGTGGAAAATGTTGTTTTCTGGTTTCCAGACCCTGAGGCTGTGACAACAGAACCAAAGAGACAAGGTAACTCTAAACCGTATCGTTACATTTTTGTCATGCTTTTATTTTGAAAACTCATTGTAAGGGTCAGTTCTTGTTCTCATTTGAGTATCATGTTTGTGTTGCAGCTTTACCCAGAATTCCCGGTCTGGGGGCGAGTGTCAGGAGGATTAAGAGGGCGCCAATTCTGCTCAGAGGTACTCAGACCTGTTACTGATGATCTTTCTTTGAACATGGAGGCTCTAACTTTGTCAACAAGAATGATTCAACAGTTGCTTAAGATGCTTATTCACTGATATGTCCATTAAGGCCTTTAAACCTCTAATCTCCAAACGTAATGTGGTATTCTCTTAAAATTAAAAAATTCGTAGCTGAAATTAATGAGATATTTTCTCTTTTGATTTCAACAAAAAGCCAGAAAAGCAGAGAAGACCAAGACTGCAAAAACAGGTTTGTACATGAATCAGATAATAATGAATCACATTCACATTTAATCTGATTTAAGAGCCAGCAAAGAGTTTTTAATTTTATTTTCTTACAGAGACAGAGACCAAAAAACAAGAAGAGGCCCCTGAATCAGGACAAGAGGATTCAGGTAGAAGACTTCTATTATTTTTATTATGATCTTATATTAAAGCTCCTGTTACAATTTTTATGTTTGTGTTGAATTTAGCGCCCCCTGTGGACAAAGAAAACCTCTTTGATCTTTGCTGATTTTGTCCTGGAAATGTGAAGATTATGTTCATCTACTGTAAAAACTCCTACATTAGGAGTTATTTTGACATGTTTTTCTTTGTTTGCTTCAGTTGGGCCTTGCAGACCTGCACCCGTCTACTGCCCATCTCCACCTGGCTGGTATGGTAAGTGGCCAGTAAAGTTTGCAGAAAAGTTTTCAGAGGATGGATATAAATAACTTTTATAGCTCTGCTGATCTTTCATCCTTGCTTCTAAATGCCAGGCTGCAAAATGTCAAGTAAACCCTTTTTTTTTTCCAGTTCATCATGTGGTTACAGACAACCCGTACCCCCCACCCACCATGCAAGGTATCCACACTGTTGTCACATGGGCTAGAAGTCTGATAATACCAGGAAGAAGTCTATAGATTGGACAAGTTTCATAAGTTTGTATTTCTCTCCCCGAAAAGCTCCCTCTGCCCCCGTCTTGACCGCTCACCCTGCACAGCCTGTATATCAGCAACAACCACCTCCACCCATGCACCCGTTCTATGCCCCATACCAATATCCACTGCCAATGATGCAGCCCCAGCCTCAGCCTGAACCAGTGCCACCGGTGCAGCCAGAAGTCACAGAAGGGGAGGTTCCAGCTCAACCTGAGACCCAGACTCCAGCTGCTGAAGCCCCGGCTAAGGGTAAGAGGTGTTGGGAGATAGTTATAGTTGCAGATTTAAACATTTTCAGTCAACATGACAGGACTGAAAGGGAGCTTTTTTGGGAAATATGGTTTTCCCCCAAAATCTCTAACCTGCCTTTGTAGCTCAATACCAGCAATATAGTTTGACTTTAACAGCTGATATCTGCTTTGCACAGAGAAGAGATGCTCAGAAGTCACTTAAAAATATGATGAAATGCTTTAGAATTTTTCTTTTGATCTTTAAAATATGATACTAGACTGTGAGAAGCTTAGACTAAATGATTTATGTTTTGAAAGAAAGAAACAAAGCAATTGTGCCATTGTCGTTATACCCCAGCAACATAAATTTCCCAGTCAAGTGAAATCAAGTTTTTCATTGGTTCACAGGACTTGGTGACTTGGAGTTTATTTCCTAGTCTTCATATTTCTCTATAATGCTCTTACAGTACAGGGCTGATCTGCCAGAAGATGAGAACCTAGACATCAAGCTCTTTATCATGTAGATGCACAGTTTAACAAACTCACGAGCAATCAAGAAGTATTTTTTTTTATTACAGTTCTCAATGCCACTGACGATCATGCCCACAGATTTGGACAAAGACTGAGGAATAACTCTTTCTTTCCTGTCCAATAATGATGGCATGTCTTTAGTTCTTAATAATAATAATAATAATAATAATAATGATAATAATAATAATAATAATAATAATAATAATAATAATAATAATAACTGTTATTAACTGCTGTGCTGCCTATGTAAAAGTACATGTTTGTAGAAAATCCCTGACAGAGAGTTTAAGTGGATACATCATCAGCTGACCCATGAATGTTTTGTGTGATTTTAGAGGCACACTGAAAGTTAAGCAGTAAAGTAGAAAGGCTGTGTACATAGTAGCACACCTGTCTGCAGGTAGGACTGTCTCTAAAAGAGAATAAGAGCAGATATGCTGACAGATGTGATTTAGTTTTCCCAAAGACACATCTCTTCATAGCCAAGGGATTTAATGCAACCTCTTTGTGCACTGCTCCCCACTTAGTGTCCAGATTGTGTGCGGTTTATCTGGCAACAAATGCTTAGACACGTCCTTATTCAGTTTTTGACTGCTGTAATAGATCTCATAGTTCTTCACAATATATCAAACAGTAATGACTCACAAAAGGGATCACCTTTGGAGGATTTAGATTTCGCTTAGTTTCGGTTTGTAGTTTTGGGGGTGTGGCAATGAAACTAAGTCAGATATGAATGTATTAAGGAGGGCAAGATATGGAGCTCATGAAAAGTCTTTCAAAATGTGAAAAGTTTTTCCCTTTTTATGAACCAGAAGCTGTTGAGGAAAAAGTGATGGCCACTCCTGCCAAGAAAGGTACAAACTACTGAACTGAAAGGGTTTCGTTCATATTTTGCTCCTTTTTTCTCTTAAATCACGCAGTACATTAATTTATTTCTATTTTTTTTAGCTGAAAAGAAGAAAACCAAAGCAGCTGACTCAGACAAAGGTAATGAATATTTCTCCAAATCTGCTTTATTTGTCAGTAAACTAAATTATTTCCCATAACAAACAACAGCTGCATCATTTAATAGTGTTGTGGTACAATGACACAATGTGCTGAATGAATGCATTCATTATGTAAAATTAACTCCACTCGGCCGTTTCCCTCCAATTATCTCCTCAGAGCCGACAGCAGCTAAAGAGAAAACAAAGAAAGGTAATTTATGTTTGCAGCGCTGTAATCTCTGGTTTTCAATAGAGTACACTGGAGTGTTGTTACATAAGGTACACAGCACACAAAGAAAGCAGCTCTAATGGTTCCACTTGCCATCAATTGCTGTTATTGGTCATTTTTTAAACAGTAATTTGCTGTTTTGATCGTGTGGACACTGTTAATGAGGTATCCTTTGAGTCTTACTGTGGAACTGATTTTTTTAAGGCGCATTCAGCCCCCTTGTCTGAGCAGAGTTCAGGGATGTGCCCTATGTAAGCTCCACTTGAATATGATAACAAAAAGTGCAAATCACAGGTGGGAAAATATGTATGAAAAGGATTTTGAAAGTTTTTATTTAATGAAATTTAACTTCTAGAGTCGTTCTTACAAGATTTCCTTTATTTCTGCATCAAAAAGAGATGTCTGGATGTGATGTTTTGGGGAATCTTGCTGGTTTAGCCAACGGTCAACATTAGTAAACAGGAGTCAAGATGCCAGTCCTGCCAGTAAAGAAGAAGAAAATAATTGTTCACCCACATAAGGGAACCAAAAGCACAAACACATGAGCCTGTTGGAAGTCAAAAAGAGAGGAAACAAGTAGGGTGTGGAGGATTAATGGCCTTCGGAGATGTATATGTTGAGGAGCACTGAGACCCCAGTTGTGCCTGACTGGTGTTAGCTCACCTTATGTCTCTGGGTCTGTCTGTGTAATTGTCTCTGTCATGCTTTTTTTGTTGCTCAGCAAAGAGTGCAGTCTGTCCTGCATTTCTGTGTCCTGTTCACTGTTTTATTGAATGCATGGTCTACAGTATGTCTCCACATGCTTTAACATCACGATCAGTGGATAAAACCTGCCAGCCGGCCTGTGTGTGTTTTTCATTTGTGGATTATTTTGCACCGTAACCAGAGACTCCAGTCTGAAGTTTTTACCTGATAAATGGTAAAACTGTAGAGGAACTATCATGCTTATGAACAAAGTTTTTTTATGTTGTCATCACATTAATCCAATATTATAGATTATCTGATTTAGTATGTTTTATTTTCTCTAGAAGCTGATGCAACAAAAGAAAAAGCAAAGGCTGGAACTACAAAGAAAGGTGAAAACCCACCAGAACCAACTGTTTTTTTGTTTGTTTTAAGCTCAAAGAGATATTCTGGTGTAAAATTAAGTTAGGGTCAAACACACCGTAACACTGAGTTAGACACCCCATTTAGAGGTGAATGTTGCTGACCACTTACTTCTCTAGTTAGTAACGATCGCAGATAGCAATACAGAGAGCCATGCGCTCAACCAAAAAGCCACTTTATAGCCACAAATAATGCTCAGAACAGCACCTAACTTCATCAACAGTACATATAGGGTCCCAGCCATAGCACTAGCCACCAAACATCTTTTTAACTTTGCCTAATTTTTTTTTTAGCAAAGAGACTAAACACAACTTACCCACTCTCTTCCAGCAGCTGCTTGTTTGTACGGAGACCTCCGGGCGAGTCCATCGACTGCAGCGGGGTGACGCAGCTCAAGGAAGAACATTTATGATCATTTCTTTATCATTTATTTTCCTTAAAGTAATAATCATCATATTAATCATTTTGCACTGCAGACGCGGTAGTTCTTCTGCCTTAGCGTCTCGGGCTGATTGCATTTCCATGAAGTAATAATCATAAATGTTCTTCCTTGAGCTGCATCACCCATATCCCTTAAACCAGTTTTTAATTCTGAAATTCAAATGAATAAACCCTTTATTTTATATTTTCTTATTCTGTTGCAGAACCAACAGCAAAAAAAGACAAATCCAAAAGTCCTGCGGCAGCTCAGAAAGGTGATGAACATTTAGCAGAGAAGCTCCTGGTGTAGTTACAAAAAAAAAAAAAATCTAATATTGTTAGAAGAAAAAAAAACAGCATAAAGATAAGTTTTCTGAGCTGAAAACAGTTTTAATTCTGTTTTTCCAGAGCCAGCTGTTAAAGAAAAAACAAAAACTGCTGCAGCTGCCAAGAAAGGTAAGAAAGACATCAATCAGAGAGCATCACAGAAACCCTAAGAAATCAAAAAATGATTAAAAACATACACAGACCCTGCCCCCCATGTGAAGGAGCTGCTTTACTCCCACTAAGAAAACAAATGATTCAGGCCACTGATCAGGTCTCTCTCCTCATTATATCAGAGCCTGCAGCTGCTCGACAGAGGAAGAAATCAGCCTCTGAAAAGACAGGTACCTGCACACGCTGACGCTCCATCATTTGCATTAAGTCAATCATTTGAATCAGGGACATGAGACATGATTGGAAACTAATTGGTTTTACGTCCCTTAGAAGCAGCACCTGTCAAGAGTAAAGCCAAGGCGTCTGCAGCCAAGAAAGGTAAAACTGAACATGGATGGAGCTGCTGGTGGGAATACTGTACCGTCATTGGTCCTTCATTTTGGGTGTTTCCTTGCTTGCCTTAGTCATTACATTTTTAGCAGGTAGTAAATTCATTGTGTAGTTTGTCGTGGACCATGTACAGCAAACATTAATCTCAAGTATTAAGAGATGTGATTTGTAACTCAGTGACTACTTTATCATTATCATATCATCTGCATACAACTGGATTTCTACCTTGTAAATACAGATGGGGAATCATAGATGTATAAAATGAACAAGATTGGTCCTAGGATGGAGCCTTGTGGTACTCCCACAGTGGCTCTTGTTGCTATTATATCATTATTGATCCACACACACTAGGAGCGACCTGATGAATATGATTGAATCCAGCCCAGGGTTTTTATAAACAGTTTGCAGGGATGACTTTGAGAATTCATATGTATGTGTCTTGAACAGAGGCCGACGCAGAACCTCGTTCACATCTGATCCGACTCAGATCGAGAATAGAGGCTGAGAGGAGGGCGAATGTGACCTCTCAGGCGAGGGAGGACAAACCTGCAAAATCAGCTTCTGAAGCTGGTAAAATATCTGAGTCTTACTGTTTGTCGTCTCTGTAGTGTGTCTTTGCTGTGTCCTCCAGTTTTAATTTTAACTTTCTCATTTATTTCAGCCAAAACAAGATCAAAATCACCTGCAGAAAAGAAAAGTGAGTTTATATGTGAATGAATGTCAATGAATGTAAGAATGCATGCATGGGTTTACTACAAAAACTGGACTCTTAGCATCACCCTCTGACCAATTTTATTTCTGAATTTGAAACTAATCAACTAAAATCCTTATAGAATTTTAAAATTAGCTCTAGAAAAAGCTTTTATTTGTTCTTAAGACATGGTTTAGTTGTGAAATGTTTTTGGAAACGACTAGAAAGTTGGACTGCTTGATTTCTGCCCATTGGATTTCTGTCCAAGAAAGCTAAAAGCTGAAGCAAATATGGGGAAAATTTGAATATAAGAGAGAGACAGGACTTTGGCATCATTGCCTTGTTATGATACCTCAAAGTTTTTGACCTTTTTGTTTTCCAACAGTTTTTTTAAGCTTAGATTCTGCATAAGTTGATGTGGATTTCTGCATTTCTACAGCAGTGTGTGTGTGTTTTTCTTTCTATTTTTTTATTTTATTATTATTGGATGGGCATGAAGACTGTTTTGATTTCATTAGTATTCGTATCATCTGTGTGGAGCTCCACCACAAGAAATTATAATCAATTATCTGCTCATGTTTGCTCAGCAGCATGTGAAGCAGTTTTATAAGCTCTTATGGCTCTGGAGGAAAGAAACCAAACACACTTTGCTAAAATTAATTCTCTGCTGACATCTTTCAGGACAAATCACACGTGTTGGAAACATAGTCGCAGATTAGGAGATTAAATGAACTGTTTAATGCCTGATGAACGTTGTAATTAGGGACATGTCAAGCTTTATTACGCTGAGTGGAGGATAATTTTGCAGGAATATTAAATGCACGGTGCCGTTATGGAGAGTTATTTGGCAGGCTGTAATGGGGCTGTCTCTCTTCTGCAGCCAAAGCTGAGAAGACTGAAAAGAAGTCCGTCAAAGACGCTAAAGGTCTGAACGGACTCAGAATAAGAAAGTGGATCCAACATATGTGTGTGTGGACACTTGACACTGATCACTTTTTCTCTCCTTTTCCTTTTTAATGTTTCAGAAAAAGAGAAACAACCAGCACAAACGAGTAAGTAAAAGAACCTCAGGGTTATTTCACTCCAGAGAGACATCAAGACATTTAACACGGCAACTTCACTGAGAATGAAATAAGACTAAGATAGGATGTTTTGTTGCTATATTATTCAAAGACATTTTATTGATGGGGAGAAAAAGAGAGTAATAAGATTAAATAATAAATCAAAATTAAAGAGAAGTTAGTTCAAAAAATTAAATAGATCAATTCATTCTTATCAGTAACGGTTTCTTCAACCTCTCTCTCGTGAATGAAATTGTTTTTTGGTAAATACTCTTGATTCTTTTTGTAGTTTATTCTTATTTCTTTATGACTGAATTATTTCAACTTCACAGCTTTTTTAAAGGGATTTTGAATCAATTCATGAGTTTATTCCAATAAATGTTCTTAAGTACAACCATTATTTCCCCAGTTTTTGGGGGAAAATTTGTGTCCTCATTTTCATAGTTTTTGACTCTAAATGATCAATTTACAAATTTATGACTATCATCTCATTGATCTTAGAATTTCTTTTCACAATTTTTTTAGATTAATTTTACAATTTTATAACCTCAGTCTTGTAAATTAACTTTTTTAAATGACTTTATTGTCTTAATTTATCAGTTTAGTTGTGTAAATTTACAACTTTAATTTCATTATTTTTCTAGCTTTTTTCTTAAAACTCTCCTACTTCAATCCAATTTATTTTTATGAGTTTAATCTCATAAATTTATGACCCTGGTCTCATGAATATCTGACCTTTTTCATATAAATTTTTAACTACAATCTCATTAAGTTCTGGGCTTTATCTTGTAAATTTACCTTCCAGTCTCATAAATATCCAACTTCTTTGATTAAATTTCTGACTTGAAACTTAATTCATGAGTTTATCTTTATAGATATGTTGCCTTGTTCCTCCTAATATTAACCTTTTTACTCATTTAGCTCACTGATATAAAACTTTGACTTTCTTTCCTTTAAAATCCTGTTTTAATTGATCCTAACTGTGACCCTAACCCTCCATCGGAGTGAAGCGAGCATGGCATTGGACTCTAATGAGACTGAACAGCATCAGTGCTCTTTGTTAAAACTCACATTGAACCGAACACTTCCATTGACTGTATTATTAAACAGGACTTCTGCAGGGATACACATCGATGATGACATGTCTGCTCTTAGAAAGCTCTTTTTTCTGGGTGACTTGCAGTTGACACTCCTCCACATGTAAACGACATGATAAAGTGATGTTTTATAACATATGTTTGTTCATAGAGAAAGGGAATAGAGCCTCCAGTAAAGCTTAAGGTATTCAGTCTATTTCCCACCATCTCTCCACTGGTTAACTCATCATGAATAGACGTCTGCTTTAATGACATTAAGAATATTAGAGACTTTAATGAGCTGACCTGATTGAGATGAGATTACTGTCCTTTTGAACCGCCCTGAGTCATACCAGGAGATTACAGCTTGTGATGAATTCAGCAACAATAATACTGAGCCGGGTTGATTAAATCCGTGAACCAAAACCTATTAAATTAGGGTATTAGAGGTCTGCTCTTAATGAGTCATCCAGCGGAGAAGAAACACCCCCCACCCACAGCACAGAGTGACTCCACACTTTCTTCAGAGACACATTAGGTCCTGCTTTAAGAGTTTGTTTTCTCTCAAACTAGTCTTATGTATGAAGACTTCACTATTTCACAGACACAACCAAACACAGACTGAGAACTGTATGGAGCCAATACACCACCCCATTACTTTATTGCATTGGCTGTATACTGAGATGGATACCGTTTCTCTAAGTCCCGTGAAGCCAAAACCTCTGGGCTATATTGTTGGGATCTTCTGGTGGTCTAAATGACTCATAATAGATAGTCATCTGCCGCTACTGTGCAGAGAAAAACAGAGAGATGAACAGAGGAGAAACGGATGGAGCTGGAAAGCAGTCAGGTTCATGTCAGCTGGATGTCTGCAGTGGGGATCCAGAGGAAGCTACAGCATGATGGAGCTCAAGGACTCCCAGAAAAGACAGTGTACTAGTGACTCTGATGGGACATGATGATTCAGAGTTAATGACATGGACAAAAGGGGATAAAGAATGAGAAAGAGGTGCTCAATGTGCCAGTACCCTCAGCAGTTTAAACCTACAGCAGCATAACTAAGACCTGGTCCAGACTTGTACCAGCTCTAACTATCAGCTTTATCAAAGAGGAAAGTTTTAGGTCTACTCCATAGACTGTATATACTATTGACAACTTGGCTCCGCCTTCCACCCGTAGACGGATTTGAAGCCAAATAGCTCTCGGTGATTCCGTGATTTGCGCAGTAACATTGTACGCATTCGGTGGGAGAGTCGCCAAGAGTTGCTTTGATGACACTCGACTCAAACAGCATTCCCCCCGGTTGAGCTGCGCAATCTTCATACCCCCATAGGCTGTATCAAGTGTCAATCATAGAAAACACCAACCCCCTGAAAACTTTTAAAAATGGAGCTCAACAGAAAAATAAGGGGATTTGAGCAAAAACCAGTCTTACAATAACTACATGTCAACATCACAAGCAGGGGGGAGAAAATTTATATTCTGTGTAATGAATTTCAAAAGTTTGTCCACAGCTCAATAAGCTTTGCTGGTGGAGGCGGGGTTTATGACCTATACTGCAGCCCATCAACAGAGGGTGCTGTTCTTGGGGTGGCTTCACGCAGCGAGGAGGCAGACTCTGTCCATTCTTTATACAGTCTATGATCTACTCTTAAAGGTAGAGACAAGTAGATTATTTAAGAGGAAAGGGAACCTGATAACTGAAAGCTCTACCACCCAGACCACCTTTAGAGGGTTGCGGTACGATGAGCAGGCCTGCATATTAGGACCACAATGTTCTGGAGGGTTATAGAGAAACTAATCATAGCATGTTGTTTTTAATGAGACCTTCCTATTGTTTTCCTTCACTCACTTGCATGTACACACTTTTTCCATCTCTCTTAATGAGACACACTCTCACCAACTAAAAACTCTATCACCCCTCTATGTAATGTTTTTTGCAGAAGAGCCCCTGACTGAAGATAACACCACAGAAAAGAAGAAACCAGGTAAGAGAGGCAAAGACGCTCAAGCTTCAACACAGTTTGTGGATCTCATCTCATATAACTATCTCATACCAAAATCAGCTCCCACATGCAGATTTTTTTAATCTAAAATCTATAAATACAGTTTATCACATCTCCTCTCAGCAGTTTCCCCATCGTCTGTAATCTTTCATCCCTGTCTCCACAGGCCAGAGATACTTTCAGTGCATTTACGTCCCAGGTAAAAATGCACAATACCCGTTACGACCTTTCACCCCTGCCATGATGTCGACCCCCATGATGTCCCCTGCGATCAGAGCCATGATGGAGCAGCAGAGAGCAGCGCGGGCGGCGGGACAATAAAACAACTTGAAGTCATTTCACCTCAATTCTGAAAGTACTGTACTGCGTCCTCCAGTCCAGCAGGGGGCGGTGTGTAAATCTGTGGAATCCTTAAACTTGGAGGAAAAACACGGACACACAGATAAGAGTGGACACAACTATTTGTCTTTAATTTATTGATGTATTTTTCTCTTGATGTGGTCGAGCTCCTGGGTTTGTTGGTTGATTTTTTTCCTCTTCGCTAGAGCGTCGCTGCATTTTGCTTTACCGGTCATCTGCTAATGAAGCTGTTTTTTTAAAATCACTAACATCCAAACGAGGAAGTATTATGTGAATAGCTTTTACTCACTTTGATGTAAATAATACTTTCAATTCAGGCTGTAATAAATAGATAGCTCACCTTTGCGACCAGTTTATTAATAGCATCCTATGATTTATTTACATTTATAAATTATAGCACGTCACAAACAGACATGAAAAAAAAACTTATAAAAAAGCTACATAACACATGTCGTAAAGGAAAGTTGATAGTAAATATAAAGTTGTTAATACTAGATTAAATCTAAAAATACCCCAAAACTTGGGCTGTATTTTTCACTGACCATTCGGACAAGAGAATCTGGAGAATCATCTGTAGACTAGCTTAGTTTGGTGTAAAATGTTTTTAACTATTTCAGCTGTTTTGTCAAAGCAGAAAGTCGCCTTTATAGGATTAATAACTGCTTTAAAATGAAAAGATGTCTCTTATTTTTGCTGCTTAGCTGTGTCTACAGTTGATTAGCATGTCTATGTTGGAGGGTTTAGTCCCAGGAGCTCCCACAGGTGATCCAAACAGCCTCCCTGTCTCAGATTGTGAGTGTGAACGTCCATCAGACTCATCAGCGGGACAAATGCTGTTACAGAACAAATAAAAAAAAGACATTTTCTTTGCAGATGACTTCAAACAATACTGGCAAATGGTCATAGGTCAGCTCATTTCCACTGTTTCTGCTCATCAGTTGTCATTCAAATCAGCGGTACCAGTGTGTTTACTAGTTTGGAGATAATGTGACGGTTTAAATGTGATTGTTTGTCATTCCAGGCAGAAAAGGTTTGTTTTAATGTGTGCTGAGAAGAAGTTGCTTATTAAAAACTTAAACAGGCTTAAACTTGAAGTTTGCAGCTGTAATTTTAATAATTTTAATGTAACCGTGAAGCCAAGGTGGGCACATGTAACCAAAAATTTAACTCTATTAACAATTAAAGACATTTACTTTGATAACAGCTAATCACATAATTTTCATTAACAAAAAACTTTTAACTGTCTGCACCCTGCAGAAAGGATCCCAGTTTAAGATTTAATTCAAACACATTATAACCATAGAAATACACATTATACTTTAAATCTGACTGTAGTTTAACAAAGTATGCCCTCAGAGTTGTGCCAGTGCAAGTCCAGCAGTGTGAGAAAGTTTAACGTCTTTGACAAGTTCTTTTATTTACATGGCCAGTATTGCATTTTAAAGATGTACAGGAAGTCCAGTCAAGTATTACAAAATGCAGACGTTAAAATAAAACAGAATGATAACGGTTTTTCAAACTAACAGCCAAAAAATTAATCCATATTTAACTCCATAGTTTGGCTGTGACCTTTGATGGCTTCAGTATTCATTACAAGAAGAAAAATCTGGTGCTACAGTCATAAGAAAATAAAAAGTGACTTTGAGACAAAACTAACCCAATGTGGCTGACACTGGGTAATCTGTAAATTTAGGGAAACTATCATTTTTTGGTTAGACCTCCTGAAATGAACAATCTTGTTTCCAAAGGGATCCAATCAGAAGTCACATTTACACAAGAGAGCCACTTATGAAAAACATTGAACAAAATCTAGTGTATAAACTTCACTGAGTAGTTTTTGGAGCCCTTTGTGTTTCACAGAGTTTGCATTCAGTTTTTGAGGTGTTAAAGTTTGTTGGCATGTGGTTGCTGGCTCTGACTTTTAAAGTCACTCATAGTGGCTTGGATTTCATCTTATAAATGGATCGCTGTTACTTGATTTAATATCATAAACGTATCTGTCTGAGTTTGGCACAGAAAGTCGAATTTGGCGTTTTTCAGAGACAGGGAGTCTGTAGAGGACATCTTTAACGTGACCAACCCATGAGACGCCGTGATGTCTGCTACAGTGGATAGATGTCCTTTTCTGTCACGCTCATCATCGGCTCTTTTAACAAGCCTGATGTGTTGTGATACTTCCAGATACCTCACCTGTTCACAGCTCGAGTTTGTACTTTACTATCACCTGATGCCTCGTTGTTGCTGCAAAGCTGGTGCTGCGTGTTATTGACAGTTTGCTGTTGTCTTACTGAATTAAACTTTAGGAGAAGGGGGTTTTCACGCTGGGCTTAAATCCTGGGATAAGACCCCCTGTGTGACTCCAACGTCTATAAACCACAAAAGGATTTACTATTAAACTTTCATTGTGTGTTTAGGTCAGTCTAACCTTTGAGTTTTAGTGCTAGGTGATGGATAACAGACTTAAATGCACTGAAGAGATATCCCTTTAAAGTCTTATGGTGTGTGTAGACTGAAACAACTATAAAACACTGTAACTATAATAACACAATCTTTAAATAACAATATTTCTAAACGTGGACTTCAGTTCTACACACCACAAATGTTGCTCTAAAGCTGAAGGCAACAGCTAGCCTCTGTAATTAGCAGTCTGCTTTCTGTTCACGGGTTGCACCTTTAATAATCAGGGGTGTGAATCTGTACTCTGCGAGGTCCTTTAGCTCTCAACTAATGAAGCATGTTTACCACAGGCTCTGGTTTACACTGAGTGAACATTGGGGAAGTTTGATGGTGAATAAGTCTGAGTGTGAGAGGATGCTTCCTGAGGGCCTGCGGGTTAAAGGTCAACAAGCCAGAACTATATATACATATATATATATATATATGAAAGTGTGAACACTCCATGTGTTATGGAGAAATGATTAATGACAACCACAAACTCTGACTGTGTTTGGTTACTGTGGTGGCATTTAAAGGACGCCTGATGTTGGTGTTTACTTTCATTAGTAAAGAATGAATTTTATTCCAGTGGAAGCAGCAGAAAGTTTCTGCTGTGTGATGTTTAAAGTATGATTTAAAGGACTGTACTTACCTTTATATGATGTATCAAGGCAAACCAGACCATCAGTGATAGGCCTGACAATTATAATGAGCAAAGACTATTATTGTCCACAGGGGGGCGCCAAACTGAAAGTTCCTCACAGGAGCTTTAAGTGAAAACCAGTTAACAGGCTGTCAGATGTGGCACAAAGTAAAACCATGACTAGTAAGAAGTGTTTAACAGACTGTAAGAGTAAAATCTGAGCTAATCTGAGCACTCAGTGTTGCTTTTGTTTAACTCAATACTGACATGCACTTGGTAAGTATCACTAAGTGTCTGTCGCTTAGAGTATAACTAACATTTTTAAGAGTATTTCTGGGGATTTAAAACCGGGTTTAAGCCCTGTGTGAACCCCACAATGAATGTTTCATTGATCACTCAGTACTTTTACATGCACACTTGAGTCCAGCAAGGGTTAAAGCTCCCTTTGGTGATTATTCTGTATTTCTGTCCTTGTGTCAGTTTATGAGCACCGGGTGAAAATCTAGTTATTGGCAGAAGCATGTCAACCTCTGCTAATTTTAAACTTGTTACAGACTTATTACATAACGTACCAAAACAATCAACAAATGCATAAGTAATCTGTGCAGTTTCAGTTAGGCTAACATGATTACACGTGTTTTAAAGGTCCGGTTTCTGTCGGTCTAACGAAATTGATGGATTTTTTGAGGAACATGTAAATGTACTGACTGAAAAGGGCTGAAAAAGCTTGAAAAGTTTTTGGGGTTAGACTGAATTTCTTTTCAGCTCTTTGATCAGCTCCTGTTGTCTTTGACTTGATTTCTTGAAGGAATCAGTATCAGTCTGAAAATGTTTCAGAACTTTGGATGTACGATGATAATTTTAATGTTTTCATAAAGAGAAGTATGACTGCAGAAGGTGGGAACTTTCATGATTTTGTTCCTGAGATGAACTGTTTGAAATTATTGGATTCTTGTACTAGGATCACTCTTTTGTTTGTTACTTGATTTCTTGTTTATTTTGCATGAAGCCGTTATTTAAAGGAAGACACTGATACAGGTTTTTGTTGTAACTAACACAGCTGTGATTAACTTTTCTACATACACCACCCTCTAGTGAGTAGGATGCTGTACAAAGACTGTAGATAATGGGTTATGTTATTTGTTGCACTCTTAAAGGTCTCATGTTTGGATAAATCAGCATTGATTCAGGCAAAAAAGTGTGCTAAGAAAATTCATATTTGTACCATTTGACATTTTTCCTTTTGTTCATAGCCACCAGACGGTAATATAGGAGGTAATGTTAACCATAATTCATTAAAAGCCAGTATTAATGATTTTTGCATGTATTAGAAAGTAAAGGGATACAATGAAATAGCAGCAGCCTCACTCAATGACAGTTCTGAACATTTCAGCAGCCAATTCATTGTCCTGAGAGACATTTCAGGCTGTTTAAAACAGCACTTAAGAGACTTGAGTGAGGACATCCGCTGTGTGAAAATATTGAAAAACACCAAATTACCAATGTGCATTTTGTGAGACACCATTTCAATAAATGTTTGCAAAAGTTTTTGAGATGATCACTGTCTTTATTTGTGTTTTACATAAACTTTAATAACAACTTAAGGCCGTTTTAATCCCCGTATTCTGTCTGATGGCCAGCAGGGGGCAGCTTCATTGGTTGCGAAACAAAAAGTGAACTCCAACAGTAGATCACTTCATGGAAAAATGACCCTAATTCTTGCCTCTGCCCAACATCAATGAAGTGCAAAGTTGAGGAGAAAGCCAAGCGGTAAACTAGACTTAGCGGCAAAGGAGAATTTAAAAATGTACATCGTTTAACGATACGATGACCTGATTGGACAGCAGAACCTGACGTCAAGCTCTCAAAAGCTCAGGGAAGCCAGAGGACACATCTGCGGATTTTGTCAAAATCCACGGATCTCATATCTTGAAGCTTTGCTGAGGTTCAGAGCACAAGAATATAAGAACTTTTTTTTTATCCCCAAAGGGAAATTATTTGTCTGGAATCTCATCTACTATTCATAGAAGAATTAAAAAGTCTGTTGGCTGTGGGTTCGAAGATCCTCTGAATCTTTCTTTCCTGCAGCGAAGAGAGTTGGGCCATCCTCAGTTGTTGTTTTTTGGTCCATCAAGGTGTTATGAAGTGGGTGATCCATGTTTTTTAGATTGTATGCCGTATCCTAGCAACAGTATCATGGACAGCATCACACAGAACTTCAGCTGTTGCCTTGGGTGGAATTTTACAAATATTTAGTATTCTAAGTCTTTAGTCCAGACATCCAACATTGTACCAATGTATGCTTGTATTCAAGTTTAATAGATCTTCAGAGCAGAACGTAAAATTACTCCTAATGCACCTCAGTCAAAAGAAAATCTGACAAGATAAACCTTGAAAACCTCAGATAACCAGGAATTTCACCATCTTATCATTCACGTCAGTACTGGAAAACTTATTGATTATTGATCCTTTAGCAGCAGTCATCAGTGTTTCCATTCAAGACTTAATCCCTCGTCAAACGGCATCGACGCTAAAGGTCACGATAACTGAGATAGCGACACAAAGAGAAGAGACTGTGAGCAGTGAGAAACCTACATGTGTCCATATTTATTTTGCTCGTTTTACATGATGCATCTCAGCAAACTGTCTCTGAGGACATTTATACATTAAACACCTGCTAAGTGAACAGTTTTTGCTCCTATAATAAACCAGCTCTTTGATATAACTTCACAATTCAGTTTGGTCTCCGGACAGCTCCTACTTCACTGTAACTATACAATCAAAGAACAGTGATATGAAAATCAAATAAATATACCAACAACGGAGAAATCTGCATTTAAATGATTGATCATCCCCAATCTTTGAAACACAGGTACAGAAAGAAGTACATTTTTAATTTAGAGAGAGGCTTTGGCTGAGAAATATCAAATATGAGTCAGAGTCAGTGAGAAATTAAAGTCATTAGTTCAATCTCTGGAAGAAAATAAATCCTAATTAGACTGCAGCACACTGACTGCACCCCTGATGGAGAGTCTAACTAGATAATGATACTTTATCCTGAAGAGAAGACCATGAAAATTTATAAATGAATCTGATAAAGATGATTCATCACTTTCATTCTCCATGTCTGATGGCATTTGAAGGTTAATTGGCTCGCCATGTAACGTTTTAAATTAACAGTGGATTCAGCGCCATTCATTAGATCACAAACATTTTAACCTGCATTTTTAAGTTGCCAAGGAATGTAAAGAACATTTACAAAATGTAAAAAATACATTAATCGATCATTTTTTTTTCTCTTTTTTATGGACCCTTTCGCGGCCAACATCATGATGGTATTAGGGTATTAGCTAGAGGCAAAACAATGAAATACTGGAGGAAAAAATGAGGCATCACCGCAGGGTTATAGGCAACAAAGGAGTCTGAAAATGTCGTTTTATGGTGCCAGAATGAAATAAATAAATAAATGTGATAAGACAGATAAGACTGTTGAGTCTGAGCAGCGCTTCTAGTGGATATCTGTAGCAAAGGGAGCGTAAATAAGACCTTACTTTAGGGCTGTAGCAGTACACGGATATGGCAATGACTGTCTTTTCAAAGAACTGAAATATTAGTATTGTGCAGAAAGTAAGCAAACGGTGATACAATGAGTTTATAGTAGTGGATATGTTGAAGCTGGTTACCACATGTCATGGAGTGAGCTATGGCATCTGTCTGATAGACGATTCTCCACTTTTACAAACTGATAGTCCAAGATTAAATGTGAATCCAACAAAATTGGTAGTTTGTGCCTAATAGGTTAATTGTAATAGGTAATTTTATTCAATTCTGTGACGTATAATCTAGTGGGAGTGGTTTACTTTAAATTAAAAGCATAAACTCACAGTGCAGGAAAGACATCAGCCTAAACAGAAGACAGGAAAAAAATAGATCGTGTTTTGACTGTTCTATCTTTGGCAGTCCTGTCCAATTATTCATCCAGCGTGTGAGAACTTAAAGGTCACCAAATCTGCTTCTGTTCATCAGTGTTCACTTATTTTAATAGCACTATCAGCTGCAGAGATTAAGACCTCAGAGGGACCTGTATTTTCTTACACCACTGCTGAAAACAAGCCTAAAACCAGTTTACGGTGGCTGATGTATCAAGAAGGTTGTTTTGCCTGCAGCTAAGCCCCACCCACAAAAGGTGTCTGTTTAATACAGCTAAAAGTATCTGTGGTGTAAAACAGAAGAACAGAGTGAATTTAAACAACATGCATCCCAGAATACCAAAATAAAGTCAAACTGAAAAAAAAAATCAACATTTTCAAGTACTGAATCTTTGCCATGTGTTGAAGAGCATGCACATAAAAAAAGACTTTTTAATGTCCTTCACCAAATGTGGCTTCTGCTTTTTGTTTTTCTCTCACACAAAGTGATTTATCCACACGTACACAGTTTGAAGCTGAAATGATTTAACATGAAAAAAAACTGTCAAAAAGCTTCTTCACCTGTTTTGAAGCACATTCTTAAACTGAGCAGAGAAACTGCTGAGTGAAAATGAACAAAATCCCACAAATGTTACACCCTTTCTTGTGTTGGTCTACTGATCTTAACAGCGTGTGACAAAATGCAAATTACCAAGACTTAAGGAAGCTGTTTTCGTTCCAACAGCGGCCATGACCTCAATTTCAGAGCTCGTCTCTTAATGAAGGAAAGTGAATAAGAAAACCTCACACCGAACTACAACTTACAGTGAAAAAAAATGATGCTGCAGCAACAGGCAGGTTAGAAGCTGAATTTTGATGGTATCATAAAACAGTAAAGATGTTGTGTTTAAACTGGGCTTGAGTAATAGATGTATATTTAGATGTTGGATTTTGTAGCATTAAACACTTGCAACACTATGCAAAACTGATTTTTTTGACGCTGTGCAGGGTGGTAAAGCATTGTATTTCACTTGTTTGCAACTTGCAAAGATCATGGGAAAAAAACAGCATGTGGACTCTACAAATATATATAAAAACCAGTATGAGTGAAACAGGACAATGTGGGAGGGGTAGATAAATATGTTCAATCAAAACCAGCATAAAAAAATAACTGTTTGCTTTTTTTGATATATGTAAATCATAGTTTCTAAAGGTTCACTGAGGGTCCGGTGTGGTCTTAAAATAAGAGATCCAGCAACTCTAGTTTTAATACATTTTCTTTAACACTTAAATCTGAGGTGAGCAGGACAGATATAACAAGAACACAGAAAGAACATTCAAAATGCTGATTTTTTAACAAAATAAAACAGACTCTAACTTCGTAACTCTTCATAACAATTCATACAACAAATCTGTCTCCTGTCAAATAAACAAGGTAGATAGCAAGTTTAATAAAATACTGTCAAAAACGGAAGTTTTAAAGTCTTAAATGTGGCAGCACTCCATAAAGTATATTTGTAATAAATTAAAATGTATTTCTGTGTTTCTTTACTTACCATTATATGTTAAATAAGAGCGCAGAGCAACCTCTGATACTGACCTCTAACACTGAAAACTGAAAATACTGCGTAAATCTGCAGGACTGAATGTGTGACACCCAGACTTTAATATTCAAGCCCTATGCAGATGATAATTCATGTAAACGTTACATCCTAACAACTGGAAGCATCTACAGTGACTTTGTGTGTGTGTGTGTTTGTGTGTGTGTGTGTGTTTCCCTTTTTATGAAATCTGTCTGTGTTCACTTCACATTGCCCCCTGCAGTGAAAGCTTCACTCAGTCTTTCACTCAGTCTTCAGTTTGCAGCTTTTAACCGTATGTTTGTTTCAACCGCCGAAAATACGTCTCAGACTTCTTCTACTGCACAGAATCTTCCTGCAACATCTGATGAACTTTTGACCCACAGTTTTTCCACAAAACTCTCTGATATTCACTGAACTGACAGGACTACGAATGCTGAAATAAACAATCTGATGCCAATGTGGTTGATGGTTCAAACAGCTGACATAACTCTGGTATTGTTTTGTCAGAACACGGTAAGGGGTGAAGCTTGTTCGCCAGTATGTCACGACTGTCCCAGTGTGTTTTCTACAGCGGGACTTAGAGAATTTGCAAAATCAGATCCAGAGATAGATCATAAGCTGCGTTACATGGGCACAAATAATCGGAATAAATGCCCGATCTGAATAAAAATTCATCATGTAAACTTGTCTATCTGAAGATTTTGATCCAATTCGGTTAAATCGGAGAGAAATTTTATTCTGATCAAGGAGGGCGGTTCATGCCGATCGTTATTCCGAAACTTAACCATGTACTGTACACACTTATTCCGATCGTGACTCTCTTACTTGACTCGATCTTCACTCTTTGCCATTGGATTATTTATTGAGGTTCGTACAGGAGGTTTTTATTATTAACACTCTGGCATAAACACAACTGCAGGTGCTGAGTCTGCTCCTCCGATAACTAAACAAAGCGTAAATACCGTGTAATGATGTCACATCTGCACCCACAGTGCAACCTTTGACAAAACAGTAAAATAAGTATGCAAGGGCGCCATCTAGTGACAACATTTAACTGAGGGAAAACCCCTGATTGGATGGAGTAAGCCACTACCGCGTTTGTTGGTTAGTTGACAGCACAGGCGTAAATACAACTCCTCTTCTGCGGTTGTTTAAGTGAAATTAGACAACTCTGCGCATGTCCAAATACTTCTAATCTGAATAAAACTTGGTGCATGTATACATAAGAAATGATTTTGCAACCATATAAACAGTGGATTCAGATTTTCTCTCTCAAATTTTTGCCCATGTAAACGTGTCTATAGAGACAACTTTGAATTTGTATCCAAGGTGGTTATGTATCTTTACATAAATTTTCATAAATGAGCAGGAAAATAAGACAATAAGCGTTGCTGTTTTTCTGTAGGTATTGTCCGCTCTTGGAGAAGACATGCATCATATGAATTTAGAGTAGAGGATAACCTTCAAATGCAGCTGATTATTCAACTGTAAATCAAGCAGCAGTCAGTAGATCACGTTGAGCCAGTGCACGAGCCGCTGAGGCCTCTTTCTAACTCTCTGCACACTCTGCAGCCTCCGAGCTGTTATGAGTGGGGTTGACATGTCATGTACGCTGGTGTGATAGTTTAACATCCCAGCTGTCTGCTCTGGTTGCAGCCGGCCACCTCACCCTTCCTGCCCGCTGGCCTTTCTGTGATCTGCTCGGCTGCACGCTTGCCAGTCTGGCTGGCTGGCTTGCTTTTCCTCTGCTGCCTCTGCCCGTCATTACCGCAGTCTTTCCTCTCTTCCTGCCTGTCACACTGCTTAAGGTTTGCCTGTCTTTCCTTTTGCACTCCACCATATAAACCTGGAGTCAATGTTGATTTGTAGAAGCATAAACTGGTGTGTCAAAATCCTGCAGCTGGTGCCAAAAGATTTTATCTGGAAGTCAAACTAGCATGAAAACGGTGGGAGGAGAGAAAAAAAGAGGGTCTGTCGTTCTGAATGTTCAACTGAAGCTCAGCTGCAGCAGAAGGCTGTCCAGCTGCACGATTTACATTATAAATATGACTATAACCTCACTAAAATGCTGTGATTTTAACGCCTTAAGTGATGCGCAGGAATAAAATTGTCTCACTTTCTGTTGTTTAGCATAAATTATAAATCACTTTAGTCACTTCAGCCTGCAAGTCTGGTGGGTTCAGGGGCTTTTGAAGGACATAAACATTTAAGACTTGAAGGTGCACTTGTACATTTTCTTACGTATAAACCAAAGTTGTTCTTACTTTCATTTGCTTGTAAACTTATGCAACAGACAACATTGCATACTTCTCCCAGTATTCACAGTTTAAACTGTCCTCCACTGGGTTCAGCAATGTGAAGCTTTTGTGCATTTGTGTAGCTCTGTCCATTTCCATCAGATTTAATGTACGTTTGTAAACTGCTCAGGATGTCGTCACCACTGTGTATGGTATTTTAGCTTCACTTTTGTACAACAGATGGAGGTAAAAACACTTCTTTTATACTAATTTTGTCAGTGAGTGATTTGTTTCATCGGGGCAGCAGATGAAACTTTCTTTCACAGCAACTTAAAAAGATTCACTCAAATGTGTCACTGAATGACCAAAAATGTGAGCTAAGAGGTAAAAATGACAAACTAATACAAACGCTGATTGATACTTCTGTACATTGAGCTTCATGAAATGAGAACTGTGCACTAAAATCTGCAAATACTGGAATATAATTTGGGGGAAATGGCCAAAAAACATGCAAAACATAATATGATTACTTAACCACTGTTATTTTGGCAATGTTTGCATTTCAGGAGTGAGATTAGTGTTGCCCAAACTGTAAGAAATGTCTTGCAAACTCTGACTTGTCCCTGCTTTTATAAAATCAAATTTACCCCTTAAATATTCGTATTCACAGAAATCTGTCCTATTACATTCTCAAAATATCACCAGCCTAACAAATACTAGAAGTTGTGGGTCAACGTTCAAAAAGAGGCTGCAGCTGTTCTTCTTGTTGAAAGAAATACTGATAATTGTGGTAAATGAGTCTGAAAAATATAGAAATTCTGAAAGGAAAAACGTAAAACGCTCTGTAAAGGGGTTATGCTTTTCCTAAAGATAAGTGGAGTGATGGGTCAGATGTTAATCTCACAGGAAAGACCTCCACAACCTTTAAAATCCCAGTAAACCCAGTTCCCGCCTGTCCGTTTTTTTTGCGTCCAAGAGGTGGAACAAACTTGTCATTGTCATGTCTGCTGATCCTGAGCCGCGCTTCTCACCCATACGCTGTTTAGTTTATATAACTGTACAAAGAAGAAGAAAAGAACTGCAGCTTGGAGAGCCGTGAGTCCGGACTCTCTCTGAAATGGTTTCCAGTCTTTCGTATACTGTACAGCTGTAGGAAACACCGCATGTGGCGCCTTCATGTCTCCGTCCCTTTGCATGTGTTCTTCATCCCTGCTTCACAACGACAGGCTGGAGGGTTCAAAGACTTTGATTTACAGTTTCTGAAATTGGCACTTGACAAATAGCTAAATAAATAAATATATAGAACACCATCAGTAGCTCTTAGTTTGCCGTCTCTGTCTTTCTGCTTGCTTTGTACTGACTCGTTTTGATTTCCTGGAGTTCAAACAACAGCCGCACTTTCAGCAGGAAGGAGTTGTCAGAGCGCACATGTCAGGTAGAGTCTGTGCACAGGTAAATCAATGTGTTTGTGTGTTTAAATATTGACTCCAGTAAGCTTTGAAGCTGTTGTTCAGTGTGTGGTTTAGTCCAGCGACAGCAGCGGCTGCATGTTGTCCTCTTCGCTCTTTACTTTGTCTGGTCGTTTCAGGACGCCGGGCTCCACCACCGACTGAGACCTGCAATAAAACAGATGTCAGTTTTATCAGTATCAATGCGCAAGGGGTTCCTCTGAACTCCAATTTTAAGATAAACCTGGTCAGACCTGCTGTTCTTAGACCAAAAACACAATCAGTCAAAAAAGGGGGGGAGTGACACTTGACCTTATGAACACACGTGACTAATTTATAAACGTGCACCGATCGATCAGCTGGCCGATTTCCTCAATTTTGGGGGATTGGTGATCAGCTGATCCTTACACGTGAAACCGATTTTATCCACCAATCTTATCTACCTCAGCAAAGGTCTGAAAGTGAGCTGTTGTAGCTTTTTGCTTTGCCAAAATAACAGGCCCGCCCACCAGCTCACGTGTGTCAGCGCCAGCGTCACACACAACAGTCACCCAGAGCAACCAAGAATGTTGAACCCAATACAAGAAAACCTAAAACTCAGGACAGTTTATTGCTGGTTTAAGTTGTGTTGTTAGTTTGTCCTGTAGATTATTATTTAATATGCAGTTCAAACAAACACAAATAGTTTGTATTGTTTCACAAGTATTGTTCAAAGTTTTTCATTAAAATAAGATTGGAGCACTGAAGGTGTATATTGTCGGTTATAAAATAAAAATCGGTATTGGCCAAAATCGGTATCGGCAGATCAAGATTTTTAAAGATCGGTGATCGTCCAGAAAATTGTGATCGGTGCTCCCCTACTAGCTTACATATCATCATTTCTAATGCTGTTTGAAGTTTTATCAGCATCACCAGACCAGTGACAGAAACTCCTCTAGACCTCTAGAGATGTCTTCAAAAATTATCATTTCAGATGCTCCTATCCTGACTTTTTTCCTGCCCTGTGTTACGGTTGCTTTATTCCCTGTATCATAAAATCCTGCTTTTATATTAAATTTGGAAAGCAAGTCATTTCCAGTAGATCTTTGGTTACAGGGCTGAACAAAAACAGGTCAAAGAAACAGGTACATATGGTAAAAATGATTGGAACATCAGTTTTAAAGTGTTTAACCATTTTTCTCTTGCACTGCGTTTCTATCCCAGGGCATCCCCCAGGGTTCAATCCTTGGTCCTTTCCTCTTTATTCTCTACATGCATCTGAAATGCCTTAAGAATGTCACACCTCAATGACAAGTAACATTAATGAAAAACAAAACCCTGGCACAAGCAAGATCTTCCATACAAACATCCATTGGTGTGGAGAAAACAAGATTTCCTGCAGTTTGACAATAATTATATGATGCTTTGTCCTGTTACCTGTTTGTGACGCTGAATGATACAGTACATGATGTTTTCCTTATTTTTCAAGTGTAAAACTTATATAGCTGTTATAATGATGAGCTAATAATTATCAGGACAGTCTTGTTGATCTGCAGTGACAGTCTGCAGTTTCAGCTCTTATTGTTGTCTGTCCTCCACAGTCTAAATGTCTCTTAGTGAGTCAGCTGGTGTCACACAGTGTTGGGGGGATTTCTGTCACTCTGAATCACGCTGTATCAAGGCCTATAGGGGGATGATACTCTTTGAAATGTCAAACATGCTCTCAGCGTCATTTTAAAAAAGACACCCCGACTGAGAAGAGAGACACCAAGACAGAGTCTTCCTCGTGAATCCATGTCCAAGAGCACAATCATTACACCAGGAAGGTTTTTTTTTAAGAGCATTAATTGGTTTACTTTTTGTTAGGTGTTGTGAAAGTATAGTAATAATTAAAAATGCAAACTTTAAAACAGCGTCTTTGCATGTTAGTTCCTCCCATCAGAGACACAAGGAGAGATGCAAGAAACAATAGGGGACAAAAAAAATGAGACGCCATTTTCTCTGGAGCATCACAATAAACGCCATCTCTTAGTTATGATTGCATCAGCTGACTCCTACTCAATCAGCTGTCAGTCAGATTTAAGGGTCCACACATTACTTTTGCTCAGTGAATGCAGTAACATATGATATATGTCATATTGTCTCACATCATACCATACTGGATCTTATCTTATCATATTGCATTGTATTTACAAAAAATGTACCATAATAATTTAATTAAATGCATCATGTTTTTGCAGAGCCTTAGCTGTAGTTTTTTTTTTTCAGCTCTTTGCAGCTCGTTAGTTTTTTCATTGTGGGGCATGTCTGTTGTTGCATTTGTTTTTAACTTATGCAAGAATTCTTGAATTTGCATCGCTTCTGCATTTGCAGCACTTTTCTCCAACTGACAATCGATCAGGTCAGAGTGGATAATCTGCCCTTGTCAGCCACCATACAGTACGTTTCCATTCAGACGCCTGTCAGAAGTTTTCCAACTTGTTCTTTAAAGCATAAAAATAAAGGAATTAGAACTGTATGAAATCAGAGATGGATATAGAAAGCGAAACATTATAAGCTAACCTCTTCATGGTTTTAGGGGACAGGTTTTTCTCAAGGTCTCTCTCCAGGTCTTGTACCGACAGGGTGTAAGACTCCGGACAGTAGTCTGTCTCCTCGTCGTAGGCATGGTCCAGCAGTGTCCGCGCCCACGTTCCCATATCATACGGCGGCATCATCCCGCCGAGTTCTGACGGCAGGATCTCAGGATGGATCAGCTGGTGGAGGCTGTTCAGGTTGTTACCGTGCATGAAAATCTGCATGGGAAAAGGATAAATAAAGTGAGTTTTCATTATTATCAGCCAACATCCAAACTACCCTGTGTGGCAAAAAATCCCAAATCTATGATAAATAACTAACCTAAAGTCTTAAAAATTCCATCCACAGCCCTCATCAGTCTGGTTTCAGACCTATGTGCACTGGCCCTGACAAGAAGAAGCCTTGTGTTGCTGTTTTTATTAACCTATCAGAAAGTTTTTTAAACTGTTGAACGTGAACTTCCCATTCAGAATCCTTAATTGGCTGCCTTGAGTTTATTGCTTGCAAATAGTTTGAGAGGCAGGTGTCAGTGTGTGAAAGTAGGGAATATTCAACCGGAGCTTCTACAAATAACAAAAGGTGTTCCACAAGGATCAGTCTTGGGACCTGTTTTAATTTCCATCTATATGAATAGCATTGTCTCCTCTGTTACTGACCACAACATCTATCTTTATGCAGATGACAACTTGCTATACAACTCTATACAACTTGCTGTTGAGAAGTTACAGTTATGTTTTAGTTTTAGAGTGGTACTTAGCACAAGCAAACTCAATTTATGCTTTTCTTCAGAGCAGGAGATATTGATTTTAGCAGTCCGCAGCTATCTACAGAACAGATGATACTGTAGTTCAAAATATCTTGGTATCTGGCACGATGAATGATTACATTTAAAATCCAGAATAAGAACCTTGTCAGAAACCTCAATGATTTTCAAAGCTTTGATAAAGGGAATCATACACCAAAAAGCTGGCATACCCTCTTCCTGGTCTTGTCTTTGAGGAAGGGTCGTATCACGGTGTAGAGAGCGTGGATGTACCAGGGCTGGTTCACAAAGTGGATCCCTCCAAACCTGGCAGGAAAACTGTCCTGTTGGGAGAAGAAGCAATGCGAAATGGGTAAATGAAAGTCCAGTTTATCATTCATCCCTTGGGTTTAGCAGGCATAAAGAGCGGGCATCATGAGAGATAAAAACTGAACATGTATCACTGAATATGACGTATTTTTGAACCTGATGATTCAGATAGTTAATGCAATGATTGTAGCTCTTAAAACAAAGTGCTAGTCCCAGTCAGGAGGATTTTTTTCAGTCTGCTTTGACTTCCAGCAAATGAAAAATTACCTCTGTGAGTTTCCCGTCCCTTTGCATTAGATTAGTTCTGTAAATGGGCTCTAATCTCATCGTCAATAGGAAATGGTTGGGTCTATTTTGGAGTCAGCGCGGCTCCAAAGCCCGAGGGAGATGAGTCCTTGTTCCTGCAGGTTAGAGTGTGTCGTCTGGGCCTGACACTGTGTTTCCTCGAACGCTGGACACAATTATGATAATTACACTCCACTGCGATTGTGTATGTGAGTCATATTTTGGCTGTGGTCCAGTGGTATAAAATCATGTTGTGACATAACAGAGCTAGCTGATGAAAAAGGCTCAGGGCGGGCGTTTATAAAAAACTGTCCTCAGTGTTCAGAGGCGACAGAGAGACTGCGAGTCCCTGAGGTCAGGTCAGGTTAGTAAATATAGATTTGGCTTTGCCCTGCACATTGTAATTTCTTCTACCAATACTTCGAGCAAGAGGGACATCTGCAGCCATACTTGTAAGATGTGAAAAAATGGTTAACAATAGCGATTAATCCCAAATGGAAACTCGAAGAAGTTAGTTTCCATTTCCATCGGTAAACGTCATGGAGAACAATTTTATCATTACTCTCGTTTCATTGACAGTGCAGTGGGGAACAGTGCAAAAGAACTTATGAGGGACCAAATGACATCAACCAAACTGACAAAAACAGTCACAAAGCAGCCAAAACCTACAACACAGTAAAGGCTTTTTTTAGTCTATTACAGCTGATTTTAACTACTGCCCTTAATCCAAACAAATACATCCTCCTATCATAATCTAAAACATCCTGTATTAAGTCTGGGAATCTAGTAAAAGATAAAAAAATATATTGCTCTGAAATATCTGCTGAATGAACAGCCTTCAAATCCAGTACAAACAGCACAGTCTTATTTCAGCTGAAGCCCGGTCAAAGCGCCCCTCCCCCCTCAGCAGTCAGATCAGTCCGACTCTGGACCTCTGGCCCGTCCTTCGCTCTGACACACATTTTCTCTTTGATGAAGAGACCTGCTGCATAATGCATGAAACACCAAAAATGGAATTTGAACTGCAGGGTCTCTGCAGCGCCAGAGGGACCGGAGGAGGAGAAGAAGAAACAGGAGGTAAAGGTTTGATGTGCTCTTACTCCAGTGATGTCCAAAGGGAGTGTGGAAGGTAAAAGCAGAGTTCAAACAGAGGAAGTAAGACTCAGATGAGATAACAGAGATCCAGGAAGAAGTCAAAGATGTTCAAAAGCAGAAAGGGTTCCAGGAAGAGGAAGTAGAATTTTGTTGTTGTTGTTTTAAAAGTTCAGATTATTCTTAAAGCAAAGGTTAGATACTTTATATGTACCCCATACAGTGAGCACGTGAGGCTACTGTGAAAAAAAGTACACTTAGTTCTTCTCTCCCTTTGCACACTCACTCTTGTTGACATAATTGGAAACATTATATAAGGTCAAGTGACATTTATGGCGTCCCTCAGGGCTCAGGCTTTGTTCCCCTCTCTTTCTGCCATTACATTCTCCATCTGAGTGACATTATTTGACACACTGTCATTTACTCAAGTTGATTTCTATGCTTACAACACACAATTGTATCTGCCAATCAAAACTTAAGATCAGGTTTACCAAGCACCAGAGATGAAATGACTGAAAAATTACTGAAACAGAGAACAGCGATGTAAATGTAATCAAATACGCCACTCTTTCCATCTGTCAAAAAAACTTTTTCTAAAGCTGTCCATAAAAGATAATTACCCTACATGTTAATGAATTGCAGCTTATAGTTCTGTTTTGTATTTGTGCTCCACGTATACCATTCCAGGTTTTTGAGATTTTAATTATAGCAAATGTTTCCCCTTTTCCCTTAAAAATCAAAGTAATAGAAAGTTAAGTGGACTCCTTGTTATCCCCAACTTTTCCCAGTTGTGGCGTTCCTCAGGGCTCATGCTTAGGTCCCCATTTTTTCTCCCTTTGGATGCACCTATATTATAAGTATGCATACAAAGCACAATGGAGATATTTATTTCATATATATATGACATATAAAATATATGACACAAAAATATAACTGACAATTACAAAACCAGGCTACAAACTCTCCTAACCAGCTTACTTGGCGGTTAATTGCAGAGATCTAGCAACTGTCTTATTCCAAATAACTCTGAATGATCTGCTTTTGTAATATTATTGTTTTTGTACAATATTTTAATTTTCAACTTGGAAGAAAAGTATTTAAAGTCATTAAAAACATGCGGAGCAGAAGCTAAGTATGACTGCCAAAACCTGCGACAGTGATTGCTAGAAAAAAGAAAATCAGTACTGATGACTTCGACAAATATTTTAAAGTAATTTTGTTGAAGTCTGGAGAATATCTGAAGGGTAAGCAGCTCAGATCTTAAGTATCCTGCCAGTTCCAGGCACCTGGCTCTCCAAACCGAGTCAGCTCTTTCTTTGACTTTTGGCGTCTAGAGGCAAAAGTCGATCCCAAACAAATGAATGACTGTGGGGGGTTCATATTTTCGTCTTCTCTCTGCAGGTCGCTGCAGAGCGTGTTCGGTTACAGTTAAAGGTTGAAGAGAATTCAAGGTGACAGACAAACAGTCTGTCAACATCTGCAGGACAACGTGTGGGACCGAGTAGTCTCTGGCGTTTTGAAAGTTTCTGCCCTGAAACCTCTCCGTTGCTTTCTCTCTCACCTCCCACTCCTGGGACTTAGTGGCGTCCCTGAAGAGGATAAACACATTAAGAGTGATTTTCTCTTTATGGCTTACTTAGCTGTAGAAAAATGGCAGCCACCTACTGCTTTGTGGCACTGAGTACTGCTGTAGATTCCCCTCTTAATCTGACCAGGAGCCATTTAAGGCTGAGACGCAATAAGGAAGCTGCCAATCATGCTGTGAGGGTCCTGTATCTTCAGCAGAAATGAAAAGACTCTTAATTCAAAATCATACACCCCTGGGGTGAAATAAAGCAGAAAAACGCCCCCCAAGTTTTGATCTCAAATGTACAGTAATTAAAGCACTGTGTTTTTACAATGATAGAGTCCTCAACATTCATGTTTTTAGTATCACAATCAGTAAGAATTTGGGATATTTATGCCATTCTGACTCTAAAAGTCAAGACAGAACTTGACAGGAGTGGGTCAGTGTGTGAGTCTGACAGAATAACGAGTTCAAATCATATCAAAATCCTATTTACATATTTATGTTGTCAGTTTGGCTTCTGTTACCCATGCACACTAAAATCTGAGTGTTTATTCTTGGAGCTCAGTCCATCCGTGGCTCACAGTTTTGGTTTTATCAGACAGTTCATTTAATGTGATCTCATAAACCCACCGCATCAGTTACCATAAAAAGCATTAACATGAGTTGATATGGCCTGACTCTACCCTCTGGACTCCAGCAGGCAGTTAAGTTTGACTTCCCTTATTTACCAGGCTGCCATGCCAAGAAGCAACAGCAGTTTTTACGAGAGAAAAACACAAGAGGAAGCCAGGTGATGTAGGGTAAAGAGCGAAGAGGAGGCAGAAACGCAAGGACGGGTCAAGCAATGAGGCAATTAAAGGGTGTCTGCTGACTAATCCTGGACCAGGTTCAATTCCATTTCCTACCTATTTCCTGCTTTATCTACTGGACTATCTCCTCTGTACCATACCTTGCTACCATTTGCTGAAACCTTGAAGTGCTTTGACGCCTCTTCAAAACTTAAAACCAACCATCAAAATATCTCCCCATTTAATTCTAGAAGATTTGATGTGGAAATCAAATGCACATGCATTTGTGGATCTGCCTAAAAACACCCAGAGCAGTTTGTGATCTACAAACCAAGGTAATGGATTTAAATGAGATCTGGCTCATAAAGGTACAATGGGGTGCTGTGAGTCAGCACCGGATTTATCGGCCAAAAAACACCTCTGATTAACACACATTAACCAACACTGCCAAAAGCCATCAAATGCTTTAATTGCCCACATTAACAAATAACAAGATAAAACCAATTAGGTTGTAAATATATTTAACTGGAACGTAAAGAACAAATCCATTAGACGCTGAAGTCAAAGTGCAGCAGAAAGAATCTGTCGGGATAAACAAGGAAAAAGAAGGGAGGATGGAGAGACGCCGTCCTGTTTCCAAAGAGAAACATCAAGATGTACAGAGTGGAAATGTGTGAGTCACTGGATGATCATTCATTATTTAGTCTACCGAACGAGCAGCTGTGGCACCAACAGAAGAAGTAAGGAGCCCGATCATGAGAAACAGATTCACCCAGATAAAGAGGGCCAGACTTGACCCAACTTTGGCACTGACTTATGAGGTTTACAGTCTTCAGTGTAGAGAGTGTAAAACATGGATGGTTACTCACAGGTTTCTGAAATTAGGTTTTTGAGCCTTTCAACAGTGGAAATAATGGACTTGTTTCTTTACTACAACATAGTTGCAGCAAATGAGCTTTCGATTATTGCTCAACAAAGGGCTACGATGGTGAGGGGAGAGCATTAAGTTTCTTTTTATGCTGATGATTAACATTTATTTGTAACAAATCCAAAACAATCCATTACAAAAATGATGTTGTTTCTAGAAAGTTACGGGGAATCCCAGGTTACAAAAACATCAAGAAAGTGAATCAACTCTCTAAATACTAAAGCCCAAAGTTCCTCACACTCGTTGTTTCTGTTCAGAGTTGTGTCAGGCTCTGTTAAATGTTCAGCTGTGACTGTTACAAGGAGCTTTTCAAACTGAATAAATCAAATTTTCAGACACTCTTTGAGCGTGTGACTTAAAAAAACCTACAGACAAATCTTTAACTTTTGACATTTTTGTCCCTCTATGAGGAGTTCGCCAGCAAGTAGCTGATGTTATAACATCTGACACGCGTCTGCGTCCGTCTGAAACTGTGGTGGTCCGTCCTTCCTCTCTGCATTCTCGCTTTTCAGTCTTTGTGCAGCACATCAGGTTGATGAGCCCCTCTCCTCCGCTCTGCTCCTGTCACTTCACATCCACAGCACCGTGAGTAAACGTGTCCTCCGGTCAAAGGGGGGCAAAAAGTGAGTTCAGGAAGAAAAAGATGACCTCCATTTCCGTGTCTTTTCTTTTCCTCTTCTCAGACATAAAGTGTAGCCTAGAGTGACGGCATTGTTTTGCTGCCGGCCTGCTCTTCACCAAAAGCACCTTTATGAGCTGACTGAACTTCAAAAAGAGGCTGAATCAACAGAGTCTTATGAAAGCAGAGCTGCTGCACTCATCTCCTTTGGCGGAAATATGAAAAAGCCAAAAATTAACCTTTAGTTTACTTTTTTGAAGGACAAATGCTCAAAAATTGGTTTCCTCTCTAATTCCTCTGCAGTTTGTCATCCATTCGTTTACTCCAGCATCCGCCTCTTCCTGTTTTCAAGCCTGCATCTTCAATATTTAATGATTAGGATTATACCACAACTTCCCTGCACTCCGAAACTCTGTTGCTCCATCACTCCTCTTGAATGGGAAGTGACCAATCAAAATGCAATGTGACCTTGAATAGGGTCATGACAGCCCACACCAGCCCTAACACTGACTGAACAGGAGCTCCAGCTTTTGAGTGCAGGAATCTCTGAGTTGAAGAAAAAATGCGTGTCATGTATATCGCTTCTAATTTTAGAACTTTTTCCAATGCAGAACGAATCCTTTGCCCCGTTTGTGCGCTTCCTTTAAATAAAAAAAGCAATGTATCAAATATAACCATCTTGTTTATGCACTGTGCTGCTCCTCTTCCTGGTTCCACATTTAGCTCCCCCAGCCCGTGAGGCCCTCATGTTCTCAGCTCACCTCGAACCTCTCTAATCATAAAAACTCTAACCCGGTGTGCTTAGATTCATGCCAAAATGTCTGACTGCAGGGAAACTGGTTCACACTCAAAGTCAAATTTCATCTTTTGAAGTTCACATCAAGCCTTTTTGAAGTGCAGAGGAGCATCAAGCACGAATGTTTCGGTTGTGAAGCTCCTGTTATGGCCACTCAGACTGTTTTACCAGGTAAAAAATGCCAAATGAGAGCAAATTAAATCAGAGAAAACACTGACGAAATAAAACAGAGAACACTGGCTCTATATCAGTTTTAGTCAGATTAATAATCAGTGTCGTCTTTGGGGTAATTCCTGACCATAACTCACTCCTGGTGTAAGGATTTGATAAAACATCTTTCCTTTATCTTAGGTATCAAAGCTAAGCTTACATTTTCTTTACTCTTTTAGATTCATGCTGCGCGGTAAGGTCACAGCAATTAAACTGCAGCCGCTGCAGGATATTAAAATACCACCAACTTCACCAGGAGCTCTGAGAGAGGAGAGGAAGAGGGAGATTAGATCCTTCTTCAGCTCAGATATACATTTAAATACGTGTGGAAATAAATATTCATACTGGGGCTGAGCAGCAGTCCGAGGCTGATATGATACAAAGCTTTTCAATATACACTACAGGCCAAAAGTTTGGAAGCAAGGCCATTACAGGCCGAACAGTTGGGAGTAACTTCAAGTTTTTGTTCACGATGCTTTTTTTTAAATCCAGCATGAGTTTTATGCATTTTGCGATGTATTTACCCCATGATCAGATGTTGCTTTCATGGAAATGCACCATTTTACTCCATTTACCTTTAGACATACATTGATGTTAACAGACCATTGCTAAATATATGTCAGCTAAAGATAATAAGGGCTTAGTTGCAGGGTCGAAAACATTTGCAAGAGTCACAACAAGTGCAAAAGCAAAAAAAAAATCACAATTGGATTATTCAGTTTAACTTTTTGGCTTTTGAGAGCCTGCAAACAAAAATCGTCCATGTATTGTTATCGAGGTGAACTGCTCAATATATCGTGATATTGATTTGAGGCCATATGGCCAGTTTATTTCTCCATTTCTAATCTGTACCACAGACTGTATTTGGAGCTCTTCCTACTGGCTATCTGTTCAAAAACCTCACCTCAAGCTTACTAGAAGACATGTTTACGTCATGTGAACAGATGGAACATTGGTCAAACTATAAAAACCAAACAATGAATAATTTGTCAAATAATTTCACTGTGAGAGACTGCGTGAGCAAACACATCATCAGTTTCAGGGTAATGTTTCTCGGCATAAAGTTGCAAAGAACTTGAAGATTTTATCATCTACACTCCATGATCTCATTATCTCATTTGATCTTTGGGCCCCTGTGCCATACTGCGTTCAAAACAGACTTGACTCTAGAGTGGAAGTCTCCGTGTGGCTCAAAGTCATTTCCATTGCGACATTTAAAGCAGAGAAGAGGAGGGGCTTTGGCTTCACTTTAGCTTCACAGAAACATTGTCCATCTTTACAAGCACTCAGTAATTGATACTTTATTCAATCAGCTTGCAGAGTCCTTTACTCACCTTAGCTGTGAAGTACTCTGAGACTCAGCTGCATATGGAGGTATAATGAACTCTATCTTTGTTGGTTTTGTTCTGGGGTTTGTTTGCAGTATATCTCACTAACATGTTAAAACTCTCTTTTTTTCAGGATCCTCTGACACACTGCCAGCTTGCTGCCCTGAGTCTGAGTCTGAGTGTTCATCCTCTGCGTGTGTGTGTACGTGTATGTGCACGTGTACGCGTACATGTGTGTGTTTGGTGCAGTTGACCTAAGCTTCCAGATTTTGGCTGGGGCTCGACAGATTTTGTCTTCCAGCCAAACAGACACAGAGGGGAGCAGAGGGGCTGGGACACAGGACTAATTTGGACAATGCCTCCTGTTTCTTTTCTGTTTAATTCTTGAAGCTCCTGAGTGGGACAAATAACATCAAACATCATAAAGTCAAAGAAATCTGTGAATATTACATTAAAACATTTTAGACTACTCTGCACCTGAACTCTTTGAGTATTTTGCAGCCCATGAATATTTAAAAACCAAGAATGAAGTAACATTTGCTGACTGTGTACACAAACAGAGATCTGAACATGACAGCTTGTGTATTTACAGAGTTGTAGAGTCTACTTTGAGCCGGGTACAGAGGCATATTTCTGAAATGTTACTGGTAGAAGGCAGAATTCAAACAGCAGCCATCAAAAATCCAACCACTAAGTCCCTCCAGAGAGATTCTGCAGCAGAGCATCAAACAAAACCCGACCAAAGCCACTGGTTTCTGATGAGGACACAAGCGGAAAAAACCCTGAAACGAGCAGATCTTGAATATTGGCAGAGAAAATCTCAGCTGCTGGGAGCTTCTTTTAAAGCTCGATCAGTCGGACCTGCATGTGATCTTTGTTATTGGAGAGAGGGAACATTCAGACGGACAAACGCAGCAGAGACAAGATAAACAGTGGACGGGACACAGTCAGAATCAAAACTGCAGGGCTTGTAACCTGGTACATTGTTTACTCACAACAAACCAGTGACATGCCGTGTTTACAGGCCACACAGAAAACAGGAATTGATTATTATCATATCCAAATCTCTGTGATTGATTTGATATTAGCATAGAGGAAATCTGACGTAGAAAGGAGAAAACTTCTACAAACTGTTACCAATCTGAATCGTAGCAGCAAACATGAAGCCTTCGAGCCTAAAGCTGAGAGGAAGAGATTTAAAACCAGACTGGAAATTGTACAGTTTTTGTCCAGAATGAAGCCAGAAGGATGTAAACAAGCTAGCTAATCAGCTTTCAGGCGACCAGCTGAGCTAAAAAATTGTGTGAGCCAAACAGACCAGGAATTTATTTCATTGTCACATTGGTTAACATTCACAGCAGTGGGCAGCTTTTTCATGATCAAAAACTTCTACTAGATGGAAATGAGCTGAAAAATGGGAGAAATCAACTGTGAGGGGATTACAGCGGCTATTAGCACCATAAATAGCACGTAGTTTTCTCCCGACGTAGCATACTGCACAAATAATACTCAGGAGCAAGCACACAGAGTTTTGAAGCTATGAGCAGCGTGTGTTTTGTGTCTGTTTTTTAACCACTGATTTAAACCCTGAGTATTAAAACAATTCATCATTATAGCCGGATTAACAGACTACATGTACAGGTTTATTTCAAGATGCAAAGTTTCTGTGCAGTTTGCTCTTGTTTTGCATCACAGAGATAAGCTGTAAGCATCTGTTGTGCAGGGCTGCACTATGCACTCTCAACCTGGAGCTTGAACCTGCCCACCAGCAGGTTCAGAGTTGATCCCTGACAGATCTGACAACAATTTTAGTGTTCATACCAAGCTAGGTTAGCTAATAAAGTGCAGCTCAGATTAAAAGACCACTCAGGTGTGTGTTTCCGAGGCTCATTTGCACAGAGAGGGAGCTTGTTTTGCCTCAGATAAATGCATATTCTAACTTTTGAACATATGCAAACAATGATGCTATTCACCCTGCAGTGCGGTTTGTGGCACATTAAAACCCTTTGATTGTGCTTATTGAATTTGAGATGTCTGTGCTGCATCAGCATGGGTTCAAAGGCTCTAAATGTCATGCACTCCTCTGAGAATCAGGCCTAGAGTTTTGCATTGTTGGAAACTTTTGATCAAGGCTGTAAAAAACATTAAAATTGAGAAATAAGTGGGATAACAGCCTCGAAGGTGTCCATCATCATGTATTTATCGACTCTTCTGTGTACGCCGTCCTTTTATTCCTGATAATGGACACCTTGTAGAGCAGCAAACCTCACATTAATACTGTTAAGTCCACTTAAACCCATACACTTTCAACTACTTCCCATTTAAAGCATATTATGAATCTGCTGTCTTTGTTTTACTACCTTCGACAAAAAACAGGCCAACCCTAAAAGGTGATCAGAAACCTTTTACCATTAATTATACATGAGGACATAGACGTCAATAGATCCAAATAATCCTGAAGTAAACCAGACACAGCTTGTCATTAGTGAGGTGACACTTTCCACATTGAAGACTTTCAAAATAAGATACAGTAGGTCAGATTCTCTCTTGTGTTTTCTGCAGACATTGTTGGCACAGTTTCCTCTGGAGTCCCACTTATTCTGGAGCAGTCTGTGTGTTATGTAATAATGCTAATGCAGAGTGAGTCCACAGAGAGAGCACAGCAGACTGGAGCTGTGTTACTGTACGTGATAATGTGGTCTAAATATCTGAAGATATACGAGCTCTTTAAAAGGGTTACAAATGCTACTACTGATGAATAAATGTATAAAGAATAAGTGCAGGTTTTTCAGAGGAGAGCTGTTTCACATTTTGTTATAAATAAGGAAGAGGACATCTGTTTTAACAATATTAACAGAAAAGAAAGATGAGCTGATACCACAGCGGATACACTTAATATGTAAAGAAATCTCACGAAGAGCAGGTTTGATTGAAAAGACAATTTAAATCAACAAGAGACCATTAGGTGAAGAGGAAGGTCTTTACTTCACAGCCGCTGTACAGTCACAAACTGAGCACTAGGCGTGGTGAAAGCAGGTAGTGCAAGAAAGAGCTACACAGCTGCACAAAAACTGCACATTGTGGACTTCATATAATAAATACCACAGAGCAGTTCCTCTCTCTGACTGACTCCCAGACACAGACATCATATTAAATATCTGTGTAACTCCCATTTACCTGCCATCACATAATGAACACCTGGGCAATCAAACATGTGTTTTATATGTTCAGTTTCAGTCAGACTGATAAGAGAAAAAGAATATAGCATCATATTAAAGATGAAAAAGATAAGAGGTTTGAGCAAAAAGGTTAATTTCTGATATTAAAGTTGCAACAATACAAGAAAACGTGATCAGAGAATAAAGTTTAGAATTTACAAGAATTAACTTTGGATGATGTTGGCCTACATTTTATTTAACAAAATGACTTTTCTCTGACTTAAAGAAAATACAAAAATATATAATAGTGAGCCTTCATTTCAAGATTTGGACTCAAAAATATCTTAAACTTTTTTTTCTTTATTGTGGTCTGAATATTCTGTTGTAACTCTTAAGAATATTATTTCTTACAGATTTCTGAATAAAAAAAGGACAATAAATAGTTATTATAGTTATTTCTAAATCTTACCTTATCTTGCTATTGTTATGATCTGCCTATTTTATTGATTGATTAATTGATTGATTGATTTAGTTATTATTTTTATTTATCACTAATTCTTGTAGATTTAATTAATTCTCATTTTTTTTGTCAGGTTTAGGGATTGTTGGATATTTATGCATACTGATTTACTATTATATATACTTTTTTTACTATTTTGTTTTGTATATAGTGTACATACTTGTATATTATCTCTCTATTTTTACTTCTTGTTACTTATTTTATCTATTATGTATCTCCCTTTTCTACTTTATTTGCACTAGAGTTACTCTAACACATAGCAGTTTCCTCCTGGGGATTATTAAAGTATTTCTGACTCTGATTTATTGTTTGCTTGCCCTTTGTTGAACTGTTTTGATTGTTTATTATGCTTTTACTTTGAAAAATATGTCAAAGACTATTATTGTTAATGTGGTAAAAACTACCAGGATATTACAGTTGAATCTGAAAAGTGAATCAAAATGCTCACAAAAGACTCTAAAAGCCAAGGAACTGTTTGTTTTTCAGAGTCTGTAAATATTTACGGCAACACTTTTGTTCGAATGATGAATTTTAATGTCCTCCTGACAGTCACAGCATTAATTATGCATCACTTATTCTAGATTTGTGGTATTTTTTCTTTTGGTGCATCCACCTGTGAGCGTCTTAAGAGAAGAAGAAGAAGAAAGAGGAAGAGGAAGAGGAGAAGGAAGAGAGAGGGATGGAGAGAAATGTGTTTCTGTCTGAGACACAAACACACACAGACGCACAACAAAAGGGAGCCCATCTGGAGGAGAGGGCAGAGCAGATAGCGCGGCAGGCCGGCATGTTGCTGTGGCAACGCAGCGAGGGCGGGATGTAGCGAGGGGGGGAGCCGGGGAGGGCAAAGGAAGGAGAGGAGGAGGAGGAGGAGAAGGTGGGGTACGAGGAAGCTCATTGTATCATTGCATCACCTGCTGATGGTGAAGACGAGGAAGCTTTCTTTAGATTTCATGAGAGAAAACGGTGAGAATAAACACAGAAAAAAGAGAGATTTGGTTATTTTTCAAACTTTTGAGCTGTACTATGTTTTTATAGACACCAATAATCAATAATCATGAATAATAATGTATAAGAGCTGCTGATTTCAGGGCTAATTTTAAACAAAAGAGTTGAACAAGAGGCTGCGGCGTGTCGGATGAAGACATGGATGAACTGCCTGGCTTTATTGTCTCTGCTGAACAATGATGGAGTGACTGGACTGAGAGAGTGAGAGGGGGAGAGGAGGGGGAAGGGGGGGATGATGATGTTGTTCGAGAAAGAGAAAGGAGGGGGGAGGGTCAAGAAAACAAAAGTGAGAAGGGTGGGGAGGCCTGCGGGGACTGAGGAGGAGGAGGAGGAGGAGGAGGAGAGGGAGGAAAGTGAGAGCAGAAAAGGACGTCTGGTTTCTGTTTGTATGCGTCTGATATTTTTAATCTCTCTCTTTTACCTTCTTATGTAACAACCTGATGTTAAAGTGGAATTAGGGAGAGGAACAGGAGGGGGCGGGTCAAGATACTGGTTGATATCATCTTCCTTTTGACTTTTTTTCAAATTAAAACAACAAACATGAGGAGTAAGAGAGACTATTAAAACTATAACAGTTTTTACTAAGGCTGTCGTGATACTAGATTTTTACCTCAAAATTATCACGGGCATTTTATCTTCTAGTGATGAAACTTAAATAAAGGAAACAATCAAAGTGAGAAAAGGGACAAACAATTATGCAGCTATAGGTGAAAAGAGGAGAGCAGGAGGAGAAGCAGCAGGAGGAAAGAGAAGAGAGGAGAGCAAGAGGAGGAGCAGGAGGAGAAAAAAGGAGAGCAGGGAGAGGAGGAGGAAGACAGAGGAGAGCAGGAGGAGGAGAGAGGAGAGAAGGGAGAGGAGCAGGAGGAGTAAGAGAGGAGAGCAGGGAGAGAAGCAAGAGGAGTGAGAGAGGAGCAGGAGTAGAAGAGAGGAGAGCAGGGAGAGGCCAAGTGAGGAGAGCAATAAGAGGAGCAGGAGGAGTTACGAGAGCAGGGAGGAGAGGAGGAGGACAGAGGAGAGCAGGAGGAGGAGAGAGGAAAGCAGGGAGGGAGCAGGAGGAGGAAAGAGGAGAGCAGACATGCAGAAGGAGTGAGAAAGGAGCAGGAGGAGCAGAGCAGGGAGAGGAGCAGGAGATAGGAGAGAAGGAGGAGTGAGAGAGGAGCAAAAGTAGGAGAGCACGAGGAAAAAAGAGGAGCGCAGGGAAACGAGCAGGAGGAGTGAGAGGGGAGAGCAGGGAGAGGAGGAGTGAGGAAGGAGCAGGAGGAGGAGAGCAGGGAGAGGAGCAGGAGGAGTGAGAAAGGAGAAGGTGGAGGAGTGAGAGGGGAGAGCAGGGAGAGGAGCAGGAGAAGTGAGGAGTGTTAGTGTGTCTGAAAAGCCAAGGGACAGAGTGAGATTGATGAACAGGAGAGTGACATGAAGATCAAGTGTTTCCCTGAAGCTTCATTTCACATGATTCAAAACCAAAACCACACTGGAGTCCAGCTTCTTACTGTTAGGACACACACACGTGCAGACGCTCTCTGTTTGCTGCTCCACAGCCCGCTGACTGTCAGAGATTCATGACGGCTCGTTCATTACAGACTGACAGGTAACTGATCTGAGGTCAGGAGGTGACAAGCCGTGACAGATCACCTTAATGAGGTGATTCACTACACAGACACAGAGACACAGCAGACAGCACGGGACGCTGCAGAAGACACCAGCCTGATCAGACAGGAAACCACCTCAGTATCTACAGAAATATCTCCTAAATGAATTCAGGAACATCACTGCAGTCTGAACATTTGGTAACAGTTGCAGCAACAATTGATCATAACAACTTTACTAACAAATTTTAAGTAAATTAATAATGAGATTTTTGTAATTAGAAGTTAACTTTTTGAGCCTGACTTGCCTAAAAAAACTATGTTATATTGTGCAGACCTTCAGGATCTTTTAGCTCGTCATAAAATAAACTCCCTCAGTTCACTGTGAGATCAAGTCCAGAGCTGTAAACATAAAACACACAGATAAGAAAGAATGATAAATGTTGTGAGCTGCAGACCGGCCGTTGCTTCTCCTGCCTTGATAATTTTAAAGTTGGTTAGTTATTGAACTCCTGAACTCAAAGAAACTCCTTCTTCATGCTCAAAGCTTAATTTACTTTACCAGAGTCTTTTTTTTTCTTTGAATCCTGTTAAAATATTCTTTCAAACTTGTTCTAAAAGAAGCTAAAAGAGGGTCTGCAGACGAGAAACTTTAATCCCTCTCTTACATTGTAATCCTGGAGGATTATGACACACTGTCTCACCTCCTTCATATAATCTCTTTTATGAGAGCACAAGGCAAAGTGAGAATAAAACTGCTAAGTGAAGCTTTTTTTCTGCACTGTGTGTAACCCCGACAATCCTGTCTGCTGCACAAACACTCAGGCAGCAAATTAAGAGCAGCACAACACTGAGGGTCGATGTGAGGTCGTAGACAGTCGTGAATATACGCTGAACCACTCCCTCGCTGACTAATAGACTTCAGTTTGTTTCACTGTTTTCAGACAGGAAGTGAATTACAATCCTTTTACTTGATGTGAGCAAAAAATTTTTAACCCAATTTTAAAGGATCTTCCAGTAATATTCAGCATCACTTTGTCTTTTTCCAGGAACTGGACACATTTCTGCAGGATCAGCTGTAGTTTTCGGTGAATCCGTAGCAGGGTTGTGACAAACAACCCTTCATTTGCCTGTCTTGATCTTTTTTTTTCTCTCCCTCCAATCTAAGTTTTGTCTTCTTTTATCTCCAACCTTATTTTAGCTTTGAATGTAACTTTTAATTTGTTAAATGTCTTTAACGCTGTTTTTACTTTTCAAATTGTGTTGAATGTTTTGCCTGCTTGTTTCATGTAAAGCACCTTGAATTGCCCTGATGCTGAAATGTGCTATACAAATAAACTTGACTTGACTTGGCTTGACAACTGGTGGTGTTTCTGGAGTGTCAGGAGTTTTGGTCAGTGGTCCTGAGTGTTTCACAGTCTGATTTCCCACATGGCGGCTGTCAGCAGACGGCTGTGTTTTTGAAGAAAGACGGAAACTGCATCCATGAAAACTGCTTTCTAAAACTCTCCAACATGCAAACTTTCCCTCAGTCAGTGTGTTTACATGCACAGCTTAATCGGACTAAGCTCATAGTTCTTTTTTTTTTTTTTTTGCCAAATCAGACTTCTTTCCTTGTCTGCACATACACGAAGCTGAGAAAATCGAATTTTTAACGTGAACATGTCCTCCTCCCCGAAAATCGAATTCAAATCGCATTATCTGAGTGTCTTAATCAGAGTTCTCCGACTCCGATTATAGTTGGACTATGGTGTTTACATGCACTTCAGTTGTTTGGTCTTAATCAGTTTTCTTGAGTGTCATGTAAACGTACTGAGTGTGAAACCTCATCAAACAGACTGTTTCTAGAAGGACCCCAAACCACCATGCATCTTTTTCTGTTAGGATATAACTTTTCAACTTACTGACAAACCGTCATGTAATTATGCTGCGAACCTTTTCTGACTTGCAGTCGAAAAATAATGAATTAAAGATTGTTACTCTGGAGAGTACAGAACCAGAGCTGTCAGTACGCCGTTGTTTCTTTCTAACAGCTGTAGGTACCGAGAATAAAACCCAGGGGCCTTTACCACACATCATTTCCCATCTCTAAGCCCCCAAATTACCAGACTCCCTCTCGTCTGCACAGAAATAACCCCGAAATAATCTGAAGAAAAGCAATAAACAAAACAACACTCCCCTGTTTGGGGCTGTAAATAAGTGGTGCGTCTTCTCAGGGATCCACACTAACAGCCTCTCTGCCGCTGTGATCTGTGCAGCATACTGTGCTACAAATTTGGATCCCAAGGCATGTGGCCTACATGCTGTTTGTATTTGCTTCAAAATGAACACTGTAAGGGGTTGCCATGACAAAGATGTAATCACAATTGAGGCAGTTTGAGCAGCATTGACATGACGGAGACAAAGACAGGCGAGCAGATGAGTCATAAGAAGGAAGACTGGAGGATTTATGGTGGATTTTACTTTGACAAACGGACAATGAAATAATGTCTTTATGCTATTTCAAGGCGGTTTATCCCACTCATTTCCTTGTTGAGGATAAGTGGCATTATCAGGCTCAATTTGAATGACAATAAGAAGTCATCTAAAGGCAAGTAGCATTGATTTGTTCAACTTACATGGTATTTTTTACACGCTGACAAAGAGTTACTCAGCACATTACCACAGAATCGCGACAGCCTAATGGTGAGCTCTACATGACACAATAATGCAGCACAAGCTGACACCATAGCATCATTTAACATCGACTTTAATGTTTTGAAACAGGTTGCGAAATCTGGTGTCAAAAATCAAAGCTGCAGTACCTTGAGTGTCCACTAGAGGCTGGCTGCAAAAGCCAAGTGGATCCCCATTAACACCCATGAAGTAGGGCTGGGCGATATGGCCTCAAATCAGTATCACGATTTATTGAGCAGTTCACCTCAATAACTACTCCACAAGCTGCCCACGCCCTCCCACATTAACTTTGTCTACTTCAGCCGCCGCTCCAACTTTCAAACCATCCTCCATCTCCTCACCTGTCTTTCCTTCTTTGTTACGGACTGGATGGGGTGGAGTCACATCTCTGACATAGGACAGTGTCTTAAAGGGACATGAGACCATAGCCTACCTACACACATCCAAAACCAACTTTTATTCATTTATGTTTTGGCACGGAATATACAGACATGGGCAAAATGACAACAAATTTCGGTATTGGTACATTTTAGGTTTATCGCCCAGCTCTACCATGAAGAACTGTTTTTTTTTTTACAGCAAAGTTTCAAAAGTTGGCTTAATTAGTTATTCATGCTCACTTCAGGGGTTGTACCTAAATTTGCACAACTAGGGGAATGGGTAAGATAACTGTCAGAGGAGTAAAATGTAGCTGTTTTTCACCATTTTTCTTTTTTTACATGCATGAAGACATTTAACTCAGAAATTAAGTTTGATGTCAACTATTTTAAGCCAAATGACCAAAGTCCACAACAGACAAGAAGCAACTTGAATACACGTCTACATTGTCAGTGAACATTAAATGTCATTTGCTGCAATGAGATCCATCTAACGGTAGAAAATTCTAGAGTAATGTATCAAGTTCCTGTCACCTCCTCAGACATCAGATAATCCTGCACCGTGAGGAAAATCTTTGAAAACAGAGAGAAAGGACGGTGGAGCGGAGGATGTGAAGTTGCTGATGCAGACAGAAGTTAACTGAGTGATGCGTTCAGTGTAAATCAGCCATCAAACGACATCAAACCCTCATGCAGAAAAATCTCTGTCTTTGCCCTGCAGTTAAAAGTGAGTCAGCTGCTCTTAAACGCTTACTGGTTTTCTGCTTCAGAGGCAGACCTGCTCAGACTGAAGTGACTCACTGAAGCAGTTAAACAATATTTAGACCTCAGTGTGTGTTGGTGTGTGACGAATGACTACGGTTCAGCATTACTTCACTCATATACACTCACCGGCCACTTTTTTAGGTACACCATGCTAGTAACGGGTTGGACCCCCTTTTACCTTCAGAACTGCCTCAATTCTTCGTGGCATAGATTCAACAAGGTGCTGGAAGCATTCCTCAGAGAGCTTGGTCCATATTGACATGATGGCATCACACAGTTGCCGCAGATTTGTCGGCTGCACATCCATGATGCAAATCTCCCGTTCCACCACATCCCAAAGATGCTCTATTGGATTGAGATCTGGTGACTGTGGAGGCCATTTGAGTACAGTGAACTCATTGTCATGTTCAAGAAACCAGTCTGAGATGATTCCAGCTTTATGACATGGCGCATTATCCTGCTGAAAGTAGCCATCAGAAGTTGGGTACATTGTGGTCATAAAGGGATGGACATGGTCAGCAACAATACTCAGGTAGGCTGTGGCGTTGCAACGATGCTCAATTGGTACCAAGGGGCCAAAAGAGTGCCAAGAAAATATTCCCCACACCATGACACCACCACCACCAGCCTGAACCGTTGATACAAGGCAGGATGGATCCATGCTTTCATGTTGTTGACGCCAAATTCTGACCCTACCATCTGAATGTCGCAGCAGAAATCGAGACTCATCAGACCAGGCAACGTTTTTCCAATCTTCTATTGTCCAATTTCGATGAGCTTGTGCAAATTGTAGCCTCAGTTTCCTGTTCTTAGCTGAAAGGAGTGGCACCCGGTGTGGTCTTCTGCTGCTGTAGCCCATCTGCCTCAAAGTTCGACGCACTGTGCGTTCAGAGATGCTCTTCTGCCTACCTTGGTTGTAACGGGTGGTTATTTGAGTCACTGTTGCCTTTCTATCAGCTCGAACCAGTCTGGCCATTCTCCTCTGACCTCTGGCATCAACAAGGCATTTCCGCCCACAGAACTGCCGCTCACTGGATATTTTTTCTTTTTCGGACCATTCTCTGTAAACCCTAGAGATGGTTGTGCGTGAAAATCCCAGTAGATCAGCAGTTTCTGAAATACTCAGACCAGCCCTTCTGGCACCAACAACCATGCCACGTTCAAAGTCACTCAAATCACCTTTCTTCCCCATACTGATGCTCGGTTTGAACTGCAGGAGATTGTCTTGACCATGTCTACATGCCTAAATGTACTAAGTTGCCGCCATGTGATTGGCTGATTAGAAATTAAGTGTTAACAAGCAGTTGGACAGGTGTACCTAATAAAGTGGCCGGTGAGTGTACAGTACAGAGGGCTGAACAGTAGCTTATTGCTGATGTAAAGTTTTCTAATGTACATACCAGTTTTCTTATTATAGGGTCCATACTGATGATTATTATTACTGAGATGGGGGGGGGGGAAGCGACCAATAGTTTATTTGACTGCAGAATGAATAATGTGCTCTGTGGATTTCTAACCCTGTTAGGCTGATATAGTTTCTCTCTCTCATGCATCAATGTAGGACATGATGTTCTGTCAGCCCATTACATCCTGGTATGGACATTTTCAGGTAAATATCTGACAAGCTAAACAGCATACAGAGCAAGTTCTGAGAAGACAAAATCAAATTCTCCAATAAAAAAGGAAAACTTGATGTGGGCTTTTTCCAGAGGTGGATTAAATGACACATTCGGGTCTGTAAACAGATTATTGGGTACTTTATTGACCCTAATATTGGGCGTCTGTTGGACATCAAACCAAATTCCTGTGGGCTGGGTTGACACCAAAACCCAACGTCTGTTTGATAGCAAAACGAATATTAAGTGGCCAGTAAAATCCAATGTCAGTTTGAAGTCAGGACCCAAACTGGGGATGCCATCCAAACCTAATGTCTGCTTTGCATCTGCGCAATACCAAAACACAATATCTGTCTGACAACAAAACCAATTATCACGTTCATGTCAAAACTCAACATAGGGCAGACATTATTGGCTTGATGGGAGAAACAAAGACAGAAACTAAAACCCAGTTTAATATCAAATGTCTGAAATGATAACCCAAAGTTAGGTACAGAACCCAGGGTCTGGTTCTTGTGAAATCCAATATTTGCTAGGTGTTCAAACTGAACAATTGGTTGATATAAAAGCCCATATATTCTGGCTGACTTCATAACCTGACACCTGGTAGATGCAAAGAAAAGGTTCAGCAGATTTCCAAACCCAAAGCCTGAAAACAAAACTTCTGCTCGTTGTTCAACCCAGTAGGATGAACTGCAAAACCCATTTTCTGTTTGACACCAACGCCTGACATCTTGTTGACATTTATACCCAATGTTGGTTGACGTTGTTGGGTAAACTTCAGAAAAATTCAGGATGTTGTTAAAATAAATAAACCAACTCAGGGGTTCATCATGAAAACCCTCATTACCCAGAGTAACAAACTGTTGTTTTTTCCTCAACACCATGGTGTTCATCCCCACAGAAGTGAACAATATCTTCTGTTTATAACTGGTTTCGTTTTTTTGGATTCATTTGTTGTTATTCAGGAAAACAGGGATCATTACCACCCTCATAAATTTCTACATGTTCGCATCAGGAGAAAAACCTGTGAAAATTTATCACTGCATTCGTAATAATCTCAGTAATGTGTTTAACGCATTTTATTTGTTGAATAAAATCCAATCATGTCATTACGCTTCCTCCTTATATTTCCCACCCTCGATGCAGAGCTGTTGCATGAATGACTCAGGGCACAGCAAATAGCTCCCATCAATAATTCAGCCTCTAATCTGTGTCTGGAGACCCGCCACTGATGTCTTATATATGGACGCGTCACAGTGATGCACTCGCTCAGAGTTGTTCTAAAGTTATTCCCTCAGTTTGTAAAGAGAAGACTTTTTTTTAAATTCTGCTTGCCAACAAACCACCTTAACTTTGTGCTGACACTGCAGAAAATGAACGCTCACAGGATGGGAGGAAGGCGGAGGACTGTCAAAAGCTTTCAGCATCCTGCCAATGGGGGAATATTTTATTTATATATTACATATTGTTGAGGAGCTATTCTTAAATCTCACCATTATTTCTATGGTGTGACTCAGGCATTCATTTTATATGTTCAGATTACCTTGCAAAATTTTACAGTTGTGTGGGTTTATCTTCTTTTTCCATCAGTTTTATTCTTATAATTATAATTCAATAAGTTTTTGTTTAACTGTGCATATGGGATTTAATTAAAGGTCCACAGTCCCCTGTGGTTGTTCTTTTGTATTTCATTCTGTCCTATTTGATTTTATTCTGTCCAACTTATTCTGCTTCGTTCTGTTCCATGTTGATCAACTCTTTCAATTCTATCCTGTTCTACTTAATTTGACTTATTCTATTCAATGTAAAGTATTCTATTTTTATTCTATTCCACTATTTCTATTCTGTTCTACTCAATTTTATGCTACTTTATATTACTGTTTTCTATTCCATTCTATTTACCGTTTCTATTCAATTCCATTCCATTCCGTTCTACACTATATTGCTGTTTTTTGTTCTATTGTATTCCACTATTTCTATTCAGTTCTATTTCATTCTATTCTACTTTATGTAACTGTTGTCAGTTCTATTCAACTTTTTTATTCTACTCTATTTTAATCTTTCTGTTCTACTCTATTCCACTTTACTTTACTTATGCTGCGTTCAGTGACCTCGGAAGTCGGATGTCAGAGCTGGGAATGACATTATACCCGAGTTGACGGCATTCCAGTTAATAAGTCGGAAAACCAAGATGGACGCCTACATTAGCCGTTGTTAGCTGTTGTTTACGATTGTCAGCTGTCATTAGCCGTTGTCAGTTGTTGTTAGCTATGCCAGTTGTAGACAATGCGTAACACAGTACTTTACTCCTACAAACACCATAGCACTGTGTTCACAGTTAGACGTTGGGCAGCACAACATAAAACACTTATTTAATTTCACAAAAAAACAAAACAGAAGTGCGAATAAATAATACATTATGAGAGCTTTTACTGTTACTCATTACTGTTGATGCACTGCGCTGCCATCTTGGATTGTTGGGGTGGCAAGGATCGTCCGACTTTCCAAGTCAGAAATCTGACTTCAGGGGAACGTTCCAGATGAATTTCCAACTCGGAGCTCGGAAATTCTGACTTCTGAGTACAACTGGAACGCAGCACTAATGTAGTTTTTTTTTATTCTATTCTATTCACCCTTTTCTTACAATTCTACTGAGTTGTACTTTACTCTATACAACTTATTTTATTCCATTCTATATAGTGAGTCGTTCCACCCTCCCCTGTGTTGAGAAAGATTCTAGTAAGCATAAAAAACCAAGTCATTACACATGATCTCTTCAATACTGAATTTGAACAGTAAAATCTTATTAGTTTCAACTTTATCTATTGCTCTCAGGAGTCAGGTTTATCTCATCTTAATTTGTCCCTCTGAAGCTCAAATTCAGGATGTGTATTCTGTCTTTAAGTCAAGGACAGCCTCTTTGACAGTTGGGCATCAATCACAAAGAAATCAGATAATCGGAGTCTACGGTGCTGCCTCTTACTCAACACTTTACTCTGACAAACACTTCCTGTTAGAGCTCATTTTGACTAATGAAGCCCAACACAAATTGGCAGATGATTCACAAGAGTGTTGAGAAAGCAATAAGAGCTCCCCCTCCACACACACACACACACACACACACGCACACACACACACACACACACACACACACACACACACACACACACACACACACACACACACACACACACACACACACACACACACAGTAGAAAGATGTTTCCTTCTGGGTTTGGCCGCCAACCAGAGGACAGCTGTTCTCCCCTCAATCTTTTCTCTCGTTGTTTATTTGTGAAATGACGCTGAAGGTGTCCTCATGACTTAGATCTTTAATACGTGTCTTCTGTGTAAAAACCTTCAGATCTTAGTCCAGGGAGTGATGCCTAATTCATATCCTTCCTTTGAATTCCATCTTCCACAGGAATAAACAAGAACACCAACTCTCCTTACAAAGAAAACCAAAAAGACAGCCACTGAGAATCTCTTTTTGTGCACCATCTACCTGCCCAACGAGCCTTGACGAACCACCCAGCGGTGTGAAATCAGACTGGAAATGTCATTATTCCTTTTCATTGCTCTTTAAATAAGCTCACAGCTTCAACACGGTGCTCGATTTGTTCTTAAGTGGAGCATTTTGACGGCTGCAGAGAGGCTGAGAGAGGCGCTAAAGGTTTACTCTGCACATGTCAGAAGATAAGAGAGTCATTTAGAGTCAATTTAGGACAAAGTTTTGACTCCTTTTCTTCGGCTTTTACAAGAAAAAGGAATTTATTAGAGGGGAAGATTGCAGGCTTGTACTGTCGATGATAAATTTGTCATGGTGTTATTAAAAAGCAGCAAAAAACAAATTTCAAAATAGATTAAGAAGCATTTTCTTGGTTTTTTTTAAAGTCAGATATTGGCTCTGTAAGATCAGAAAACATGAGGCAAAATCTCAAAGTGTTTTTCTGAGTCATCAGCCGATGACAACAGCGAGAGAAGCTGACATCCTGTTGTTGTTTTTTCACATTTCAGAAGAAACAAGAATTTCATACAACTAACAAAGGTAAAGCAAAACTGCAGAATTTAAAGGAACATTTTATCAAGTATTGGAAAAGTCATTATATGTGTGACGATTATGGCAAAAACCATCATTAGGATTATTTTGATTGATACTTTAGTCAGAATCATTAAAACGATTACTCATGATTGGACGTTTTCAACTTTAAAACCTTTTTTTAAACTTATATGGACTTAAGTATAGTTCATTAATGCTTTTTCACACCCAGGATCACTGCAGCTTCTCTTTTACGTCATGTTCATTCGGTCCCTTGGCTTTTCAGGCACACATGGGTACTGTTTGTCCAGCTCTACTATAGGGGGGCAGAGCAAAATCATAGCCCTGGAAAATGCTGTATCATCACATCAATTAAGCATGGCTGTTGTTGCTTATATGTGATGCGCATGTGCCCAGTTTGTTTACGTCTAATCAGTACTGTTCCTTGTCATCGTACCCCAGCTGGGGGCAAATTAATACATCAAGCTCGATAGTTTTTAATTTGCCACTTGGCACACAGTGGGGTGTGCAATCACTGATTACTCAGGAAGCAAAGTGCTTGATACATTTGCATACAGTGTTCTTCTGTGGTGTTTGACATGTTATACTGACACTCAATATCACCCCCTACTGACGTGGCATGCTGATGTGACCATTTTCAACCATTTTTCTATTATTATGTAGACTAAGAAGTATTCAGAAAACACCTCTCATGTTGAGAAAATATGTAAATCTGTGAGCCTAGCCTCAGACAGCAGAAGCACATCAGTTTACAACAGACAAGCCATAAGTAACCATTATACATGAAGACATTAACAGCATCCAACGCATGCACACAAACAACTCAAAACTCAAGACATTCAAGTCAATACCAACAATCCGGCTGATCTCTGAGTAGCTGTAACAGGAAATGTTTCAGAGCGTCTTACCTGCAGCCCCTCGATGGCCAACCGCAGCATGCTGGGAGTCAGTTTGGACGCCTGCTTGAAGGTGAAGTTACTCCAGTCAATAATGAGGATGAAGCCGTTGACCTGCAGCTCAGGGTCTTCAATCATGGACTCCAGTGAAAGCAGGATCGCCCGCAGGATGTCCACAAATGTGTATCTAAGCAAAAGTATAATTGAGAATTTAAAAAAAAGTCTTACTTAGAGCCAGAAGTGACTGGGAGATTGCTCAGTGGTAATCAGGAAGCTGGGAAATTAAGCCACAACCTGAGCACAAAAAACTGTAGTTCCTTAGATGACCACTAGAGGCTGGCACCAACAGTGAGTCGATTCCTACTTATCCCTATGTAAAAATTACACGTCAGAAAAATTTCACTTTTTTGAAGTGTAACATAACTGTTTTATTCACATGTACACTTTAAGTTTTCTATTTTTCGAGGCATTGCTTGATGTGATTGGTGCAAATAGGTGTGACTTCAACTGTTGTAGTCACTGAAATGGACCTCTGAGGTTTGAGACAGTCTAGGTAAAGCCTGGTTATTGGTCTTTCTTGGCTGAGAGTAAAGGCTGACATTCAGTATTTGGCCAATTATCTGTTTTTTGTATTACAGGTGGCTATATGGGTTACTAATTAAAACCTTAAAATCAGGTAGCTGAGTATGAATTTCATTTTACTCTATTATTTATTAGTGTAATTCAGCTGATGTTATATTTTCTTGAAGTGAATATGAGGGTTTATTTATCACCACTTTTGTTTTCAGTTTAATGTTCTGGGTTTTTTTTTTTTCCGTAACTGAGGATATTGTTTGACTTGCAGGAGACCTTTTAAAATTTTTGTTAATACTCGCTTTGTCTCTAAGTTTATGGAAATGGACAAAATATTTAAAAAAATTACTTTTGAAAAGCAATAATTAATTAATAAGATCTACAAAATTATTCATAAATAATTGGGCTGTTATCACTCATTACGTGGCAAAATAAGTGTTTCCTTCCCTCAAATACCTAACCAACCTCCAAAAATACCTGTTATCCCTCAGGCTACAAAATAATAAGCAACTACATGATGTTATCCTCATTTTCCTCATTTTTTCAGGCAATTGTGTAGGAACACATCTCCTGAAACAGCTCCTCAGTGCAGCGTTTGTTGCTTCTTCTCTTCAGTATATAATTAAAAATTAAACATATCTGGAGTTTGGACAACTGATAAACAAAATAAATCTTTAGGCAAACACAATCTTAACATTTGGTGTTTGTGTGTAGGCCGGACACCTACTCACTCATAGAAGATAAAGGCATTTAAACTTACATGATGGATTGTGACACCTGTAGCCGATGGTCTTGTCTGCTTTGATAGGTGCAGAAGAATCATTATCATGAATTTTAATGTGTTTCATGGCCAGTTTACAGTAGCTTTAAGTTGTTTGGTTGCATCACAGAGATTTATGGTTGACCTGTTTGCTTGTGGTGGCCTTCCGTTGGTTTTTAACACTTTATAATTAATTTGTTTTATTTATTAAAACTATTGTGAATTCTACCATATTGTGTAGTGTAGCATTGTATCCTATTGTACTGAATCATACCGTTTTGCATCACATCTTATCAAATAATTTCTCAAAAAATTTTGTCACATCGAATCTTGATTTATTAACTCATATCTTATCATATTTCATAGTAGCAGATCATATCTTATCATGTAGAATTGTATCATATTATATCATATTGTATCACATTGCACTGTATCTCTCTATACTGTACTGTCATATCTTGCTGTATTGTAACATAGTCTTTAAAATCCAACAGCATGTAACTGTATTTTTCTTATTATATTGATTTGTATTTTATTGTATTGCATCATATCATATCACATTTTACATCATATTAAATTGAATCAAATCAAAAAAGTTATATTTTAAAGTGTGTAATTTCATGGTGTCTTAATGTGTCATATCATATTGTACCATATCTCATTGTATTGTTTCCTACTGTATTGTCTCACATCGCATGTTATTATAAATTATTGTATGTTATTGTATGTTATTGTATGTGCTCGTATTGTCTTGTGTTTTATGAAAAGACCTCACACTTCCTCAGAGCAGTGTGCAAGATTGAAGATGTAACCTATGCTGAAGTTGGACATATCTCTGCTGGAGTAGCTCCTAAGACTTTACCTGTGCACAAACTCAGTCGTTAGCCTTTTTATTCAAGCTAGGCTACGTTTGAACTTACATTAGGTACGTAAAGAACAGAAGCTGCAATAGAAAAACTTCTAAAAGTATGATTACAAGAGCAGGATCAACACGTTTTTGTTAAAGTGTTAGAAGAAAACTAAAATGCTTCAGCTGGAAGTGAGCCTTTTCAAATTCCTCTTCTGTAACCATGTGCCTGCTGGTGCTGCTGGTTTTTGGCCTTGGTGGTTTTCCTTCAGCTCTGATGAAGCTCTGGATACTTCACTGTCCCATTAAACAGTCCAGTGTTTTTCTGATTTGTGTTGCCCTTGTTATCGTTTTCCCTCTTCAAGTCCCTCTGATGCTTTATCAAGAAACCTTTCTCCTCCCTGAAGAGACGATGAGTACTCTTTCTTAGTTTGCTTAATTGGCAGCTGAACAGTCACAGCCTCAAACAAGAGGAATCACACAGCGACTTTATGGCAGCTGCTTTATATCTCACTCACTTTAGAGTTTCTGCTGCTGCTTACAAAAGATGGATAATAGCAGCACGTTACATAACCGACTGGTTTTCATGGATTGATTATTGAGTAAGGAATAATCAGTCGTTAAATCTACTGACTTAGTGACTTGCTCATCCCTTTAACTGGTGAAGCTTCAAAAGGACAAATGAAAGGCTGAACAAAAGTTACAGAGTTTTCATTGTTGAACGCACACCTAGTTAGCAACATGCTAACACTTTTGTCAATTGTTTTGTAATAATTGTAGCGGTTAACTGGGAGATGGGAAGTAAGAGCAGAGGGGGGCATGTCGCCACCTACTGTAGCGGTGGTAAACATGCTTCTGTCATGTCTTTGCATGTAAATGTGCTAACTGTCATTCACAGAAAAATTCAGTTGACGGTGTGATTTTCTCAATTTCAAACAAACAATTTTGCTTTGTTGAAGGTTTACAGGGAATGTTCTTAAGCATCAAATTTCCACATTGTACTTTGAATTTGCAAAATGGCTGCACAATAAGACCAATTTACATAAAGATCACCTTTCCTCACAGACATACTCTGAACCTTATACCATCAAAAAAGAGGTACTTTTTGTTTTTTGTTTGGTGAAAATGTGAATGTTGCCAAAAGACAGTGTGTGCCAAGCCTTAAGAAAATCTGCAGTTTCACAAAGAAATGCCGCTGTTCTGATTGTCCACTGAGTTTTATCCCTGCCATCCTCTCTGTATACTTTTTAAAAATGACATTTTGTATTTCTGGATTTTTTTCCTTTTCTGCTCTTCTTCTTCACTTCTGATTTAATATCAGGAAAATTTCTGCTTGATTTTAAAATGGTGTTTATGTTGCTTAAACCTGTGACTTTAGCCTGTGTGATTCAAACTAACTTGCCTCTACCATGTTAGTTTCAGTAGAAACTAACATGTGACTTGCAGCCCTGACCTCAAGCCCATTAATCAGTTTTGGGATCAAATGAACCACCCACTGTGAGCCAGACCTCTTCGACCAACAGTGGCTGAATGGGAACAATTCCCTCCAGCTACGTAATAACATCTGGTGGAGAAACTACAACCAGAAGTCTGGGGGCTGCTGGGATGATATTTTGGGGTGTACATAGACTTTTGGTCAGAAAGTGTTGACTCCTACAGCTGAAACATGATCACGTTTACAGGAGTCTTCTTTCAAGCTGTGTGGTGCTGATTGGACAGCTCCCTAAACCAAACTCCATGTTATTTTCATGTGTTTAAATCTCTCCTGTGATTGTTATGTGTCCTGTTTCTTTGAATTTGTCTGATTGATAACAAAACAGACTCCACACACCTTTAAGACCCTGTCACAGCCCCTTTTTTTACCTGCTCTGGTCCCAGTTTGCTGCAAACAACACCAGTATCTTCCTGCCGTATCTGTCCAGATTGGAGAGCACGCCTGGGAACCCATCCTTCAGGGCCTGTTTGATCCCTGGGTCTGTTGCCTTCAGGTTCTTGAACATGTCCAGGTTCTGCTGTCGGTACTCAAAGTACTGAGCCAGCAGCCGAAACGCCTCGAAGTGGTTAAACTTCCTCGCCCTGAGGAATCTGAGGATGAAGGCGTCGTCTGTCCTGAGGAACCCAATGTCCGGCCGGGTGATGATCATGTCCCGGACTTCCTGGATGTCCTGGTGTAAAGTCTCTGGGTTTTCTTTCAGCTCCACCTTGGCCTTCTCCAGGGTCTCTGGAGAGAGGCCAGCTTGCAAGTGAGTCATCTTTTGCAACAGCTGTCCCTCCACGGGGGACCACAGCAGAGAAACAACACGATCAATAGTTAGCTCCAGCAACAGGGTGAAGAATATTCTCTGCTGTTCTCTCTGCCCTGATCAGAAGCTGGATTCAGATGGAGGCCTGCTGCTCTGTAATCCACCCTGAACTGGCACAGACGCTGCTGATGCTGATGCTCCTGTGATGCACTATCATCATATGTGCGCTGATCACTTTTACGCACGGGGGACAAAACAATTCCACCTTCAAGGATTCAACTTCACTGTGATTTTTACCCCCGTGTATGTCATGCCTCGGTTCCCCCAGCTTCAGGCGGCACATCCAACCTGCTGATCCGGGCGGCCTGAGCTCAAACAGCCGCTGACTCCCTCCATGTCAGAGCCTCTCCTCTCTCTCTCTCTTTCTCTCTCTCTTTCTGTTTGTGGCACAATGACGACGACACCATCACCCGTCTCCCCGGCGTTGCTCGCGGCAGCCAACAATGCGGCACGAGCCTGCAGCACCTGCCTATATCATCACCAGCATTCCTCCGCCTTCCTCTCCATCCGCCGACCGACTGATGCTGCTGCTGCTGTTGCTGCTGGTGGCGCCGCCGCCGCGGAGCGCTCCGTCACCGTCAGAAGAGGCGGATTTTCTCGCTTGTTTCCGCGTCTACATCCCCCTCTCAAACACCACCTCTCCTCATCTTCATCATCCACAATTCAGCTGCGATTAGGAGCTAAAATCCGGTTTTAGAGAGCGTAAAAAGAGGGGGTATCCAGCATCACAGGTGTCCCGCGAGGTTTTGTTCCCCTCCTGCCACCGGCTTGAGGGTTTTTTTCTTTTTTTTTTTTTTGGAAAGGGGTGGGGTGGACTGAGAGGGTGGGGGGGATTACCGACTCTGCTCCTCCTGCTGCTGCTGCTGCCGCCGTCTGTTCGCTGAGAAAGTGACGGACAACAAGAGAGTCTGCGCCCCGGTCGGTGTATGGTCGCCACCGGCTGAGGGGGAAGCAGGGAGGGAAGAAAGAGGAGGGGGTGGTGGTGGGTGGATAGGACAGTGAGATAAAAAAAGGCAACAGATATGCAAAAGGATCGCCTCTTAGAAGTAAAGAAAGGAAAGATGTTCTCTTCTTTGTGAGAGACTGTGTGAGCAAATAGTTTAACAATTTGTGAATGTTGCTGAGCAAAGAAATTTCATCTTTTGTACAAAATGTCATCAAAAGACTCAGAAAATGAAAATGAAAATGAATGAAACCCAAAAACCACACTGTAAAAAGATAATTGAGAACACTTAAAATTTTAAGGCAACCTTTTGCATTAAGATTTTTTGATTTTGTCAACGATTTGCTAGGTCATTGTCATAAGTGACCTTTCATCTTTGTATCAATTACGTTTACGCTGTTCGGTGAATGGTCACTACTATTTATTTTTCGTTTTGCCAACATAAACATTTAGCAGCCCTAGCCGTCAGCTAGCAGTCACTTGCTAAAGTTAATGGCTTTCTCCGCAGCGAGTGAGCGTGGCAATGGCGTGCATCGTGAATGCGCCCCAGAGATAAAATTGCCTGCGCAGTTACATGTGCGATTAAACACGCGGCTCAGAAACACATCATGAGGGAACAGAAAGATAATTTTCCGGCAGATAAGCAATGTAGATAGACAAGCATTGTTAGCTAAACTGGAAAAGTAGCTAATTTACTTCAGTAAATTTGGTAAAGCAGAGCAACACCACATTCTCTATTAGTTAAGACACTTAATACAGTTCAGACAAGTTTATTTTCACACAAAATACTTAAACAACTTGGACTGAAGCTGGTCCACTCAAAAAAGTCCTCTTCTCCCTCTGCGCTGCTGGCCGTGACACACAATGAGGGAGAACTTGCCCTTGCGACAGAACGTGGTAAACCCCATAGGTCTTCGTCGGCAGACCTCATGGGTCAATGTCAGAACTGCATTATGGGAATTTTTCCTACTTTGTTGTGCAAACAACAAATTGCAAATTCTGCAAATTTAGAATCACATATTTGGTCTCTATTGAAGTGCACGTTGTTGGTCTGACATGTATTTTCTTGTTAAATAATAGCTATTTTAATTTTCATGTTCACCCAATTAATAATACAAACTTTGGTGATTAGATTGTCATTTTTTTAACAGTGCAGTACTGGATGGCTGTGATCCTGTGGCCCTGTGGCAAAAAATGCGTGACTCACAAATGCAGCTTAAATCTGAGTGGAAAGGGGAAATCATTCATCAATATGCAGAAATGCACCTCCAAAGGATAAGCAGGGACCAAGTGGAAAATTGTCTGAAGAATCACAAGTGACATTCCTTTTGGAAATCACGAACATTGTGTCCTCTGCTCAAAAGTCTGTTTTCTAGTTGGTGAATGGACGCTGGCTGAGGGGGAAGGAGGGAAGGAGGAGGAGTTAGACGGCAGGGAGGAGGGAGGTGGAGAGTGAAAAAAAGGCAGCAGATATAGATACAGGGGGGGACACTGGGAGGGACAAACAGGCAAAGAAAGTGAAAGTAGAGGGGAAGGGAAAGAAAAGAAAAGAAAAAAGAAAAGACAAAAAAAGGAAAAGAAAAAGGGAGATGCAAGAGAGGAGAGGGACTCCCAGGGGTGACGGGGGAGGGCTAAGAGAAAAAACATTAATGGATGGGGGTGGCGATATCAACCTTTTCATTCACATTTTTCTGACGTTTTCTCCACGAGGTTTCTTGTTTCTTAGCTCCATCATTAAGTGAACTGTACATTTTAACATTGTGCAAAACATTTTTATCTAATCTTTGCAAATTAATAATAATGCATCAGATGTTTATTGCGCTTTTTTAGCAGTGACCTCAAAGCGCTTTACATTGGATACATCATTCATCACACAGTCACACCTTGGTGGTAGTAAACTACCATAGTAGTCACAGCTGCCGGAAGGTAGACTGATGGGAACGCGGCTGCCAGTTCGCGCCTACGCTCCTCCGACCACCATCACACAACACTCACAATCATACACCAGGGGAGGACGCACACACTGGGAGCAAGTTGGGTTAAATGTCTTGCCCAAGGACACAACAGACAGACTAGGGGCAGGGGGGACTCACACCGCCAACCTTCCAGTTATTGGCCGACCGCCCTACCTCCTGAGCTACTGCCACCCTAAAGCTTTCACATATCTCACTGTCTTTCAAGTATGTGCAATAAAATGCAGTTTCTGTTGTATCCACTAGAGGCTGGTTCCAAAAAGGAGAAAAATTGTATGCTTACGTTTTTAGCTAATTTAACTATCTCATTACAGCTAATAATAAGCAACTGATTTTAACAGTATCTTGGGTTAGCGCCTTGAGATTCATACTCTGTGTTGTCTCTTTGTTTCCTCAGACAGGAAGATTGAAGGATGGATAATTAGAGAAAGACGTTTTCTGTCCACTGTCACCTCCATCAGATCATAACTCACACAGCTAACAGGCTAACTGTGCACAATGAGGATTCATCACAGAGCTGCTGACAGCTGGTCACATGAAGTGTCGCTGCATTATGAGATGAAACACAGGGGTGGGTGTATGAATGGGTGGATGTAAAAAAAGGGTGGGGGGTGGGGGTATGCTGGGAGGCGGCACCTGCTCAGTGGTGAGCAGACAGCTGCACTTAAACATGCTGAATTAATTTCTATTGTGTGTGTCCACTTATCTGAGCTGACTGTGTCCTTGCACAGAGCTGAGTGCTGACTTTACTGTGAGGACCAGACAGCTCAGTTACTGCTGCTGCCATCTAAACAGGACGTACACTCTTTACACGCTTTAAAAGACAAATCCACAAGGCTGCAGTGCAATTAGATAAAATCTGCACCCTGATTGTATACAGACTTTTTTTTCCTGCAAAAGAGTTTCTACAAATATGTTCAAAACCATCCCATTATCTGTGCTTTCCCTTCTAATCGATATCAGTCAGCTCCTATTTTTGATACTGAAGACTGATCTCCTAATAAATGCCTCTTGTCAAATGCCTCTTATAACATAATTAAAAAGAAAAAGGGCATAAAACTTTTACAAACTGACATAAACTGATTGTTTCTGCTCTTAGGAATATCTAAAGCCAGACAGGTGATGCAGCAAAAATCAGAAATCTGTGCATGGACCTGCTGTGCACATTTCCCAAAAATGGGAAAAAATGCTACTGTTAATGTTAAAGAAATTTCAGATTCACTCTTAATTTCTCTGATTTTGGAAAAGACAAAGACAAAAAGAGAAACAACAGGCTGCAGCAGTGAAAAACAAGAGAAAAACTGAACAGGTTCTGCCCTCCTGCATGTCACTGAGGTACTGTGGCGCCCTCTGTGGGCAATAAGGCATCATTACAACATCACAGTTTCAAAATACTTACATATGCTTAAAGTCGAGAAACTGATTTTATAGTTCACAGACAGATGTATGTTGTCTGAAGAGTGTGGCCAAAACTTCAAACAAGTTTTACAATATTTTTAAAACTCCCTCAAAACTCAAAACAGATGAATTTCTTTGGTCCATGCTTGCCTTTGCAGTACTTACTTTTATTTATTATTTTCTCTTATGTGGTTCAGTCTGCAAAACGGGAGGGTTTTCACTTCAAAATTAAAGCAAAACAAATCTTTGGGATTAAACTAGGCCACTACACTGATTCTGAAACTTTTGCTGTTTTCACTCATGCACAAAACTCCGAAAAACTTTCTGAACTTTTATGTGTGCTCATTTGTAAGTGCAAGTAGAAATAAGAATTTTACATGGACTGTTTTCTGCAAAAGAGCAAGAATATGTGAGCTGCAAAATAATCTGTTTTCAGAGAATAGCTGATTATTCTTATCTTGCATGAGCGGAGCTTCTTGTCCTCGTAGACCACCGTCATTCCCGGAGGTTTACCAATTGGAAGGATGAGCTAGGGAGTGGGTGGTCAGGAGACAGCTGGATATTTCTAAATTTTTGCATTTCTGCACACAGTACGTTTAAATTTTGATCCATAGTTTTGGTGTTCTTGCTATGGACCACCAGCTTTCAAATATACAGAGTCAAAGCAGCAAAATTCAGGACTCACAGCATTCAGTGGGCACCAATCCATAACTCAACACCATTGAGGCAGTGCTACAGGATCACCAGCAGGTGGCAGCATTGCTGTAGCTAATAAAGGTCCTTGAAACCTTCCTGCGTTATTCATCGCAGAATTATAATCTTATGATCACATTTAATACAGGTTTTACTTTTTTTTCTCACATTAAGATTAAATTTTTACCTTTTCAAACACATTCAAACAGGTGATAATGGGTTTATAGAAAATGTACATCTCTCGCTAATATCACAGTAAATATGTGTTTCTATAAGGATCCTGTAAACTTTTGAGTTTAGGGGTTATTTCTAGTCAATACTCATGTATGACTTTGCTGTTTCTATGTTAACTAGCCTGTAAAATGTTACTATATCAAAGAACAGGTAAAAAAAAGAAGACCATCTAAACGGTACCCTCCTGTGTTTTTCGAGAAAAGGAATTAAAAGCTAAAAGAAAAAATTAGACACGACTCCTCCTCTGAGCCCCCCTGATGCATTAGTGTCTCTGCTGGGGGTGGGACCACGGGGTCAGTACAGTGCTGATCAGGTGGAATAAAAGGGGCTGTAACCCCATAGTGATCAAAGTCAGTCGTCCACAGGCCACGCCCCTCGACCCCTCTCTGCCTGTACTGTGAGGGCAAACCTAGTGACCCTGCAAGCACAGCAGACGGGGTGAAGATGAGGGCGGGGGGGATGAATGGGGCGGTGGTCTGGATGATCCTGAGTGGATGGAGTGGAGAATGGACGGAGGACAGAAGAGAGAGATTAAGACTTTACAGATTAACCTGGATATCCTCAGGGAATGATGACTAGTCTTTGCAGTTTGAAAGGCCTGTGTAGAAAGGAAGGAATAAAGAGGTAAAAGTGAGGAAGCAAGGGATTTCAGGACAGGATAGACTGATACTGATCATGCCTGACACAGGAAAATCTAAAAGTTAGACTGCATTTTATTAGCCAGATCCAGTAGATGCAGCGAGTTCACTATGTTGTGCATCAAAGTAAACGACAGTCAAGGACATATCTGACATTTCATCGGCTCACCAACAAGAAAAATACTCAGCGTGCTTTATATAAAAAAATGTGTTTCCGCAGAACTTCAATTTAGAAACTTTAATCACAAATCTTTCAAACACCTGTCAGACACACAAACACATTCCTCTACATAATGACACTTTTTTCCCCCCCAATGGCTGCCATCTTTTGTGTCCATTCATAAATTCAGCAGCAGCACAATAATCAGAGCTTTGTGTCCTCGGACAAAAGCTTTACTCCAGTGGGAAATGTACAAGTCCCGTTTCTGGGTGAATGTTTTTAATTGGAAGAGGAGACTCAACCGTGCAGCCGCTACGTCAATGGCTGGCCTCTTTCCAGCTCACTCAGAGTGAATACACACACACACACACACACGAACTCACACACACTTAAAAACACTGGTGCAGATGCTAAACTGCGCTGACTTTCCTCGACAGCAGAGAGGGTTGTTAGTCAGTCATGCACCTTGAAGATTATGACTGTTTGACCTTTTGTGGTGACTGTTTTAGTTTGAGTCTGTGTCAAAAGGCACAAAATCAACTCTGACATGAACAGTCAGCCACATGGCTCAACACTGCCCCCTATTATTTCTGATGGTACTGCAATGACTGTAATATCACACACTGATGACTGCAACTCCTTACTTACGCCATAACAGACCTTCTGTCGGTTTGTTTACAAATATGCTGAACTAGTGTGCTCTTTGTTGTCATCGTAAATACTGGATTGCAATCTGGTACCAAGAGAAAATGCTTGAAACTGCGGCAGTCCAGACCAACAAGAAACTGTAAATCTTTTCATTTTGGACTCTGAGACTATTTTCAGCTCTGAAGAGATTGCCATTTTCCCCCTTTTTTGTCCTGCTCTCTTTCTAGCCTTAAATTAGCGTTTTTTTTTTTGGTGAATTCTGGTCCAACTTGGCACAGCCTCTATCAGACAGTGAAGTAATGAGCTCCCTGGATTCTGATTGGCTGTCAGGGGAACTGCATACGGTGGGCCCATACAAAGGAGTGGAGAGGCTTTAGAGCAAGACTCCAGTCTGAGAGTCTGTGCGTGCGCACAGAAACACACACACACACACACACACACACACACACACACACACACACACACACACACACACACACGGTCTGTGTGTGCTTGTTGCTGTCTCCACTCACTGATGAAGGAGTCCATTCATGCCCGCTGACAAATTACTACTGAAGCATGAGACTAAAGGGACCCCCCAGCCCTCCGTCTCCGTCTCTGCCTCCATTATCGACTCTGTGAGATTTGGGTGTGAGAGAATATCACACGGGGAGCTCACCAATGAAAGGAACTTTCTGTTTAGCGGCTCCTAAACAGTGTTTTACAGTATTTTTTTTACTTTAGGGAAGAGTAAGATTTATGAGAAACAACAACAAACTTTGTAAAAAAGAAAAAAAAAAAAAAAACGACTACTGCACAGTTTTTCTGATGTTTTACAGTCTATTTGAAATCTGATTAAAAGTCATTTGTGTTATCATTATCAGCAGAGTAAAACGTTTTACATCACAGTTATGGCATTTAATGCTTGTTTTAATGTTTAATTCTGTTGTCATGGGTGATTTTCTCCTAACTGTAAAGTACTCTGCTGTATTTCTTGTGAAGATGCTACATTATTGGGACTTCCGTATTCATTTTGCACCAAATCTCAGCCATAAATTCCTCAAGTTTTGCTTAATCTAGCATCAGACATCACTTTAGCTATTGTAGTGTATGTAGTAGTGTAAATAGTAGTGAATGTCAACATATTCTTTAAATAAAACCCTAAATATCCTCATTTCATGTAAATATAGCCCTAAATATCCATATTCAATGTAAATTTTACTCTAAATATTGAAGTTTTCTGTAAATGAAACCCTAAAAATGGACTTTCTTTCATAACAGCAACCTTCAAGTACATACTTTACCTACAATTTTGTCAATAGACTTCCAAAATGTGATTCTAAATGGCCACATTTTTGCTAAACTCAGAACTTCATTTCTAAAGTTTACGATAAATTAAGCTTTAAGATTTTTTCAAATTGAGCTTTAATTTGTCATCTATTTTTTCCTTAGTTTATGTGTAATCTACATTTCTCTAACTTTAGCTCTGGATTTCCAATAAATCTTGCTTTAAATGTCAATATTTATACCTGCTAGTGAATGTCAATTCTTTCCTCACATTAGTCTTTAATTGTCCATAGTCTTCCCTGAATTTAGTCTTAAATGTTGGTATCTGTTCTAAATTTAGTCCAAAATGTCCATACCTCCATTAATCCAGCTCCCAACGTCTATAATATCCTTAATTTTAACCCTGAATGTCGGTACTTTTCTGCAGAAATAGCTCTTCATGTCCGTTTTTCCTGCTAATGTATATACAGTATGTATACACATTTTTTTACTTTTTGTACCTTTAAATGAACAAAACTTTTTAAAATGGAGCTGATGATACACATAATTTTCTGTATTTAGCTTTAGACTTCACTTATACTTTTTAAACCAGAGTGATAAAAGTTGATGTTGAGGGTTTTGTTTTTATACTAACCCGCCTTACTTAATAATGAACAAAGAGGACGGATTGAACTCTTTCTTTACCCTGATAGATCTCTTAATGAGATCAGATTAGTGAGTGATGGTCACATATGATGAGGGTGAAGGGAGGACTCTTTATTAATATATGAGCGCAGCACTGAATTTCTATGATAGACTACCAGCAGCAAAGTCTAAAGAACCCGACATGAACCTGCAGCAGTATCCTGGAACTGCAGGGTAAGAGATTTCAGGGTAAGGGACGTAAACATGGAGGTAACTGAGCAACAAACCAGCACTAATCACAGCCAGACAACATGAGGACTGTTTTACACAAAAAGGATTAGCTGAGGTCCAGAAGGAGGAGGTCACCTTCGGTCGGAGCCCACTGCTGACCCTGCGCATGAGGTAAAGACACTCCTGGTGGGGTCAGCAGGAATGTAACAACCAAAAACCTTAAGTCCAGGTGTTAGAAACGTAAAGAGATACTCTTCTGATTCAGTATTCTTCTTCTTTCCCATCTTCTCCTACCACTTCACCCTCTTTTGCTCAACCCTTGTCTCCTACCTCTCCCACTTCTCTATCTTCCTCCACAGCAGTCATCATCTTGTGTTTATTATCACGCTATGGCAGTACTTCCATCTCTTATTATTCTAGTTTAGTTTCTCCCCCACATGAGGTCCAAACTGAAGCTTTAATCTTCAGGTAAACACGACCATGAGGTTAATTCACAGCTCTTAAGGTTAAGGTTTTAGCTGCTTATCTGAAAAAGTAACAAGATGAACCGAAGTCAGTGAAGAACAACACTTAACAGGAACACAATACTACAGGAGGAGGTTTATAGGCACGGTTCATTTGAGCTTCGGTTAAAGCTTGATTAGGCGGTTTATCTGGATTGCTGTATTTGTCCCAGCACCAGGTGAGTCGATTTACAGACAGAAATGTGTCCGTCTACGCCACTGCAGAGATCTCCTTTTAGTTCATTACTATTGGGCCACTTCTATGACTTTATGTACCTAAACAATCAACAAACACATTAGCAAGAGGCTATCAGACTTTCAGTCATTTGTTCATATTCTTGTCACTGCCCTCATCATATCACTCATCATATCAACTCAAGAATCTACAGGATATTACAACCTGAAAGTCTCGAAAATTTGTGGGAATGACGAAGAAGATCAACTTTCGCTCGTGAGATCGCTTAATTTCCTGAAAACAGCTGAAAACCAAGCAGAGGCCCAACTTTCAACTAAACCCATGCTTTTAGGGCCATGCTGTGTCTGCAGACAGGTGCTCCAACTTAGGCTGTCCAATCAGATTTCAAGGGAGGGCTGTGCCACCCCTGACCCTCAAATGGAAAAGCAATTGCTGCCAACACGCCTCCCTCTGAATTGCTGTTAACTGGTTTTAAATGATCTGAACTGATGTCCTCTAAGTCTTGCACAGCAAAAAACGTTGAGTGACGAGCCTCCATCTTATCAGAAAAGTCTGATGAGAGATCCTAATTAGCAAAGTGGGAAATACCTGGTTTCAAGCTTAAAGGGAATTAACTTCAACTGCAACTTTTAGGCATGACGATCCAACTTATAAGAAGTTGGTCGGATCATTTGATGCCTCCTGATACCAGCAGGAAACAGCTTAAGACAAACTGAAACAATTAAACAAAGTCAAGTGTTGATTATACAACTGCTGAGAGGGACTGTGTCTTCAAACTGGAGGATGTTGGAAAGGATTAGACAAACTGGATGCTTGAGGGGTAATGGTACACACACACACACACACACACACACACACAGACACACACACACACACACACACACACACACACACACACACACACACACACACACACACACACATACACACACACACACAGATTCCTGCTCCCCAGGAGAGGGCCGTTGGATGGCTGTACTGTCCTGACAGTAATCCTTAGATTAACCGGTTGTGGGGCTCCAGCAGTCAGCCAACAGTCAGCCAGACAGCCGGCCAAGTGGAACAAAAGCAGCAATGTATGTAGACCTGAACATGTGGGTCAGTGTGACCGACACACAGACAGACGTTTAGTGAGATGGACAACATACCGACTAACCAACCAGCTCAAAGTTAGGTTTCTATAGTCTACTCTTTTGTCCTAATTTCTGTCCACTTGTCATCTTAAAATTCAGATAACTTACTGTTTTTGTGTTGTTGTAACGTGAAAATCAGCAAAATCTTACAGCACAGACTTTAAAAAGTGGAGAAAAAACCCTCAAAAGTGCACCCTCATTGAGTCACGTGAGCATACATAAAAGTGAATTTTGAATGAGGTTTGGTTGAAAAGGTTTCACTGAGGACTTCAAACAAGCTGAAATATAGTCAAATCTAAAACCTCAGTGGGATTGTGGTAACAACCGTGCAAAGACACACACACATACACACACACACACTGGTGAGATGAGAGCGGCGAACAGTGACCTCAGAGATGGATTCGGAGGTTTGGGAGCTCTACTGCCGTTACTGTGGCGATGGAGTCCTCTCCATCTCCATGCACGCCACAAACTCCATCTCCACGGTTACGTTCTGTCAGGCACTGATTGGAGGTAGGCTTAGTGGGGAATAATAATGGCAAAAGGGGCACATGAGGGGAAAGAGCTTTTCAAACACAGCAGGAACTTTTCTAAACTCAGACTTTCTGCCCTGAAACTTTAAACTTATCAATGTTAAACTATTGAACAGATACACATTCATAAACTCTGCAGAGTTCTTTGAACGTTTCATGTTGTTAAAAATGAAAAATGTATCAAATAGTATGGGTGAAAAAGACTATTACCAACTTGGAGAGATGCAATTGAGTTGGGGGGATTCTCTGACAATCTAAAATCTTAAATCTGATAAATCCTTTGTGCTTTTTCAATACTCATCATGGTCATTCCTTGTGTCCTCTGCTCTATTTTTCAAATCTTTTTGGGTGTTCATCTGACACATATTCACACTAATGAGGTCTAAGACAAAAAAGTACAGAATCTTAACGCATCATATTTTATCTTATTGATCAAGTTATATCATGTCTTATCGTATCCTATCAAATCATATGGTATTATAACATATCATATTGTACCATATTATCTTATCTAATAACACATCATTATAGTGCTGCATTGTATTGTATCAATTTGAATATATTTACCAACATGTTTTTATGTTAATCTTTTTCAAAAATATTTAAGTTTTTAACAATTTCATGATTTTCCCTCAAAGACAGGGTTATTTTGACAAAGTTCTAGGGATCTTACACACACAAAAATTCTGCTTTAACTCTCAAAATACTTAGGAAAGCTGACTTAAACAATGTTGAAAAAATATATATATATTTTTTTCTGGTGTCAAATGAACTTTTCGCCCTTTTTGTCTCGTTTTTTTTATCCATCCCTGGGGCTCTTACATTTTAACTAAAACTCCTTGGAATGATCCCTCTCCATGTTGGGTGGCCTTTATAGATGCCAAATTTTGCTTTTGGAAAGTAAGGCTAATCAATCTAAGACTAGCATTCGAATAATTTGTGTTTTTGCACATTTTTATTGGTTATGGCTTCTTCTGTGGTGTAGTTTTCCTGACAAAAAGAGCTTGTTATCCTGCGAAAATGAGGGTATGTTTTCTTGGAATCCCTGGAAATAGTTGATTTGTTTTATAAACTTTTTGTTTTCTGTCGTAGAAATCTTCCTTCCTTTCCTTCTCTCTTCCTTCCCTCCTTCCTTACAAGTAAAAACAGTTTTGAATACCATTTTCTTTTTTTTTGTACCAGCTCCATTTCTACAGATTCTGGCTGATGCGTTGACTCCAGATGTAGCTTTACAGAAGGTGTAATGTAATCAACGTTCCAGAGTGGGAGGCGAGGGGACAAAGGAGTCAGGGTGATGGAGGGGAAGAGGAGGGGGAGGAGGGTGAATGCTTGAGGTGGTGGCCGAGAAACGAGAGGAGTTTCTCGAAAGTTTGAAGAGGAGAAGAATAAGATCGGGGGGATAAAGGAGGGAGGGAGTGAAATGAAAGTGAACGGGTCAGATGAGGTTGTGGTTGTTCCTGTTTCTCCCTGCAGAGACAAACCGGCCCACACAAGTTTTACGCTGAATTTAGAGCTACTTACTCCTGTACCAGATCAGGACACGTGTTTTAACAACCTGCTTTGAGACCAAAAAAGAGGTTAAAACACATTTGTACAAGCGAGATATTTATTGAGTAGAAAAATAATCTGCAAAATTAAAACCAATAAACTCTCTCAAATACGTGTTTTTCTGTAATCACTGCAGCACCGAGGCCATCTTTGTCGAGAGAGGAAGGCCTCAGCCTCTCCTCTACAAGACTCCTGACACCATTTAACCCCAGAGCTGAACCAGAACCCAGACTTTTGATCAAATTTCTGAGTCTATAGAAAAATGATAATACAAAAAATGTATGATAGCAAATAATAATGACAGGAAGTACCCGGGAGTATAAGTGTGCTTTGGTTAATTTGAGATTTTGATCTTCTAGTAAGAGTTTATTCTGGGAATACTCTGACTTTGCTTGTTAAATCTCAGTTTTCGCATCCCTAGCTGGGTCCTAAATTTTCCATCCAACACACTGATGGTTTAAACATATTCAAATTGAGTCCCCGAAGATGTTCCTGAGATAAAGCACCATCATTTTTCACTTCTTACAGCTGGTGAGGGAAAACAAACAACCTGAAAACTTAATGCCTCTGACCACGCTGCAGGAACTCCAATCCTGGTCAGTGTTTTTGTCTTATTCTAAGTTTAAAAATATAAATACAACTTTTTTTTCTAGACACTCTTTGTCTAGAAAGAAGACAAAAAAAAAGATTAGAGGTTTTGCAGTGCATGGCTATTTTTTACAACAGAGTATTAGGGCCACATTAAAAAAAAAATAAAAAAATTAAGACTTCTTAATTACTTACGAGACTTAAGTCGTAATTAAATCATTACTTACGAGAATAAAGTCATAATAAAATAATAACTTACGAGACTTAAGTCGTAATAAAATAATAACTTACGAGAATAAAGTCATAATAAAATAATTTTTTACAAGAATTAAGTCGTAGCTAATATTTATTCTAACCTGTTGTTAGTTGTTTAAAGGAGCACTGTGGAGCATTTAGATCAGGGGCGGGCAATCATGTGCCTTGGAGGGCCGAGAGGCTGCAGGTTTTCTTTCCAACCCAAAACTCCACCAGGTGATTTCACTGATTAGTCCCTGCTCTCTGCTTGGAGGTAAGGTAATCAGTGAAATCACCTGGTGGAGTTTTGAGTTGGAAAGAAAACCTGCAGCCTCTCGGCCCTCCATGGCACATGATTGCCCACCCCTGATTTAGATGAATTGCCCACTAATGCACCCACAGATAACTCTGCAGTCGACCAGTTCCAGCCATTTCCTCCTCCACAAAAGCAGCTTTAAGACTTCATTTACTTTACGACTTTACTCTTGTAGTTAATAAATTTATTACAACTTTAATTCTTGTAAATGATGATTTATTACGACTTCATTCTCACAAGTAATTACAAAGTCTTACTTTTCTTTTTTTTTGTATGGCTTAAATACTTACTGAGCTATTTAGCCTGAATAAAAAGTTTTTGACAGCACACATTTTTATTCTGCGACATGCTCTTTATCTGAATTACTTTGCAGGCCTAAAAGTAACAATTAAAATTAACTGAAAGGTGTAAAAGTAAAAAAATTTTAGCTCAAACTTAATTTCCTCTTGTTTCTGATTCCAGCAGAGCGAATCAAAAAAAAAAACCTGAGAAAACTCCTTCACATGTCACTCCGTTACCATCCCCCCTGTGCCACACATTTGGAGTAGGACAGCTGGTCCAGGTAGAGCACAGCGCACACCTGGCTGAGCTTACATGCTCCCTCACAGGTGATGCTGCTGTTATACCCCACCATGTAGTGAGTGAAGTACTTCGGGAAGGTTTCGGTCTGCGGTAGCCTGAAACTCAGGCCCAGCTGGAGGAGGCCCAGCGGCTGCAGGTCAGTCAGTCCAAAAGCCTGAGTCATGATATATTCAAGCTTCCAGTCAGATCTTTGTTTGTCGTTGGCTTCTGTCAGATTCAGATAGTACTGCCAGATATCCTTTAGAGGGGAGAAAGCACCAGAGAGAGGTGGGAGAGAGGGAGGAGAAAGAGGGGAGGAAGAAAAGTCTTTTTGAATGCAAGGAGCTGTTTTTGTGTGTTGATTGACACCGTGATAAATCAGCAAGAGACTTTTTTCTTCAGAGTTTCTCGAAAGAGAAAAAAGTTAAGCGGTGTGTTATTGTGTAGTATGAATGTTTATGTTTGAATTCCAGCTCAGGCAAGCTCTCGTTTTTTTGTTTTAACTGTTTTATTTTGTAGTTTTAGAATCTGTTATGTAAGTAAAATTTGTGGTGTGAGCTTACATCCAAATATATCTGCTCTGCAAGGTTAGAAAGTGAAAAAAATCTTTAAAAACATGAAGGTCTGTTTCTACATTTTGGACCTAATTTGGGCCGATAAAGGATTTCCTTGGCTATCTTGGTCAATAAATCAGAAGTGGACTATTTCAGTGTTTAAGTGAGCAGTTTTTAAGTGTGTCTTACCAACATAGAGAAGTCCTTGGGGTCATACAGGTACATGCGGAAAGCTGGGTTGTTGGAATACGGCTCTATAACACTTTTGATCGGTGTGACAGCTGGAGCCACAAACAGAGAATTCAGCGGTTTACCTTCAGGAAAAAAACACAAATTTTATCAGGGTATTGATTACAGGCATCAGATCCCTTTTTACAGGGCTATATCACTATTTTTTAATCTCAGATGTTTCAGGAAATTTCTCCACAGCTGCAACTGTAGCCCACTGTCGCCCAGTCTTAAGCCATTAATTCTAATAATTAAAAATATTATTAAAAATCTAAAATTTGGTGCTAAAGGCTGAAAGTTAGTTAGATTACTTAATATAGCATGTTTCAAGAGCAGTAGAGGATTACATAAAAAGAAACAGGCACATTATCCTGAAATGTCCTTAAAAAAGCCCCAGTGGGAGCAGAGGAAACAACAGAGACCCCAGGACAAAACCTTGAGGAACACCGCAATACAGGTACTCTGCATATGTGACATACAAATTGTCTTTATGATACAAAGATTTTATTTAACATTTTACTTCTTATCTTTCCACTAAGGTACTCGTTTGCTTTTTTTCTTGTTGTTGTTGTCGTCACATATATCCTATATGTTCCTACAAAAAGCCCCATTGGGAGGGGATACAAAGAAAACAACAGGGGCCCCAGGACAGAACCTTGAGGAACACAATGATACAGATCTGCTACTAATAAAACAACTAAATTTTCCACATCTTACAAATCTTCCATTTATGGCCATAATTCCAAATTTAATGAATGTTTTGCCTCTCACCTTGTTGGTCCAGCAGCACCATGATGCTGTCTCGGTGTGTGTGTCCGTAGAAATGCCCTGCGACAACATGACTGTAATTCCTGAAGATGGCGACCAGCCGCTCATTATGGTTCTTTCTTACAGCCGTCGTGTTTCTGGCGAAGGGCAGGAACCCTAAAGGTACATGTGCTATCACGTACACCTGAGGGGAGAAGTTAAGCTCGTTTAAATCCAAACAGTCAAGGTGTTCAGTTCTTTATGAAAATGTTTATGTGTGATCAAAGAAATTTGAAGCATCTGGATTTAAAATATAAAACCTTCTCCTGATTCTGATCGGCTTTCTCCAGAGTCTTCTGCAGCCACTCATACTGTCCTGCAGGATCAGTCATGTTCTTTGTGGCTTTGTCAGGACCGTAGTAGAGGATGGTGTTGAGACTCACAACCCGCAGACCAGGCTTCACCAGCTGCGAGTAAAAACCTCCTACAAAGAGAAAGAAAATAAAAATAGATGCTTATTCAGTGCTGAGAACAAAGCATCAGGAAAAACCTTGAAAAATTATAGTTTCAGAGTTTTAAGAATCTAATCCCAATGAATCAATTATGGATTTAATGTTCACTTTCTGCAGGCCTGAGCGGCTCAAACAGCTACATCTACAAACATGTGACCTTGTGAGAGTGTGAGCCGAGCGTCAGCCTGCAGCCAGGGTTTCCACAGCTCTGCAGCAGCTTTGTAGATCTCATTGGTGGAGGCAGGCATCTGGTCCTGAGGAATACAGTGAAAACATGAAATCTGAGTGTAAATACTACAAAAAACAACACTAGTGCAATTTTAGGCACTTTCATCCAAAATATCACGACTCTAGGTTATCATTTTGAAAGTATGAGCATTGAACTGATATGAAATAGAAATCATGTAACGGCTACAAGGGGGTCATTTGCTGCCATTATTGACACTCAGATCACTTTCATCATGTATATTTGTCAAAATCTGGATTGTCCATTAATTCACGTATGTCCTGTAATCTTTATAATACAGCCTTTGTCTGTGAGATGACCCTCGGTCCACTGGGACAGTCCAAGTCTATAAAATGTGATAAAGCTGCAGTACCAACTAGCATCGCTAGAGGGAGGCTCCTCTCCGTGTTGCCTTTATATTATTATTCTCTAACTACCGACTGTTGCTGTGTTCGGGAGGGGACAATAGATCACACATTTTTGATGATCATGTGATTAATCGTGATTTCAAAATTATGCTTTACCAGCCCTGGAAAAATACGTGTTACATAATTAAATTTAACTTGAAAGTCTTACCAGTTGTTAAAAAAATGGAATCATTGATGTTTCCTTGATTGTATACATTTCCGATGAACCGTCTTTGTCAATAACCCCCATTGTTCCTTATTCCTCCTCCCAACATTGTATATGTTATTGTTGAGTTTTTGTTAAGCTAAATCTCTTTGTAATTCTCCTTTTTCAATAAGTACTATAAAAGACTATCATACTGAATATAAATTTGCTCAGACTTTAAGTGTATTTAATCGTAAAGGCACAAATACCCAAACAACTGTTTTCAGATTCGTACTTTAATAAAAGCCTGTAAATAAAGACTCGAAGTTACCTGCGGCCAGTAGTCGTGGTTTCCCAGAGCTGGATAGACGGTCAGGTTGGGGAAGTGCTGTCTGATGGTCTGGGTCATGTTACTGATCACCTGGATCACAAGTTCTGTGGACAGCTCTGCTGCGGGGACATGAGGCGGGCTGTCTCTGTTGAAAAGACAAAATAAAATCCAACATTATTAAGCTGGTCTGGATAAATTCAAGGTCTTCTCTCCACCTGGTTACGAAATCTTCACCATCAGAGAGAAGACTCTACTTGCAAAGACAATGTTTCTATGAACATCTATCAAGCAGCTAAACTCTGGTGAAACCGTGAAAATTCAGCACTTTAGCATTCAGCTGTTGCTGTTTCTTCTAAAGCCACTTTGTTTTTAGTGTCAGATGTTAAACTGATTTTTTAAAGAATATATTTTTCAGATGTTTTTATGTGAAATTCTGTATCAATAGCTTCTCAGGTTTTGAAATATTTTAACCATGTGCTTGATAGTACCCTTGGCTAGTGCTGGAGTACAAAAAGTGCAGTACTTCAAGTGTCCACTTGAGGCTCTAGAAGCCAAAGAATCCCAGTTGCACACCAAGATAAAATGTCTATTTTCAAAGATGTTTTCAGCCTGATACTGTGATCAAGTTTGGTCTGAACATCTCATTTCTGTATTTGTGACAGCTCTATGAGGGCGAGTCTTTTTTAACTGATTTGTTTGATAAAATAAAGGCTAAGATTTATGCATGATTAGGCACAGAAACACGGCCAGAATGACACTGAGAAGGGAAGATCTGAAAGGCCGAATAAGACAGAGTAACCTGACAGCCAAAGTTCAGACTATCAAATGTGAAAAAACTTTTATAAACTTCAAAAAAATGAACATGATGCTTTAAGAGAGACAAAGTTTGAGACTTCTGCCAGGTTTGCTCTTGCAGCAAACACGATCTACCCTGTGACTCCTTTTACATACAAAGACATCCATTAGGTCACAAGTTACTGTCAGCACTGCCAGTAAAAATCAGGAAAATTCTCATTTTCACAACCCCACAGCGTTTCTCATTAGTCACATCATCAAAGTTGCCGACTTTGTGAGACTCTTACGCTGCAGCCGTTCAGTAAACTCCTCAGGATTTTCCCTTAAAGAGAAAAATCAAAGCTCAGAACTGACCCCACAGTAACTTTGAAAAGAAGAGACTCCCTGCAGAGAGGGATTAAACGGCGGGTTATTTCATTTGGCATGTTCGGTAATCTTATGAGGTTGGATGATTCATAAACCTACTGCTTATTAATAAAGAGCCACAAACTCCTAATTCAGCTGAAGGAGTTGAGGTTTGCCGGATCTTAAAGGCTCTTCTTCATCGTTTAAGGCCTGATGATTTACTCACAAATATTCTATCGCTCTACTACTCATCTTCAAATGCATTACTAACAGCTGAGAGCATAAAATAAATGCTGCTTTAACACCATTCAGCTCTGAAACGACATATTTTCCTACTTTAGTTTACAAAAGATAATAAACATGATAAAGATAATAAAAGAAGAAGTGATGCTGATTTTGCTGACATAAAAATAACACATACAGTCCTGTACTTTTTACAGGAAATCCCATAAAGACCAAAACCCTGCAGATATCGTTGCTGACTCACATCTTTGAACTGGACTTCTTTGCCCCTGATTTAAAAGTGCAGACTGAGACGGTGATATTTGACAACAACTGAGATGATGTGACTCTGGTTTTCCACAGCTGACAATGACGCAGGATACACTGCTAAAGAAAATATATCAATGTCAGTACAGCTTATGTTGAAGACGCATGCAGACTGTGGTTCCCAAAAGACTCATAAATATACCAAAGTTTGGAAATTCAACAAAGTCCTCATGCTGCTATACGCATCAGAGAGCTAAAGTTGCCATTCCTGCACTGCTGGTCCATAAACATGTGTTACAAAAGCTTCCCAAAGGTCAAAACTGTGCAAACAAGATCAGGAAATAATCTGATTCAAGACAAGAGGAGAGGAGCAAAACAAAGACATGAAAACATCAGATAGTATGGAGAATGCAAACAAGGAAGACGCAACACTTTACTGCACATCTGTACAGAGGTGTGAGCTTGTTTTCTACAACTGAACTCAAGTAAAATAAATCTTTTTTTAAATCTCAGCAGCAGCTTTTGCTTGAAAACATGATTGTAAAAATAGATATTTCTCTTCTGTTTTGGTTAACTGTTCAGCTCTGTCTGACAAGTTAAGCTGAAAATAGGTTAACCACTTTGTAAGAAACTGTGTGAGCAAATCATATAATGTACAAAAAATGTAGGTGTTTCCTCATCTATAGTACATCAAAAATTTAGACAATCTAGAGAAATGTCTGCACAAAAGGGACAAGGACCAAAACCAAGACTTTATGGCTCTGATCTATAGGCCTTCAGGCAGCTAAACTGGCCAGAAACACCTGCTAAGAAACTTTCAGACCATAGTTAAGTACTCTCAAAGTACAATAAAGAACTGTGTTTTTATATCGTACTTGTCTTTTATTACTGCTTGCTGCAAAAAGCCCCTCATGGGGACAATAAAGTTTCTTTCAACTTTTAACCTTCAACTTCACCCAACGATTGATCAAATGAGAAATACTTCTTAACTCATTTCACTTTTTAAACTCCAGAAACTCAGTTTCCACACATTTGCAGGTTGTTAAAATACGAGGTAATATGACATGATGAGCAATTGTTGTGCACAGAACTGTAAAATCTTTCAATTTCAACATTTAATTAGCTGTTTTTGCATTTTCAGTTAAAAACATGATTTACAATAGGATTCACAAACCTTTTGTTTTTATGAATCTAGATGCTTCCTATCTCATTTTAAAGTTGTGGCTGTCCAAGCCATTACAAAGATAAATGTTTCAAAAGGGAATAAACATAAAATAGCACAATATGATTGTCAAGGTTTAAAAAAGCTGAAAAAAATACTCCATACTTATGTTTAAACCCAATAAAATGTCCATCTGTGTCATACATCTATGATTTAACAACAGCTAAACAACAAAGAACTTCCCTGAGGCAGCGGGGAAGATTCAGAGCGACACTACTTACTAGAAACTTCCTCATTCTCACAATCGAAAACCTCAGAGTGGTTTCACTTTGTAACCGCACACATACACTCTTACACAAACAGAAGATCACAAGTTACACCATCGATAAAAGAAGAGGAAATGAAACTCGTGCAAAGCCTCAATGACTGTTTTTATGAGGATGTTAGTCGCACTTCTGACCATGTCGGTGCAACCACATGCAAATGATTCAGTAACTTCAGCCCGAGTTCAAACAAGGACCTCGTCTGAAGCCTTAAAAAGAATAAGAGACTTCAGCGTACTGACCCGGTCCATATGATGAAGTCCTCTGGCTGTGTGAGTGTAGCCATGTGAGAGAAGGCTGACTGGATTAGGCGGTAGGGTGAGTCACACAGAAAGTCCCCATACACGCCGGCGTTGGTGGCCGGGACTCCTTTGGAGGAGAAGCAGACCTTGGTGGGGTCTGGGGCCAAATGGTAGGTGGGGTCCAGGTGGAGGTCAGTGATGTGCCAGAACCGACCTGTTAATATAGAATGAAGATAGTTAAAGCTGGTTTAAAATGACTGGTTTGTGGTTACATGTCTCTGGAGTGGATGTGGTTTTTTGCATGGTCATAGATATTTTAGTGAGTCAACACATGACGTGCATTTCTTATTTTGTCACAGCACTCATGCATCTGGAGAAGAATAGTCAGAGATGAGTGATGTTTTTAACAAGTAGAGGTTAAAATGAGTTGGACAACATTCATAATGAGCAAATGAGCTTTAATATGACTAAAATTGTTTATTTTTATTATCTAAGACATTTTATTTACTGTCAAATTGTAAAACAAACTCTTTAAATATCCTGGATTAAATGAAGAACTTAATCAGGCTGTGAAAAACAACATGATAAGCATCATTAAATGTACAAAAAACCTAATATGGGTCCTTTTAAAAACGTCTTCTGCCGAACTCCATTTGAAAAACTATGGATTTATTGTTTTTCTAAACTGTCACATACTAAGTATAACTTCCACAACTCAATGTTACACTTAATTTAAATCCAGAGGGTCTAATATCAAATTCGGCCAACATTATAGCACCAAAAAAAGCCTTTTTTTTTGTAAGAATCTTAAGAAACAGCTGCCTCTCATATCAGGAAGCCGCTTTCATGTTTATTCAGCTCAAAGGGCTTGGTAAACCAAACTTCCTGATCTACACTTAAGAGTTCGTTTTTCAGTGAGCGGTGGTACATGAGAGGGATAAACGTCGACATATTCACTGAGTTCTCTTCGGCAGCAGGCTAATTCGAGGAGTTTCCACTCACCTGTCCCCGCCAGGTAGCCTCCTCGTCCAGCTGGAGCCGCTTCAAGCAAACCGGCGCCGAACAGTAGTGACACAAAAACCAGGAGCTGTGCCATGATAGCAGAGTTAAGCTCTAATAGTGCGGTTATCACATGGCAAAGAAATGAAGCGAAGTATCAAAGCACTGCGGGTCATTCTCCTCTGATGTAAACAAGGAAGTGCAGTGCTGAAGAGGTCACGTGATTTACTGTGTTTTGGCACTCAGGGGGAGGGGCTTAGGAAAAAGATTTGAGCTGAAAAACAATTAGGCCTATTATTTACTTTTGTATTTATGTATTTGCGTTTCGTTTTTTAATTACAAATTAATAGTAAAAGTAATATTAATAATATGGAGGGTGAGGGGTGTCAAATAAAGGATGACATTTTAATAATGAAACTGTTAAACAGTGTTCATCACAAAGATCCTTCCAAACCCCTTTCTCGAGGGGTGAATTGACCTTTTTTGCCCACAAGATAACAGTCTGTTGTCATAAGATAATCACATTTTGCACAAAAGGTAATTAACTTGCTTCCACAAGATGCTGTATGTACTAAAAGCCCGTCCCTACAAAAAAGTTGTGTGCAAAACGTATTTTCTCAGGTAAACCTTTGAGATTTCAGGGTTTCAGAAGTTTAGGGCTAAACAAACTTACCGTAATTTTAAGTGTAAGATCAGAATTCTGTGAAGTTAAAATTATGAGTTCAAAGACAAAATTTCAGTTACAATCTCAGGAATTCAAAATTAAGATTTTTTTTTTTTTCACAGACTTATTAGTTCAATCTCAGATTTCTAAATATAACCTCAGAAATCTGACTTCTAATTTTGAATTCTGAATTCTGAGATCAAAGCCGGTCTTCTGGTATGAAACTCAGAATTTGGGCTTTAATTGCATAATTCTGAGACTTAAATCAGAGTCCTGACCTTCTCCTTTACATTTTCTGTTTCTTTTTCTCAATTTTCATTTATGTATAGACCTATCACATTGAACCTCTCTGAGGGATATTGCAGGACGCCTATCTCCCCAAAACAGTAGTGCTTCCTTTGACTGAACCAGGCACCTTTTAGTGAGCTCCAGAAGAATAGTCTACATTTATCATACCTATACCCTTCAACATGGCTGATAGTGACCCCAACAACCCAACATGTGGACAAAGAGATCTTGGTACTTAAACATTTGTTTCCCTTCAGTAGAGAGCTGAACAAAAGCTTTATGCGTGTGACAAAGGCTGCAGACGTCTCACAAATATCTGCAGACTTATTAACAGCACATCAGTTTTGTTTGAAAGTCTAAATCAGAGCCCTGGAGTAACACTTAGACACATAAAAGGACCATGCTTCAAAGTCTGTGAGACTGGGAGTAGAGTGAAGGAATTCAGCCAACATGTCTCAAGAAGGTCAGTTTGGCCTCATGCAGAGAAGGTTATTCTGTGCCCCTCCATTATAAGGTCAAAGGTTAGTGGTTGGACCCGAACTACTGGTATGTCATTCTCTTAACCATAAGAGGTGTAGTAGCTCTTTGCTGCATGTCATCCCTCACTCTCTCCATCCTGTTTCTGACTCTAAATCAAGTCCTGATAAAGCCCAACAGTCAAAGAAGAAAGAGACACATGTGAGGTCTGTGTTTTTTATTTTTTGTTTTCACACAGGTTTACAAAGATGATCCATCAATCATGACAGAAATGTTTTCTTATAAAAAAAAAATTCTTACAAATCATGTGCAGCCTGCAGAGGGCGCACATGTGGAGGAGGATGAAGTGCAAAGAGAAGCAAACAGTCAATAATAATTATAAAATCAACACTTCGTGGCCGGTTTGGGGTGCTTTTAGCTGGGGCTCTCATGCTTTCTCGTAGCTTCGCACCGCGTGGACATCTTCAAAGGTCAGATTCTGCAAAAGAAAGGAGGTGTTTAATAAAACAGGGGGCTTCAAACCTTTAAAATGTAAAATTTAAAGCAACAAAAAATGACGATTTCACTATCAAAATTAGAGAGTTAATGTTGTAACAAAAACACTGCATGGGTAAAAACAAAAAAGCCTAGTTGATCCAAAAATAAACTAAATAAATAAATAAAGGAGTTTATTTAAAGTAAAATAAATTGAATAAAACTCTCTTTTAAGACATTTAAAGACATTAAAACAAACAAACAAAAATCTATTGCCATAGGTGCACAACAAAGAGACAAAATAAGCCATTATTCCTCACAAATTCAGTCCTGAAAAATGCCTAAAAAGTTGTTTTTTTCCCTAAAAGTTTGCATAAGATAAAGTATCTTGTGCGACTTTCCTCATCTACGAAGATTTAAATGGTTAAAAACTTATATTTTGGATATTTATCTAAAATTATGTATTGTAAATTCTTTAAAATGCAGATTTTTGTTGCAGTATATTTCTTTGGGTAGGATTGTTGCACATTTTCTACTCATATACTCTGTGTCTTGAATGCATAAAGCATAAAGAGAATTAAAGACATGAATACAAAGTACACGTTATCCAGGTTTATCTCTCTCACCATGACCATCTTGCCATCCTTGATCTCCCTGACGAACTTAGTCTCTTTGCCGTCCCACTTCTGGACGTGCACCAGCTTGTCCCCCTCCATAGTCACCGTGGACTGAAAGGCGAAAGACAAAAGATTTTATTAAACCAATTGAAGCTGAAAATCGTCCAACAAAGGAGCCGTTGAACTTTGGTCTGTCTGTGGAGGTCTGAGGATGCCAAATTTAGTTTCTGACTCAATGATAGAAACAAAGAGAGACCAGACTGTGAGAGTGTGAGTGTGGACAGAACCTCATTCAGAAAAGTGTAAATTTAAGCTCAGTCTCTATAAGGCTTTACACAGCAGAAAAAAACAACTGTAGGTGATAAATGTGATAAAATGGTGCCCTCTGAGTGATTTTAATGAGTAGGCTTACTTTAAATTTTTAGTTTAGAGCCCAATCAAGCTGAAGTTACACAATCTTGGTGCCTTTAAACTGGTCTCTAAAGAAATCCATGTTTAATATGATGTTCTGCTACAAAAAGCTTCAGTTTCTGTCCCACTTTTTTTAACACTTCCTTCATTCTTTCTATGGTACCAGTGTTTCATACTTCCAAAGGTTTGGCTCTTACTTTGCAGTTTCTGTCATCTGCAGTGGTTTCGTCGAACTCCTCCCCCAGTTTGAAGGAGATTTCTGTGTTCTTGAAGGTGCTCTGGGTGCGGATCACCACCTTGTCACCCTCCTGGCTGATGATCACAGTGGGCTTGGTGACATTTCCAACCTGTCGGGTGGCAAAACCCACACCTGATGGAGGAAAAATGATTTAAGAAACATCTCAGACATTACAGGTGCAGAAACAGCTCTGATTTCTTCCACTTTTAAGTAAAATCTGAATCTAAATAGAAAGAAGGAGCAACAGAACGAAGAAATAAAAAAGCTTTTCCTCACCGAGAGCTTTCATATAGTCATCAAAGTTCTCACTCTCAACCAGTTTCCAAGTGGCACAGAAGGCGTCGACCATGGTGAAGCTTTGCGGGGAGGCAGAGTAATCTCCAAAGTGAAGTGAACAAGCTGCAGCTTCTGCAAGTTTGCCCTGGAGTTATTATTCTCCTGCTTATTATTATGCATGAAGGTTGGGTGGAGCTTGCATCCCATAGGCTCAGGAGATTCTTTCTAAGTTGTTATTGGATGTTTGAACTGGGTCACGGTCTCATACAGACCCCCTTAAATTAGCTCATTTGTAGGACTAATGATGTAATCACTCTGGTTTATGGGTGTCAGTCGGGTTTGTTGGGGTGAAGCGGGGTGTTTGCTGTTTCTGAGCCAAAGACAGTCCGATACAGTTTATCTCAAATCTCTAACTTTAGCCATAAAAATGTGTAAATACAAAGAGGAATAAAGAAAGAGTAACATGTAAAATAAAAAGGTGTAAATGAAAGTTTTCAACCATAGTTTCTTTTAATTCAATTTCACACAAGATGCATATTACTTTTAAAAATGTTCATAAAGTAATAAAGATATATGAAGTTCATAAACTAGATACTCTAATAAACTGAGTCTTCAGGGAGTTTTTTATAATCCAAAAGTGCAGCAGTGTTATTTTCTGTCAAAACAGCAGCAGTAAGCAGGAGGACACTGCGGGGGGCTGATCTACGGTGTGCCAGAAGGGACAAAAAAGCATGCAAACAGTAAATAAACAGACAAATAAGCAGTGACAGCTCTTAAACAGAGATACAAATAAATGAATAAAAATTGTAGTAGGTAATGAGAGATCTTTATAAGGGGGTTAAACAATGCCCCCCAGAATATAAAAATATCCATACAACATTATAATTTATAGGACTCATATAGTGTTTTTCTTAAATACAGATTAATTTCCATCCGCCAGTGTTAATAGTCTGCTGTTCGCCCGTGTCGCGCGTCTGCTGTGAGGAATGTGTCCTGTAGGGAGCGTCAGTGAAGCAGAATCACTGTGTTTGACAGCTCTTTGTCCTGAACCTGCATTAACTACCCCCCTCACTGCAATTTCTTCATGCTCAACACACTCACTAATTACTGTCCATTAACGTACGAGTGTGTGTGAGAGAGTGTGTGCAGTCTCTCACAGAGTGAATGTATGCCGGAGCTATGTCTGCCTCGAGGTTCAATTCTGGTGATTGAATGAAGTTTTATCAGGTTAGCTATAATCAATATTCTTAATAATATCCTGATTTACAGTTTGGTAAAGGAGAGGTTCTCTTAAGTCACTAATGAACACCAGTTTGACATAAGTGTAAAAAGAACTCTATCCTCCATATCTTATATTACAGAGACATACAGTATATCATTCATCAGGTCGCTGCAGCATCAGTACTGACACACATACTCTGTGATGCATTAGCAGGGGTTGATCAACATATGAAAAGATTTTAGCTGGTTAAAAAAACAGTCATAAATCAAAACAGATGCCTTTCTAAGAACAAACAAGACGAAACTGAATATTTCAAAGCCTGTTTCTCACTGTGCCTCTATTCACAGACGTCCCTTGGAGTCTGAAATCTGACCTGCGGAACAACAGCGAAAAGTACTTATGATATCTGTTTACTTTTGTGTTCATTTTTTGTAAGACAAACAAATGTAACTTCATGTTTGGACCTTTAGGGTCAGTGTAACCCTGACTACCTGCATCAGTGACTGATACTTGACTTAACCTTTGAATCAAAGGACTTGATGAAGCGTAATCTGACATTATATCATGCAGATTGTCCAGATACATGACGATATGGTGAGCCTCCTATGTTGTGAAGGAACCCTAGTGCCCCCCTCTGGTGACAAACGAAAGAAACTCCCTCCTCAGTATCCCAACATTAGATACATTTCATGTCTTTTTTCTGAAATTCAAGAAGACCCGTGGAACAATGTGAATAAAAGTTATTATGTTTTAAAGTTGACTTTGATAAATTATACCATAAAGTTAGACATCACAAAAATTTTACATGTAAAAAAGGACAAAAATCTCTCTTTTCTGTAATTGAATTTAATGTAAAAAGCGCATATTTTGCAGTGAAAAACACAAACGAAATAATAAATCAAAACTCTGTGGTTAAAGTTAAATTCCCGATCTGAATGTGACAATGATTTGACATCTTCTGCTCTTCAGTGTCTAAAACGCAAATTGCAAATTTTATTCCTTTATTTTTCCAACAAAAATCCCAACCATATACATGAGATTTATAATATAGTACAGTGAATAAATCAAAGAGTAACCTCCAGTTTTAGCATATGAAACCAATGTAGAAGTGTTACAAACTGCAGTTACTCAAGTGTTCAGCAGAGGCTGGCTTTGAAAGCCACACAGACCACATACACGCCCATACACAGCCTATTTGCACAGCAGAAGTAAAAATGTTTACAGGCTGATGAAACAGATACAAACATAGATATAAAAAAAAAAGCCTATTGTACAACAATATATCAGTCACCTCCATCCAAAGAAATTTCACCTTAACAAGATTACTGGTATAAATAAAATCCATCCTGATTGACATTAATATAAGAATAAAAAGAATAAGAAAACCTTTATTAATCTCCGAAGGGAAATTCAATTGTCTGTTGTCTCAAAAACAGTATTAAGCTTTGTCTTTACCTTTGCACCAGCACAGCAACCACGATAACACCTCCTAAGCTCCTCTGGAATTGTATATTGTTGTCCAGATTTGCTTTTCCTCGATGAAAGGAGCTCTTCTCTTGAGTAAACCCTTCACCCAGCAGAAGTATCCATCAGCAGCCAACAAAATGACAACAAAAATATGAAAAATATCTAGCAAAAATTACAGATAATACGGAGAGACCAGACTTGCAGCAACCTCTTGGTTCAAGCGCATCATTTGAATGACGTCATATGATATTAAACTGGAACTTACCTGCCAACAGATTTTTTCACCGAGACTCAAAAATCATAACAGGAGGAGGAGAAATCAAAACAGATTAAAAAGATGTAACTATTTTTAATCTGAATTAAGTCTCACAGGTAGTATCTCATGCTCATTTGATAGAATCCAACAATTCCTGTTGTCTCTCTTCACTAAGAAAACCCTAAAACTTGAGTTTGAATGTTGCATTTACATCTTTACATCAGTAAAGTTTGAATTGATCACTGTGAACATCTTTTTTTGTCCCTTACTGCCTTAATGGGTGAAGACCTCATTTGTTTTCAGTTCCTCTTTCTCCTTTAAACTATGAAGTTCACACTGACATCATGTAACACCAGAATAAATTTAACCTTCCTCATTCAAAACATCCCACAACTTAGACAGACACGCACAGAGTTTAATGTGACTGCAGCGAAAAGAAACTCATGCAATAAAATAAGCAAAACACATGTTAAATCCGGGGTTATAGTGCTGTTAGCAGACATCTCCATCTGAGCACAAAGAAGCAATAAAACCTGGAAAAGACTGTAGACGATGATCCCAAAGAGAGACAGCAGTGACATGCCGCAGGACTGTTATTTCCTCTCCTGGTGGATGGTGGAGAATCAAACAGCAGCAGCAGAAGAAGAAGTGGAGGCTTTCACAGTGACACAGGTCACAGAACTATCGTCTTCATCACCATCAACTTTGCCAAGAACCTGGAGTAAAAACACAAAATTACAAAGAGGGAGTTACAGCATGTGGTGGTATGAGGTTTTAGCTAACTAGCCAATCACAGCTTAATTACACGAGGAGACATGATGCATTAGTATCAGCCCCTAGCAGGGACCTCTAGCAAAATCCACACCTTTTATAGTCTCAACTTGTTAATACAAGCTTTAGAGACTCTCATTTTTGTTTTTCATTCACATCCATATTCATTTTAACCAATCAGGAAGCTTTTACCCGAGCCTGACTGCTGCTCTTCTTGGTGAAGCCGATGGAGGCGTAGGCGACATCATCTTTAGGATCATTGGCCTACACAGAGAAGACAACAAAGGGGTTTCTCTGAGACATTCAAACTGGATTAAACTTCTTATCAAAGTCTGTATTTTTTAACTCTGTTTCTGCTGAGTTAGAGTCAGTTATAGGGCTTCTTTCAATGTTTGTTGCTTGTTTTGAGACACCTGCATTTACTGTGTGATACATTTCTGTTTTTTTTTAAGTTGCTTCATCCGACGTTTATTTTTATCTCTCACAGTCTCTGAGGGCTGAACACACCCTGCTTCTCACCATGTTATTCAGGAAATGATGACATCCTTACATGTGGCGCTGACGATCATTTATAGGTTTCACATTTTGATAAAGCACACCTGAGGAGCCAGTAACTTGCTCAGTCTTTAAAAATACAAGAGTTGATCTGTGTGGTTAATTTTCAATAAAAAAGATACAGCTAAATGAAAACAATTCAAAGACCTGTTGTATAGTATGAATATTTAATTGGTTAGTTATCTGAAAAGGAGCAAGCTTTAAAATGGGGTTTGGATTCTTTGCTCGCTAGCAGCCAGTACTACTTCTTTGTCTATCCTACATTTTACAACGTGGTGACCAGAGTCAGGCGGAGTCACGGAGTCAAACAAAGTAAATTTTGAGAGTTTTTCAGGACAGGTTGAATGTCTTTTATGCACTTCTAACTCAGTAAGTCCATGTGACACAAACTCGACACTGAAGTACAAAACCGCAGACATTTGAAGGATTTTATATACTTCCCCGGACAAAGCCAGATAAACCTGGACAGCCCAGACATCCATCCATCCATCCATCCATCCATTTTCTACCACTTATTCCCATTCCCGGGGTCGCAGGGGGGCTGGAGCTTATCCCAGCATCTCATCATCAGGGGGCACCCTAGACAAGTTGCCAGTTAATCGCAGGGCTGACATATAGAGACGAACAACCATCCACGTTCACATTCACACCTATGGGCAATTTGAAAGTGGCCAATTAACCTAACCCCACTGTTGCATGTTTTTGGGAGGTGGGAGGAAGGAGGAGTAAACCCACACAGACACAGGGAGAACATGCAAACTCCACATAGAAACGCCCTGACCTGGATTTGAACCCAAAGACACCCCCCCAAAAAGAGGACAAGTCCGGGTAAAAGAGGAGATATGGTCACCCTATTCTAACAGGAGATGTTTTTCTGGAGCCTAGAGCAGCACCAGAAAAAAATTGATCTACATTGGAGCATCATTAAAGCCCTACAGTCTAAAAGCTGCTTTGAATTATAGTTTAAGAGGTTTTTTTGGGTGGTGGTCAAAATTTAATGGGGGCCCATGCCCCCCCTCTGGCCACACCTCTGATCGTTCCATTAATTCAGTTATTCTTAACATGTGTTTAAAAACAACCATGAGACAACCTTCAGTCCTGAGAAACATGCAGAAGAGCGACAAACTGCAGTTCCTGGAGTGTCCACTAGAAGCCTGCCTCGAAGGTTCCAGAAGCCACATACACACCCATTCTAAATCTTGACATAAAACATTTACAGCTTGGTTCAAGAAACGGTTCTGGTTTGAGGAACTTATTTATCTTTTTGCACGTATCCTACAGGAAATGGATTTTTCAAAACTCAGAAATTGTGATGATATTACAGTTTTGAGTTTGGAGAATTAGAAGCACAGATGAGATAAGAAAATCTGTAACCACAGAAACAAGTATATTCCATCATTAACTCTAACCCTGGTAGTGTGGCCACTTAGAATAATTCATCTCTCCTCAGCTATCGAACAGAATTAGTATAAGAAGGTGGTTCTTAAACTCACAACATCGCCATCCTTCTGTGTTTTGGTCCCTGGTAGGAGAACAAAAGAGACAGATTTTCAGCTTTATGACAAAAATCTGTACAGCATATCAAAATGTCTTCACAACAAAGGTTTCTCACCTTTAGTTTTCTTCCATCTGATGACGATCACAGCCACAATCAAGAGTGTCATTAAAACCAGCACAGCCAGAGTGACGTACAACCACAGCCAATCTGGGAAGATCATGAAATTATCGCAACACAAGGAGGGAAAAATCTACTTCAATAAAAGAGGAAAAAGGAAGACTGTGGAGGTTGTACCTATTAGATTTGAGGAGCTGTCATTTGCAGACACCGTCGCTGTTGTTGTCGGGGTTTCTAGTGTCACGCTTGCTTCAGTCGCTTGGAGTAAAGTGAAATGAATTTTAGATTTTCAGCCATGTCAGTAAAAGTGACTTCCAATAGATGCAGGTTTCTCACCTGAGGACTGAAGTCTGAAAGGAAACAGCTCCTCTTTGTCACCTACAGTCACTTCACACTGCAGTGACTCATATCTGGATCTGTACATGAGATGGTCAGGCTGAAATGTCACATCAGCGTAGCAGAGATGCTGTGATGTACCCACAGTTTGGTGGTGTTCATCCACATCTTCACCCTTAAACAGCCATTCCACTTCAGTTTTGAGATGTTTGTACGTCAGCACAGAGCAGCGTAATGTCACCCTATCACCGTTCTTTTCTTCAGTCACTGTTTTAGATGGAGATATTATCAGAAAGACGCTAAAAGACACGTCAATTTGGGCTGAAAACATGATGATAGAAATACTCACTGTTAACCACATTCATTATTCATTATTAATTTCTGTTCTGCTAAAGTGAGTGTCATTTAATTCTTTACCCTCGACTTACAGAAGCTGATGAACTTGTGTTCAAACAGAGAAGACAGATTGCTAAAGGAAGTTACAAAGCACCTTTAGTTTGAAGTAAATGTTCTTACCTGTGAACTGAAGCAGAGCTGTAAAAAATAAAGAAGTCTGTATCCATTTCAACTCCATCTCTTCTACTTCTTCTTTCTTGTCGTCACACTAACAACTGTCTGAGTTTCTACATTTCGTCTCATCAAAAGGAAATACTACATCTGTTTCCTGGTCTTAGTATGAAGTCATTTCCTGAGAAATTGTCCCTCTTTTTTATCACTTCAATGTCTGCGAACTGTCATCAAGCTGAGTGCGAAGATGCTCTGATCTGTGTCAGCAGATTTATGCTGTCTGTCGCCGCAATGTACCGGTTTGGTTCTAAACCTCCAGTTTTGCAAAGTTTGAATCACTCACAAATTTTATAACACATTTTAGTTCCTTATCTCAATAGGATAGTTCCAGAACCACTAAGATCACCTCGTCAGAGAGGTCTCAAGGCTTTGAAGAAATTATCAGGTATTTGATAAAAGTATTAATTACAGGAGATACTGTATCTATGGTGGCTCTGAAGGTCAATAACAACACTATTTCAGGAAGGAGATTGAGATAAAAACAAAAAATGAATTTTATTTAATATAAAATATGTTTCTGAAAACCCACAGCATTTTACAAAACATGGACATATCTCACATGAACATAAAATACATAAAGAAGTTATAGTCTGAAGAAATCTAAAATAATTTTTTGTGGGGGGGAAATACATTTTTAAGTTTTAAAAACAAAATACAAAAAAGCAAATGTATTTTAAAAACACACACTCACAAAAGTAAAACATTAGAAATAAGATACTTGAAAATATTATATTTTAAAACAAAAAATAAAAAGAGAAATCACAAATAAATCTAAAAATATATATATATTTGAAAATGTGAAAAAAAATTAACATTTTTTAAAATTTACAAACAAATTTTTATGAATGATATACTTCAGAACTCTTTTTTTTAACCACAATCACAAGCTTATTGCAAACACACACACACACACACACACACACACACACACACACACACACACACACACACACACACACACACACACACACACACACACACACACATACTGGAATAGAAATGTTGCTTGTACTTCCTTTAATTAGAAAGGTGTAAAGTCCCCCCCACTTTTTGTCATCTTTCTTTAAATGTACACAGGTCTAAAGTTACTTTCATGAAAGTGAACCTCATCTGATTTTAGTCCCTCTGTCTTCTTTTTGCAGTGAACATCATGTAAATTTATCCTTGTTTGGGTCTGAACAGACCCTGGAAACTTCATCATTTCAAACAAACACAGTTCAACCTTTATAACACCTCTGTCACAGTGACGTTGCTGACTTTTTTTTGGACAATTTTTTCCCCTTTTTGTTGACGGTGGCGTAGAGGCTGCTGGGATCCACAGAGGCCCCAACAGCAGCAGCAGAAGAAGAGGTGGGGGGTTTCACGGTGACGTAGGTTATGGCTCCATCATCATAAACATTGTCAACTGTATCCAGAACCTGCCACACAAACACACAAAATACGGGAGATTAAAGAAAAAAAAAAACTTAAATGAAGAATTTTGTTTATGTTTTAAATTCATCCATCGGCACTTTAGCCAATCAGAACTCTTACCTGAGATGGACTTTTGCTCTTCCTGGTGTAGCTGATAGAGGCGTAGGTGACACCATCTTCAGGATCAGCCTGCGCAGACAACAAAATAGTTTCTCTGAAACACTGACTCATACTTCTTACCAAAGTTGATATATTTAATTCAGTCATTTTATATCTCTGTTGAACGATGTCCAAAAACTGTAGTGTAGTGTAGTGTTTTGGTGGTGCGTGATGTTTATGTACTACCATCAAGCTGATCTATCTCACTTCCTTTTTTATCTTCGTCACACTCTCAAGTCTGCACCTACTTCACTGCTCACCATATCATTCAGGAAATTATCACATTCAAGCGTGTAGCACTGACGTTTATAAGTTTAGTGTTTAGATCTTTGACACGATAAAACTCATCTGAGGAGCTGATAACTTCCTCAGTACAGAGCTGAATCTTCACAGTAAGTGTCATGAAAAATTGATTTAATAAATGTTGTTAATTTGATAAGGACAACGGAAATCACATAGCACAACTTCCACCTGTCCCAAGCACTTTGTAGTAATGGATGTACTGCATATACAGAGATTATCACTTTTGCCTGTTTCCAACTCCTTTGGCACTTGATCAAAAAAAAAAAAATAGAAATAAAATAATAAAACCAGTTTCAGGCATTTAAAAATATCTCAGTGGGTGACTTTGCTGAAGCCTTAAGGAATGTATTGTCAGCATAATGCTGCAATCAGCTCACAAAAGCTTTTAGACTGATTATTAATAAAATAGCAGAAATTCAGTGGGCCCAATATTTAGCCTTGGGGAACACCTATTTTTGATGTATCAAGGGGAAGATTGTCACACGCTGCTCTCTTGACTGTGGATAGGAAAAAAAAAACCTCTGTCCTTGTACTTCATACTTTATATTTTCTAAATTACAAAAAAAAAAGTTAAAAGTAAGGAAAAGTTCAGTGAAATTTCTCATAGAAAGTGTCTGAGAAGTAGAAAGGGACTGTGCAGATCCAAGTTAGCTTGACTTTGTCTTTTGTATCATTTTTAAGCAGACTGTAAACTCCTGGTGAAAACAACTGCTGGTCACTGATGAGCCGACACAAGTAGAACGGTAAGTAATGCTGATAAAATCTGTGCATGTTTAAAACCTTTCCGAACTCATGACAGCAAAGCAGAGTTTGTACTTACATCATTGTCACTCTGTCTGTTACTCCCTGAGAAGACAATATAATGTTTTATTAGTTTCAAACAGGAACAAACAGGTTGTATTAAAATAAAGAGTCGAACAAGTGCCTTTGGTCACCTTTGGCTCTCTTCCATCTGAAGACTTTTACAACAATAAGAGAAAGTGCCATTAATAAAACCACCACAGCCACAGAGACTAGCCATCTGGACCAGTCTGGAAGGAGAATTGAGAAATAACACATTCATGAGCAGATTTCTGTCCCTGATTGCTCTCTTTGCATAAAAACTCACAAGTCTTACCTTGGAAATACAAAGGGCTGTTGTTTGTCGGTGGTGGTGTCTGTGGTGTTTGTTGTGTTCCGTTTTTTGTTGCTCTGCTTCCAGTTGGTCTTGGAGTTGTTGTTCTTGTTGTCAGTTTAGTCAAAGTTGTTGGTTCTGGTGTGTCTGAGTGAATGAATAAAAAAAACAGAGGTAAATGTCCATAAAATCAAAATTTTTGTCAGTTTAAGTGACTTTAAACAGATCTAGATCTTCTCACCTGAGTGCTTAAGCCTAAAGGGAAACAGCTGCTTTTTGTCACTTACAGATACTTCGCACTGCAGTGACTCATATCTGGATCTGAACATGAGGTGATCTGGTCTTAAGGTCACATCAGCACAGCAGAGACGCTTTGATGTATTCACTCCATGGTGACGTCTATCCACAACTTTATCCTCAAACAGCCACTTCACTTCAGCTTTGAGATCTTTATGCGTCCACACAGAGCAGCTTAATGTCACCTCATCATCGTTTTTGAGTTCAGTCACTGTTGAAGATGGAGATATTGTGAGCAGACAGAAAACAGTCAAATATAGCTCAGCTGTGATTACAATTCTTGTAATGTTGCAAGATAAGACGGTTTGAGTTGATACACGAAAATAGAAATACTCACTGTTAACCACAGACAGAAAAACCTGAGCGTCAGGTTCTTGTTGTCCTCTTGGTGGATACTGTAGACAGACATAGAGCCCAGCATCCTTTCCTCTGACCTTCTTTATCAGCAGAGAACAGTCCTCTGTAACACTCAGTCTGTCTGATTTAGATCCAACATCTTCACCAATCTGCCCGTGTTCAACCAGCTTGACTGCTGCTGAGTTTGTTAAATGGCTGAAGGTCCATGTAGTAAATTTACACTCATGTTGATGTTGTATCAGGTTCTCACAAGTCAAAGTAACATCATCTCCAGCTCTGACAATCTGTACTTTATCTCCAGCTGCTGATGTTGAGAAAATAAGAGAAAAGTATGAAAATTAAACTTAATTCAATTTTTTATCAAGTTGGATGATTGTTCTTTCAACAAAGCATCAAAATCTTGTTAAAAAAGCGGTATATTTTCTTCAGTTCAAGATGAATTTAGATGTTTCAAAGTCAATGTATTATTTATCTGCGATATCAGTTTATTGACGTGATTGAGAAATAACACATTCATGAGCAGATTTCTGTCCCTGATTTCTCTCTCTGCATAAAAAATTCACAGGTCTTACCTTGTAAGTACAAAGCGCCTTTGTTTACCAGTGGTGGTTTCTATGTTGTTAGCTTGCCTGTGATTACAATTCTTGTAATGTTTCAAAATAAGATGGTTTGAGTTGATACATGATGATAGAAATACTCACTGTTAACCACAGACAGATAAACATGAGTACCAAGTTCTTGTTGTCCTCTTGGTGGGTAATGTAGACAGACATAACGCCCAACATCCTCCTCTGAGACCTTCTTTATCAGCAGAGAACAGTTCTCTGTAACACTCAGTCTGTCTGATTTAGATCCAACATCGTCACCGATCTGTCCGAGTTTAACCAGCTCGACTGCTGCTGTTGGGTTTGTAAAATGGCTGAAGGCCCATGTGGTAAATTTACACTCATGTCGATGTTGTATCAGGCTCTCACAGATCAAAGTAACATCACCTCCATCTCTGACAGTACGTCCTTTATCTTTAGTCTCTGATGTTGAGAAAATATGAAAAAAGTATGAAAATGAAACTTAATAAATTTTTATAATCAAGTTTGATGATTCTTTTTACAACAAAGCATCAAAAACAAGCTAAACACATTTTCGACACATTTTCTTCGGTTCAAGATGGATTTAGATGTTTCAAATTCAGCGTCTGATTTATCTGTGATATCAGTGCTCTTACCTGTAAAGTGAAGCAGAGCTGTCAGAAATAAAGACATCTGAATCCATTTGAACTCCATGATGGTGATCGTCTGTCTCTCTTCTCCTCACACTTATGATTGAGTTTCTAAAGTAGGTACGTATTAAATGAGATGCTGAATCCACTTCCTCTTCTGAGAATGATGCAACTCTGTAATTGACACTTTAAGTCTGCTTTAAGCTGTCCGTGTCTACAGTCTTTTCTTAGAGTAAAGGAGGAGTATTTAGACAGGATGTGGTTACAGCAACTGGAGAGGAGCTCTGTTAAAAAACGATGCATGCAGGTTTTTGGTCAGTGAGACTCTGCTGTAACAAAGTCTAAAGTAAGATTATTGTTTAAGGAAGGCTTAGTAAACCCACAGAAAGGGTTTTTGGTGTCACTAAAAAGGGTCTCATCTGGATTATCTGGTTACACTAACACTGACAACCATAGTTATCAACCTGATTAATCAACTGAGAGTTTATGAGCTCATAAAAGGGGCGGGGTCAGCAGCATGTGACCGATCACAGACAGGAACAGGTTGGCTGAGCCTCAAATTTAATGGACACAAAGTAAAGTTACACATATTTTGACTAAAATTCATGCAGCTGTGGTGACGAAGTCAAAGAACTTCAGAAATCAAACTTTCTGAGTATTAAGGATCAAACAAAGACTGATCAAATCAGGGCCTGTGTCCACCAGCAGCATTTTTACACTCAGCAGCACCAAAACCTTAATGTGATTCAGGACATCTCCGGCTGCCGGTTGTATGGATGTTACTTTTGAGGACTAAGATGTGCCTCTAGTGCTTACTTACAAGTCTACTTTGGTTCACACTTAAGCTCAGACTTTTTTGGTGTATCGGTGACGTAGATGGTTTTCACCCTCTGAGAAGAAGTAGATGACGAGGACAGAGGAAGCTGAACTTGTAAAGATTGTTCTCTGAGATAAAACTGGTCAGATCTGCAGATTTCTCACAGTTTTTTTCCTGTGAAGTGGAGGGGAAGTATTCTGGTGTAAATGTAGGTTCAACAGCAGCAGCAGAGCTCTGTTAAAGATAACAAACCCCTCAGAGGTTTTTGATCGCTGAGACATTTTACAGAAACTAGGAAGTAAGATCAACAGTTAGAGGAGGCATGTTGAGACCAAAGACAGAATTTTTTGTGTCACCAAACTGAGTCAAGAGAAATAATGAAGCAGAGAAAACTCTCCAGAATGTTTTGATAAACACATTTTTAAAAGCTTCTTGCCTTCTAGGTCATGTTTCACACATGAAGATTTCTCTGGACACACATTCACATTTGTAAACACTAAAATAAAACAATGCCGCCACACTAACTCCACAGAGCAGTATTTCTTGGATGTCTGATTGGTGTTCAGTGTCTCTATTGCGTTTCTTCTCCTCTCAAATAAAGCGTCATAACTCTTCGCCTCAGTTTTTGGCTAGTTTAACAAGTTTACATTTGTATCAAGTATGAGTATCTGACAAACATGTAGATTTATGCTGCGTTCCAGTTGTACTCGGAAGTTGGAAATTCCAAGCTCCGAGTCGTTCTGGGAAATTCATCTGGAACGCCCCCCTGAAGTCGAATTTCCAAGCCGATCCTCGCCAACTCCGACTTGTCGATAACATCATAATCCAAGATGGCAGCCCAGTGCATCAACAGTAAAGAGTGAACACAGAGCTATGGTGTTTGTAAGAGTAAAATACTGTGTTATGCATTGTTTAAAACTGATAAAGCTAACAACAGCTAACAACAACTAACAATAGCTGACAACGGCTAACTGTAGGCGTCCATCTTGGTTTTCCGACTTGTTTATCGGAACGCCATCAACTCAGGTGTAACATCATTCCCAGCTCCGATATCCAACATCCGAGATAACTGGAACACAGCATTAATCTTTTTAAGCTTTCATCAGATTCTCAGAATCAGGTTGTTTGACATAAGCGCTGTTCAACTTCCTTTTTTCACAGTATCCTCTCCAAACTGAGCAGAGATACACGTACATGATAATGCTAAAGCTACCTTCAAATAACACTGACAGAGGACTTTTCTGTAATCAAAGCCAGGACCTTTAGTGGACTCTCATTTCCTGTCTTTGTTGACGTTGCCATAGAGGTCACTGGGATCCATGGAGGCTCTGACAGCAGCAGAAGAAGAAGTGGAGACGTTCACGGTGGCATAGGTCACTGCTCCTTCATCATCATCATCATCACCTTTACCCAAGGCCTGAAAAAAACACAAAATACAGAACACTGTATGACTGAGGAGAAAAGCAGTAAATGAAACATCATGATGAAAACAAAACAACAAATATGAGATGATTGAACTGAAAAGATCAGCAAAACAAGAGACGCTGAAAAATATGAAAATGAAATTAATGTTTAGACGCATCGATGCTACTCATCTCTCCTCACCTGGATTCCTACTCATCTCTCTTCCCTTTGGCCCCAACATATCTCTTCTTGATTTGGTCCTAGCTTATCTTTCCTCTCCTTAATCCCTATTTATCCTTCCTTAACTGGACCTCCACACATCTCTTCTCACCTAGACCCCTTTTATTACTCCCCAATTTGAGCCCTACTCATCTTTCCTTACTTTGGTTCCTACTTAACTCTTCTTACCTTGGTTCCTACTTTAATCTCTTCACCTTAGCCTTTACTCATCTTTCCTCACCTGGATTCCTTCTCACCCCCCCAGCTTGTCTTTTTCTCATTTGTGAGAAAAGCTCCTCACTCTTTTGAGGTTAAATGTCAAAAATAGGAATGAAAAATTGGTTGAAAGTTTTTAAATAAAAAGCCTTGAGTTGATAAAAGTATTAGGTAAATTTGTGTCATCTCTGTCCTCACATGAGCTTTGACCTTTATTTGTGTTTTTTTTTATTTTTATTTTAACCAATCAGGAAGCTTACCTGAACCTGGCTGCTCTTCTTGGTGAAGCTGATGGAGGCGTAGGCGACACCATCTTCAGGATCGGCCTACACAGAGATGACAACAAAAAGGTTTTCTGACACAGTCCAACATTTTTAATTCTGTTTCTTCTGTTAACTCACGTCTTTGAAATGGCGTCCAAAACCAGGGATGTGTAAGGAGGTTTTGGCGCTTTTACAAACAACTGTGTGATACTTTTCTGGTGCAGCCAAGCGGCTTCATCTCACTCACTTTCTTATCGTTCTCACTCTCTGAGGGCTGACCACACTCTGCTGCTCACCACTTTATTCAGGAAACGATAACATCTAAACATGCAGCTCTGATGAGCACTTTGAGCTTGAGCATTATAATTGAATCAAACTTTCTGAGGTGTTAGCAACTCCCTTGACCTCCTACAACATCCGGGTTTAACCCAAAACTTTTCTTTGTCCTCAGAGGACGTGACAGTCAAAATCTGGATCAAACAGGGTTAAGTTAGTTATCTCCTGATGTGTGTCCAGCAATAAAAACAATTAATAGTTGTTAAAAGTATTCATGGGTTAGGTTAACTTTGGTTTCTGCAGGTTTGAGCCTTTGCAGAAAAACAACACATGTGCATTCAGTGTACATTTAAAAAAACTCTAAGTAAACAGAGAAATCTTTGCAAACTTGATTTTTTAGGACTTTTAATGAAGATTTTTGCCTGACAATACTAAAAACTGTTGCAACAGAAGCAAGAGCTGATTTGAACTTAAGCCCCTGACAGTGCAGTCAATGATGTCGACGGGTGGATGAGTGAAGCTAAAATGAACTTTGTGCCCTTTTTGCATCTCCGATTATCATTCTTTCAACTTGCTTAGTCTGAAAAACAAACAGTCTCTTTGTGTGGGAAACTTTCTCAGCTACAGAATATAAAATGTGTAATAAAGCAGTTTTTTAACTCACAGTATTGTCAGTCCTCTCTGTTCCGCTCCCTGAGAAGACAAAAGAAAGAGTGAATTTAAGATACCGGACAGAAAATCCAGTTTATCCAACACTTCATTTGAAAGTCTCACGTTAGCTCCCACCTTTAGCTCTCTTCCACATGATGATGATCACAATGATGATCAGAAGCGCCAGTAAAGCCAGGACAGCCCCGACGATGTACAACCATTGTAGACCTGCAGAATGAGGATAATATTTAAAGCATTTGGAGCAGACTTCTGTCCTCTATCCTTCTACGTCTGTGAAACAGAGAGAGGGAGAGACTGTTGAACAAATACCGTTTACATCTGGATCATCACTCATTGGCTCTGCTGTGGTTTTTGGTGTCATGCTATTTTCAGTCGGTGTTGAAGTTGTTGGGGAGTTTGCTGTACTTTCTTCTTCAGTTGACGGTTGGGTTGGACTTCTTGTAGCTGTGGTTGGTTTTAATTTGTCCTGTTCTTTGTCTGAGCGAATAAATGAACACAAATCAATAGGTAGGTAAGTTCTCAAAGGGCCGATTCACTGTGTGTCTGCAGTGGTCATATGTCCACACAGAGCAGATATCTTATCACCATACTTCAGTTTGATCGCTGTTGAAGATGGAGATATTGTCAGAGAGACAAAAATGGTCAAATAAAGTTCAAACTGTGATCATAGTCAGATCTAGATCTTCTCACCTGAGGGCACAAGTCTGAAGGGGAACAGCTGCTTGTTGTCACGGTCAGTCACTTCACACTGCAGTGACTCATATCTGGATCTGTACATGTGGTGATCTGGTCTTAAGGTCACATCAGAACAGCAGAGACGCTGTGATGTATTCACTCCATGGTGATCTTTATCCACAACTTTACCCTCAAACACCCACTTTACTCCAGGTATGAGATCTTTATGCGTCCACACAGAGCAGCGTAGTGTCACCTTATCACCGTTCTTTAGTTCAGTCACTGTTGAAGATGGAGATATTGTGAGAATGACAGAAAAGAGTCAAATATATTCAGACTGTGATTATAGTTCTTGTAATGTTTCAAAATAAGATGGTTTGAGTTGATACACGATGATGGAAATACTCACTGTTAACCAAAGACAGATAAACTGGAGCATCAGGTTCTTGTTTTCCTTCTGGTGGGTACTGTTGACAGTCGTAACGCCCAACATCCTCCTCTGAGACCTTCTTTATCAGCAGAGAACAGTCCTCTGTAACACTCAGTCTGTCTGATTTAGATCCAACATCTTTACTGATCTGCCCGAGTTTAACCAGCTCTGTCGATTTTGTTTGGTTACTGAAGAGCCATGTGGTAAATCCACACTTAGGTTGCTCTTTTATCAGGTTTTCACAGGTCAAAGAAACATTACCTCCAACACTGACAGTACGCCTTTTACCTTTAGTTGCTGATGCTGAGAAAATAAGAGGAAAGTATGAAAATTAAACTTGATATAATTCTGTCATCAAGTTTAATGATTCTTCTTTCAACAAAGCATCTTTTTAAAAACAAGCAACACATTTTTTTCAGTTTTATGTTTCAAAGTCAGCATCTGATTTATCTGTGATATCATTGTTCTTACCTGTAAAGTGAAGCAGAGCTGTTAGAAATAAAGACATCTGAATCCATGAATCCATTTGAACTCCATGATGGTGATCATCTGACTCACTTCTTCTGCTCTCAGGCTCACGACTGTCTGAGTTTGTTAAGTTGTCTTTATTTATAGAGATGCTGAAACTACTTCCTGTTAACATCATGATGTTGTTTCCTTAGAGTAACCTTAGTTTGCCTTTTGGGCGTCATCTCTACAAAACTCTTAAAGCCATCTTAACAGACAAAATCTGCTTTTATTTTTTATCCAGAAGAACTGACAGAGGTGATTAACTGATGATGATGAAGATGAAGTCAGAGGTCACAGCAGGCTGATGAAGATGCTGTTAGAAACTCGTGTAAAAATGATAAAATGGTTGATCTCAGGGTTAAAAATATATGCAGGGATGTAAAAGTGTACAGAAATGCTTGTAAATCTTCAGTTCACACTTTGTGGAGATCATTGGTGCTTTAGAGACATTTCTAACCCAAACCCTGAGAAAAAACACAAAGGAACTTGAGAAGACTGTCAGTGAGGATAACTATCTGAAAAGTGCAGCTTTCACCTCTTCAGATCATGTTCCTTTAAAAATCAATTTTTGGAGAAGTTTGACAGCAAAGTTTCAACCAGTTTTACATATCAGTCCAGCCCTGGTCTAGAACACGGTCAACTTTTAACAAGGTCTCACTGATTATAAAAGAGGGTCAAAGATGTTCACTGTGACTCAAACTCTGTCAGTAAATGTAGAGAGAATCAAACAGTATGAAGAAATGAGTGATCAATATTTCTTTATTTGCAGATGACACTGTGATCAGATATAATAAAGAGAGGACAAACACTGACTCTCTGAAGACAGCAACAAGACTCTAAACCAAACAGCCTTCCCCTTCAAACACTCAGATATCTCAGCAACATACAAAATAAGATCAACAGCTTATATGTAAAAATGCACAAAATAAATCTGCACATCTACATCCATGTTAATGTATTTTTTTCCCTCTTAACTGGACGTAGACGCCAAAGATTTTCTCCAGTGATGAGACAAAACAAAAATAATTTCTCCTTTCTACAGCAAGCTGGTTACATTTGGATCAAAACAAACTTCAACATTTACTGATTTGTGCAACTTTACAGAAAAAAATCCAAATGAAATCTGGATTTTTAGGAAGTAAAAATACGTAAATAAATGTGTGAAAGCAGGAGGATCATCTGTTGGTTGGTCTGTGGAGTCTGACTGAAGCTGAAGGCTCTTCAACATTTTCATACGTCACTGTGACGTCGTCTCTGTCATAACACACCTTACAGAAAAAAAGAGAGGCGCTCAAAGAGAAGAAAAGAAATGTTGAACTTTAGACCTGATCAGTCTGATCTCACAGCTCCAACTCTGAACTCTGTCATACTCACAGTGAAATCATTAGGAGGTCTGTGGTTCCCTGGAAAAGAAAGCAGAGAGACAGATTTCAGCTCCAAACAACATCAGACTCTGACCCTCATGTTGGTCTGAAGGTTCTCACCTGAAGCTCTGAAGAGAAGAACAGTGATCACAGTGATGAGGACGAGTTCAGACACACGCAGAGACAACATGATCCAGTCCAGGGAAGAACAACCTGACAGGAAACAGAGCATGATGGGACAGAAATGTTTAAAGCTTATTTCTCGTCCCTTAAAAAAGTGTTTCCTTCAGTCATTTGGTCGAAATGAGAGAAAACAGATTAGTAAACACTAATTTCTCAGAAGTTACAGGTGGAGCTTTTAAATCAGCATACTATTAATGAAACTAACAATCAAAACTGTGATGAGGTCGTCATGGTGATATTTAAAAATTAAATTGAAAAAGTCATAATGCCTCACCTGGTTTCTCTCCTGAGGGCTGAAGTCTGAAGGAAAACACTTGGTTATCTACAGTCACTTCACACTGCAGTGACTCATATCTGGATCTGTACATGTAGTGATCAGGCTGAAAGCTCACATCGGCAAAGCAGAGACCTTTTGAAGTCCTTACACTTTGGTCATGTTCAACCACATCTTTACCCTCAAACAGCCACTTCACTGTGTGTTTACAGAGGTAAAGGGACGTCACAGAGCAGGTCAATGTCACGTCGTCATCGTACTTTTGTTGAGTCACTGTTTTAGATGGAGAATCAAATAAAGTTCAGACTGTGATCACAATTCATGTAATTATTCAGTGTAAAATTTTAAGCAGAAAAAATATCAATAGAAATACTCACTGTTAACCCCAGACAGAAAGACTTGAGCGTTTGGTTCTTGTCTTCCTCTTGGTGGGTACTGTCGACATTCATAACGCCCAACATCATCCTCTCTGACCTTCTTTATCAGCAGAGAACAGTCCTCTGTCACACTCAGTCTGTCTGATTTAGATCCAACATCTTCACTTACCTGCCCGAGTTTAACCAGCTCGACTGCTGCTGCTGAGTTAGAAGAATGGCTGAAGGTCCATGTAGTAAAGTTACACTCATGTTGATCTTTTATCAGGTTCTCACAGGTCAAAGGGATGTTGTCTCCAACTCTGACAGTGAGGTCAAGTGGTTGTACTTCTGTGGCTGAAATACGAGAAATATATGAGAATTTAATTCAGTGAGAAAATTTTACTTGTGTTTTATTTCAATCTTGTTGTGTTAAAAGTCAAATAATTAAAAAGCTCCTCTAAGTCACCTGTGATATCAGCGTTCTCACCTGTAAAGTGAAGCAGAGCTGTTAGAAATAAAGACATCTGAATCCATTTGAACTCCATGATGGTGAATGTCTGTCTCTTCTTCTGCTCTCACACTCACGACTGTCTGAGTTTGTAAAGTTGTCCTTATTAGGAGAGATGCTCATCACCCTTCCTTTTCTCAGCATGACATCACCTCCTCTTATGACTCCCATCAACTCTGTTGAAATCATCAAATCAATGAATGTGTTGCTGTTGCAAAATAGCCATAAACTCTGTAATCTACTAGTATTGTTAACATGGTTAAATGTATTTCATTCTGACTTAGATTACTTAAATTTTGGTGAGGTAATAGAGGTGTTTTTTACTTCTTGAGAGCAGAGGAAGTGGAAGGAGTTAAGATTGTCTGTTCAGATAAAGTATGGTGCAACTTTTCTGTAGACTGTTTATGAGAAAACAGGTAGGATTAATACAGAAAACAAGTTATAGAACCAACCAACTCACTCTTCGACATTAGAGTCTAAATCGTCAAATGCAGAGCAAAGAAACAGATGAATAAAAGTTAAAGGTGGGGTAGGCAGGATCTAAGGAAGTGCCAGTTTTTGGGAGAAATCTTGAATGTAAACACTACCCCTACCAACCAGTTTTCCCCTCAGCTCCTCCTCTCCTCTCTCTGCTCCAGAAAGCCCCGCCCACAAACAGATGCTCCTGCTTGCTCGTATCGTTTCAGTTCAACTCAGATATAATGCAGATAAATACTTCAGATGATCACAAAATGGGGCCCAGTCAGTGTGAAAGTAAAAATCATTGGTGCTACTGTAGATGCCAACAGACTACCAGCAAACACAATGTTTTCAGGACTTCTACAACTAGGATAAAGTGACATACTCCGAGGTAAACAGTTAAGCAGCGCTAAGACCCGCAGCAGGTCCCGATTGACAAGAAACATTTCTGTTACAGACACTTGTCTCACTTTGTTAAAGCGGTTTACCTGTCCAGCAGAAAGGTTACAGGGTCCGTAAGATCCTGAAGCGTCCTCCATCATTTTATGTTGACCCGGCTTTTTAGCTATTGTCTGGGTAGTCTATCTCCTTTTGAAGCACCCGTTAGTCCACCAGAGTCTCTGGTATTTACTTTGTTTTCTTGCTAGTGTCTTCCGTACTTTCTGGTTGGTTTCTACTGTCCAATATTGTAGCACGCTAACTTTGTTTGGGCTTGTTAACAACACAGCGGAATAATGTCTGCCTCACAACCAATCAGCACTAAGGAGCAGCGTCCGCCTCACAACCAATCAGGTTGGGAAGGAGGGGAATGGTTTTGTTTACAGTCAGAAAGAGTGGGCCGCCCAAAAATTGTAACATCAGATGAAATAAATTAAAGCAGCAAGACCAAATAAAGGAGGGTGAACAGTCTGATTGAATTGTTACTCTTTTGTTATAAAGTTTGACAACATGATAAAAAAATCTGCAAATTCTAAAAAGTATACCATCCATAGACAATAGAGGTAAGTTGTTTTTTTAACAGGATGCCTGAACCAAAGACCAAAAGATGAAACAAAAGGAAGAAAAGTCATAAAGCAGAATTTTAACATTCAAATAGAAAAAAAACCTTAGCATTTGAAATGAGATTTTGAATACTTAATATTTTACATGAAGATACTTCGTCCTGCATGTTTTGGATGTTTCCCTGCTCCAACACACCTGATTCAAATGATCAGCTCGTTATCAAGCTCTGAAATGGCTTATTAACGAGCTGATCAATTGAATCAGGTGTGTTGAAGCAGGGAAACATCCAAAACATGCAGGACAGTGGGCCTTGAGGACTGGACTTGAGAACCACTGGGCTATAGAGTGGCTTTTTGGTTGAGGTGTGTGCATTGACTCCTTTGACCACTGTGTGTTGCTATCATGTGGTTGTTACTAAAGTTGGTGTAACAAGAGAAGCAAGTGGTCGGCAACATTCATCTCTGAAGGGAATGTCTAACTTGGTGTTACCATGTGTTTGACCCCCAATTAAATTTAAGCTGGAATAACCCTTTAAGGTGAAACGAACTTACTGGCCGAATTTCAGACTTCTAGGTTGAACAAGATTCAGGGGCTGCACTTTTAAGTAAGTAACGGGGGCACCACAGAGTCACAGAGCCACATCCTCAATAAAAAAACTAACGTGACCTGTCTGTTTCTTTAACCAAGTTTGGTTACCATGCACGTATCCTTCCCTCCATCATCATTAAAAAAAAAAACAGTTTCATGTCAAACAGTTCTTTAAAAAATATGTTTCCAAATATTTAAAGGTCTGGGCCAGCCGAGCTGAGTTCATATTGGTGCTGAAGATGCTGTTCTTTGAACCTGAAATCTGAATGGAACAGAAGTCCTCAAATTTTCATAGGTCACCGTGCCGTCAGATTCATCAGGACACACCTGTGAGATAAAGAAAAGAGTTAAAAACCAACTACAGGTCATTACTGCAAACTCTGATTTTTTTTTTTTTTTTTGTGTTTGTTTGTTGTTGTTTTTTTAGGAACAAATAAAAAGAAAATATTGTGCTTTAAAACTCACCCTGTTTTCACCGCTCTGAGTTAAGTCCCCTGAAGAGTTGAGAGAGAAAGAGTCAACTTCAGCCTCCACAAAGAAAAGGATCTCCACACAAACTTGTCTGTCATGAGTTTCATGTTTGAATGTTCTCACCTTTGGTTCTGGTCCAAACACTGACCGTCACAGATGTTATCATGAGAGCTGATAAACCCACAGACACAATGAGGAACCTCCACCAGGCTGAAAAACAATGAAAACATATCAAACACTTCAGCTCTACATTTGACCAAAAAAGAGGCAAAAACGAACACACTTCTAAGAAAACAAAACTTTTTAATGAAATCTGAATCTATTTGAAGAGATACAAACAGGATCTCATAATTTAAGAACTATTAAATCTGTATTTTTCAGACCACAGGACTTTCAGTTATCAGGGCCCCTGTTAAAGGAAGTTCTTCCTCCCCACTGTGACTTGATTAATGTGGTTGAAGATGAGATGGGAGTGGGTCTGATCTTACAGGATGGAGCTCAGTCTGATCCAATCTTTTCACTGGGTGTTTGTAAATTGAGTCTGGTCTAGACCAGCTTTTACTTGTTAAGCGTCTTGGGAAAACACCTGTTGTAATTTGGCGCTGAATTAATTAAGATTGATAGTTTTCCACTATCTCAAATAGGCTCAGGCCTAGAGCGATTCCAGGGTTTCTTGACGATGTTAGTAAGTGGTTTTCTCTTTGTGTGGTACAATTTTGACCTGCATTCGATTATTCAGTAACAGAGACAATGGCTTCTGGGGTTGATTTTCAGCCCATGCTGTGATTTCCACTTCAGAGCCATGTCTGTTTTTAATGCAATGCCACTTGAGAACCTTAAGACCATGGCCACCGAGTTCTGGTTTTGGTCCTTGTCCCCTTTGTACAGAGTTTTGTCTTTATGTGCTGTAGATCATAAATTCCCCAAATATTTCTGGTTTTATGCTGAGGAACATTATTCTGAAATATTAGCTCACGCAGTCTCTCACAGAGTGATGAACCTCCCCCATCATACCCAGTCGTGTTTCTATCCTGCTTCAATTTCCTTTTCATTCATTGGGAGATGTTTCTATTTTTAGCATCAGTCTCTGTTAAATTGAAATGTTGATTAAAAAGTATTGAGTACCTCTGTCATCTGAAGTTTCATGGTTTTCAGACACTGCTGTGGTCTCTGTTGGTATTCGGCTTTCAGTTGTTCTTGGTGCCGCTGGAGTTGCTCGATTAAATTTGTCATCATTTTTGACCTCACCTTAATGAATGACGATAACTCATCAAACTTTAAATCGATAAAATCAACAGAATTTTCAGTTATCAGTTTAAACAGACCAAAATATTCTCACCTGGTTCCTCTCCTGAGGACTGTAGTCTGAAGGGAAACAGCAGCACTTTTTTATCTACAGTCACTTCACACTGCAGTGAGTCATATCTGGATCTGTACATGTGGTGATGAGCTTGTAAGGTCACATTAGCATAGCAGAGACCATGTGATGTTCTCATGCTGTGGTGATGTTCCTCCATATCTCTACCCTCAAACAGCCACTTCACTGTGTGTCTACAGTAGTCGAATGGCGTCACAGAGCAGCTCAACATCATCCATTCACCCCTCTGATGCTCAGTCACTGTTGAAGATGAAGGAAAATTAATTTGATGAATAATTACAGTTTGAACAAGATGGTTTGAGCCAAAAACATGATGATAGAAATACTCACTGCTAACAACAGACAGGAAAACTGGAGCGTCAGGTGCTTGTCTTCCTCCTGGTGGGTACTGTTGACAGGCATATAGACCAGCATCCTCCTCTGAGACCTTCTTTATCTGCAGAGAACAGTCCTCTGTAATACTCAGTCTGTCTGATTTAAATCCAACACGTTCATCAATCTGCCCGTGTTCAACCAGCTCTACTGTTATGTTTTTGAAATCACTAAAGATCCAGGAAGTGTAGCGACACTTAAGTTGATCCTTTATCAGATTTTCACAGGGCAGAGTGGCGCCAGCTTCATCTCTGACAATGCGGTGGGAATTTTTGACTCCAGCTGCTGCTGAGACAATGAGAGAAAATAAGATTATTAATTTAAAACTCCTGTGAGTAACATTTATTTTCTGTTGGTTTTGACACCCCCCTCTTGAGAAGCAATATACATCTGCTGATTTTGCTCTGCAGATGTGTAAAATGTGAATCTGTTCTTTTTCTTAAAACAGTCGATGGATAAAAAATCTCTGCTGTGGAAAACATAAAGAAGGCTGATTGGGTAGTTAGCAGCTAATGATCCCTTGTGACACCTACCTAAGGCATAGATAGTATCTTCTGATCGTGTTGTTTGCTTTTACAGTTCATACAGAGGAAACAGTCATAAATGCAGTCTGCTTCTTAACCAGCTAGAAACTCCCCAGAGGAGCTTTGATCGTTAAACACTGTAATCATCACAGTCAGTGCGGCATCAATTCCTCATCCTCGATTTACAAGAGCTCATAAACTCATCGTGTTAGAGAAGAACACCGAATTTCTAAGAAAGTAACCAAGAACCTTCAACAATTATCAGATATGAATAATCCTACCTGTAAAGTGAAGCAGAGCTGTTAGGAACAGAGACATCTGAATCCATTTGAACTCCATGATATGAAGCTTGTCTCTCTGATCTTGTACAACACTCAGAGCTCTTAAAGAAATCTTGACTCAAAGGGATGTTGAATCTACTTCCTTTTCTCAGGGTGAAGTCACCTCCACAAAATGACATCACCTGGTTTAGGTCTGCATCTCTACTTAATTATTTAAAATGTATTTTTTGAATGTCAAACACACAACTACCATTCTTTTTCATATATATAAAAATCTGTTGCAGTGACATTTGAAAATATTGATTATAAACTCTCTTTGGGTCTCAGTGTGCACAGATCCTTTGCGGTTGTTTTCTGCTCACTGAAAAGAAGAAGGGGACAGAGGAAGCTGAGGGTGTGAAGACTAAGTTTAAATTGGTACCAAAAACATGACGTTAAAGGATGTTAAGAAAATAGCTTTCTAAAGATGTGCATGTTCCTTTTAAACTGATTTGAATGATCACAGCCTTGAACGTGTCTGTCATCAGCAGATCCTCATGACTACAAACTGAGAGAAACTTTAATATCAGAAAAATATAAAGTCTATCAACATTGTGACAAATACTGCAAAGACAGTAGCAATAGGGCTTTATTCTCATGGCGCGTCTTTAAGTTTTCACCTTTTTACCTCAGCTGTAGCTCTGATGAAGTCAGAGGGATATGAAGTTCATGAGGGCCTGTGTCCACTAGCAACATTTTGCACCCATAACCTCAATTTCCAAGTCCTCCTCATTGGCACTTAATGTTTCTTGTTTGGGAGGCTGTTTCAGCACTCGTCCCTTTGCTCTCTTGTCAGGTCTGTTTTGAAATGTTATGCTATATCCTTCACATTTTCAAGGAAAATCTGATTAAACAGTGTAAAAGTTAAGTCAAAGTCAAGATAATTCAGGTCGTATTTTCATCTGCGAACACAGAAAGAGTTGATTTTGAAAATTCTTCTCTTGAAGTTGACATCAATTGTATTTCTGTGCTCAGAAGGCTAAGCGGCATTTGTTTGTATAGAAAAAAAGTTAGCTTAAAACACTGGTAGTGGACATAGGCCCTTAAAGAGAGTATGAAGTTGTCAGTGAAAGCAGGTACTCCTGTAGGTTTACATCTCAAACTACCAAAAATCAACAACTTCCTACGACTTTAATTTGTTTCTTTTAAAAAATCTGACACAGACAGTCAAGTCAAACTTAAACTACTCTTTTCCCTCCTCTCCTCTCTTGATCAGTCTGGTTACACACTAGAGATCACACACATAGGACAGCTCTGACCAAATTTTAGCATTTCAGTCCTCTAAACACACACTATCCGATTCTGACCCATCTGCATGTATTGTCATAAATTAAAATGATCATAGCTGTACAATCAAAGCTTTAGCCTAAACCACCAACATAAAGGAGGAAGTTTACTTTGATTATTAGTTTGTTTGTGACTCATAAAACTCTGTAGAATTTAGTGGTAAATATGTCTTTATTTGCAGATGATACTGTGATAAGATGAGACAAAGAAAAGAAAAACAGCATTTCATCAAAGCATACATATCTCATGAAATCAACCTGCAACAAGGTCAATTCATAGAAGAAGGTCTTCTGCAAATATTTGGAGTGGTTTAAAGGTTGTAAAGGACATTCATAACAAATGTGAAGGACATTTTGCAGGATGTTGAAGTTGGAGATGTTGGTCAGCAGAGTCTGTTTGAAGCTGAAGGCTCTTCAACATTTTCATACGTCACTGTGATGTCGTCTCTGTCATAACACACCTGACAGAAAAAAACAGAGGAGCTCAAAGAGAAGAAAAGAAATGTTGAACTTTAGACCTGATCAGTCTGATCTCACAGCTCCAACTCTGAACTCTGTCATACTCACAGTGAAATCATCAGGAGGTCTGTGGTTCCCTGGAAAAGAAAGCAGAGAGACAGATTTCAGCTCCAAACAACATCAGTCTGACCCTCATGTTGGTCTGAAGGTTCTCACCTGAAGCTCTGAAGAGAAGAACAGTGATCACAGTGATGAGGACGAGTTCAGACACACGCAGAGACAACATGATCCAGTCCAGGAACGAACAACCTGACAGGAAACAGAGCATGATGGGAGCTCATTTCTCGTCCCTTAAAAGTGTTTGGTCAGTGTAATGAATGTTAATTGTGTGGAGCATCTTAGCGCTCAACTATCTTTGTTTGATCTGGGGGCATTGTGGGTACCAGGAGCTCAGGAGCATGTGTAGTAACACCTCCTATCATTGTTGTGGAGTTACCATCTTTGCCAGTAAAGTACACAGAAACGAAGCCTCGGACTCAGTGTGTGTTTAATGTCAGTATAAAAGTCTACAGACATTAAAGTCAGTATGAGAGAAAACAGATTTGTAAACACTGATTTCTCAGAGGTTACAGGTGGAGCCTTTAAATCAGCCCAAACCAACAATCAAAACTGGAAAACCAACAACATCAAACAGAGAAACAAGCTGCAGTTCGGATCTGAAAGTTCTTCTGACTCCACTTATTTGTTACCTGAGAATTTAAATGCTGACTCACCACCATGTAGATTTGCTGAATCATCATTTATTGCAGACTCTGTTGTTTTAATTCCTGTTTTGAAGCTGCTTTCAGTCGGTGTTTTGAAGTGTGTTGTTTTTGTGTCCTTACCTAAAACTGAAAAAAGTGTGATGAGGTCTTTAAATAAACTTGATGTTGATATTTGAAAATAAAACTTAAAAAAATTCCACTTGAAATGAGTCATAATGCTTTACCTGGTTTCTCTCCTGAGGGCTGAAGTCTGAAGGGAAACAGCTGCTTGTTGTCACCTAGAGTCACTTCACAGTGCAGTGACTCATATCTGGATCTGTACATGTCGTGATCAGGCTGAAAGCTCACATAGACAACGCAGAGACTCTTTGGTGTCCTCACACTTGGGTGATGTTCCTCCATTTCTCTACCCTCAAACAGCCACTTCACTGTGTGTTTACATGAGTCAAATGGGATCACAGTGCAGCTCAACCTCACCTCATCATTGTACTTCTGTTCAGTCACTGTTTTAGATGGAGATATTATCAGAAAGACAGAAAAGAGTCAAATAAAGTTCAGGCTGTGATCATAACTCGTGTAATTATTTGGTTTAAAATTTTGAGCTGAAAAATTTAAGATAGAAATACTCACTGTAAACCACAGACAGAAAAACAACAGCGTTTGGTTCCTGTCTTCCTCCAGGCGTGTACTGTTGACAGTAATAGCGCCCAACATCCTCCTCTCTGACCTTCTTTATCAGCAGAGAACAGTCTTTTGTAACACTCAGTCTGTCTGATTTAGGTCCAACATCTTCACCAATCTGCCCGTGAGTAACCTGCTCGACTGTTTTTGAATTTGTAAATTGGCCGAAGAACCATGTAGTAAAGTTACACTGGTGTTGATCTTTTATCAGGTTTTCACAGGTCAAAGTGACGTCAACTCCAACTCTGACAGTGAGGTCGAGAGGTTTGACTTTTGCCGCTGAAATATGAGAAAATTATGAGAATATAAATCAGTGAGAAAATAAGTGTTTGCTGTGTTTTGTTTAAATCTTGTTGTGTTAAAAGTCAAATCGTTAAAAAGCTCTTCTAACCCACCTGTGATATCAGTGTTCTTACCTGTAAAGTGAAGCAGAGCTGTTAGAAATAAAGACATCTGAATCCATTTGAACTCCATGATGGTGATCGTCGGTCTCTCTTCTTTTGCTCTCACACTCATGACTGTCTTAGTTTGTAAAGTTGTCCTTATTAAAAGAGATGCTGAAACTACTTCCTGTTGATAGTGTGATGTTGTTTCCTTTAGAGTAACCTTAGTTTGCCTTTTGGGCGTAAGGGTTTCTAAAGTTGTCCTTATTTAGAGAGCTGCTTATCGCCCTTTCTTTTCTCAGCATGACATCACTTCCTCTCATGATTATCATCGTTAATGCTAATCCACTGACAGACATGATAAAGTAATGATGATGAAGATGGTCAGGAAAGAGGTCACAGAGGTCACAGCAGACTGATGAGTTTCCTGTTAAATTGGAATTATTGTGCAATGATAGAAAAGTGACTAAATGGAGGGGGGCAGTGCCTTGAGAGGAAGATGAGGAACCAGGAAGTTGAAGGTGTGAAGACAAACTTTTTTTCTTCAGACAAAATATCAGAGAAAACAGAGACAACCTAGAGAGATTTTCTGAGGTTGAAACCATGGAAACAAGACAGAAATCAAACATTTTAAGTTTTAAGTTGTGGTTGAATCAAGTTGTATAGGCGTCTAAGGCTGAGGATTTACACAGACATGAACATGTTGACAGATCTTTAGAGTAAACCGTGATATCAGATATATGAGGAAGTTGAATTCAGACCAGATCAAAATTAATTCAGCTGTGGTGACAAATCCACAAAGAACTTTTCAAGAGATACAAATAGGATCTCATAATTAAAGAACTCTTAAGTCTGTATTTGTCAGACAGGACTTACAGTTATCAGGTACTTCTCTTCTGGATCCATTTACCAGTCAAAGGTCTGGGTGCCGACACCCTCTCTACCTTTAGGAGCAGGCTTAGTGACAGTCCTCTGTAATAGTCAGTTTTTAAGAGTTTTTAAGTCTGCTTTTAGGATTCGACATCTTTAGCTCACTACTCTATCTTGATGTTGTGAGTTGTGAGCTACGCTTATTTTTATATGTTGTTAATTCTGATTCAAAGTGACTGACAGAGATGATAAAGTAATGATGATGAGGATGAGAAGCAGAATCAGTGAAGAGGTCAGAGGTGATGCCATCTTTTATCTTTTATCTCTTTTATCTTTTATCTGTCACCTCTTATCTCTTTTACCTCTTTGTACTTCTGTTTTTTAAAAGTGCTATACAAATAAAGTTAATAAAGTTATCAGAGGTCAGGTCAAAATCAGAGTGCAAAGAGGATAAAACACAATTTTTTTCTTCTATAGGTGCTGCATTTAAGAAAACAGCCACTGGTTAAAATGAGCAAAACAGAGAAAAGTTGAACTTCCTGACCTCCACAGAAGAATCTGTTTGATCCCTGTGAGAACAAGCACAGATACTATGACGTGTTAGTGGTCTGGGATTTTGTGGTTCCTCACTTTTGGTCCTAGCTAAGAGCAGAGAGGAAGCATTTTGTGAAAATGTGGGTACAATAACAACAGCAGAGCCATGTAGAAAAATCACTCGAGGATTTCGGTCGGTCAGATTTGTAACACTAAGGTGGTGGAGGAGCATCAGGCTGAAACATGAATGAGTGAGATCAGAGATGTAGCAGGTGTTTGCTCTGTCATGCAATATTTTAAAAATCAGACACAAACATTCATCTCTGACACCAAGTTGCATTTTAATCTGGTAATAACAGGTGTAAATTTATTTTTTTAATGGTCACATCAATGATAAAAAGTTCCAGCAACAAAAAATATACAACAGCGTTTACACAATTACAATGGCAAAATATGAGAAAACAGCAGAAACTAATAAAAATGTCTGCCAAATGATCAAGCCTGACAGGAGGACACCTGGGTCAGTTAACCATTGAAAGATATACAAAAATAATTTCCCCAAATGTGCTTTTGTTATTCAAAATTCAGAAATACTCAGAATCATGACGTAAAAAAAAAAATAAACAAATCACTCAGGAGTACAGTGTTGCAGCGAGATTTACACCCACAGTTATGACTGAAGTGGTGACACTTTGGACTGGTATTTCTTCTCGTTGTTGATGGTGGCTTAGAGGTTGTTGGGCTCCAATGAGGCTCCGACATCTGCAGCAGCAGCAGCAGGAGAAGAAAAAGAAGAAGAGGAGGCTTTCACTGTGGCGTAGGTCAGTGCTTCATCTTGATTATCAACTTTACTGAGAACCTGCATTAGCATATACAAACAGGGCATTGCATTAGTACAGCAACGATGATAATATTTATGATGATAAACGTTACTCTTAAAACACTTTTTTAAAACGGGGTTGAAAAGTGCTTTACACTATAAAAGACAAATGTAGAGAATACACTTACTAAACATTAAAGGTATTCAAATGAAACTATTGTAATTTAACAACATAACAATGAAAGAAATGCATAAATAGATAGCGAAATAGATGAGAGAGATTAATGGAAAAGTTAAAAAGAAATAAAGTAAAAGAAAAGATTCACACCACAAAAGACCACCATAAAACAACTTAAAAAGACTTAAAACCACAAACAGAAAGAGGGAAATAAAACAACATTTGAAAGGGAAAAAAGCCAGAAAAATTTAAAACAATCATTAAAAAAATAAAATAAATAAAAAAAGGTGGTAGAACTGCTAAAAACAGGAATGAAAGCAGCATTTAAATGATCAAAACATGCAAATATGTTTTTAAAAGAAGAAGAAGAAGAAGAAGAAATATAAGAAGAAGAAATAGAAGAAGCTTTATTGTCATTGTATAGGAATACAATGAAATTTCATTTGGCAGCATCTCTCTTTTTTAAAAGATGATTTAGAGGTTGCCTTTTAAGATCTCTTCAAGGAGGTTGTTTCAGAAATTGGAGGTTTCTGACGGAAAAGGCTCGGCCACCTTTAGTCCTTTCCTCTGTGGAGTGGTTAGCAGACCCACAGCTGAGGACCTCAGGTTACAACCAGGTACTTGCAAAGTGAGGAGGTCATAATACCCAAGTGCCTTAAGAATGGATGATAAAAACTTTAAATCAATTTTAAAGCTTACCTGGGGCCAAAGAAATAAAGCTTAAAGAGGAGCTATCTGATCCATTTTTTTTAGTTGTAGTAAGGAGGCAGGCTGATGTATTATGGGAAAGCATGACTGACGGTCTCAGTTTCTTTTAAGATTTAGCTGCAGGAGATTCTGAGACACCCGACATTTCCTGCCTCTGATACAGTTGTTTAGTGTGAAAGACAGGTACAACTGGAAATCATCCGTGTATGAGTGAAAACTTGCATTACGTCTGTAAATGATTAGGAATAATAAGGAAGGAAAAGGAATGGTCTGAGGACTGACCCCTGGGGGATCCCACAGGTCAGCTTCACACTAGATGATTGTGAGCTGCCCATTGGCTCCTTAAAAGACCAGTCCTGCCTAGTAAAACAAGTGAATGCACCTTTATGGAGTGTGTAAAATAACACTGCACCGAACTATGAAATACAAAAATGACATGACGATGGGAGTAAATTTTCAGATCAGAAGCCAATCACAGCTTTATCTGTACATGTTAGTAAACAGCTGTTAAATGACGCTCTTTTAAATAAAGATGATCATTTTCAATAAATTAATAAACAGAGAATCTTAATAGTGTTTCTGATTTATATCCATTGTCACTTTAACCAATCAGAGAACTTACCCGAGCTTGACTTTTGGTCTTCTTGCCGTAGCTGATGGAGGCATAGGTGATACCGTCTTCAGGATCAGCCTACACAACAAAAGAAGACAAAAATAATGGACTTCATAGCACCCAGGGGTGTGAAAAACTGGGTCTGAAGTCTTCGGTCTCTGGTGATACAGAGGAGTTTTGCATCGTGCTCGCAGAAACAGTCACACAACATACACAGTGCTTTTTAAACTCACAGTGTTGCTGTTTCTCTGTGTTTTCTCCCCTGTGAAGACAAAAAAGAGACTGAAATCCAGCTTCAAAACTGAAAAATAACTCTATAAATCTTTCTTAATAGTTCACTTTAATGTCTGCTCTCACCTTGAGTTTTCTTCCATCTGAAAGCGATCACAACAATGATAAAGAATGTCATGATGGGCACCACAGCTACAGTGACGTACAACCACAGCCGATCTGAAAGATAAGGGCAGATTTTTGAGCCAAATGTGAAACAGAGGGAGGAAGAGATAGTGGGAAATTACAAATAAATATCAAGTTTGAGCTTTTGTGATGTGAGGGGGCATTGTCAGATTAAACCAAAGCAGTAAAGGTAGCTATTAACATGGGTCAAAGTGACTTTAAACAGATCAAAATCTTCTCACCTGGTTTCTCTCCTGAGGGCTGAAGTCTAAAGGGAAACAAGTTCACTTTGTCTTCTACTTTTACTTCACACTGCAGTGACTCAAATCTGGATTTGTACACAAACTGGGTGATCCCAAAGTCTGCAGAGGAGCTGCAAGAAGGCTGTGATCCTGATACACTTGGAATATGTACACCAACAGCTTCTCCATCGAACATCCACTTCACTGTGTGTCTACAAGTTTCGTGTGTCCACACAGAGCAGATCAACGTCGCAGAATCACCGTTCTGCACTTCAGTCACTGAAGATAAGACGAGTTTTATGCTTCAATTTCAGTTTACAGTTTGAGCTGAAAACATAATGATAGAATACTTACTGCTAACAACAGACAGATAAACATCAGGTTCTTGTTTCCTTCCTGTTGGGTACTCTTGACAGTAATATAGACCAGCATCATCCACTCTGACCTTCTTTATCAGCAGAGAACAGTTCTCTGTAACACTCAGTCTGTCTGATTTAAATCTAAGATCTCCAACAATCTGACCGAGTTTAACCGGCTCTGTTTCATTTCTCGAATCAGTGAAGATCAATGTAGTGAAGTTACACTGATCTCGATCTCTTACCACATTTTGACAGGGCAGAGTGATGTTATCTCCAACTCTGACAGCGAGGTAGAGAGTCCTGAACTCAGCTGCTGTTGAGAAAATAAAAAAATAAAAAACAAGAGCTCATGATCTCTGATAGAGCCAAACAACAGATCACCAAAGTTCCTTGAATAATCATATTAAATAAGTATCCTTACCTGAGACCTGAAGCAGAGCTGTTAGAAACAAAGACACATGAATCCATTTGGACGCCATTATCATGATCGCCTGTCTCTCTTCTTCTAACGCTGGTGTGTGACGTCTCTTTATTAATAGTGGTGCTAAATCTACTTCCTTTCTGTCTCAGTATGATGTCACTTCCTCACTGTGACTGTCTGCATAACATCTTCACATCTTCACGATTAAATCCATAAAGCAGCTGAAGATAAACCAGTGTCAAAAATCATCGATCACAGGTCAGATGTTTGTGTAGTACCTGTATTTCTGAGCCGACATAAATGATCAGTTCTGTGACTGAGACATGATAGTCGTTTGTCACCTCATGAGAGGAGGAAGAGGATGTAGGGAGGTTGTGGGTGTGAAGATATTTCTCAGAGATCTGCTATCTTTGAAGTGCTGCTTCAGAAAAATGTTTGACAGCAAACATGTTGTGTTTAAGAAGGCTCCATTTAAAACTCCAGGATTTCTAAGAAGTTTCTGTGACCCACTGGTGCTGTCGGTAAAATGTAAGTGGTTATGATTAGAAAGGGATGATCAATCAGTCCATCAAGCTTTATTAAAATAGTAATGGTTCAAACCAGATGTCTTATTTGTAGAACTGTAATAAACAGGAAGTCAACGGCATCTACTAGTAAAGTTGAAGAAGTGACCTGCTGCCCTGCTTTTTAAAGTTTTCCTATGAGTGTGTTGTTATCCCAAATTTGTTTTAGTGTGATAATCATTAGTTAAAAAATGTCAGTGAACGCTTTATGTGCATTACTTCATTTTTTTATTTTCCCTTTCCATAGAAACTCATTTGGGTAAAGAGTCCTTGATTAAAACCATTAGAGACTATTTTTTTGGTACAGTAAAGCCTTAGTTTAAACTTTAACAAGGTTTCGTTGATTATGAAGGGGGGTCAAAGATGTTCACTGTGACTCAAACTCTGTCAGTAAATGTAGAAAAAATCCAACTGTCTGTTGAAATGAGTGATCAATATTTCTTTATTTACAGATGACACTGTGATTAGATATAATAAAGAGAGGACAAACACTGACTCTCTAAAGACAGCAACAAGACTTGAAACCAAACAGCCTTCCCCTTCAAACACTCAGATATCTCAGTAACATACAAAATAATATCAACAGCTTATATGTAAAAATGCACAAAATAAATCTGCACATCTACATCCATGTTAATGTTTTTTTTCTCTTAACTGGACGCAGACGCTAAAGATTTTCTCCAGTGATGAGTCAAAACAAAAATAACTTCTTTCTACAGCAAGCTGATACATTTGGATCAAAACAAACTTCAACATTTATTGATTTGTGCAACTTTACAGAAAAAATCCAAGTAAAATCTGAATTTTTATGAAGTAAAAATACATAAAAAAATGTGTGAAAGCAGGAGGATCATCTGTTGGTTGGTCTGTGGAGTCTGACTGAAGCTGAAGGCTCTTCAACATTTTCATACGTCACTGTGACGTCTTCTCTGTCATAACACACCTGACAGAAAAAAACAGAGGAGCTCAAAGAGAAGAAATGAAATCTTGAACTTTAGACCTGATCAGTCTGATCTCAGAGCTCCAACTCTGAACTCTGCCATACTCACAGTGAAATCATCAGGAGGTCTGTGGTTCCCTGGAAAAGAAAGCAGAGAGACAGATTTCAACTTCAAACAACATCAGTCTGAACTCATGTTGGTCTGAAGGTTCTCACCTGAAGCTCTGAAGAGAAGAACAGTGATCACAGTGATGAGGACGAGTTCAGACACACGCAGAGACAACATGATCCAGTCTAGGGAAGAACAACCTGACAGGAAACAGAGCATGATGGGACAGAAATGTTTAAAGATTCTTTCTCATCCCTTAAAAAGTGTTTGGTCAGTATGAGAGAAAACAGATTTGTAAACACTGATTTCTCAGAGGTTACAGGTGAAGCCTTTAAATCAGCCCAAACCAACAATCAAAACTGGAAAACCAACAACATCAAACAGAGAAACAAGCTGCAGTTCGGATCTGAAAGTTCCTCTCACTGCATCTGCAAGAGTTCTATTTTTTCCAGAGCATGCCGGATAAATTCAGAACAGATTAGTCTGTGCTGAAAAGGAAACGGGCACAAACACAAAATAAAACATCCGGCTTCTTTTCAAAATAAAACACTCCGTGTTTCAGGTGGATAGGATTACACACCATGCAAACAGGCGGGGACGAACAAGTAAAAGGGTTGTAGACAGCATTTCATCCCGATAACACCATAGATGAGAGGATGCTGATTTTATAAGCCTAGAAGTAGTTTTCCTCCTCTGGAAGGACACGATCTACTGCTTATAAGGTTAGCCTCCGTGGCTAAAGACAATTTGTTATCGCGCAATTGCACGTGAATCAGCGGGTTCATGTGAGTTCTCACGTTTCATGCTGCCCGTAATCCGCCACAAAATTTGCCTCACACACCGATCTGGTAGGGATCGGCGTACGGCAAAAATCACAGCTGTTCCGGATTTTAGCCGTTCCAGATGCAGTGGAAATCCTGGGTTAGATTGACCGGTATATCGAGAGCTTTGCCTTTCAGCTCAGCTCCCTCTTCACCACCTCATCACTGCTGATGCTGCAGATGTTGATCTCCAGCTTAATTATTCTCTCACTTGTGAACAAGACTAATTTAAAAAAAAAAACTAAAGCTAGTGAGTTGTAAGGCTGGTTAAAGCTTAATTCTCAGCCTTAAAAGCGTATTTTCTTTTGACATTACATCCCTCGTATAAAGAGGGTTTGGAAATCCATCGGGGGTGGGGGGTTGTGAAAAGTGTTTTTAGAAACCTGCCAACCGTTTTTGAATCAAGCAACAAAAACCAGAAAACTAAGACACGAGCTGCTGTCAATATCTGAAAGTCCCCCTAAAAACAGAAATAAACAGTGTTGATAAAAAGTGTACCTTTAAAATCTGAACCATCACTGCTTCCTTTACGTTCTGATGTGGTCACTGTTGGTTTTTTTATTTTAGTTGATCTTGGAGATGCTGGTGTTGATCTTGATGTGTCATGGTTGTCATCTTCTCCTGAATGAATCAACACAAGTCGACAAACTCAATCAACTGTTTCTCGGTGAATGTTGAGGATGTCTGTTAAAACTGATCAAGGTCTTCTCACCTGAGGGCTGAGGCCTGTAGGGAAACAGCTGCACTTGGTTATCTAAAGACACTTCACACTGCAGTGAGTCAGATCTGGATCTAGACATGTGGTGATAAGCCGGGAAGTTCACATCAGCGAAGCAGAGGCACTGTGATGTTGTCCGAACTTGGGGAAACGCATCCACGTCTTTACCCCTGAACAGCCACTTCACTCTCTGTGCAGGATGTTCGTATGTTGTCACAGAGCAGCGTAACGCCGTCTCATCATAATGCTGTTGTTCATTCACTGATCAAGACAAAAAGAGTCAAATGAAGTTCAGGCTGTGATTTTAATCCTGTCAGTTTGAGCTAGAAACATGATGATAGATACTCACTGGTCAGAAGGGACAAATGAGAGACAGCGTCAGGTTCTTGTTTTCCTCTCGATGTGGATCGTTGACACTCATAGCGTCCGACATCCTCCCATGAGACCTCCTTTAACAGCAGATAACAGTCCTCTGTGACTCTCAGTCTGTTTGATTTAGATCCAGCATAAACATCAACCTGCCCATCTTTAACCAGCTCCACTGCTGGCTTTCTCGGTTCATAGAAAGTCCAGTCAGTTCCGTATCGGTAACATCCATCTTTTATCACGTCACCACAAGACAGAGTGATGCTATCTCCAGCTCTGACCGTGTGGTGGAGAGTTCTAGTTTTGGCTGCTGTGGAGAAAAAGTTCATTACAATTTGTTAAAGTCAGTATGAGTCTGCATTTTTTAATTAAACTTGACATAAATCTTCTTACCTGTAGCGTGAAGCAGAGCTGTTAGAAATAAAAACATCTGAATCCCTTTGAACCCCATGATGGTGATCGTCCGTCCCTCTCCTCTTTCTTGTTCTCACACTAATAACTGTCTGAGTTCCTCAAAGTCTTGATTTAGAGAGATGTTGAGTCCACTTCCCCTTTTTCAGTGAAATGTCACTTCCTCAAAGTGACCACAAGTCTGCCTTTAGATTTCACGTCTCTAAATTTATCTTATTTGGGTGACATCTCTTAGAAAATAGGATGAATTGATAGTGGTACTCTAACAGCAAAGGAAGAAGAGCCAGACCACTGCAGAATCACCATGGTGACTTGGTGCACAGACAAGATGGTGTATTGGTGCTCTGATATCTGCTGGTTCCTCTCTTGGTCTGTTTTGAGCACTGAGGGGGAAGTCTTCAGTGAAGATGTGTCAACAACAGCAGACATTGTTCAAGTGATCTTGCACCTGAATTTGCACACATTGGTCTGTTGCTCTTGAAATGGGATGGGATCAGGTGTGTTGTAATCTTGCATGTGCAGACCAAAACCAACAAAAAGCAGCTCTACTACACTAAGCTAGTGATACAAATACAAAGCACCTACAGTAAATTATGCAGGAAGTTCAGATACGACCAAGCCTCAAATCTCTGGCCACAAGTAAGTCTTTTAGATTATTCACAAAGTCCCTGCCCTGAGCGGTGATATAAAAAACACTTCTCCCTCTGACCTCTTGCTGTACTGATCTTATCTGTTTTTATCATGCAGCTTGTGAGTTTTGTGGCAGTGGTTGTTTGCGCAACCATGAGACTTTTTAAAAGGTTCCTGTCAGATAGAGTTAGAGGAACTTCAGTAGTGATCGCAACATTTTGGCTTTTGTTTTGGTGAGTTTTGGATTTGTTTCTTGAGTGAAGTCTGTGTGCTTTTTCTTCACAGAGACTGGGTGTTTCCCTCCCTGCACTGGTTCTTGCTGCAGACACTCCTGCAGCTCTGAAGCTCTGATCTAAACCCTTTCCAGTGTCAGATTATTCACATCTGGCACTGGAGAGCACATACATCGACTAACCCTGCTGAAGTTATCTTTAGTTATTATGTGTTGAACATCCCCGGTTTTTATGTGCTGAGCAGAGGTTAGGTTCAGTCCACCCAACCTCTGCCATGCTGCTATACACTCTCTGGAAAACACAAACCTGCTTCAGCTACAAGCCCTCACACCTCCACCCCTCATCAGTCGATCAATTTACTTTAATGATTGTTTGCCTCCGGTTCTGCTTTTGGGTTCAGATTCAAACAAGTGGTAATATACAGTTACAACTTCATATGATATTGGCAATTAAATATCTTGAATATGCAGTCTACTGAAGGTATTGAAACTGGCATTGCAGGAACAGGAACACATACCATCTTTTGGACAGCTGAAGTGAATTTTTAAAAAATATTTTCACATCAGCCTATGTGAATTATTATTATTATTGTTTTTTTTTTATCTCTTTCAATATTACAAGTCCATCAATATGACACTGAGTGAATGAAGAAGTCATAAAAGACTTAGTTGAACTGAGTTAAAAAATGTCTCAATATGCAGATGACACTGTGATCAGATATAACATAGAGAAGAATAATTTTGACATTTAAAAAAAATACAAAAACAATCCAGCAAAACATCAAAATGACACATTTAAGAAATAATCCTAAATAAAACATAATCAATCAAAACTTATTATGTATACAAGGATTAATGTGATTAATGTGTCTGTAAAAGAAACAACTTAAGGAAATCAGCTTTTCAAACTCACTTGAAAGCTTGGATATTTCCCGAGTAATTAAATTATTAATAATTAAAACTATTAATTGCACAGCAAGCTCATAGAAAAGCCTCTTTGACTTTGGCGGCAGGTTTAGACATTTATCAAGAGGCAACAATCCTTTAACATTTAACATTAAGATGCATTAACTCCAAGTTCTTCCAGAAACTTTGAGATGAAATCTGGGTTCAGATTTTTGAGAATTTGTCATGTTTAAGGTTTTGTGAATTACAACACAAATAAGGACGGAGACATTAATCCTGAAGGATCCCTGAAAAAAACAAAATTTACACATTTTTTCCAGGCAAAAACTTAAAATCTGTTTGATTTATAGTACAGGTCCTGGAAGCTTGTAGCCTGGCTGGGCCATCCAGTTGCATGAATCACTTGCCGTTGCTTCCCAACGAGGAAGCTTGTATGCAGGACTTAGCAAGACACATGAGCCATCTAGATTTTACAATCCTAGACTACATGTGCTATGGGAGCTAAACTTTTGGTGACTATACAAGTACTTTATGCCCTTTAAAAAACAACTTCCTGTTTCATCATTAACGCTTCACAACCTCATTTTATGCCTACATAGGTGGATGTTTGAGCTCTATATTGTCAAAATCAAAATGATTAAAGCAGCTGACCAGCTCTGGTGAGTTTTCCGTCAGTGCTGAAGATGCTGTTCAGTAGAGTCTGACAGAAACAGAAGGCTCGCTGATGTTTTCATAGGTCACTGTGCCTTCAACTTCATTACCATTCACCTGTGAGATTAAATAAATAGAAAAAAAATTGTTAAAATGAAAGGTTGTTGAGTTTGAGAAGAAAACAATGTCATATTGCTAAATTCCTGGTTCAATTTACTAATTTCACTGTTTTTTGATTAATCTGTCAGATACATTTGTACACTTTAGTACTCATTACAGCATAAACATTTGGGAGACTCTTTTGTCCAACACAAACCAAGTTATTTGAATTCTAGACTGATGTTTCTGCACTTTATTTATAGCACATGGACGAGACTACAGTAACTCTCACTTCACTGCTAACTACCATCAGGAATGCAGTAACTTACTAACACTTGTTTTAGGTGAATGAAGGAAATGATGATTTCAAACTCACCGAGTTTTCATCCGTCAGAGTTCTGTTACCTGAGGAGGCGAGGTGAAGAGTCCTAATTAGCTTCCACAAAGAAAACATGTGTTCAAAAAACCCTGCTGTTTGAATGTTTCACGTTGAAACGTTCTCACCTTTAGTTCTTGTACCAATAGTGACGGTAACAGCAGTCAGGAGGAGAGATGATAAGCCCACAGACACGGCAATGAACCGCCACTTGGCTGTGAAGATAATAAAAGTCATTTATTCTCTTGCTCACAAAAGAGAAAAAAAAAAGGTGTGTTTCCTGGTGTTAAATAATTTTACATGTACACAAAAACATGAGTTCTCTTCCTGTCTTGTTTCAGAGTTTACAGCCTCATGTTCCAGCCTTATGTGGTCAATATAAAAATTATGTTTTTAAGCCTCACACTCTTTACCAAATACAGGGTCAAAACTCACTGATGGCTTGTTAGAGCCCAATATGTAACAATGATCCAAAATGTAAAAAGAAAAATGTAATAAAACCCAAAATGTAATAATAAAAATGTAACAAAACCCGAAACGTAATAACTGATCGATAATGTAACAAAATGCTGAGCCAAAATGTAATAACATTTTGCCCAAAATGTGGCAACTTTTTACATTTTGGGTTTTATTATTATTATTTTTAATACATTTCAGGTCGTTGTTACCACAGCAGAACAGGCTGATGCTGCTCTGCCATTCTACTGACTGACCAAAATAGAGGAGGCGGGTCCAAAACAGTGAGTTCTGGCTCTGGAAGGCCTCTGAAGAAGTGTTTCCATTTAGAAATCAGTTCAGTTTAGTTCAATTTATTTGTACCCCAGGGGTAATATAAAAGGGCATGAAAGCATCTTAATAATTAAGTCACAGACATTTGACATTTAAAGTGTGTGCCTTTAGCTAAAAAATAAATAAATAATTAAATAAATAAAAAGATAAAAAAGCTGAATTAAGACGCTGTGGACATGGGATGAGTTCTGTTGAGCAAGTTGAGGTGAAAAGGATGTCAGAAAGGACATTGTTCACCTCTCTGTGACTGGTTTGTAATCCACACGGTAAGTTGATGGCTGAGATGAAAGCATGTGATAAGCTTAAGATGTGAGGCTGCATGGTGTTGAAGGCCGATGAAAGCTACTAAAGAAGTATCAGAGAGGAAGAATAGAGTCTAAAAAAATGAATAAAACCCCCTCTCTAACCTTAAACTGGGTTCATGACTAATGTACAGATGACCTTCCCACCTCATATTACTGCAGTATAGTCAGAGTTTAGTCAGAACAGACGTAAAAACAGATAGTGTTGAGTCTGTACCTGTAACAGCTGAAGCAACATCTTCTTCAGGCGTTGGTGTGGTCTCTGCTGTTGTGGCTGTCATCACACACCGACATGAATAAGCACAACTTGACAAAGTCCATAATTCATGTCAGTTTAAGGTGACTTTTAACAGATCAAGATATTCTCACCTGGTTTCTCTCCTGAGGGCTGAAGTCTGAAGGGAAACAGCTGCACTTTGTCACCTACAGTCACGCTGCACTGCAGTGAGACAGATCTGGATCTTTTCATGTGGTGATCAGACAGGAAGCTTACATCTGCGTAGCAGAGACGCTGTGATGTCCTCACACTTTGGTGATGCTCATCCAGGTCTCCACCTTGAAACAGCCACTTCACTGTGTGTCTACATCCTTCATACGTCCACACAGAGCAGATAAGTGTCACCATGTGAGAGCTCCTCTGCTCAGTCACTGTTGAAGATGAGGATAGTGTCAGAAACACAGAAGGAGTCAAAAGAGGTCTTATCGTTTCAGGACAGTTTGAGCTGAATGACAGAAACACTTACTGGTAACAACAGACAGATAAACTTCAACTTCAATCTCTATCGGGGCCTTTCTACAGGTATATAGACCGGCATCTTCCAACGTGACCCTCTTAATCAGCAGAGAACAGTCCTCCGTAACACTCAGCCTGTCCGATTTGGCTCCAACATTTTCCCCAATCCGCCCAAGTGCGACCAGCTGTACTGTTGCTGTTTTGGTTAAATCCCTGAAGAGCCAGTCCGTCTGAACACATTATAATAATGCATCAGATTTCATATAGCGCTTTATCAGAGACCCTCAAAGCGCTTTACATTGGATACATCATTCATTCGCTCACACAGTCACACTTTGGTGGTGGTGGAAACGTGGCTGCCATTCTGCGCCTACGGCCTCTCCGACCACCACCACACAACACTCACAGTCATACACCAGTGGAGGACACACACACTGGGAGCAAGGTGGGTTAAGTGTCTTGCCCAAGGACACAACGGACAGACTTGGATTAGGGGGGAATCAAACCGCCAACCTTCCGGTTATTGGACGACCGCTCTACCTCCTGAGCTACATTCTCTCTGATTTGTCTTATGTTTTCACAGGACAGAGTCACATTGTCTCTGTCTCTGACAGTGAGGAAGAGAGTTTTTGCTTCAGCTGCAGCTGCTGAGAAAATTTTTAAAAAATTAACTATTGGGGAAAAAGTTACCGTCAGCTTTTAGATTAGAACTTAATCATGATAATTATTTGTGCTGAGAGACATTGATGGTTTAGCAATCAAAGCGCCCCACATAAAGACCTGTCCTATCCTATCAGTCTGTTCAAATATTCATTCAACTGTTGCTACTGATGTCTATTAATCCTTTTACCTGTAAAGTGAAGCAGAGCTGTTAGAAAAAAAGACATCTGAATCCAGTTGAACTCCATGATAGTGATCCTCTCTTCTTCTGCTCTCACGCTCACGACTGTCTGAGTTTGTAAAGTTCTTCTTATTAAGAAAGATTCTGAATCACACCCCTTTTTTTTGCACTGATGCTTCCTGACTCATAGTCTACGTCAGAATTTTATCTCTTGGAAGTACGTTAAAGTAAGATGAGATGCAAGAGATCAGTAAAGAAATCAGAGGTCACGGTAGACTGATGTTGGCGATGATCAGCAACACTTTTCTGAGCCCAGTCTCTTGCAGTAATATAAAAGGTTTACGGTGATGATCATAAGCCATCTTGTTTTCACAGCTCTTTGACTCTCCAATGACAGAGATGTGTTCTGCCGTCTTTGAAAAAAGACAGGAAGTTGAAAAATTGAAGTTGAAGGTGTAAAGATTCCCAGTTATGATAAATTTCATCATTTCTCAGGATGATGCTTCTAAGAAAACTGAAGGTTTATAAAGATGCTGGACCAAAAAACACAAACAAACAAGTGATTAAAAGAGTGAAAGATATTTTTGTTCTACTGGAGGATGGCTTCATAAGTTACACCAATAGTTGGGGCATAAAATTCAAAGCTAAAACTTTTCACCTTTAGCACTTGGGGGATCATAAAACTCAATTTGACATTAAGTGGGGATTAAACCTTTATTTGCAGATAACACTGTGATCAGTGTGGCAACAGACAGAACAATACTGACAGTAAAAACTGAAAAGCATCGAATCGAATGTTTAGATAATAAAAATATTTATGTAGCCATACAAAAAAAAATCATTTATGCAAATAGAGTGATTACACTGAAGTTTCTATATATAGAAGTGTCTTTTAAAGTGAATACAATCTTTGGGGTCATGATGAAGATGTTTGGAGATCTAGACATGATTACTAAGCCCTCCCCCTCTAGAAGTCATAACTTCAGGTTGAACATGCTGCATAGACTGGACTTTCATGGACTTAAAAACTATAGTGGGAACCACTGAGCCATTAGAGAACCAACATCAAACATTTGATCCCTCCACTGGGGTCATGCATAACAAGTTTGGTGACTGTAAAAGTATATTAAACTCCTCAAAAATCAACTTCCTGTTGCTTGACTGTGTGTACAAAGACAGACATAGATCTTCACATTGATATCAGAATATTTAAAGCAGCAGATCAACTCATGTCAGTCTTGAAGATGGGCATCGATGGAGTCTGAGAGAAACAGAAGGTTCTCCGGTGTTTTCGTAGGTTGCTGTGCCGACGATTTCATGATGACACACCTATGAGGTAAAAAAAGCAAATGAACCAAACAATGAGATTTTCAAATGCTAAAAACCAAAGTAAACAGATGAGCATGACTTGTTCCACTTCTTGATTGATCCGTGACAAATTATTGATAACTCAGTGGTTCTTTTTTGTAGTTTAGGATCTGGATCAGAACTTGTACTGTTACCCAAAATATCATGACTTTTCTGCTCCCAGAATCCAGTGTAGATTTTAGGTTTAGTACTCAAACTAATATCATACCACTCAAAGTGTCATAAATAAACAGATGGCTCTCTTTAAAACAACTGTGCTGAGGTGTTCACTCCTCTGATTTTAACACAATGACTCATTTTGTTGATTTGAAACTCACCATGTTTTCATTCCTCTGAGCAATCTTCCCTAAAAAAGAGAGAAAGAGTCCTTTCAGCTTCCAGAGTGAAAATATATGGAATGAAAAACTTTATTTTCCATAAGTTTCATGATAAATGTCATCACCTTTAATTCTTGTCCAGATGCTGACTGTTCCCACAGTTAGTATGAGAGCTGATAAGCCAACCATCACAATAACGATCTGAAACCCAGCTGAAATGACAATAAAACACATCCGCTGTCAGAGCTGTCAAAACCACCTTAGGCACAGTAATGGACAACCACAGGGAATCTGTGAGGATGAGGACGGCAGTCATTTTTCTTATAGCTAACTTCAAAAGTTAAAGCTGCCACCAAAGCATCGTTCCAGGTGAGTCACCTCATCGTTAAGAACACGAAGTCCTTTCAAGATGCAGAGATGGTAAAAGAGGCATTTGTTGAAGAAGCTGACCTGTTGTTCCGAGACTTTAAAAACAAGGCAGAAATATTAACTTCGATCAAAGTTCTCCAGCTGTCAAGAAGTACAGTTACATGGCACAGTGAGGCCATGGCCAAGGATTTGACTCAGCAACTTTGGAAGGACGTAGCAGATTGTAAGTGTTTTTCACTGCAGTTGGACAAATCTACAGTGTGACACAGCCTAGTGTTGCATTTTTTTTCAGATGATGTTTACTGATATCACTGCAAAAGATGCGCTGTTAACAGTACTGCCCATGAAAGAACACATACAAGGAGAGGACACTTCCCAGTGTACAAATTGGTGTCCATCACCACGGATAGAGCACCCCTGATGGTTGGCCACTTGAATGGATTTTTTTTCAAAGATGGCTGCTCTGTGCACATCTGGATAAGGCTGACTGCGACCACTCTGAGTTGTTGCTACTCACTGACATGAGGCGGCATAGTCGAGGGAAATTCCTGCAAAGCCTCCAAGAGCTCTGTCCTGAGATTAAAGTGTTTGTTTGTCTGCGGGACATGCAGAATACAAGCAACTGAATGACAATTTTTTCCACCAGTCTGACAAACATGTTGAATGACCTTAATCTAGAGCTGCTCGGAAAAAACAAAACCACGATCAATTTGATCAGCTCAGTTCATGCTTTCAGTTGAAAGATGAAACGTCTCTCCTCAAAGCTGCAGGACCATGATTTGGCAAACTTCCAGAACCTGGCGTCAGAGGGAAGGGAAGGCCTTTGTGCAACTTGACAGCACATGCTACAAACAGCAGAATGACACCTGTCCGTCAGAGTTTGACAAATGCTTTCAAGACTTTGCTTCCCTGGAGCCATTCACTATCTGCATATGCTACCCTTTTCAGGAAGATGCTGAAGTTGATTCACTCACATCAAAAATTGCAACACTGTTTCGCCTGAACTCTTCTTGAGTGGAAGTTGAGGTTTTGAAACTACAAGCTGACATTCAGCTGAAGTCCAGAGCTCATGGACAGTTCTGGAGGCTCATTAAGTCCAAGTACCATTCCACCATGACTGATGAACATTTGGGAGTGTGCATGAGGCTGTCTGTCAGCAGCTACTGTCCAGACTATGCATCCCTGGCTGATTCCATCCAGTGCGAGTCATCAGAGTAAGGTAATGACAAAAAGTGTAAGAGTTCAATTGTGCAAAATGGGTTCATGCAGTTATGCAAGGTACATCAACAGACATTCTACATATGAATTATTCTATTATATTTATTAAAAAAAAAACAGTGTCTTGCATTTTTGTAGTAGTTAAATCATATTGACTTGGTCATTTTAAAAGTAGCTTACATGCTCAGAAAGTGTGTGCACCCCTGCTTTAAATCTATTAGATTAACAAAATTCTAGGTAATTGTAGAAGTGACTTTGAACAAGATCTTTTTACCTGGTTTATCCACTGGAGTTCCTGCTGGTGCTGTTGATTCAGTTGATTCAGTTGACATTGCTGTTGACATTGTTGTTGACTCTGTTGTTGACTTTGTTGATGACATTGTTGTTGCTAGTTTTGGTTTTTCAACTTCGCCTGAACAAATGGACACAACTCAAACTTTAAATCTGCCAAATCAGCAAAATTTTAGGTAATGATTATTGTTAGCAGAAGTGGTTTTAAACAAGATCTTTTTACCTGGTTTCTCTCCTGAGGGCTGAAGTCTGAAGGGAAAAACTTGGTTCTCTTCAGTCACTTCACACTGCAGTGACTCATATCTGGATCTGTTCATGTGGTGATCAGGCTGAAAGCTCACATCAGCAAAGCAGAGACCCTGCGATGGGTCACATTGCTGATGTCCCTCCACATCTCCACCCTCAAACAGCCACTTCACTTCAGTTCTGTGAGGTTCATGCGTCCAAACAGAGCAGCGAAATGTCACACCTTCACTGTTCTTTAGTTCAGTCACTGTTGAAAACGGAGATATTATCAGAAAGACAAAAACAGTCAAATAAAGTTCAGACTGTGATCATAATTCCTGTAATATTTCAGTTCACAGTTTGAGCTGAAGACATAATGATAAAAATACCTACTGTTAACCAAAGACAGATAAACTGAAGCATCAGGTTCTTGTTTTCCTCCAGGCGTGTACTGTTGACAGACATAATGCCCAACATCCTCCTTTGAGACCTTCTTTATCAGCAGAGAGCAGTCCTCTGTAACACTCAGTCTGTCTGATTCAGATCCAACATCTTTTATCTGTCCGAGTTCAACCAGCTCTACTGCTTCTGGGTTTCCTCCGCCATTAAAGACCCATGTTGTGTATTTACACTCAGGTTGATCTTCTATCAGGTTGTCACAGGTCAAAGTAGCATCACCTCCAACTCTGACAGTGAAGTACAGAGTTTTTACTTCAGCAGCAGCTGAGAGATAAAACAAATATGAAAACAAATATGAAATAGAGACACTTTTATACATGTAGTCAGTGTTAGACAATTAATTTGTTATTCGTGATGAACTAAAGCTCATGATCTCAGGGTGTTACAAAGATCAGGTTGACAAAGTAAGTCAGAAAGCATCTTCAATGATGACATGATAAAGTCCTCTCACCTGCAAAGTGAAGCAGAGCTGTTAGAAATAAAGACATCTGAATCCATTTGAACTCCATGATGGTGATCCTCTTCCGTTCTTCTTCTGCTCTCAGGCTCACGATTGTCTGAGTTAGTAAACTTGTCTATACTAACAGCTAATAGCTGAATCTACTTCTCTTTCTCTCAGCATGATGTCACTTCCTCATTGTGGCTTTAAGTTTTTAAGCCGCCACTCCTACAAACTCCTGTAGACGACGCCAGCCCCTGTTTAGCTGTAAATAATTCTGATCCACTGTGACTGACAGAGATGATGAAGTAATGACAATGAAGATGAGGAGCAGAGACCAGTGAAGAGGTCAGAGGTCACATATGTCTGGTTAAACGTAATCAGAATAATATGTATTTTCCTATACACATATGTATTTATATTTATCAATCAATCAATCAATCTTTATTTTTTTATTGCAGTTCACTACAAGTCTTATCTCAAGATGCCTAAAAAATAAAAGCTGGTGTAGACCAGACTCTATTTACAGAGAAGAGCAGGTTGGAGTCATTTCGTAGAGTTGACATCATACTGAGGCAGGAAGACAATTGGGCGTCTCTATAAATAAAGGCTATGAACTCAGACAGTTTCTGAGAACAAACACAAAGACCTTCAAAGTATCATGATGGACAAGCTCATACTTGTTTAGATTTTTGTATTTCTAACAGTGCCACTTCACTTTACAGGTAAGATGATCAATATCATAGATAGATACAAAGGTCAACTGAAGGAGAACTGTTGCTTAGGTTTGACATGAGTTCAACAAACTCTTGAAACAAAAGATAACGTATGACTGTCACACTTCCCAAGTTTGATTATTTTCTCAACAGGAACTGGAGGAAAAACACTGATCATCAGAGATGGAGATGATGTGACTGTGTGTTCTATGGTATAAACAAAATCTTGTATCACCGTATGAGTAATTTCATATCACGATAACGGTTTACATCACAGTTTGTTTTTTCCTCCTGTAAATTTAATTAATGGCTGAAAAATAACCATACTGTCACATTTGTTCATTTTTCTTTTATTCTTAAACTCGGATTTATATACAAATGCAAACAAAATACCAGACCAGTCTGGTGATTTTTTATGGTGTACCTTCGGCGAAAGACTCTGCCAAGCTCTATTGTATGAGAGGAGCTGCTGCAGTTTTAGTTTTTGGTGCAGCAGGTGCGCCACACATCTTTTGGCTCTCATAATAGAGCTTGGCATGTTTCATCTTTAGGTGGTGAAAGAGGTTGCTGGTGTTTTCACCTCCAGCAACAACAGCCACACGACACTCTTTGCATAGTATTGTTTTGTTTTGTCGATCACTGTCAGATTTTCAAAATCCAAAGAATCTCCAGACAACCAATGTCGCAACTCACACCCTTTTTTGGAAGGAGTTTCTCCTCCTCTTCCTGATGTTGGGTGGGTTGGGCTGCTGTTGTTTGCTCGGTACTGTCACTAATCTCCGCCTTAGCCATGACCACCACCAGTGAAGCTGTTTGTTCTTCATCGAAATGATGCCAAGCAGTCGATGATGTTGGACACGCTGGTAATTATAGGGAGCACAACCAAACCTGACCAATCAAACAGAGCAAACAAACTCCACACGACATGCTGGTAAATATAGGGAAACGCACCCAAACGGACAGACAACTACACACTGACTCAGAGAGATGCAGCATCTGCTCTCTCTCTCCAGTGTTAATGGTATAGCAAAATTTCTACCGGTAGACACTTTTATACCATCACATGGTATATACCATCATACCACCCAACACTAATGTGACTTTACCATGTGAGAAAGTGAGAAAACATCAGCCTGTGTGTAACTATACGACCTGTATCTTCATTGGCTTAAGGGACCAAGTAGTAGAGCTGGTTGAACTCAGGCAGATTGGTGAAGACGTTGGATCTAAATCAGACAGACTGAGTGTTACAGAGGACTGTTCTCTGCTGATAAAGAAGGTCTCGGAGGAGGACGTTATGACGTTATGACTGTGAACAGTCCAAACCGAGAAGAAACAAGAACTTAATTCTGTTGTTTATCTGTCTGTGGTTAACAGTGAGTATTTCTATCATCTTGTTTTCAGCTCAACATTTCTGAACAGCAAACAGGCTTAAAACTAAACTTAAGTTGAAATAAGTTGAAATACAGTTTCCCCACTCCGTTTGTCTTTGTAAATCAAGATTGTATGTTTCCTTAACTATTTTCTCAGAGTGCACCAGAATGCTTCATTCACATGTGAAAACCAAAAACAATCTCCCAGGGGAGGATACCCCCAAACCTCCCCTACAGGGCTCTGGTTTCCAAACCTTCAGCCCCACCTGCTATTTTTCTCACTATCCGCCACTGCTACAGGAAGATGGCTTCATAGGTTACACCAGTATTGTGTGCATAAACATTCAAAGCTAAAACTTTTTACCTTTCGCAATTGGGGGGATCATAAAACTCAATTTGACATTAAGTGGGGAATAAACCTTTATTTGCAGCTGACACTGTGATCAGTGTGGCAACAGACAGAACAATACTGACAGTACAAACTGAAAAGCAGTGAATAAAATGTTAAGAATATAAAAATATTGAAGCAGTTATACCAAAAGAAAGTTCATTTATGCAAATAGAGTGATTACACTGAAGTTTCTATCTATAGAAGTGTCCTTGAAAGTGAATACAATCTTTACATGTTAGTTAGCAGTTTCTGTATATTAAGCCCCTCAAAAATCAACTTCCTGTTTTATGGCAGACAGTGCTTGACTTTGTGAACTTGTGTACAAAGACAGACATAGAGCTTTGCATTAAGAATGTTTAAAGCAGCAGATCAACTCATGTCAGTCTTGAAGATGGGCATCGATGGAGTCTGAGAGAAACAGAAGGTTCTCTGGTGTTTTCGTAGGTTGCTGTGCCGACGATTTCATGATGACACACCTATGAGGTAAAAAAGCAAATGAACCAAACAATGAGATTTCCAAATGCTAAAGACCAAAGTAATCAGATAAGCATGGCTTGTTCCACTTCTTCTTGATTGATCCGTGACAAATTATTGATAACTCAGTGGTTCTTTCTTGTAGTTTAAGATCTGGATCAGAACTTGTACTGGGATAACTTTTACCCAAAATATTATGACTTTTCTGCTCCCAGAATCCAGTGTAGATTTTAAGTTTAGTACTCAAACTAATATCGTAGCACTCAAAGTGTCATAAAGAAACAGATGGCTCTCTTTAAAACAACTGTGCTGAGGTGTTCACTCCTCTGATTTTAACACAGTGACTCATTTTGTTGATTTGAAACTCACCATGTTTTCATTCCTCTGAGCAATCTTCCCTAAAAAAGAGAGAGAAAGTCCTTTCAGCTTCCAGAGTGAAAATATATGGAATGAAAAACTTTATTTTCCATAAGTCTCATGATAAATGTCCTCACCTTTAATTCTTGTCCAGATGCTGACTGTTCCCACAGTTAGTATGAGAGCTGATAAGCCAACCATCACAATAACGATCTGAAACCCAGCTGAAATGACAATAAAACACATCCGCTGTCAGAGCTGTCAAAACCACTTTAGGCACAGTAATGGACAACCACAGGGAATCTGTGAGGATGAGGACGGCAGTCATTTTTCTTATAGCTAACTTCAAAAGTTAAAGCTGCCACCAAAGCATCGTTCCAGGTGAGTCACCTCATCGTTAAGAACAAGAAGTCCTGTCAAGATGCAGAGATGGTAAAAGAGGCATTTGTTGAAGAAGCTGACTTGTTGTTTCTTCTATCAAAGTTCTCCAGCTGTCAAGAAGTACAGTTACATGGCACAGTGAGGCCATGGCCAAGGATTTGACTCAGCAACTTTGGAAGGACGTAGCAGATGGTAAGTGTTTTTCACTGCAGTTGGACAAATCTACAAAGTGACACAGCCTAGTGTTGCATTTTTTTTCAGACGATGTTTACTGATATCACTGCAAAAGATGCGCTGTTAACAGTACTGCCCATGAAAGAACACATACAAGGAGAGGACACTTCCCAGTGTACAAATTGGTGTCCATCACCATGATTAGAGCACCCCTGATGGTTGGCCACTTGAATGGATTTTTTTTTAAGTACAGGGAGGACAGTGCTTTCCTGGACTCACTCAATCACCGCTGTATAACACACCAACAAGCGTTATGCATTAAAATGCTCAACATTAAAGAGATCATGGATGTAGCAACGAAGATCGCCTGTTTTATTCACCACAGATCCCTTCAAAGATGGCTGCTCAGTGCACATCTGGAGAAGGCTGACTGCGACCACTCTGAGTTGTTGCTACTCACTGACATGAGGCGGCATAGTCGAGGGAAATTCCTGCAGAGCCTCCAAGAGCTCTGTCCGGAGATTAAAGAGTTTGTCTGTGTAGCGGGTCATGCAGAATACAAGCAACTGAATGACAATTTTTTTTCACCAGTCTGACAAACATGTTGAATGACCTCAATCTAGAGCTGCAGGGAAAAAACAAAACCACGATCAATGTGATCAGCTCAGTTCATGCTTTCAGTTGAAACGTCATCAGGCATCAGAGGGAAGGGAAGGCCTTTGTGCAACTTGACAGCACATGCTACACAGAGCAGAATGACACCTGTCCGTCAGATTTTGACAAATACTTTCAAGACTTTACTTCCCTGGAGCCATTCACTATCTTCATGTGCTACCCTTTTCAGGAAGATGCTGAAGTTGATTCACTCACATCAAAAACTGCAACACTGTTTCACCTGAACTGTTCTTGAGTGGAAGTTGAGGTTTTGAAACTACAAGCTGATATTCAGCTGAAGTCCAGAGCTCATGGACAGTTCTGGAAGCTCATTAAGTCCAAGTACTGTTCCACCATGACTGATGAACATTTGGAAGTGTGCATGAGGCTGTCTGTCAGCAGCTACTGTCAGGACTATGCATCCCTGGCTGATTCCATCCAGTGCAAGTCATCAGAGTAAGGTAATGACAAAAAATGTGAGAGTTCAATTGTGCAAAATAGGTTCATGCAGTTATGCAAGGTACATCAACAGACTTTCTACATATGAATAATTCTCAATACATTTATAAAAAAATATATATTTTTGTAGTAGTTAAATCATATTGACTTGGTCATTTTAAAGGTAGCTTACATGCTCAGAAAGTGTGTGCACCCCTGCTTTAAATCTATTAGATCAACAAAATTCAAGGTAATTGTTCATGATAGTAGAAGTGACTTTAAACAAGATCTTTTTACCTGGTTTATCTGCTGGAGTTCCTGCTGGTGCTGTTGATTCAGTTGACATTGTTGTTGACATTGTTGTTGATGTGGCTGTTGTTAGTTTTGTTTTGTCATCCTCACCTGAACAAATGGACACAACTCAAACTTTGAATCTATTCAATCAACAAAATTTTAGGTAATTATTCATGTTAGCAGAAGTGGTTTTAAACAAGATCTTTTTACCTGGTTTCTCTCCTGAGGGCTGAAGTCTGAAGGAAAACACTTGGTCGTTTACAGTCACTTCACACTGCAGTGACTCATATCTGGATCTGTACATGAGGTGATCAGGCTGAAAGTTCACATCAGCAAAGCAGAGACCCTGTGATGTCCTCACACTAAAGTGATGTTCATCCACATCTTTACCCTCAAACAGCCACCTCACTTCAGTTCTGAGATGTTTATAGGTCCACACAGAGCAGCGTAATGTCACACTTTCACCATTCTTTAGTTCAGCCGCTGTTGATAATGGAAATATCAGAAAGACAAAAACGATCAAATAAAGTTCAGACTGTGATCATAATTCCTGTAATATTTCAGTTTACAGTTTGAGCTGAAGACGTAATGATAAAAATACCTACTGTTAACCCCAGACAGAAAAACTGGAGCATCAGGTTCTTGTTTTCCTTCTGGTGTGTACTGGTGGCAGTCATAACGCCCAGCATCCTCCTCTCTGACCTTCTTTATCAGCAGAGAACAGTCCTCTGTAACATTCAGTCTGTCTGATTTAGATCGTACATCTTCTTCAATCTGTCCGTGTTTAACCAGCCTTGCTGCTGTTGAGTTTCTTCTCCCATTAAAGACCCATGTTGTATAGTTACACTCAGGTTGATCTTCTATCAGGTTGTCACAGGTCAAAGTAGCATCACCTCCAACTCTGACAGTGAAGTACAGAGTTTTTACTTCAGCAGCAGCTGAGAAATAAAACAAATATGAAAACAAAATGAAATAGAAACACTGTTATACTTGTAGTCAGTGTTAGACTATTTATTTGTTATTCGTGATGAACTAAAGCTCAAGATCTCAGGGTGTTACAAAGATCAGGTTGACAAAGTAAGTCAGAAAGCATCTTCAATGATGACATGATAAAGTCCTCTCACCTGCAAAGTGAAGCAGAGCTGTTAGAAATAAAGACATCTGAATCCATTTGAACTCCATGATGGTGATCCTCTGTCTTTCTTCTTCTGCTCTCAGGCTCACGATTGTCTGAGTTTTCAAAGTAGTCCTTATTTATAGAGATACTGAAACTCTCCCCTCTCTCAGAATGAAGTCACTTCCTCAAAGTGACTTTAAGTCTGCCTCTGAGTTTTTAACCTCACATCACAGTTTAATTAATAAACATTTTAAAGCTTTATTCCTCCTGGTCCAGAATGACAAGATGATCAGGAGAATAACAAGCAGGATCAGTAAAGAAATCAGAGGTCACAGCAGACAAAGAGTTGATCAATATCAGGCCTTTAATGGGGCCAGTATTTACCATCGGCCTTATTATTAGTATTAGTGTTTTACTTCCAAGATGGCCAATAGGATTAAATACACTACTTTGGCCTCAAGAAAGCTTCACTCTCCACTCTGCTTCAAATAATTTCCCATCTGCAACTCTATCTGATTCGCAAAATGTCACAATACGGTGGGTTTTGACAGCACAGGAGAGAAGAGTCAAATCTCACGATGACTGCTGTAAGAAAGCACAGATTCGGAGGTACTACAGCGCTCTGAGATCTCACTGTTTGTCATTTCTCAGACCTGAAGGGGAAGTTCCTCGTGAGAATGTGGCTTCAACAGCAGCTGCAGAGTTACACTGAACCATAACTTTGACCACTTGGAGGATTTTGGTCAGTCAGACTTGTTACGACAAACATTTAGGGCCTTATTGTTCATCATTCATTGACATCATTTACATTTTATCTTAATGATTCCCTAAACGATTCCTTTCTTCCGGGTGCCTTGAAAAACAAGCAAGTGCCAGTCTACACAACAGAGAGGGAGAAAAAAACATGGCGGACGATATGACAAGTAGGCAGAAATGAGCTAAAGGGTTGCTTAATTTTACCAAGAAAGACGACAACAATGCAACGTGTGTCAAGCAGTGATAACATACAAAGGTGGAAACACCAGCAACATGCTTAAACATTTGTCAGTGGGGCAGGGCATCAAATACAAGGAGTCACATGTATTCATGTATTCACAGCAAGCGCTGTATTAGGCTTATTTTTGACAGTGCTGGAAGATAGAATGGTTCAAAAGCCTCTAAAGACCATTATCGACATAACCTTCTCTTTTCCAAATAAAATGAACTCTGCACAAATTATGGTTTAGCCTTTTTATTGATACAATGCACATGATCTTAAACACAAACAAGCATTCTTATTTGCTCCTGTAATGCTGCCAGTTATCAATATGAATGAATACTAATAGCTGTATGAATAACAGTGTATTTCGTGCATATTTTGTAAAGAAACAGCAAGTTTTATACCAGTATATATCACCTAAATTTTACAGGTTGTATTCGACTTGAAAATAAACAAGTAAAAAAGGCAAACATTAGACAAAGTGAAAGGGTAATAATGGGATAAATGCAACCAAGGTAAGTCGAGCTAAGTTCATATCTGACTTAGAGATTTACCTGAACCACAGTCCTTGACACAGTTAACACGCACAAGTGCACGCCCTCTTTCAGCTCTGTTGACCTCTTGCATCAAAACAATTGCCAGGAGGTGTTAGCAAGAGGCTAACAGGATGTAAGTCAAGCAGTACAATACAATACAAAACAAGAACTTCTTGATTGTGTGAACAAAAGGTCTGCTGAATCTCTCCATCCTTCAGCGAACAGAGTGGGGCCATTCATCACTGTTGTTTTTTTGTTGTTTTTTTTAAACAGGATGTTGAGTCTGTATCCTAGCGATTGCTTCATGGAGAACATCACATTGAACTTCAGCCGTTGCCTTGGATGGGATGTACACAAGTATTATGATATGGAGGAGCAACAGCCAATAGTTCAATATCTGGACAACACATCCAAGTACCGATGCTGAAAAAGGTCATGCACTGGTGCTTGTATACTGGGTCAAGGACAGTGGTCCAAGTAAATCCCCCAGTTAGGCTACGACTTCAACTTGACTTACCTACACACACAAACATACTGTGTGATCCGTTAAAATACCATCACTTTTACAGCTCTATTTTTAAGTGCAATAGGAACGTTTAGTCTTTTTTAAGCCCTTCCCTTGTCCGTGGAAGTTTGTACAGTGTGAGAACACATCCTTGAAAATAAAAAATAAACCTAACAGAAGTATGGCTGTGGGTGATACCGGAATAACACATGATAAACACAACTGAACACTTGCACCTTAAAATGCTGGCGATAAATTTCATATTTTAAGCTCATTTATAATCTTTAAAGCCAGACTTTTCTGCTTATGAAGTTTATACCACACCGTCTGGAAATTAAGAGTTTTTGCAGTGAGTAATCCTGAAAGTATCTACAAAAACATCTATCGGTATCTGTCATTAAAGTATGAAATAACTGTGTTGGTACGAGCTGAAACTCCACTGTTGACTCATTTCTTGTCTTTGCTGATGGTGGCATAGAGGCTTCCAGGATCAACCGAAACCCCAGCAGGAGGAGACGAGGAAGAGGAGGCTTTTACTGTGACATAGGTCACCTCTCCTTCATCGTTGGCATCAGCTTCACTGCGAACCTGAAAAAGAAGATGATGAGTACCAATATGCTGTGAGTGATGTGTTCAATTACAGTTCCAGTCAAACCAAAGTGACATGACCACAGAAGCTGATGTCACATTAGAGGGGTGAGTTATCGTCATTACATAATTCAGGAGTCAATAATTTGAAAATTTGACCTCAGCTTTTCTTTTCTTCTTCTGGTTGTACCTGATGGAGGCATAGGAAACACCATTGTCAGGATCAACCTAAAGAAAGGACAGCAAACAACAAAAACACTGCTTGGTAAAATCATTTAAAGCAAAAGCTCTTTAGTTAGAATAAACGTAATAATACCTTAAAACTTAATGACGCAGCCTGTAGTGTTTATTTGGAAGTCAGACTTCTGATTCTACAGAACAGTTTGAGAAACCTTCCTGCTGTGGTTGAGTTGTGTCAGACAACTTCTCTCTTGTCTATCTCATGCTCTGAAGTCTGAACACGCTCGGCTATTCACCACATACATAACACTTAACTTTTCTGTATCTGCTTAAAAAAAAGAAAGGCTTATGACCAGTCTTTATTTATCAAACTTCACAGATTTTTGTTTGAGTTTTTATCTGGCTGCCCTCTGAAATACTTCTCACTTCACTTTGATCCTTTTTGAAATTAAAAGTATCTGAAGACAGCAAAATAGATAATAAATAAATTAATTATTTAAAAATTTTTTAAAAAAAGTCTGTCTCTGTCCTGATGTGTGTTTCTGTAACCACAGACTTGGCTGGGCAATAAGTCCCGCCTCTGACCAATCATTTTAAGAGCTGCTGGTGCCAAGTATTGCAAATCAGATTTTCGTGGAGGTTCATGACACTCCTGGCCATCATCTGGACACACCTCTGACGGCTGGATCAGTTCAGTTTGAATGCATCAACTTTTTCCTTTTTTTTGTTTGTTTTGCATTGCTTAAAAAAACTTATTTTAACCAAAAAGCTGGAGGTGCTTAAAATCTGACTTTACCTTTTTTCAATTTGTTTTTAAACTTACATCGTCACTTATCTGTGTTTTGCTCCCTGCAAAGACAAAATGGGGCAGAGTTTCAGTTTCAAAACAGAATTTTTTTTTTTTTTTTTTGCAAATATAAGTGTCATGTATGCTCTCACCTTTGTTTTTCCTTTGTCTGATGGTGATCATAACTATGACTAGAAGAGCTGTCAAAACCACGATCGGCACAGTGATGGACAACCACAGTGGAACTGTAAGGGATAGGACATTATTCCAAGTATTCTGGAGCAGATTTCTGTCCTCAAACTAATTAAATGTGAAACGAAGAAAGAAAGAAAGAAAGAAAGAAAGAAAGAAAGAAAGAAAGAAAGAAAGAAATTATTAAACCAATCCAGAGAGAGTTGAGTCTGTACTTTTGACATCCCCCTCAGGCTCTGCTGTGGTTTCTGGTGTCATGCTGTTCTCAGTCAGTCCTGGAGCTGTTGGTGAGTTTGTTGGAGTTTCAGCTGGTGGTGCTGATTCAGCTGACATTGTTGTTGATGGGGTTGTTGCTAGTTTTGGTATGTCATCTTCGCCTGAACAAATGGACACAACTCAAACTTTAAATCTGTCAATTCAACAAAATTTTAGGTAATTATTCATGTTAGGGGGAGAGGTTTCAAACAAGATCTTTTTACCTGGTTTCTCTCCTGAGGGCTGAAGTCTGAGGGGAAACACTTGGTCGTTTACAGTCACTTCACACTGCAGTGACTCATATCTGGATCTGTACGTGTGGTGATCAGGCTGAAAGCTCACATCGGCGTGGCAGAGATGCTGTGATGGGTCACAGTGGTGATGTCCATCCACATCTCTGTCCTCAAACAGCCACTTCACTTCAGTTCTGAGATGTTCATACTTCCACACAGAGCAGCGAAATGTCACACCTTCACCGTTCTTTAGTTCAGTCACTGTTGAAAACGGAGATATTATCAGAAAGATAAAAACAGTCAAATAGAGTTCAGACTGTGATCATAATTCCTGTAATATTTCAGTTCACAGTTTGAGCTGAAGACATGATGACAAAAATACTCACTGTTAACCAAAGACAGATAAACTGGAGCATCAGGTTCTTGTTTTCCTTCTGGTGGGTACTGTTGACATTCATAACGCCCAACATCCTCCTCTCTGACCATCTTTATCAGCAGAGAACAGTCCTCTGTAACACTCAGTCTGTCTGATTTAGATCCAATATCTTCTTCAATCTGCCCAAGTTCAACCAGCTCTACTGCCACTGAGTTTCCTCTGCCATTAAAGACCCATGTTGTGTATTTACACTCAGGTTGATCTTCTATCAGGTTTTCACAGTTCAAAGTAGCATCACCTCCAACTCTGACAGTGAAGTACAGAGTTTTTACTTCAACAGCAGCTAAGAAATAAAACAAATATGAAAACAAAATGAAGTGGAAACACGGTTATACTTGTAGTCAGTGTTAGACAATTAATCCGTTATCTGTGATGAACTAAAGCTCATGATCTCAGGGTGTTACAAAGATCAGGTTGACAAAGTAAGTCACAAAACATCTTCAATGATGACATGATAAAGTCCTCTCACCTGCAAAGTGAAGCAGAGCTGTTAGAAATAAAGACATCTGAATCCATTTGAACTCCATGATGGTGATCGTCTGTCTCTCTTCTTCTGCTCTCAGGCTCACAACTGTCTGAGTTCACGAACTTGATTCCTGTAATAGCTGCGCTGAATCTACTTCCTTTTCTCTCAACATGATGTCACTTCCTCATTGTGGCTTGAAGTTTTTAAGCCGCCACTCCTACAGACCCCTGTAGACAATGCCAGCCCCTGTTTAGATGTAAATAATTCTGATCCACTGTGACTGACAGAGATGATAAAGTAATGATGATGAAGATGAGGAGAAGAAATCATTGAAGAGGTCAGAGGTCACAGATGTCTGGTTACAGTTGAAACCAGAAGTTTACATACACTGTATAAAAATGCACATAACCTTTTTTTTCTCACTGTCTAACATTAAATCAGATTAAACTTTTCCTGTTGTTGGTCAGTTAGGATTACCAAAGTTATTTTTATTTGCTAAATGCCAAAATAATGAGAGAGAGAATTTTTTAGACAAGTTTACATACACTAAGATGACTTTACCTTTAAACAATTTGCCAAAGGCCAGATAGTGATATCATGTCTTTGGAAGCCTCTGATGGGTTAATTGACAAAATTTGAGTTCATTAGAGGCACACCCGTGGATGTATTTTAGGGCACACCTGAAACACACTGCTTCTTTGTGTAACATCATGGGAAAATCAAAAGAAATCAGCCAAGATATCAGGAAGAGAATTGTGGACCTACACAAGTCTGGGTCATCCTTGGGTGAAATTTTCAGATGCCTAAAGATGCCATGTTCATCTGTTCAAACAATTGTACGCAAATATAAACACCATGGGAATGTCCAGACATCATACCGCTCAGGGAGGAGATGGGTTTTGTGTCCCAGAGATGAACGTGCTTTGGTCTGAAGTGTGAATATCAACCCAAGAACAACAGCCAAAGCCCTTGTGGAGATGTTGGCTGCAGCTGGTAAGAGTGTGTCGTCATCAACAGTGAAACAAGTCCTGTGCCGACATGGGTTGAAAGGCCACTCTTCCAGGAAGAAGCCATGAGTCCAAAAGAAACATAAAAAGCCAGATTAAAGTTTGCAAATGCACACAGGGACAAAGACCATAATTTTTGGAGACATGTCGTGTGTCTGATAAAACTGAAAATGGTCATAATGTCCATTGTTACATTTGGAGGAAAAAAGGGGAAGCTTGCTAGCCTGAAAACACCATCCCAACTGTGAAATGTGGGGGTGGCAGCATCATGTTGTGGGGTTGTTTTGCAGCAGAAGGGACTGGTATACTTCACAAACTAGATGGCTTCATGAAGAAAGAATATTATGTGGAAATACTGAAGCAACCTCTCAAGACATCAGCCAGGAAGTTAAAACTTGGGCACAAATGGGTTTTTCAAATGGATAGTGATCCTAAGCATACTGTCAAACTAGTTACAAAGTGGCGTAAGGATAACAAAATCAAAGTTTTGGGGTGGCCATCACAAAGCCCTGATCTCAGTCTTATTTAAAATGTATGGGCAGAACTGAGAAGTCATGTGCAAGCAAGGGGGCCTACAAACATGACTCAGTTACACCAATTCTGTCGGGAGAAATGGGCCAAGATTCCTGCAAACTATTGTAGAAGCTTGTGGAAGCATATCCAAAGCATTTGATCCAAGTCATACAATTAAAAGGCAGCTACCAAATACTAATGAAATGTATGTAAACTATTGACTCTCAAGAAAATAATGACAAAAATGTCTGAAAAAATTCTCTCTCTCATTACTTTGGCATTTGGCATATAAAAATAATTTTGGTAATCCTAATTGACCAAAAACAGTAACAGTTTAATCTGATTTCATGTTTGACAGTGAGGGAAAAAAAGGGGTTTTGTGCCTTTTTATATAGAGTATGTAAACTTCTGGTTTCAACTGTAACTTGAATCAGAATAATGTGTATTTTTCCAATATAGCTATATATTTATATTTCTCAATCAAACAATCAATCTTTATTTATATAGTGCCAATTCACTGCAAGTCTTAACAAATAAAAGCTGCTGTAGACCAGACTCTTTTTACAGAGAAGAGCAGGTTGGAGTCATTTTGTAGAGTTGACATCATACTGAGGCAGGAAGTTGATTGGGCGTCTCTATAAATAAAGGCTATGAACTCAGGTTTCTGAGAACAAACACAAACACCATCAAAGTATCATGATGGACAAGCTCTTACCAGTTTGGATTTTTGTATTTCTGACAGTGCAACTTCACTCTACAGGTAAGATGATCAATATCATAGATGGATACCAAGGTCAACTGAGGGAGAACTGTTGCTAAGGTTTGACATGAGTTCAAAAAGTATGACAAGTTTAATTATTTTCTCAACAGCAACTGGAAGAAAAACAGTTATCGTCAGAGTTGGAAATGACGTGACTTTACCATGTGAGAATGTGAGGAAACATCAACCTGCGTGTAACTGTACGACCTGGATCTTCATTAGCTTAGAGGACCAAGTCGTAGAGCTGGTTGAACTCTGGCAGATTGGTGAAGATGTTGGATCTAAATCAGACAGACTGAGTGTGACAGAGGACTGTTCTCTGCTGATAAAGAAGGTCTCAGAAGAGGATGCTGGGCGTTACGACTGTGAACAGTACACACCGAGAGGAAAACAAGACCCTGATTCTGTTGTTTATCTGTCTGTGGTTAGCAGTGAGTATTTCTATCGTCTTCTTTTCAGCTCAACATTTCTGAACAGCGAACAGGCATAAAACTAAACTTAATAATAATTGTGTATTGAGTTAGTAGTGGAGATCAGGGCTTGTTGTCACATGAGTAAGTTGTCACATTGCAATTATCTTTGCCACCAACTAAAAAGTGGAATACTAGTTTTCTTCCTTTATATGGTCACGGGTCGTGTCCTGTCCGAGAAGAGAAGAGCACATTGTGAGCAGAACAACCCAAAGTAAAAAAAAAAAATTAGCTTTATATATTTTAAAACAAGCTTCTTCCAGATATAAATCCTAGCAGTGAAACATGTAGACTTGTTAGAGGACAGATAAAGGTTTCCTGTCATACCTCAGTCATTGTTCTGTTTTAAGCGAACTTTAAGCTAGAGCTAGAGTTAGCAAACATGGCAGTTTGAGGCAACACGTCTCAGTCATTTCGGGGTTAGTTGTCACATATTTAAAAGGAATTAAAATTAACTCAGAGAGTCTGCTTATCAGCAGTTGTCATCATGAAACTTTGACTTTACTTTTACAGAGAAAAGAGTGGTTTAAAGAAGAGGAAAACGGAAGAAGATATGGTCAGGAATTTCAAAAGAAAAACTGAACGTGGCAGTGCAGTACCTGACATGACGCTGAGGGCAGTCAGGCAGGTGACCCTAGCTAACAAATCAATCTGGAGGACAATAAAGGACTTTAATGTCAACTACCATACCTTGGCTCGGTACTGCAAAACATTCACTCCAGACGAAATACAGAGTCAGACAGCTCTCCAAACTCCAGAGCATGTTGCATGACATTTTATGTTAACCATTGTTCAATGCCTATTTTCAACTTTTTCTAGTTCAGTGATGTACATTTTCTGTGCCTGACTTTGATGTTCACCTTCAGGTAAAAAATGAGAACAACAATAGTTTTGTCCTTGTTTCATTAGCTACCAAATCCCCTGTGACATCTTACCCCATGTTGTGAGACAACTTACCCCATGGTGGGGCAACATGTCACATGTTCACACTCTCTATTTGATTCCACAGGGTGGCGCTATGACTGTAGTTGAGAAATGGGCATATAGATCGTAAAATATCAAACAGATTAGATTGACTTCCTGTTTAAATGGTTTAATGAGCTGCTATGGCCACTTCCTTTGACTGACAAAAAGTTCTTCGATAACCTTTGACCTTCTATGCCTCTACAATACACTGTGAGCTGCGACCAAATCCCTGAGGCAATTTAATCATTCAGGCATTGTTTGGCACTCGGGATATAAACATGTATCCTCCTGTACTTTAGCAAACTTTGTCATAACTGGTACTTTTTATCTCTATCTCCAACAGTGACTGAACTAATGAAAAGTGATGAGTCGACATTACGCTGCACTGTCTTAGCGTATGAATATCATTTGGTCAGCATGAAGTGGCTGTTGGAGGGTGAAGTGCTGGCCAAAGTACACCAAGCTGGGACAACATTACAGTGTCACTGCTTCATTGATACAACCTTTCCGACTGATCAACACACGTACAGATCAAGAAATGACTCATTGCAGTGTGAAGTGACGGTAAATAACAAAGTGCAGCTGTTTCCCCTCAGGCTTCAGCCCTCAGATGAGAAACCAGGTGAGAAGATCTTTATCCGTCACTTAAAGGGATATTCTGGTGTAGAATTAATTTAAGGTGAAACACACCGTAATACCAAGTTAGAGACCCCATTTAGAGATGAATGTTGCCGACCGCTTGCTTCTCTAGTTACACCAACTTTAGTAACAACCGCAGGAAAGCACAGCGGTCTGAGGAGCCACACACAAACCTCAACCAAAACGCCACTCTATAGCCACAAATGATGCTCAAAACAGCACCTAACTTCATCAACAGTACATATGGGATTCCAGCCATAGCACTAGCCACCAAACATCTTTTTAGCTTTGCCTAATATCTTTAGCAAAGAGACTAAACACAACTCACCTACTCTCTTCCAGCAGCCATTTGTCACAAGACCTCGGACCAGTCCATTACGGACTGCAGCGGGGTGACACAGCTCAAGGAAAAACATTTATGATCATTGCTAAAGAAATTAGGCAAAGCTTAAAGGTGTTTGGTGGCTAGTGCTGTGGCTAGGACCCTATGGGCCTTATCTACTAAGATCCAAAATAGCGAGCGCTTAATTTTGTGCGCAAACTAAAAGATTTGCACTTGCTATTAGTGGGTGTGTTGCAGGTGATCTACTATCATTGTGTGCGCAATTGATAACGGGTGCAAAAGTGGTGCGGACCACATATTATTTTGGGGAACTACATAAAAGGCAATGGAAGTTTAATTGTGTGACACAATTTATACACAAGGCAACACAAAGTGCTTTTCAGATGCAAGAAGATATACTAGAAATCAAAAAAGGGATTAAAATGATTTAAAATCAATAAGACGAACAGATAATTTTTTTCGTCTGTTCCGTGTTTGACCTTATTATTTATGAAAATCGTCATATACCAGAAAAACAAAATAAATCACAAGCTTTTGGACTAGAATCATGGTGTCTGTCATGGCACTTCTGCATCCATCTCTCCACAATGACCGTGCATAATGCTGTGCCAGTTTGCACGTGGCTTTCAAAAGTGCTAAATATAGATGCAAAACAGGGTGTGACAAATCACATTGCGGATGCTAAATGATGCCATTTGCATTTGCTTCTCCCAGAATTTTGCACGCGCTCTGATGATCTACATACATTCTGCATATTCATGAAGGCAAACACGCTAAATGGATTGCGCGCACTGTTTTGCTCATTTGACAGACGCAATCCTCGGAGCACCCGGTTAGTGGATCAGGTATGCATGCGCTATCAAGTTTGCATGTGTTTTTGCACATGCAAACCTTTTGTAGATCAGGCCCTATATGTACTGTTGATGAAGTTAGGTGCTGTTTTGAGCATTATTTGTGGCTATAGAGTGGCTTTTTTGGTTGAGGTTTGTGTATGGCTCCTCAGACCGCTGTGCATTGCTATCTGCGGTCGTTACTTAAGTTGGTATAACTAGAGAAGCAAGCAGTCTGCAACATTCATCTCTCGAGGGGTGTCTAACCCAGCGTTACAGTGTGTTTGACCCTAAATTAATTTCACACTGGAATATCCCTTTAAACTAACATAATTATCAACCTGAAGATTTGGTTGTTTTTTTAATTGAAATTGTTGAATTGGCTCTATTCACTCAGGAGAGGGCGGTAGATCAACAACAGCCACCCCGAGAAGAGCTCAAACTGTATTACCAACGACAGCAGCTCCTAAACTGACTAGAAACAGAGAAACAACGGAGAGCACAGTGGTGTCCACAGACAGTGAAGCTTCAAATGTAACAGGTACTGGCTCCACACTTTCTACCAACATTAATTTAATCTTTTTTTTTCACTAAACTCTCAGATATTAAAGGGGACCTGCCATAAAAATGTAATTTTTGGGGTTTTTTGTGTCATATAAGGTCCATATTACGTTCGTCTTATGTTGTACATGTGAAAAAAAACCGTTACGTCGTTTGCATTCTGTAAAGGTTTAAAATCAAGGAACGAGTAAACCAGGCCAATTGAAAAAGCCCGTCGAAGTTACGTTGCGCCGACCTTGCTCATTATTATTCACGAGCGCGTCCTCGGTGAGCCGCGCCCACTCTCTCGTTCTCGTACTCAGTCACAGCCAGAGCGAGACCCAGCTACCGCTGAATCCGCTATGGGTCTCTTCCAAACGATCGGTGTTTCCTTCGGTTCACTGCCGGGAAAATGAATGAGAAAACACCGCTGGAGATCTCCGGCTTCTTCCTCAACTTCCACCTCCTCTTCGGACTCGGGGTCTAAAATATATGGTTTAATACCTGCCGTTTTTAGCCTTTAGCATAAGGTGACCAGACGTCCCCGATTTCCGGGGACAGTCCCCGTATTGGATGATCTGTCCCCGGCAAAAGCTGTCCCCGAAAATGTCCCCGATTTAAGCGTTTCATTAATGAGAGCAAAAATGTTGCGTGTGGGCTCGAACACCGGTTATTACAGTAGCCGAATTTAGTTAGCAGTCCTGAACAACAGTTCTTACGGGGTTATTACAAGGGGCATGCGCTGCTACTAAATAGTACCGAGACTTTGTCTGTGATCACACAGCCCCTGCAGCCCCTGCACCACCGCCGCCGCACCGAATATCCCCGGATATCATTACAGACATCTGGGCACCTTACTTTAGCACACATTAGCATATGCTATTAGCATTAGCATAATAACAGTGGATAAACCGAAATCCGAACCTCCACTGCTGAGCCAATCAGAGCACAGCAGGCTTCACAGCAGCGATCCAATCAGAGCAAAGCTCATTACCATAAATGTTAATGAGCCAAAACCAGTTGGTTTTCCTGTAAGGTTTTTTAGGCATACTAAAACAAACCATCAAATAACTTTTCAGCTAAAATTATGTTGCAAACATGATCAGAGGACATCAAGGATTATGAAAAATTGATAAAAATGGGTATGAAATTTTGGTGGCAGGTCCCCTTTAAGGAGTTGCAGTCAGAAAAACTTTGAGCAGCTTGTTACTCTTCTTGACATTGTAAGTAGAGAAATCTCTGAGGGAAAGAGTAGAAATCTAGAGCCACAGTGTTTCAAATGTTTGATTGCCTTTCAGCCTGGTGGAGGTTTCTCTTAGTGTCTGTGGGTTTATCAGCTCTCACTGTAACTGTTGTGACAGTCAGTGTTTGGACAAGAACTAAAGGTGAGATCAACTTAACATGAAGCATTAAAATTTCAGGGTTTATTATGATCGTGTATTTTCTTTGTGGGAGCTAAAGTGGACTTTTTTTAATGTCTCTATAGGGGGAAAGAACTCAGAGATATGACAACTTGGTGAGCTTTAAACCACATGGACTTTGGACATTGTTTTTTTTTTTTGGTGTCAAATTCAACCTTTATGTATTTTCAATCCTTTTCTCAATTTGCTGGCGTAAACTGATAAAACTGACGGCGTGGTGTCTTATGAAAATGTTGGAGTACCTTCTGTTTCGGTCAGACTCCACTGATCAACATCTTTCACACGGACATGAACTCGCTAGAGATGGTCCCCAGTTTAGACCTTATGAGGTTTTACATCATGAAAGTCATGTATCTACAAATGTAGACACATGAGATTCATTGTAATGAAACAGGAAGTTGGTTATTGAGGGGCTTAAAATACTTGGAGAGCCACCAAACTTGGCAGATATGAGCCCAATAGCAGAATTAGAGGTTTAAAAATGTTTATTTTATGATTTGGGGAATTTTCTTGTTTCTGCATTCAGTTTATTAAACTGCTAACAAATATCTACAGATGCACTTTTGAGGATTTTCAGACAAAATCACTTCCCTCTAATCTGTATGTGTAGTTACTTTTTTAGTTTCTTCTGATAGATAACTTTTTGTCTTTGTCTGATCACTGTGTCATCTACAAATAAAGAAATATTTACTGATAAGGTCTGTGTTTTATGATCGCTTTATTTACACTCTGTCTGTGTCGTAGTGAGTCAACATTTTTAACCATTATCATCCATCATCATTGATGAAACTTAACTCCTTAAAAGGAAATCCTCTATGTGTTGGGTTGAGCAGCTCTTTTCTCAGAACAAGACTTTCTTAACATAGAGAAGTGCACCAAAAACAAACCCAGAATATAACAATCAGGGCTACTTTTAGAGGTGTTTTTTTGTTTATTTGTTTGTTTTATATGCTTGACTGTTTCTTGAATTAATAATTAATATTCACATGGAAACTTATAATCCAAAACACAACTTTTTATTCAGGGTACCTGTCACAGACCATTTCATCACATGACTTCTTGATATGGAGGTCCCCAAAGCAGATTTTATACAGTCTGATCTACTGTAACTGCACATCTTTCTCAGTACTGTGTTTAGTGTGCTCTGTCTGGTCTGGCACTTAAACAGTTTTCACATTTTGCACAGTAAATAAAAAGTTCTTGGTGGATTTGTCACCACAGCTGAACTAATTTTGGTCTGGTCTGAATTCAACTTCCTCATATATCTGATATCACGGTTTGCTCTAAAGATCTGTCAACATGTTCATGTCCGTGTAAATCCTTTGCCTCAGACGCCTGTAATCTTGACTTCAATATCTTGCTTTGTTGTTCTTTGACTATTTGTTGTAATTTTTATAGATAAAAAAACTTCACGCAACTCACTGGTTTTGTTCCCACAGTCTCAACAAAATATCTCCCCACCTCCAGTTCCCAGATACAACTCGACTCAGTTTTGGAGGGTGAAAAAGTTTGTTTTTTGTCTTGTTTCCATGGTTTACACCTAAGAAAATCTCTCTAAGTTGCCTCTGAATGGTTTGGCTGAAGAAAAAAAGTCTGTCGACTTCCTGGTTCCTCATCAAGAGGTAAAAAAAAAGTCCCTGTCGCCAAAGCACTGCCCCCCCTCCATTTAGTCACATATCTATCATTGCGCAATAATTCCAGTTTAACAGGAAACTCATCAGTCTGCTGTGACCTTTGACCTCTTTCCTGACCATCTTCATCATCATCACTTTATCACCGCTGTCAGTGGAGCAGCATTAACGACATTTAATTAACTACCAGACAAGAAGCGGCGTACACAGTTTTTGACCATTTTGACACAGCAACAAGTTTAGAGAAGTGTTAATCTTAACATACATGATCTAAGTCATGAGAGGAAGTGATGTCATGCTGAGAAAAGGAAGGGCGATAAGCGTCTCTCTAAATAAGGACAACTTAACAAACTCAGACAGTTGTGAGTGTGACAGCAGAAGAAGAGACAGAGGATAACTGTAATGGAGTTCAAATGGATTCAGATGTCTTTATTTCTAACAGCTCTGCTTCACTTTACAGGTAAGAACACTGATATCACAGGTGGGTTAGAAGAGCTTTTTAACTATTTGACTTTTAACACAACAAGATTGAAATAAAACACAGCAAACACTTATTTTCTCACTGATTTATATTCTCATAATTTTCTCATATTTCAGCTGCAAAAGTCAAACCTCTCGACCTCACTGTCAGAGTGGGAGTTGACATCACTTTGACCTGTGAGAACCTGATAAAACAACATGAGTGTGAATTTACTACATGGACCTTCAGCCACTTTAAAAACTTGACAACAGAGGAGCTGGTTAAACTCGGGCAGATTGTTGAAGATGTTGGATCTAAATCAGACAGACTGAGTGTGGCAGAGGACTGTTCTCTGCTGATAAAGAAGGTCAGAGAGGATGATGCTGGGCGTTATTACTGTCGACAGTACCCACCAGAAGGAAAAAAAGAACCTGACGCTGTTGTTTTTTTCTCCGTCGTTAAAAGTGAGTATTTCTATCATCACGTTTCAGCTCAAATTGTAAACTGAAATATCACAAAAATATGGAATCACAGTTTCAACTTTATTTGACTGCTTTTTGTCTTTCTTGCAATATCTCATTTTTTCAACAGTGACTGAACTACAGTATGCTGATAGGGTGGCTGTTCGCTGCTCTGTGTGGACACATGAACATCTCAGGACTGAAGTGAAGTGGCTGTTTGAGGGTAAAGATGTGGATGAACATTACCAAAGTATGAGGACTTTATGGGGTCTCTGCTTTGCCGATGTGAGTTTTCAGCCTGATCACCACATGTACAGATCCAGATATGAGTCACTGCAGTGTGAAGTGACTGTAGATAACTTAGTGTTTTCCTTCAGACTTCAGCCCTCAGGAGAGAAACCAGGTGAGGCACTATGACTCATTTCAAGTGGAAGTTTTTTAAGTTTTATTTTCAAATATCAACATCAAGTTTATTCAAAGACTTAATCAAACTTTTTTCAGTTTTAGGTAAGGACACAGGAACAACACACTTCATCACACCGACTGAAAGCAGCTTCATAAAGGGATTTACAACAACAGAGTCTGCAATAAATGATGATTCAGCAAATCTTCATGGTGGTGAGTCAGCATTTAAATTCTCAGGTAACAAATAAGTGCAGTCAGAAGAACTTTCAGATCCGGACTGCAGCTTGTTTCTCTGTTTGATGTTGTTGGTTTTCCAGTTTTGATTGTTGGTGTCATAAATAATGATAGACTGATTTCAAAGCTCCACCTGTAACCTCTGAGAAATCAGTGTTTACAAATCTGTTTTCTCTCATACTGACTTTAATGTCTGTAGACTTTTATACTGACATTAAACACACACTGAGTCCGAGGCTTCGTTTCTGTGTACTTGACTGGCAAAGATGGTAACTCCACAACAATGATAGGAGGTGTTACTACGCATGCTCCTGAGCTCCTGGTACCCACAATGCCCCGACATCTAACAAAGATAGTTGAGCGCTAAGATGCTCCCCACAAATAACATTCATTACACTGACCAAACGCTTTTAAGGGACGAGAAATGAGCTCCCATCATGCTCTGTTTCCTATCAGGTTGTTCGTTCCTGGACTGGATCATGTTGTCTCTGCGTGTGTCTGAACTCGTCCTCATCACTGTGATCACTGTTCTTCTCTTCAGAGCTTCAGGTGAGAACCTTCAGACCAACATGAGAGTCAGAGTCTGATGTTGTTTGGAGCTGAAATCTGTCTCTCTGCTTTCTTTTCCAGGGAACCACAGACCTCCTGATGATTTCACTGTGAGTATGACAGAGTTCAGAGTTGGAGCTGTGAGATCAGACTGATCAGGTCTAAAGTTCAACATTTCTTTTCTTCTCTTTGAGCTCCTCTGTTTTTTTCTGTCAGGTGTGTTATGACAGAGACGACGTCACAGTGACATATGAAAATGTTGAAGAGCCTTCAACGTCAGTCAGACTCCACAGACCAACCAACAGATGATCTCCTGCTTTCACACATTTATTTACGTATTTTTATTTCCTAAAAATCCAGATTTCATTTGTTCTTTTTTTCTGTAAAGTTGCACAAATCAATGAATGTTGAAGTTTGTTTTATTCCAAATGTATCAGCTTGCTGTAGAAAGAAGTTATTTTTGTTTTGTCTCATCACTGGAGAAAATCTTTGGCGTCTGCGTCCAGTTGAGAGATAAAAAAAAACAACAACATGGATGTAGATGTGCAGATTTATTTTGTGCATTTTTACATATAAGCTGTTGATATTATTTCGTAAATTGCTGAGATATCTGAGTGTTTGAAGGGGAAGGCTGTTTGGTTTAAAGTCTTGTTGCTGTCTTCAGAGAGTCAGTGTTTGTCCTCTCTTTATTATATCTGATCACAGTGTCATCTGCAAATAAAGAAATATTGATCACTCATTTCTACAGACTGTTTGATTCTTTCTACATTTACTGACAGTGTTTGAGTCACAGTGAACATCTTTGACCCTTTTTTACAATCAGTTAAACCTTGTTATGTTTCACTTTTAGTTTTTTAGTCTTTAAAATATTATATTCAATGTGTTTATCTGGATATTTTCTGGATATTAGAGGGGTCGTTTTTTGTTGTTTTTTTTCTGACAGAGCTCTGCAGCTGCTGTGGTTTTTTTCTCTGTGTCCGCACTCTTCCCCCTCAGTTCTCAGAAAACTCAAACACCGAAGACTCAACATATCTCAAAGCACAAATTACCATCTTTACTTTAAACGTTCACAATTCTGGAGGATCAAATGTTTGATTATTTTAGTTGCTCTTTTAAGTTTGCTAAAATGATTTCTTACAGATATCACGATCACTTTGAGGAAATAACACCATACTATGAACAGGAAGTAGATGAAGTGTCTCTCTAAATAGAACAACTTTACAAACTCAGACAGTCGTAGGCGTGAGAGCAGAAGAAGAGAGTCAGACGATCATCATCATGGAGTTCAAATGGATTCAGATGTCTTTATTTCTAACAGCTCTGCTTCACTTTACAGGTAAGAACACTGATATCACAGGTAAATTAATGGAGCTTTTTTAACTATTTGACTTTTAACACAACAAGATTGGAATAAAACACAACAAACATTTTCCCACTGATTTAAATTCTCATAATTTTTTCATATTTCAGCAGCAAAAGTCAAAACTCTTGACCTCCCTGTCAGAGATGGAGATGATGTCACTTTGACCTGTGAAAACCTGATGAAACATCAACATGAGTGTGGATTTACTACATGGACCTTCAGCCACTTTACTGACCCAGGAACAGCAGAGCTGGTTAAACTCGGGCAGATTGGTGAAGATGTTGGATCTAAATCAAACAGACTGAGTGTTACAGAGGACTGTTCACTGCTGATAAAGAAGGTCAGAGAGGAGGATGCTGGGCATTATGAATGTCAACAGTACCCTCAAAGAGGAAACCAGCAACCTGACACTGTTATTTTTCTCTCCGTTGTTAAAAGTGAGTATTTCTATCATCATGTTTCAGCTCAAACTGTAAACTTAAGCATTACAAGAATTATGATCACACATACACCTTTTTTTTCCAATCCTAAGTGTCTGAAGTGAAGACTGGTGATTCTGTGACATTGATCTGCGCTGTGTGGACACGTGAATGTTGTAGCGACACAGTGAAGTGGATGTTCGATGGAGAAACCGTGGGTGTAGGTGTGCGTCATCAAAATATGTCAGCATCACAGCCTTCCTGCAGCTCCTCTGTTGACTTCCAGATCACTCAGTTTGTGTACAAATCCAGATTTGAGTCACTGCGGTGTAAAGTGACTGTAGGTGACAGAAGGAAGCAGTTTCCCTTTAGACTTCAGCCCTCAGAAGAGAAACCAGGGGTCCGTTTCACGTAGGTGGTTCAACAAACTCTGAGTTAAATCCTTAACTCTGAGTTGATCTACTCTGAGTTAGGAAACTCTGAGTTTCCGGTTTCACAACACCTGATTTGAGACGGTTTTAACAACTCCGAGTAGTTTGACCTGGAGTTAAGCACGTGCACGCCAGACATAAACAGCCAGCATCTGTGGAGCGCAGATTCAATGATCAACCAATGGAAACAGGGAGAAGGAGGGGGCAGCAGCAAGCCAACAGCGAATTACAGCACGTTTTTAAAAGAAAGTGCAATACAGCAGCAGCTGCAAAGGAGAGGGAGAGGGCATGGGAGGAAATCGCTGCGCGCGTCAATGCGTAACTTTAAATCTAGTCTCGTGCAATCACAATGACAGACTGTTGCAGGGAAACTGCTTGAATTATTTTGATCATGTTTTACATTGTCAAGTAAGTATTAAGTGGCAGTTTGATCCCTTAGAAAATGCTCTTTTCACACTCAAAAATGTTACTCTCTTATGATGTTCCGTTAAATGATTAGGAATATTAAACTAACTCTCAGTATGTATATGTACATATATTAAACTAACACACACTACACTCAATATTAGACTTTCACTCAGCAAACAGAAAGAGGGCAGATGCCAGAAAAACGGGTGGTGGCACAGCCGCCCCATCTTTAACGGTGGCAGAGGAGCTGCCCCCCCCCCCCCCCCTTCGACGATCGCAACCCCCACCCCGTAGCAGCGATCGTCGGACTGGTGTGTGTGTGTGTGTGTGTGGTGAGAAGATTTTAATGTGTTTACAGCGACTTTAAAATCGTTTCAGTATTATTCTAAAAAATCAACATGAACTTCATTCGTAGATCTGATCAAAAGTCTATTTCTGGACCATTTTTTCTGTTTTAGATGGAAGAAGCTTCGAAAAAAGAATTACAACAACAGAGTCTACAATCAATGAGGATTCAGCAAATCTACATGGTGGTGAGTCAGCAATTTTCACGTCTATTCATTCTAAACTCAGTTATCAAACACATGCAGTCAAAACAACTTTCCAACTTAAAACAGCCGAGGTTGTTGTGAAAGTCTTAATTTCATTTTCATCATTTCTCCAAGAAGTGGAAGTGAATTAAAACTTAATTTCATCGTGACATTGATGCTTCATGAAAAATCAATGGTGCACAGATACAGCTCCAGTTCATCTATTCATCCACCCTTTCATTTTCTCCCACTTGTCTTGGTTGGGTGGATGTTGGCACCAACCTCTTGGAGCATCCTTCTTCCCAGCACCACTTTCAGCTCTTCCTATACAAAGTTCTCACCTTGCCAGCTTTCATTCGTCCTCTCAGTGAGTTGGGTCGACCCTGGAATCTCCTACAGGTTGGATGTGCTTGGCAGATCCCCAAAAGGAGGCGCCACAGGCATTTTTCTAATATGAAGGAGTAACAGTTTGACCTGGAGCTTTCCCGGGAGCTCGCTCAAAATAAAGACACCCTTCAGAAGAAATGTATCTGTTCACCACCCTCAACTTATAACGACAGGTGAAGGTTAGGTCCAGGTTGAACCTGAAAACTTTGCCATAATGCTTTGGCGCAACACTCGTGTCTCATGAACAAGAGCCTGGGAAAACTGGACTCCCTAGAGGAGGATTCACTCCTCATCTTCAGGGGTCAATCTGAACCAGATTTAATGCTAAACAAGTGGTTGGAGGAGCAAATGATACACAAATTCAGTTAATCCAGCAGATTGGACCATCTCTGCCAAACTTTCTGCTGCAGTTACCAAAAACCTCTTTTAGGAGCACAATCAATCATTTTTTTTACAGTGTAAAATCACAACAACTGTTATCCCGAGAAAAGAGCAGGTCTAGACCACACCCATTGTTTGACTCAACCTTAAAATGGAACAGATTTGACCCATCTCATCCTACATGAGTGACAGTTACAAGGAAAAACTTCGCTTTAATGGGCAGAAACCTTGGGCAGGACCCGACTTGTGTTAGACAGCACCTGCTGCTGCTGACAGAGATGAGAGATGAGAGAGAGAACACAGAGAGAGATAGAGAGGAAGAGAGAGAGAGAGAGAGAGGGAGAAAGAGAGAAAGAGAGAGGACAGCAGCAACAGCAAAAACAACAACAGCTCCTGGTTACAGAGCAAATAATGATGGAAGAATATAAATTCAGTTTACAAGGATCAGGAAATAAATAATAACAGACTATTTTTAATTAATTTAATGTGATTGAAGTCAGCAGGCCTTATAGTTGTTCACTCGAGCTTTATGTTATAAATGTCAGTGAGACTGATGTTCAACGGCATTCGTCTTTTCCTTGGTGCTGATGTGAGCGACAGCTGCAGCAGCCTCCTCTTTCCTGACAACATCAATAAAAGGATGACTTCAGGCGATTCTTAAGATTTGTTGTGTTGAGCATGAAGACTTTTTCTTGCAGCACATTTTGCAAATAGCTGCTACAACACTCTCCTCGGAAACCGCGTAAACCCACTTCCTCACCACTGATGCCCCATTGGCTGTTGTCAGCTTGCTTGTGAACAAAACATCCTTGACAACAACCTGCTGGCAGGAGAAGATCTCTCAAGTCAGCAGGGTTCAGTCTCAGGGGATCAGGAATCAGGCTGATGTGGTCCACCTCACCAGTTTGGCTGAACATGTCCTGCACATCTTAATTTTTGCAGGTTGTTCGTTCCTGGACTGGATCATGTTGTCTCTGCGTGTGTCTGAACTCGTCCTCATCACTGTGATCACTGTTCTTCTCTTCAGAGCTTCAGGTGAGAACCTTCAGACCAACATGAGGGTCAGAGTCTGATGTTGTTTGGAGCTGAAATCTGTCTCTCTGCTTTCTTTTCCAGGGAACCACAGACCTCCTGTGACGGAGATGACGTCGCAATAAAGACTCAGTTATTCTCAAACATTTAACATTTTTAGTGCAGATTTAAAGAAATAAATACAGACTTCATTTCTGAGGTGTTGGAAGGACTCAGAGGAACAAGCTTGCTGTACATTAAGATCTGCTTTATTGGCGTCAGTATCAGACCCAAACTGATTACTATGATTAAAGTGACATTTCTTTAGCAGGTGTAAAGAATTTTTTTTTGTATTTTCAGATGTGAAAGGCTTGATCTATTAATCTGTGGGGGAGAGTGGGGTGAGATGAGCCATTTTTCATATTTCGGATCACTACATCAAGGCAATCATAATTTTGTCTTTAACTAGTGTATCTGCATATATTTCAAGATGTTGCGCATCCCTGCAAACCAACAGAATGAGTGTTAACATAACTGTCTTGATAATATAGCATGTCAAAAAAAGTGGTCTCCTATGGTCAACTTACCCCATACACGGGGTAAGTTGAGCCGTATCCCTACTACCCCCTCACTCTCCACCCCAGCCCTCCCTCACCTTCTCTCTCCCTAAATAGCAATCACTTCTTCACATTCATGTGTATTTTTATCTATTATACGCTATTCAACTGGTACAATAATTCTGTTATTGTTGCATATAACTGCTAAAAAGCTGTTTTGTAAAAAGCCATTTTAACATGAGAATGTCTTTAAGTGATTCAGAACATTCACAGCTGTATTTTTGGAAAGAAAAAGACAAACATTTCAACATCTGAACTGAAACTCTGATCCTCTCATCAGACTCCTTTACTTTCTCACTTGAGCCACTGGCTTAACTTACCCCAGAACTACTATTCTGACTTTATTAGTCCTCTAAGCTAAAATGGTGGACTTTTATGCTTGTTTATTGACCTCATGTTGTAGCTCATAGATACCACAATTCTAATAAAACTTATGACAGACAAAATTCACTTTCAAGAGTGAAAAAAGTTTTTTGTAAATAAATGACTAACCCCTTCACCAATGTGCTTCTAACCTTCACAAACTCCATGAATTGATGCCCATCTCCTAAATATTTGGTCACATGATCAATTTCTTTTACCATTTCCAAGCAACAGGGGGTGGCTCAACTTACCCTTTGGCTCAACTTCCCCCACTCTCCCCTATCCCACAGAGAGTTTCATGATCCTCGAGTTTTAATGTTTGTTGCAAAACCTTCAAGGGGTTAATTAATTGAAATTAGCAGATGCTTTTCTTTGGTCTAACCACATCCTTTATGTACAGTACATCCTCTTCATGGCTTTGACAGATCTCTGAAAAACCATCTTGGTCCTTATTACGCACTGATCAGGGTCTTAATCTGACTGCTGTGACCTCTGACCACTTAAAAACCTCGTCAGACACTAAAAATATGTCTTACCGTCATTTCAACAGAAGTTTAGAGAGAAAAATCTTAACACAGACACTGAGGAAGTGACATCATACAGAGAAAGGGAAATAGCTTCAGCGCCTCTGAAGCTGGTTTTAGAAACTCAGACTTCAGTGAGCAGAAGAAGAGAGACGGACGATCACCATCATGGAGTTCAAATGGATTCAGACGTCTTTATTTCTAACAGCTCTGCTTCACTTGACAGGTAAGAACACTGATATGATGTAATATATGAAGGTGCTCTAAGACTTACTCTGGCAAACATCATTCATGAGTTGATTTTAGCTCCTGATGCCAGAAACTAAAGACATGATCAGCAATTTTCAAAGCCCATTGTGACCCAAACTGTCACTCAGCACAAGGATGCTGAGACTGTTTCTTAGTATCTAACCATAATTTATATTACACTTTGTTATGAAGTCGATATTAAAAGAGTCAAATGAACTTTTGCACCTTCTTAAAGTTCTTTTTACTGTTTTGATTCAGGTCTGTAACTTATGATCAACCAGAGGAAGTTCATCCTTCAAAATAAAAGCACAATTTGGCCATACAGTAATGAAAGCCAAGACAGAAAAGATGAAACAAGAATTTAACTATTATTAGAAACAGATGATGTTTGTAAGGTAATTGCATTTATAAGATCAGTTAATGTGGTAACATGTTGCTTTACCTTTATCATGAATATGACTGACTGTGTCTGTTTTTGTGATATTCTGTGGCTATGATAGTTGTGAGGTGAAAATATCATGACAGTCATAGTCGCTGGCATGACGCCTTTGAGAATATTACAACCACACTGAAAGTACAATTTTTTTAAATTCACTTTCTTTCTTTGATTTTCTCTCATTTCCATCAGTAGCAGCTGATATCCAACCTCTCTACCTTGCTGTCAAAGCTGGAGGTGACGCCGCTTTGACCTGTGATAACCTGATAGAAGATCAACCTGAGTGTAACTTTACCACATGGCTCTTCAGTAATCAAACAAAATCAACAGAACTGGTTAAACTCGGGCAGATCGGTGAAGATGTTGGATCTAAATCAGACAGGCTGAGTGTTACAGAGAACTGTACTCTGCTGATAAAGACGGTCAGAGAGGAGGATGCTGGGCGTTATTACTGTCAACAGTACCCATCAGAACAAAAACAAGGACCTGATGCTCATGTTTATCTGTCTGTGGTTAACAGTGAGTATTTCCATCATGTTTTCAACTCACACTGTAAACTGAAATGTTACAAGAATCATGATCACAGTCTTTCTAAAAACATCTCTATCTTCAACAGTGACCAAACTGAAGAACAACGATTCTGTGACAATAATCTGCTCGTTGTGGACATATGAACATCTTCAAACGAAAGTGAGGTGGCTGTTTGATGGTGAAGTTGTAGATAAACATCATCAGAGTATGAGGACAACCCAGCCTCCTTGCACCACCTCTGCGACCTTCGAAGTGGCTCAGGATGTGGACAGAGCCAGACTCGACTCACTGCAGTGTGAAGTGACTGTAGGTGACAAAGTGAAGCTGTTTCCCTTCAGACTTCAGCCCTCAGGTGAAAAACCAGGTGAGAAGATTTTGATCTGTTTAAAGTCACTTTAACTGTTGTGACTAATTTAACATAAATAACATAAATAGAGAAATTAGAAACTGAACTCTCCAAACATGCTTCAATATTTTTATTATCGTTCCAGATTGGCTGTGGTTGTATGTTACTGTGGCTGTGCTAGTTTTAATGACACTTTTGATCTCTGCTGTGACTTTCATCAGATGGAAGAAAGCTGACGGTAAGATCACACTTGAAAGTTTATTTCCAGAAAGACTGATCAAGGTTTGTTTCTGTTTTGAAGCTAAAGTTCAGTCTCTTTTTTTTTTTGTCTTTTCAGGGAACAAAACACAGAAGAACAGCGACACTGTGAGTTTAAAAAGACTTCACCATTTTTATTCTGTAGCTGAGAAGAGTTGGATTAATCAAACTGTGATGGGTTCAAATTCAGACTCTTAAGCTACCGTAGAGGAGGGAATTGTTCTTTAGGGCCAATGACATGGGGGGCCCTGGTGATTCAATGGCAATATAGAATGGACACCATCTGCCTCCTCGCTTGGTGAAGCCACCCCAAAAACAGTGACGGGTTGCAGTATTGGTCATAAATCCCGCCTCCTCCAGCAAAGCTTATGGAGTTGTGGACAAACTTTAGAAATTTATTACACAGAATATAAATTTTTCTCCCCGCTGCATGCGATGTTGACATGTAGTTATTGTAAGACTGGTTTGTGCTCAAGTCCTCTTTTTTCTGTGCAGCTCCATTTTTAAATGTTATTGGGGATTCATGTTTTCTATGATTGACACTTGATACAGCCTATGGGTGTACAAGGATTGGGTAGCTCACCCTGGGGACACGCTGTTTGAGCCTAGCTCATCTAGGTTCCGCCCTCTGTCACTATATGGATTTGAAGCCAAAAAGCTCTCTGTAATTCTGCGTTTTTTCTCCATTTCCTGAAACCAACATTGCGCAGTAGCATTGTACGCATTCAGCGGGAGTGTCGCCGAGAGTTGCTGTGATGATGCTTGGCTCAAACAGCATATTCCCCGGGTAAGCTACGCAATCTTCATACACCCATAGGCTGTATCAAGTGTCAATCATAGAAAACATTTTAAAAATGGAGCTGTACATAAAAAAGAGGACTTGAGTACAAACCAGTCTTACAATAACTACATGTCAACATCGCAAGAAGCTGGGAGAAAAAATTATACTCTGAGTAATAAATTTCTAAAGTTTGTCCACAACTCCATAGGGATGACTGGAGGAGGCGGGATTTATGACCTATACCGCAGTCTGTCACCAGAGGGTGCTGTTCTTGGGGTGGCTTCACCCAGTGAGGAGACAGACGGCGTCCATTCTATATACAGTCTATGGTCCTTACGCAGTCATGGGTACTACATACTTAAGTACTGTCTTCTCTGAGCAGGCCGATCCTGAAGATGGTGTCACCTATGCCTCCATCAGCTACACCAAGAGGAACAAAAGTCAAGCTCGGGTAAGCCCTCTGATTGGTCAAGGTGATGCAGGATGTAAATCACTAAACAGATTAACTATCCAAGATCACATCTACATGTGAGGGCCGAGATTACAGCAGAATGCTCAGTATATGACAAAGGGTCCACTTTCTCTTCTTCAGGTTCTGAGTGAAGTCAATGAGAATGATGAAGATCGAGCTGTGACCTATGTCACTGTGAAAGCCTCTACTTCTCCTTCTTCTTCTTCTTCTACTGCTGCTGCTGCTGTTGAAGCCTCCATGGATCCCAGCAGCCTCTACGCCACCGTCAACAAAGTGAAGAAATAACAGAACATAAAGTATAGTGTTTAAAAGGGTTGTAAATATTATTCTACCAGAATGAGCAGGTCTGATTTTAACCTTGATGAAAAACACTTGACTCATGGATGACTGTTTAAAAAAAGATTCAATTCAATTTGTTTTTTTTGTTTTGTTTTTCCAGTAAAACACAAAAATTAAAATTACCTGTTGGTTTAATTTTTCCAATGGCAGTGTTAAAAAAAAAAAAAAAAAAAACTTATATAATATTTACTGCCATCATAATGGTGAGGGGGGATTTAACAATGTTATGATCATTCAGCAGTGATAATTTTGATAAGGAATTTTTAAATGATTTTAGTCATTGTCTTGTCTTTCCATCTCTTGTTCAAGTTAAAATCTAGTCGGTTTGAATCTCTCCTAATTTTTGTCAACAATTTAGTGAAAACTTTTGTAAACAATCTCCATTTTCTCTGTAATTTTATTTTAATATTTTTTAACCATTTGAAAAGACTTATTTGTTTTTATGCTCGAGAATTTTTTTTTTTTTTTGGATGGTGGAAATTCCTTTAGTTTTCATTGTCATTAAAAACCCTGGTGTAAAGTTACTCTTTAAGTTTTATTTGGTGCAGCTTAATTTTATCTGAGCATTTGTTTATCTGATTATTCTAACTTTGTTAGCAAATGAAGGAACCACGAAACACTGTTAAATAAAGGTGGTTAATATTTCTTTATTTGCAGATGACACTGTGATCAGATATAATAAAGAGAGGACAAACATTGACTCTCTGAAGACAACAACAGGACTTTTAATCAAACATCCTTCCCCTTCAAACACTCAGATATCTCAGTAACATACAAAATAATATCAACAGCTTATATGTAAAAATGCACAAAATAAATCTGCACAGCTACATCCATGTTATTGTTTTTTTTTTATCTCTTAACTGGACACAGACGCTAAAGATTTTCTCTAGTGATGAGGCAAAACAAAAATAACTTCTCATTTCTACAGCAAGCTGATTACATTTGGATCAAAACAAACTTCAACATTAATTGACTTGTGCAACTTTACAGAAAAAAATAACAAATGAAATCTGGATTTTTAGGAAGTGAAAATCTGTGACTAACTCTTTGAAAGCAGGAGGATCATCAGTTGGTTGGTCTGTGGAGTCTGACTGAAGCTGAAGGCTCTCCAACATTTCCATACTTCACCGTGGCATAGTCTCCATCATCATGCACCTGAACAGAGGATTTCAAAGAAAAAAAGAAAGGTTGAATTTTAGACCTGATCAGTCTGATCTCACAACTCCAACTCTTAACTCTGTCATACTCACAGTGAAATCATCAGGAGGTCTTTGGTTCCCTGGAAAAGAAAAGCAGAGAGACAGATTTCAGCTCCAAACAACATCAGACTGAACTCATGTTGGTCTGAAGGTTCTCACCTGAAGCTCTGAAGAGAAGAACAGTGATCACAGTGATGAGGACGAGTTCAGACACACGCAGAGACAACATGATCCAGTCCAGGGAAGAACAACATGCAGAGACTGTGAGGAAATGATGATAAAGAAATCATCCCCAAAAGTTAAGATGTGCAGGACATGTTTAGCCACACTGGTGAGGTGGACCACTTCAGTCAGACTCATGATCCCCTGAGACCGAACCCTGCTGACTTTAGAGACCAAACATTAATGTGGTGTTAGCGATGAGGAAGTGGGTGTACACGGTTTCTGAGGAGGGTGTTACAGCAGCTATTTGCAAAATATGCTGCAAGGAAAAGTCTTCACCCTCAACACAACAAATCTTTAGAGTTGCCTGAAGTCAGGATAGACGAAGTAGCTGCAGCTAGTTTCAGCACTGAGGAAAAGACAAGTGCTGCTGTGCTCCTGAAAGATGCTTTTGAAAACTACAGAAAGTTTGGCAGAGACAGCCCAGAGACAACAGTGAGTAATGACAAATCTGCTGAATTTACTGAACTTGGTAATTAAAATATGTATTTTTTTTACTTCAGGACAAAAACTGGTTCAGTCTAAAAGTAGTCCTGAGGCAGAAGCAGATTTTTTTTTTCTTTTTTTCTTCTTTTTTTTCAGTTTAAACTTTGCAGATATCATATCACTTTCACCATCAGTGTTTCAGCGCTGTCAGCATGACTGTAAAAAAAACTGATCCACAAAAGTTGTGCAACATGTGCAAAGCTTGAGCCTTCAGTGATCTTTATCTACTTTCCACCTCATGTTTGGTTGTGTAAAACTTAAACGTAACGTAAAGCTGCTTGTCTGTGGGAAGAGCTTATTTTCTTCTATCATTTGGTTTATATGATGGAAAATCAGATCTGTAGATAAAACAGAAGTTATTTTGGGGAACTTTTTCAATCAGCCAACCATTAAGGGATCCAACAAAATCTAGGAAACTTCAATTCGAACAAACAAACAGAGACACCAGCTGTTATCAGTTTGTGAAAGTGTTTCTGCTTTCATGGATTCGGCAGCTGAGAATTCAATAAAATCAGAATTGTTGATAAAAAGTTTTGAGTTGGTACCTTTGACATCTGAAGCTGTGTTGTTTCCAGACGATGCAGTGATGCTCTCTGTCCTGTTTTCTGATGGAAAAACAGAACTGTTCTGTTCTGTCCTGTTTTCAGACGGTGGTGGAGCTGCAGCTGGAAATTCAAAATAGTGGATTTTGATCTTTTCTGGCAACCTGTACATGAACAAAATCAGCAATTTTGTGGGTGACTTCAAACTGATGGAGATCTTCTTACCTGGGGGTGGGAGTCTGAAGAAACACATCCCCATCGAGTCGTCCACAGCCACTTCACACATCAGTGAGGCGTATCTTAATTTGTTCACGTGGTCGGTTTGAAGGGCCACATAAGCGTCGCAGCTAGGCTGTGGCGTTTCACCTCCGCAGTGTTTACCCACATCTTTACCGTCTAACAGCCACCTTGCTTTGGGTTTACATGCCTCATGCGTTGTCACGGAGCAGAACAGCATCACAGAGTCAATGTTCCTCCATTCAGTCACTGTAAAATACAGTTCAGGGCTGTGATCACCACTAACAAGTTCTTATCTTAATGTTTCCTTGACAACATGATGGTAGGAATACTCACTGCTCACAATGGACAGATAAACACGACCATCGTGGACGTCGATTCCTTCCAGCCGCTGTCTATAGTAATATTCCCCTGCGTCCTCCTCTGTGACCTTCTTTATGAGCAGACCACAGTCCTCTGTAACTCTCAATCTGTCTGATATAGATCCAACCCATTTTGCGATCTGCCCACGTGTAACCAAATTTACAATTTGAGTGTTTCCCGTGTAACGGACACTCCAGTCAAATTTGCGACAGTTTTTAAGAATCATTCGCATATCGTCAGGGACAAAGATGACGTCCTCTCCAACTCTGACCGTGCTGTAGACATTCATTGACCGAGACATCGCTGCTCCTGACAGAGCAAGAGGAAACAAGAAATGTTAGTAATGACGCAGGAACAATAAAAACTTTCTGTTATAGTTCTGGAGTTGTTGTAAGCCAAGTTACATTAAGATAAACATGTGAACTTACCTGTGAACTTGAGCAGCACTGCCAGATATACAGACATTTGAATCCATTTCAGCGTATTCATTTTGATTCTCTGTCCGTCTTCTTCCCCTCTCGCATGTTCTTACACCAAGAAGTGTCTGAGTCTGTTTTGTTAAGAGAGATGCAGAATCTACTTCCTCTTCCTCCACATGAGTCAGCTGCTCATTGGTCTTCTTGTGTATGACTACCCAAAAGATAAACTAGCAACAAGATACAACGATTTCGAAACCCTTTCCCGCCTTTATTTAATGAAACCCTCCATGAAGACAAAATATTTGGTGTTCAAACTGATAAACTTTATGGTTCAGGGTCATCAGAAGTCGGATAAATTTGAAGACAGCTCCAAAAACAGCTGTTTGGTTCACAATACAGATGAACAGGGTCACCACTTTGTCAACAACTGCATGAGCTAATAGTCCAACAGTTTAAGAACAACATTTTCTGTGTTCAACTGCAGGAATTTATGGATTTGATCATCTGCTCCATAAAATCAAGAGATTCAGAGAATTCAAAGAAAAAAAAACAATACTGATATATCGTGACCTTTGACCGCTCAGGCGACCCACATCAATCTACGAACGATTTTACCGTGTGGGCTCAGGAGGAGTTCAGAAAACCATTGTCAGTTAACACAGTTGGTCTCTACACCTACAAGTTCAAACTCTACCATGCGATGACAAAGCCAGATATCAACAACAGCCAGAAACGTCACCAGCTTCTCTGGACATGAACTCATCTGAAACGAACTAACCCACAGTGGGAAAGTCTAGCCTTATCCGCATGGCAAGAATCCTCAAATCAACAGTGTACTGTGACTTACTCAGGTCTTTATTGGGGCCCTTGTCCCATCTGTGTTCAGTTCCATTAATAACAGCCTTAGACAGATGTCACAGGGATGCATGGCTTGCATTTTGAGTGACAGGTTAGATGTGCAATGGGGAAAGTATGGATCCTGAATGACTGACAGATTGAGAATTTTTACTCTTTATTGCCTCACTGACAAAAACGAAACACACATTCGTTAGAAGTTTATCACCAATGCTTTATTTTTAGCTCAGCATCGTTCTGTCATCCACGTGATACAAAAAAAAAAAACACATGCAACAACTTCTAGATAAACAACTGAGAGCTTAAGGTTTCGGAGAAACGAAGAGGAAGTACCCAGTAAAAAAAAAAAAAAAAAAAACACAGATAGCATACTGTCAATTTCAATAATCCTGAAGGGTTTTTTTTTCATCATAGCTGTTGCAATCAACATTTACACCCTAATTTAATGAGTAGCAAAAACATTATTTTAATGAAAAGCAGCCAATACTTCCTCTCTCTGCCCAGTGAGCGTGTTGGTTGAGGGACATTTATAAAGATGTCCGACTGTGCAGCTTCTGTGCATCCTCCAAACCTGTACAAAAAGGGGAAAAGATACTGTGCATAAAAAAAGTGCATACATTAGGTTGATTTCGCCACAAACTGTGTCTTTGAGTCGTTAAGTTGCCGTTATGGGACAAATTTACCCTTTTTATGCAAATGAACCCCATTATGAGAAATGTCATGAAGGCTACAGAGTTAATTAAAGGGGAAGTCACTGTTGAGATAGAGAAATGATGTGATCAGTAAAGTGAGACTGACTTTTGTCTACCTTAAAGTCACATTAAATCAGGAGTGACTTCATGAGGTTTACGTTTGTGAGAGGAGAGACTCTTTTGTTTCTACAACCACTGCAATGACACACTAGGAAGCATTCCTTCACCTTTAAAGATGCAGTCAATAAAGTTTGATCTCTCCCCAAATCTATAAACGCACATTGTTGTCAGTCCTTTGGTTTTCCTTCCCTGTAGAGACACTTCAGTTCACACTTGCTGCAGCTCTTTGGTGCCTCAGTGACAGACATGTTTCTCACCTCTGAGAGGACGACGTGGTGAGAGGAAACTGAAGATGTGAAGACTGTAAGTTTCGATACAATAAATGTCTGAAAGGTGCTGCTAAGTAGACAGAGAGAGTTGACAGAGAAATTACAGACATGCTCAGTGACAAACATAAACAAACAAGTAATAAAATCCAAGTCTGACCTTAAAGAGTTCAACTCTTGAAGGCTAAATTGTGACAGAATACAGAGAAGATGATACTGTAGTCCTCTGAAGTCTGTTGGTTTGTCACGTTTCATCTTTTCTGAGAACTGAAGGGGAAGTATCTTTTCTGATTGTGGCTACAACAACAACTAGAAAAGCACTCTGAGAGCGCAGACCTCCGCCAAGCAGCTCATGTCCCCCCTTATATTGTGATTCACACCAAAACTTTTACTGTTACGTGTCTTTTATTAACTTTTATTTGTGTTTAAACTGGTATGTTCACTGTTCATAATGTTCCTAAAACAAGAAATACCCTGACCAGAATTCAAACCCAGGACCTTCTGGTTGTGAGGTGACAGTGCTAACCGTTACAACACTGTGCCACCTATCTACACCACTGTGCCGCCCATTACTTATCGTTCAGCATTGAAAATTCCAACAACACCCTTATTTTTGTGTGTTCTGGATCACAGTATCCAGAATTTCGTCCGGATCACCACCAAAATTTAATGGGATCCTCCTGGGGCTGAGACACACCTCTGGTGAAAATTTCAGGTCAATCCGTCTGTAACTTTCTCCGTAAAGTTGCTAACAGACCAACAAACAAACCAACAAACAAACCAACGCTACCGAAAACATAACCCCCTTGGCGGAGGTAACAACAACTCCAGTATGAATGAACCCCTCAGTCAGTGAGATTTTTAGCAGCAAACATGAACTAAACCTGGTTGAGGTTAAAAAGAGTTCTTGGAGTCTGTGGAAATGATCTGGTTTCAGCTTCAGCCCTAGAATAAAGTCAACTATTGACGCTATTGACAAGGTAACACTGACTGTATGAAAGATAAAAGGTGGGTTTATTTTGGTAATAACACTGACAGTAAATGAAAGAATCTTAAAACTCTGTCAAAGTGAGTGGTGGTTCATGTGGTCAATATTTCTTTATTTGCAGATGACACTGTGATTAAACAAAAACAGACTCTCTCAGGACGACGCAGCAATTCACCAAAGAAAACAAATCACATGAAATACATCCAAGGAAAAAAGCAGATTAAAGTTCATTTAAAAGAGACAAACTGCAAATCTGCAGGTGTTTTTATGCCCAAATGTCATCTAACAAAAAAAGGAAGTTGATTACAAAACTGAGGGCAACCAAAAGAGCTTTTTGATGATTAAGTAACAGATGAAAGATTTTTGACAAACTAGGTTGAGCCACATCAACCTATCGCTGAAGTCTTTAGACCTAAAACTGTAAAGTCAGAGTTTACATTTAATCAACAGTTAAAATCTGTAAATAAATGTGTGAAAGCAGGAGGATCATCTGTTGGTTGGCGTTGCAGATGTAGATCAGTGGTGTCTGACTGAAGCTGAAGGCTCTTCAACATTTTCATACGTCACTGTGACCTCGTCTCCGTCATAAGACACCTGTCAGAAACATCAGAGGAGCTCAACGTTCAGAAAAAAACTGTTGAACTTTAGACCTGATCAGTCTGATCTCAGAGCTCCAACTCTGAACTCTGTCATACTCACAGTGAAATCATCAGGGGGTCTGTGGTTCCCTGGAAAAGAAAGCAGAGAGACAGATTTCAGCTCCAAACAACATCAGACTGAACTCATGTTGGTCTGAAGGTTCTCACCTGAAGCTCTGAAGAGAAGAACAGTGATTTACTGAACTTCATGATTTGTATATGTAGTTTTTTACTTCAGCACAAATACTGGTTCAGTCTAAAAGTACTCCTGAGGCAGAAGCAGATTTTTTTTTTTCTTCTTCTTTTTTTTCAGTTTAAACTTTGCAGATATCATATCACTTTGGCCATCAGTGTTTCAGCGCTGTCATCATGACTGTTAAAAAAAAACAAAAAAAACTGGTCCACAAAAGTTGTGCAAAGCTTGAGCCTTCAGTGATCTTTATCTACTTTCCACCTCATGTTTGGTTGTGTAAAACTTAAACGTAACGTAAAGCTGCTTGTCTGTGGGAAGAGCTTATTTTCTTCTATCATTTGGTTTATATGATGGAAAATCAGATCTGTAGATAAAACAGAAGTTATTTTGGGGAACTTTTTCAATCAGCCAACCATTAAGGGATCCAATTCGGCAGCTGAGAATTAAATAAAATCAGAATTGTTGATAAAAAGTTTCGAGATGGTACCTTTGACATCTGAAGCTGTGTTATTTCCAGACGATGCAGTGATGCTCTCTGTCCTGTTTTCAGAGGGTGGTGGAGTTGCAGCTGGAAATTCAAAATAGTGGATTTTGATCTTTTCTGGTGATTGTTAATGAATGAACACGACTCGGCAACCTGTACATGAACAAAATCAACAAATTTGTGGGTAGCTTCAAACTGATGGAGATCTTCTTACCTGGGGGTGGGAGTCTGAGGGAATACAGCCCCACTGAGTCGTCCACGGCCACTTCACACATCAGTGAGTCATATCTGGATTTGTTCATGTGGTCCGTTTGAAGGGCCACATAAGCGTCGCAGCTAGGCTGTGGCGTTTCACCTCCGCAGTGTTTACCCACATATTGACCGTCTAACAGCCACCTTGCTTTGGGTTTACATGCCTCATGCGTCGTCACGGAGCAGAACAGCATCACAGAGTCAATGTTCCTCCATTCAGTCACTGTAAAATAGAGTTCAGGGCTGTGATCACCACTAACAAGTTCTTATCTTAATGTTTCCTTGACAACATGATGGTAGGAATACTCACTGCTCACAACGGACAGATAAACACGACCATCGTGGACGTCGATTCCTTCCAGCCGCTGTCTATAGCAATATTCCCCTGCGTCCTCCTCTGTGACCTTCTTTATGAGCAGACCACAGTCCTCTCTAACTCTCAATCTGTCTGATATTGATCCAACCAACTTCGCGATCTGCCCACGTCTAACCAAATTTACAATTTGAGTGTTTCCCATGTAACGGACACTCCAGTCAAATTTGCGACAGTTTTTAAGATTCATTCGCATATCGTCAGGGACCAAGATGACGTCCTCTCCAACTCTGACAGTGCTGTAGACATTCACTGACCGAGACATCGCTGCTCCTGGGAGAGTAAGAGGAAACAAGAAATGTTAGTAATGATGCAGGAACAATAAAAACTTTCTGTTATAGTTCTGGAGTTGTTGTAAGCCAAGTTACATTAAGATAAACATGTGAACTTACCTGTGAACTTGAGCAGCACTGCCAGATATACAGACATTTGAATCCATTTCAGCGTATTCATTTTGATTCTCTGTCCGTCTTCTTCCCCTCTCGCATGTTCTTACACCAAGAAGTGTCTGAGTCTGTTTTGTTAAGAGAGATGCAGAATCTACTTCCTCTTCCTCCACATGAGTCAGCTGCTCCTTAGTCTTCTTGTGTATGACTACCCAAAAGATAAACTAGCAACAAGATACAACGATTTCGAAACCCTGTTCCGCTTTTATTTAATGAAATACTCCATGAAGACAAAATATTTGGTGTTCAAACTGATAAACTTTATGGTTCAGGGTCATCAGAAGTCGGATAAATTTGAAGACAGCTCCAAAAACAGCTGTTTGGTTCAGAACACCGATGAACAGGTTCACCACTTTGTCAACAACTGCATGAGCTAATAGTCCAACGGTTTAAGAACAACATTTTCTCAGTGTTCAACTGCAGGAATTTATGGATTTGATCATCTGCTCCATAAAATCAAGAGATTCAGAGAATCCAAAGAAAAAAAACAATAGTGATATATCGTGACCTTTGACCTCTCAGGCAACCCACATCAATCTACGAACGATTTTACCGTGTGGGCTCAGGAGGAGTTCAGAAAACCATTGTCAGTTAACACAGTTGGTCTCTACACCTACAAGTTCAAACTCTACCATGCGATGACAAAGCCAGATATCAACAACAGCCAGAAACGTCACCGGCTTCTCTAGACATGAACTCATCCTAAACGAACTAACCCACAGTGGGAAAGTCTAGCCTTATCTGCATGGCAAGAATCTTCAAATAGACAGTGTACTGTGACTTACTCAGGTCTTTATTAGGGCCCCTGTCCCGTCTGTGTTCAGTTCCATTAATAACAGCCTTGGACAGATGTCACAGGGATGCATGGCTTGCATTATGAGTGACAGGTTAGATGTGCAATGGGGAAAGTATGGATCCTGAATGACTGACAGATTGAGAATTTTTACTCTTTATTGCCTCACTGACAAAAACGAAACACACATTCGTTAGAAGTTTATCACCAATGCTTTATTTTAAGCTCAGCATCGTACTGTCATCCACATGATACAAAAAAAAAGTTTCTTATGATTTTTTTGTCTTAAAAATTAACACATGCAGCAACTAGAAAAGAAGATATTAGTGCTCATAAATTATCTTTGGTTCACACTCTTAACACCCACATTATGCTACAGTGAGAAACACTTTTTACATCCAGTGACAAAGAGGAAGAGGGCAGAAGAAGTGAAATTCAACATTTCTAGATAAACAACTGAGAGCTTAAGGTTCTGGAGAAATGAAGAGGAAGTACCCAGTAAAAAAAAAAACAAAAAAAAACAAAAAAAAAACACATAATATACTGTCAATTTCAATAATCCCGGATGTTTTTTTTTTATTTTTTATCATAGCTGTTGCAATCAACATTTACACCCTAATTTAATGAGTAGCAAAAACATTATTTTAATGAAAAGCAGCCAATACTTCCTCTCTCTGCCCAGTGAGCGTATTGGTTAAGGGACATTTATAAAGATGTCCGACTGTGCAGCTTCTGTGCATCCTCCAAACCTGTACAAAAGGGGGAAAAGATACTGTGCATTAAAAAAAGTGCATACAGAGGTCACAGCATGTAAAGACAAAAAGTGACTGAGAACATGATTATTTCTTTTTCTCTACATCAGTAAAAGTATTCATTGGTCCTCATAAGTTTTCTTCAGTTCACACTTGGTGCAGCTCTTTGGTGCCTCAGTGACAGACATGTTTCTCATGACAAACATAAACAAACAAGTAATAAAGTCCAAGTCTGACCTTAAAGAGTTCAACTCTTGAAGGCTAAATTGTGACAGAATACAGAGAAGATGATATTGACGTCTTCTGAAGTCTGTTGGTTTGTCACTTTTCGTCTTTTCTGAGAACTGAAGGGGAAGTATCTTTTCTGATTGTGGCTACAACAACAACCCCTCAGTCAGTGAGATTTGTAGCAGCAAACATGAACTAAACCTGGTTGAGGTTAAAAAGAGTTTTTGGAGTCTGTGGAGATGATTTGGTTTCAGCTTCAGCCCTAGAATAAAGTCAACTATTGACGCTATTGACAAGGTAACACTGACTGTATGAAAGATAAAAGGTGGGTTTATTTTGGTAATAACACTGACAGTAAATGAAAGAATCTTAAAACTCTGTCAAAGTGAGTGGTGGTTCATGTGGTCAATATTTCTTTATTTGCAGATGACACTGTGATTAAACAAAAACAGACTCTCTCAAGACGACGCAGAAATTCAACGAAAAGAAAACAAATCACATGAAATACATCCAAGGAAAAAAGCAGATTAAAGTTCATTTTAAGAGTCAAACTGCAAATCTGCAGGTGTTTTAATGCCCCAAATGTCATCTAACAAAAAAGGAAGCTGATTACAAAACTGAGGGCAACCAAAAGAGCTTTTTGATGATTAAGTAACAGATGAAAGATTTTTGACAGACTAGGTTGAGCCACATCAACCTATCGCTGAAGTCTTTAGACCTAAAACTGTAAAGTCAGAGTTTATATTTAATTTACAGTTAAAATATGTAAATAAATGTGTGAAAGCAGGAGGATCATCTGTTGGTTGGTGTTGCAGATGTAGATCAGTGGTGTCTGCCTGAAGCTGAAGGCTCTTCAACATTTTCATACGTCACTGTGACCTCTTCTCCGTCATAAGACACCTGTCAGAAACATCAGAGGAGCTCAACGTTTAGAAAAAAACTGTTGAACTTTAGACCTGATCAGTCTGATCTCAGAGCTCCAACTCTGAACTCTGTCATACTCACAGTGAAATCATCAGGAGGTCTGTGGTTCCCTGGAAAAGAAAGCAGAGGGACAGATTTCAGCTCCAAACAACATCAGACTGAACTCATGTTGGTCTGAAGGTTCCCACCTGAAGCTCTGAAGAGAAGAACAGTGATCACAGTGATGAGGACGAGTTCAGACACACGCAGAGACAACATGATCCAGTCCAGAACAGAAGGACCACAAAAATCTGACAGGGAACAGAAACACGACACTTCCTCTTCTAGGATTTCAAGATAGCGATCATGTCTTTCATGTGTAAATATTAAATGTGATTGTTACCTGAGACTTTAAAAACTGACTCACCATCATGTAGATTTGCTGGACCATTACATATTGCAGACTTCGTTGTTGTAATTCCTGTTTCGAAGCTGCTTTCAGTCGTAGTGATGATGTTTGTTGTTCTTGCATGCTGACCTGAAACAGAATCAACAACTTTACAGACTGTTGATGATAAAAGTGTGGTGATCTTTGAATTTTTTTTGACACAGTGGTATTTTCAGACTGGTATTGATAAGAGTTTAGAGTAACTTCTCACTCTCACCTGAAGGCTGAGGTCTGAAGGGAAACAGAAGTACTGAGGTATCCACTGTCACTTCACACTGCAGTGAGTTAGATCTGGATTTGTTCATAAAGTGGTGATTAGTCTGAAAGACTGCAGAGCTGAAACAAAGACGGTCTGGTGTCCTGAAACCTTGGTGATGTTCACTCACAACTTCACCCCCTGAAAGCCACTTCACTCTGCATGTGGACTGGTCAGGTGCCCACACAGAGCCGGAAAATGTCACTGAATCACTGCCCCTTTGTTTAGTCACTGTTGAAGATGGAGATATTATCAGAAGACAAGAGGAGACTGTGATGATAATTCTTGCAATGTTTCAATTGACAGTTTGAGCTTGAAACAAGGTGAAAACACTCACTGGTAACAACAGACAGATCAACAAGAGCATTAGAGTCGTGCATTCTTCCAGGGTTGAACTGCTGACAGAGGTAGTGACCAACATCCTCCAATGAGACTCTCTTTATATGCAGATGACAGTCCTCTGTCACACTCAGTCTGCCTGATTTAGATCCAGCATATTTACCGATCCGACCCTGTCTAAACAGCAGAATTGATGCTGCGTTTGGTGAATCATCAAAGCGCCAGTCAGTTCCCTCACAATTAATCTGGTTTGCTATCAGATTCTCACAGGGTAAAGTCACGTCATCTCCATCTCTGATGGTGAGGTACAGAGTTTTTGCTTGAGCTGCTGCTGAGAAAATGGGAGGAAATGAATTTGAGTGCAAAAATGTTCATTACAGTGAGGAAATATTCATTCTGCAGCCCTTAATTTTATAATCAACCAAAGGTGTGTGTTTCTTTTTTGTGATATCAGCGTTCTTACCTGTAAACTGAGGCAGCGCTATGAGAACAAGACAAATCTGAATCCACTGAAACTCCATGATGGTGATCCTCTGTCGTTCCTCTTCTGCTCTCACTCTTACAACTGTCTGAGTTTCTTCAGTACACCTCAATAAGAGAGAATCCACTTCCCCTTCCCAGTGTCACGTCACTTCATCATCACGACTTTACGTCTACGAAACTTCACTGGTACTAGTTTCTTGAAGCTGTCAGAAAAAAAAGGTCTAAAACTATTAAAGCCACTTTTCTCTTGTATTTTTAAAGTAGTTAATTCAGATCTGAAATGACTAACTGAGATGATGAAGAAAGATGAGAAGCAGAGATCAGTTGTAGAGGACTGATAAAGTCTGATAAAGACTATGTCGAACTGGATTTAGGAAGCAAAGAGGACTAACATATATAGATATAATTTTTTTTAAATAAAGACATACTGACAGAATTTAGGATAATTAATTAACTAGATAGAAAAGAGTCAAACTTCCTCACCCCATGGGAAAAAAAAAATCTTTGTGACAACCGTGAGAAAGAGAGGACAGATAAGACCTGAGGTCTGCTGGTACCTCCCTCTAAGAGTTTCAGGGGAAGTATTGTGGTGAGAATGTGGGTATAGTAGCTGCAGAGCACTGTTGCAGAATCACTTTGAACACTTGAAGGTTTTTTGCCCGTGAGATATGCTGAAACAAACATGTTTGTGAGAAGTTTTTAATCATTATTTTATTCCAGGAATGCAATCAAAAGAAATCTTGCAGGTACGGTACATCAAGCCCAACACGGTGCATCTCAGGAGCTGAAATACATTTGTTTATTGGCATAGAGTGTAATGCATGGACCCTCACACTTTAACATATTTTCACACACTTCGGTATGACGCATGTCTGGGTGTCTCAAATGTCTCTGTTTTTAGTACAGCCAAGATGCACAAGTCTGGCAAAGCCCATTTTTTTGGGTGAAACATGCCGAAGGAGATATATTTAAGAGAAATTGTGGGTGGGGCCACCTGCTGTACCTGTAATCCAAAGTCTCGTTGTTGCACTGGACTCTGTGCATCTGTGCAGTCACTACAGTTGGTAAGTCTACAAGCATTTGAAGCCAAGATAAGGTGAGGACAATTTGAGTGGCTGCTCTCGTAAACAGCCTGACTTTATTTTTCATATCATAACAACTCATTTTAAAACAACTTTATTTTGATAATGACTTTATTCTTATAACCACGTTTCTGAGAAATGAACAGGAAGTTGTTGGTGTGAATGTGTGTAAAACAGCAGCACAGCTTTTTGAAAATCGTGTAAGCTCACAAACTTTTTTGGTCACTTAGACCGGCTGCAACAAATTCAACCACTGCTGACTATCCCATCTGAACTTTATTATACCAGGACACAAACCCCACACATCCAGTTTAAGTAGCAGCAGTTCTGCTCAGCTGACTTGTAAACATATTTTGTTCTTCACCTTTCAACTACAATGTCAAGTCCTGGTGGCGATGACGTTTTCTTGGTTCGCTTGACATCAACTTCACTGTAAATCTGTGAATCTTCAATCTGTGAAAAACAACAAAATTAAACAGCTTTCCAATCTTGACCGCACTTTAAAATTAAAACACCTACAATGCACTGGTTTTAGCTTAAACTTTTCATTTTTTTACATAATATTAAAGCATTTGTAAAACAATAGATATAGTGACGGATCAGTCTGATAAAGACGTGTGCAATCACTACAGTTAAATACCACAGACTTTAATTAAAGGAAAATTACCATTTTATCATTCTTCTGTTGTTTTTTCCCCTGAAAGACTGAAGAAATAATACACTTTAGTTTCCAAAGAGAAAAACAATTTAATTAAAAAAAGGTTTTCATCTTTAAATGCCCTCACCTTTAATCTTTATCCAGATGTTGACAGTCACAACAGTTAAAATGAGAGCTGACAAACCCACAGACACAATGATCAGCCTCCACCTGCCTGCAAAGACAATGAAAGAAAAAGACAGACATTTTGGGATTTATTTCCACCGGTAAAGGAAAAAAAATCATACTGAATACAATTAATTATGGAAAAACGCATTTCTATAACCCTTCCCCCCGCCTTCCCTCTCTCTCTTCTTAGTCTGGATCTTTATTTACTTTAATTTACAAAACTTTATACTCAGACAGCCTGACTGTACTATCAGCTTCACAGACTTTATAATCAGGAGTCTGAGTTTTACTGGTAAAGGTGTTCTTTCTCTGTAGTCTGAGGCAATATGAACCAATCAGGAGTCAGCAGGCTTTGGCATCTGCAGCAAAAACAGTTTGTATAGAGAGCAAAAGCAGGAGTATCACAGTCCATCATAATGACCTCCAGCTCTCATGGTAATCTAAGGAGGATTTCTTTCTCTGTAAAAAATATCTGCATGAAGGTCAGTTTATCTGTTCTAGATCAAACATTTACACTGAGACTGTAATCTGACCGATGCTGAGTCACTGAAGACAGAGATTCGATTTCCTGACTTCCTTGAATGCATCAGAAATGATGGATCTGACCCCCGTTCAACATACAAACATTTTCAAAGTAGTTTTCTTCTCCTTTTGAAGACAGACCTAACAAAGCTGGACTTTTGACTAATCTGCAGCATGATGTTTTTATTTCAGCACACTGAAGACCCGTTAATGAGGAGAAAATCACAAGAACATCAGTTTCTGTTTCAGGATCATACTGCTGAAGGAAGAAAGAGTACTGCCTCTGAGAGACGATCTACAGATAAGAATATAATAGAAGAATATACAGACAAGTGAATGTGTACAGATAGGTATATAAAAGAATAGGTGACACAAATGTAGAGGTACAGACAGGTAAATTCCTTTGATTCGGGTGAGTCTCTCACCTGTCAGGGTGACTGTCACCCTCCCCATCTCCTTCTTACTCTCCACGATCTTCAGCCAGCGTCCTCCGTCCTCGTGCGTCCACTCTGATCCCTTACACTCATAAATCCCATCATCAGATGTCGTTACCCTGGTAACAACTAGCTTAAACACGCCATTCCTCCCAGGAACCAATCGTATTCCTCCGTCTGCGTACCGCTGTGCAAATTTTGACCCCACCACCGCCTCTGCCTGAGGTCCAAACACCAGGATGTCCTCTGAGGACGTCTGCCTCTTCACTGACCAGGTGACAGACAGGTAGGTGGGCTGGGTAAGCTCCCGAGTCACGTTACAGGACAGCGTGAAGTCACTTCCTTCTGGGACGAAGGGGGTTGGAGCCTGAGGGGAGACTCTGAGGGTGTTTGGGATGACTGAAAAAAAAGAAAAAAGATAAATTGATTGATATTCTTTAAAATATCTATTACTATTTCAAAGATGAAATAGAAGCGAATATCAATATTTTGAAAAAGTACTCATTTAAAAACAGAAGAACATATCGACAATCTGAAAAACATCCATTTTAAATATAAAGATATAAAAACAGATCGATAAAAATCTCATAATATATAAATCGTCCTAAACTCTGTCCACCACACATCCAAGCAGAGACATAAATGATCAAACCTTCAGGAAATATTTATTACCTTCACTCTGGAGTCTAAAACAGTAGAGATTTAGAGCAAGCAAAGCTCCATAAGCTTTGCTGGCGGGGGCACACATATACGCACACTCAGACACACACCTGTACCTGAGTGTCATGTCTTTAACCTGCTGTCTGTCTGTCTGTTTCTGTGACTGTGATACCTAAGGAAGAACAGACATTAAAGAGAGAGAGTGTGTGTGTGTGTGTGTGTGTGTGTGTGTGTGTGTGTGTGTGTGTGTGTGTGTGTGTGTGTGTGCGCGTGTGTGTGTGTGTGTGTGTGTGTGTGTGTGTGTGTGCGTGTATGTGTCTATGTTTCGCAGTGTGAAGCTCATTAAAGTGAATAAAGTGCTGATGGTGTCGTTTTATTTCTGTGTCAGAAAGTAATCAAAATTTACTCAAATCTGCACAAAAAGAGAATATACAAACATACCAGTCAACAAACAGAGAGAGAGAAAGAGAAAGAGAGAGAGAGAGAGAGAGAGAGAGAGAGAGAGAGAGATAACACACTGAAACACTAAGGGAGTAAACCCACATACACGTGTAAACACACACACACACGCGCGCGCACTGAATCTCTAAGCCTGGGCACACTAGAGCTGGTCCCTTTCCTTAATATAGCTCCATCCTATCTGTTAGGTAAAATGTCCTTAAGGTATGTTTGAGGAGGGTCTGACGTCATGGTTTTTGGCAGACATTCTACACTGAACAGCCTATATATCCGGAATTCTAATCCTGCAGCCCCGATTCTGCAGGCCTAATCCTGCTGACCTAATCCTGCAGCCCTGCTTCTATAGGCCTGGTACTGCAGCCTTGGTTCTGCAGCTCTGATACTGAATACTGATACTGATACTGTATTGAATCACTAGAATCAGTTCACTAAAAGATTTGTTTAAAAGATTCGTTCACTGAATTAGTGAATCATTCAGCGCTTGGTGGGAGGAGACTGTGACTCTAACTTCCTGAACTGGTGTCCGGCTGAATGGTTCAGCTTTCAATTCAGTTCATAGCTTCTGGGACCGGGAGACAAGAGTTTGTGGCTGTGTTGCTTTGACAAACAGGTTTGTAAAAATGAGCTTGTTTGTAATCATGATGTTTTAAGTGTACTGTCCAATGGTATGCTATTTATCTGGTCTACTCGGTAAATTGGGCTCAGTGAGCGATTCGTTTACTGAACGTATACCCCACAGTACATTCAGTAAAGGATTCCTGCGCTTGCCGGCTGCTCGATGCTGTGTTCTATGGCAGCTGCGCTACTTACAGCTCAACTTAAATGAGAAACGAACGAATCACTAGAGGAAGTGATTCGGTTCAGCATGTTCACTTAAAAGATTCGTTCTTTTCAACAAATCATTTGCGAAAAGGACACAGCACTAGACAACCTCGACTACAAACAGTGGAGTTTTGACTGATGATCACTTGATGAAGCAGAGAGGAGCTTCAGCCTCCTGCTGCAGGAAGGATAAAGAATGGAGGCTGACACCTGGTATACTTCCAGGTACGAAGAGAGACATCTGGACCTGGAGAGAGAGAGCTGTTGGAGGTGGAAGCAGCAAATTTACCGATGAGTTGGACCTTCTCCTCGTAGTTCCCACTTATCACTAAATCCGTGCTTGGCGTCTGGCACCAGTAGAGGCCGGCGTCAGTTGTCTTGACCTCTGCCACCTTCAGCTCTACCTCACTGTCATGCAGACGCACCATAGAGATGTCCCCGGATGCTACGCGCTTTCTGCGGGATGGGTGGGAGTAACCGGCATCAAACGTGGAGATGATATTTGTCCTGGAGCCGCCACTGATGCTGTCCTGAGACATCATCCACTCAAAGTCCTGCAGAAGACAGACAGACAGAGTCAGACAACAGGTGAACAGGTCAGACAGGGAGAGACAGCTTCAGGTGTGGAGGAGTCTCACCTGCTCTTTAGGTCCTCCATACTCACTGACGTCACACCTGATGGAGACAGGTTGACCCTCCACTCTGATCAGAGGACCACGAGACACTTTCACCACCCGTGCTGAGATGCCCCCTGCAGGTACAGAGAGCAGCTGTTAGTCTGTAGGCAACAAACAGACTGCAGGTTTATAATGAATGTTCGACTGATACCAGTTTTACAATGCCCAATGATGATACGAATAATGAGAGTGCAGGTCATGGCCCATATACAATAATGACTACAAAGACAGAACAGATATACAACAGTGCTGATGTCGCTTTTTTAAAGCATTTGACAAAGTTCAAAATATTAATCTACAACCTCATGAGAAAGAAAATACCTTAACTTGAGTGAATATCTTATTTTATAAACGTTGATAAAAAATTTGTCCTGGTCTAATATTGCTGTGAACTTTTGAATTTCTTCCCATCTATCTGAAACCTGTATAAAATACAAAAAAAAAAAATGCGATTGGAGAATAGCGTCACAGAGATGGTACACCCTGTGATGATGCCAATCTCTACCTTGTGCCAACTGGATGGAGTTGCTCCCGAAGAGACCCTCATGCTGAAGTTGCTGTAGTAGTCAGCGATGAGGTCTCTACACCTGCTAGGGACGTGATGTTTTACCAGAGTGAGCTGGAGTAGCTTATGGGGGATGGAGCCGAATGCATTGGCCAGATCAAGCCATAACACTGACAGGTTGCCCCTCTTTTCTATGGTTTCTCGGATGAGCTGCGTCACCACACCTGTGTGCTCCACACAGCCTGGCACTCCGGAAATGCCACCTTTCTGGACTGATGTGTCGATGTAAGTGTTCTTTGATAGGTAGGAGCACAGTCTCTTGGAGATGACGCTGAAGAAGATCTTTGATTCAATGCACAGGAGGGAGATGATGTGGAACTGGTCAAGACGTATGGACTCTTCCTCCTTCAGAATCCATACCCCTTCAGCCGTTCTCTATTGCTCTGGGATCTTTCCCTTTCTCCAGAAGACTCTCAGGATTATCCACAGACGCAGTAGCAGTTTGGGACAGTTCTTGTACATTTTGTACGAAGTGCCACTTGGTCCTGGAGCAGAGCATGCTCTGGCTCTATGGACAACCTCTTTGATTTCCACCAGCTTCAGCTCAGACATGTCAAACTGCACCTCAGGTTCAGGGGGATCGATGAGAATGTTGCACTTACCCAGCTCCATCTCTCGTCTGGGGCCGCTGAACATCTGAGAGAGGTGTTGGTTGATGTCTTCCTTTGAGGAGGCAAGTTCGCCATACTATAGTTGTCTGTGATCACGCAGCCCATGCAGCCCATGCCCATTCATTTCCAAGATGAATTCATTCATTTGTTCATTCCTATTGTGTTTACATTTTTTGTGTGATATGTAGGCCATATGAGCCTTTCCTAAAGGTGATCATCCGGAGAAGTAAGTGGGTCCATGCAGTCCCTGAAAACTCTTGTGCGCCGGAGTGCTCCTCAGACAATGCGAGCACTGAGGTCTATAGGATCCTCCAAGAATAGACAAGCCATTTTGCGAGAGAGCTCACTGGTCAGTGGGCGGGGTTTTTATACTCGGTGAGTTCAATCTGGAACCTAACCTGCCCCGGAGCAGGTTAGCCGTTCAGCGTACGTTGCCATGGAGACTCGCCTCCCTAAGAAGTGAACCCGCGTCGTAGAACGGGAAACCCCGAATTTACCCTCGAAGTTACCTTGCTAAGCAGAAATCCTGCTTCGTAGAACACGCCCCTGATATAGTGAAACTCTGTATTCAGTATACAAACAAAGGAAGTGGTCCATTTCTTTTTCTCATTTTCAGTGACACACTGAAATCCGGCGTTATGAAATAAACCTTTCATGAGTCTTCTCACTTGTTTTAGCTGAGGGAATTCTTTAGTGAGATCACACATGAGGTTACAGTATACATGAGTTTAAAGGACGGGTTTCTATTGGAATGAAAAGCTGGAAGACATGTTGGATGTAAACCAAATTAGGAAGTAGATGTTAATAATAGTAATAACCATTTTTTCTTTATAAACCCGTGAACGTTTGCTGATCAGCAGTTAGAAATTTGACTTAGCTTTTTCCAGAGGAGGTTCCGACCAGCCTCCCCTGACTGGTGGACCCCGACATGTATCAGAGTTAATTATCTTTCAATCACAGAGCGTTTCTTACCGAGCACGAAGAGGGCGAAGCTGAGCGCGAAGACACGGTCCATCTTCGTCCGCTGTTCCTCCACTCTCCCCGGGTTAAATCATCAGTCTAATTATTAAAAGGTTCTCACAAACATGTTTGTTTCAGGAAATCTTACAGACCAAAAACACTCTTAAGTGGTCAAAGTGATTCTGCAACATTGCTCTGCATGCAGCTACTATACCCACATTCTCACCACAATACTTCCCCTGAAGCTCTCAGAGGGAGGGACCAGCAGACCTCAGGTCTTATCTGTCCTCTCTTTCTCACGGTCGTCACAAAATTATTATTTTTTTTTCCATGGGGTGAAGAAGTTTGACTCTTTTCTATCTAATTAATTAATTATCTTAATTTCTGTCAGTATGAGACACATTGTTTATTTTTTTTTAAAAAAGAAAAAAGTTGGGATGTGATGACAATATAGTCAACACGTTGTAAGAATAAAGTCAGTATGTTTAAAAGATAAAGTCATTATGAAGATAATTTCTATATTTCGTAAAGTCAATATGTAACGACAATTATGTGGTTATAAGAATAAAGTCATTACCAAAATAAAGTTGTTTTAAAATGAGTTGTTATGATGTGAAAAATAAAGTCAGGCTGTTTACGAGAGCAGCCACTCAAATTGTCATCATCTCATCTTGGCTTCAAATGCTTGTCGACTTACCAACTGTAGTGACTGCACAGATGCACAGAGTCCAGTGCAACGATGAGATTTTGGATTACAGGTATAGCAGGTGGCCCCACCCACAATTGCTCTTAAATATAGCGCCTTCGGCATGTTTCACCCAAAAAAGATGGGTTTGCCAGACTTGTGCGTCATGGCTGCCGCTGTACTAAAAACAGAGACATTTGCCAAACCCAGACATGCGTCATACCGAAGTGCATACAAGTGTGTAAAAGTGCGAGGGTCCATGCATTACACTCTATGCCAATAAACTAATGTATTTCAGCTCCAGAGATGCACCGTGTTTGGCTTGATGTACCGTAGCTGCAAGATTTCTTTCAATTGCATTCCTGAAATAAAATAATGATTAAAAAGTTCTCAGAAACATGCTTGTTTCAGCAAATCTTACAGACCAAAAGCACCCTTAACCCCTTCACATACCGTCCGGGGTCAAATTTGACCCGTTTTGACTTTTAACAGCAGTAAAAATACCCTAAACATTATTTTTTAAGCCTGAAACTTGGCGACTTTTCCTGAAATAACCCAAACTACATGAAATTAATTTAAAAATATTCATTGGTATTTTTGTTTATGTGCTACAAATTTTTCCCCTCTAAGGCTGAAATAACCCAAACTACATGAAATTAATTTAAAAATATTCATTGGTATTTTTGTTTATGTGCTACAAATTTTTCCCCTCTAAGGCTGTTATGGGTCAAATTTGACCTGTATCTATATTTAGATGGATTTTAGATCTAGCAGTGTGGGACAAGTGACAAACACTAACAACAGTGTTCAATTTAAGGTTTGTTGTTCAGAAAGATATATTCAAATCATTATGAAACTATTATTACCTTGACAGAAACACACACACACACACACACACACACACACACACACACACACACACACACACACACACACACGCACACGCACACAGACATACAGTCACACAGACACACCTAGACAGAGGTCAAAATGACCTAACTAGTCAAGAGAACTTTCTGTGACAGAAAGCTGCTCTTTGAACTCTTTGAAGGGGCAATTTTGACCCGGAACATACTGTGAGGGTACAGGATTTGAAGAGTATGTGAGGGTTAAGTGGTCAAAGTGATTCTGCAACAGTGCTCTGCATGCAGCTACTACACCCACATTCTCACCACAATACTTCCCCTGAAGCTCTCAGAGGGAGGGACCAGCAGACCTCAGGTCTGATCTGTCCTCTCTTTCTCACGGTCGTCACAAAGATTTTTTTTTTTCCATTGGGTGAGGAAGTTTGACTCTTTTCTATCTAAAGCTACCTGATTAACAGCGTTGATAACAGCGTGATGCATCATGCATTTGCGGAAGCTACGCTAGTGCGTCGGGTCTATGTGACGGACCATGTGACCAATAAAAGTATTGGCCGTAGCAGACGCGTCTGTGAGCTGGCTTACTGGTGGATGTAATTGTATAAAACAAGGGTCACTTGCAAGGCTGAAATTAGCCCCAAAAGGGCAAAACAAACGTAAAGAATACCCTGTTTGTCCGCCATTGTTGTTGTTGTTTTTCTTTTTAATTCGCATGCGCGAGCTGCGGTTTGACGTCACCGATCCGTAAAAGTTCAACCACACGAATCCACTTGTACGGATATTTTTTTATTTCTCCACTTCTCGGATTCAGATTTATCCGGTTTGGGTGTTTCAAACTCCCGTTTTGGTGTGGTAGGGAGGCCTAATCGGACATAAATATGTGCGTTTTGAAATATATCCACATTCGTGTAGTTGGGGCCATAGTCTTTATAATTCCAGTCAGCAGTGGTTGAATTTGTTGCAGCTGGTCCAAGTGACCCAAAAAGTTTATGAGCTTACACAGTTTTCAAGAAGCTGTGCTGCTGTTTTACTCACATTCACACCAACAACTTCCTGTGGTTCATTTCTCAGAAACGGAAGCTACAAGGTATCAACAGGTCTAAAAACACTTGTGGTCGGAAAGATGTTTGACTGCTCTTTTATGGCAGCCAATGATAGGCTGTAAAGAGGAGGGAGATTTTCTAAAAAAAAAGATTAGTCCTGTTTGCTCCCTAAATTCAGTTCAACATAGTCTTTATCAGTCCTCTTCAACTGATCTCTGCTTCTCATCTTTCTTTATCATCTCAGTTAGTCATTTCAGATCTGAATTAACTACTTTAAAAAAACAAGAGAAAAGTGGCTTTAAAAGTTTTACTTTTTTTTGACAACTTCAAGAAACTCATACCAGTGAAGGTTCATAGACGTAAAGTCGACAGTTGTAAATATGAGAGCAAAAGAACGACACAGGAGTCTGAGTGGATTCAGATTTGTCTTGTCCTCATAGAAACTCAAAAAAAAAAAAGGAAAGGAAAGAAAAAAAAAGAATTGCAAAGATCCTCAGTTCTTGGTGCAATGTTTAATATATACAGCCACCGTCCGGGAGTGTTAACAGAGTTACTGTCAACTTCTTCAGCAGCGCTAAGCCAGAAAACAATCAAGCGAATAAAGGAGACCAAGACTTGTGCGTCGTGTTCACTTGTTCAACTGATCTGAGTTTGTTTTAATGAATGGCAAATATATACAGGTGTAGGCAACAGGCACTTTCGGCACTTCCGGTCCAGTGCTTCACAATAAGAGTGAACAAAATACAGTACAATTGAGGTCATATCTCAAAAGGGAGAGAGGCTAAAACCTCTGGTAACATACCAAGGATCCTTACTCACACATGCATGCAGCAGCAGCAGCGATCAGATGTAAACATCGGTAGTAAGTGTAATGAACATTATCACCAGAGTCTCCACTGTTTCACGGAGATCTGACATAAAATAACAGAGGGAAAAATGTTTTACCTTCACTCTGATGTGTAAAACAGTCAGCATTATCAGTCTTCCAGCTCCAACAGGTTAATAATCCACCCATATTATTCTCCTTTACATCCTGTTTGAATCCCATTTACAACCTCGCGGTCAGCGTCTCATCCATTCACGTGAAAAATTTTAGTTTTTAGCGCTGTTTCTGGTCAGCCAGCTCAGTCGTTGATTTCCTGGTCTTCTTCCACACAGAAGACACAGAACGCGTCTCGGTTCCGACGTAGTGAGTCAGTCACGGCCTGTCTGGACCTGTGGTCTGGACTTGGTACCAAGTCAAGTGATGCTCTTGCTGTCAGTCTCTATCAGGACACCTGAAGCTAAAGCGAGCTAAAACTTTTTTTCACACTATGCATGTTACGTTGTGCTGGCTGTACTTTAAAGCTGAGTAACAATAAGAGCTGTGGACGACGACAACGTGCTGGTCTGTCTGTCTTGAATTAAAAAACTGGCCTACATAATACAGGTCATTCTGCGTTAAAACCCATTAAGTGGCGGTGGTGCATCTGTTACCCACAGAACCCCATAACACTATATCCCCCTTTCTGTGTATAAACAATTCATTCCCCCTTTCAGATTAAATCAGAAACATTTAGCTATTCGCTTTTCTTTCAGTTACTTTTTCAGATTTAACAACAATAACATTTTCTGCTTCCACGTTTTTTTTCAAACACAAAATCAACCAGCATAACAATATCAAAACAATATTCACCTATCTGATGGAGGGGTAGACTGCCCAAACCTTCAGCTTAGTGTGGGGATTAATCTGCCCCAGAACTCACTCAGACAATCGAGAGTAGCCTACCTGCTATCTATGTAACAAGAAAGTCCTTCAGGTACCCCGGTGGTCTTCTCTCCTTCGACGGGTAGCGTCTCCCAGCCTCCGGACTCTGTGGATGAGGTTGGGTCTGCTTCGCTGGTTGGCACCTCCCTGCATCGCTTTCTGGTAGGATGTCTGGAAGAACTGCTGGTCTGGTGGGACCCACGGGTGTGCTGCCAAGGTGGCTGCGATTCCGGCGCAGGATTCCCCTGGTCATCTCGAAGATGTAGGATCGTGGCATGTCTGACCTCGCCAACACTGTCCCTCTCTCTGTGGTGTCTACGACCCACACATAATCACCTGGTTGTAGATCTAGCAGATCATGTGCTCTGTGTCTTCTATTGAAGTTTTTCTGCTGTCTCTGTCTGCTGTTCACTTCTCCTTCCTTCAGTTTTTGGATGTCATCCCACTTCGGGTCAAGGGAAGATGGGATGACAGGAACAGCAGTTTTAATCCTTCTGCCCGTGAGTAGTTCTGCTGGGCTATACCCACTGGCCAAAGGAGTAGCTCTGTAAGCCATCAGAGCCATGTATGGGTCCTCTGCTTTGTCCAGGAGGTCTTTGATCTTCCTCACAGCACGCTCTGCCTCTCCATTACTTTGTGGGACTCTGGGGCTAGAGGTGATGTGAGTGAACCCCCAGGCAGCAGCAAACTGTTTATAGTTATCAGAACAATACTGTGGTTATCACTCCTGCAAACTAGAAAAGCACTCGGAGAGTGCAGATCTCCGCCAAGCAGCTCATGTCCCCTCTTATATTGTGATTCACACCAAAACTTTTACCGTTGCGTGTCTTTTATTAACATTCATTTGTGTTTAAACTGATACGCCCTGACCGGGATTCGGACCTATGATCTTCTGGTTGTGACGCGACAGTGCTAACCACTACACCACAGTGCTGCTTATCTACACCAGTGTGCCGCCCATTTGTTATCTTGCAGCATTGAAAATTCCAACGACACCCTTATTTTTGTGTGTTCTGGCTCATAGTATCCAGAATTTTGTCCGGATCACCACCAAAATGTAATGGGATCCTCCTGGGGCTGAGACGCACCTCTGGTGAAAATTTCAGGTCAATCCGTCTGTTACTTTCTCCGTAAAGTTGCTAACAGACAAACAAACCAACAAACAAACAAACCAACGCTACCGAAAACATAACCTCCTTGGCGGAGGTAATAAGAGGACAACCCCACCTAGAGAAGATGGATTTGAGGCATTCAATCACTGTGACTGGTGTTGTTTAAGTGAGCTTGGCAATCTCTATGTAGTGAGAAAAGTAATCCACCACCAACAAGTAGCGGGTGCTCTTTAATTCAAACAAATCAGTTCCCACTGTAGCCCATGGCCCGTCTGGAAACTCGGTGGGCAGTAGAGTCTCTTTGAAGTTAACTCTCTCCCTTGCACATGTGTTGCAGTTCTGTACCATCTTCCGTAGCTGCATGCTCAGTCCAGGCCACCAGACTGACTCTTTGGCTCTCTCTCAGCACTTTGTTATGCCCTGGTGTCCCACATGCAGTTTCTGCAGTATGTCCGTTTGCAGTGATTTTGGTGTGACTAGTCTGCTACCTTTTAGTAACAGTCCATCCTGCACAGTAAGCTCGCCTGCAAACTGTTGGTAAAGTAGGAATGCTTTGTCCAATGAGAATCTGTCTGGCCACTCTCACTTCTCTGAGTATGACATCCCTTTCCTGGTGTTTTTTAATCTCCTCCAACTTCTTGTCTGTTGCTGGCAGGTCAGACAGTACCATGTTTACATACAGGTCCACCTCTGTCTCCTGCTGTGTGTTGCTGACACTCCCCATGGGTGCTCTAGACAGGATTTCGGCAGTAGCTATGTTGGAATGAGGCCACCTGCTATACCTGTAATCCAAAATCTCATCGTTGCACTGGACTCTGTGCATCTGTGCAGTCACAACAGTTGGTAAGTCGACAAGCATTTGAAGCCAAGATGAGATGAGGCGATTTGAGTGGCTGCTCTCGTAAGCAGCCTGACTTTATTTTTCATATCATAACAACTCCTTTTAAAACAACTTTATTTTGATAATGACTTTACTCTTATAGCCACATAATTCTCGAAACATATTGACTTTGTTTTTTTATTGCAGCTTTACTAAATATAGAAATTATCTTCATTATGACTTTATCTTTTAAACATACTGACTTTATTCTTACAACATGTTGACTATATTGTCATCACATCCCAACTTTTTTCTTTATCATGAAGACTTTATTCAGTTTACAAATCAAGTTTATTCTCATAACCACTTATTATTGTTTCCTTATTTATCCTTAAAATGTTTTGACTCTCTTCTTGTAATCTTGGTATTTTTTGTCCTTTATACGCCATCATAATGTCTTAAAGTGTTTTTTTTTTCCTGATACCCCAGAAAATCTCCCTCCTCTTTACAGCCTATCATTGGCTGCCATGAAATAAAAGAGCAGTCATACATCTTTCCACCCACAAGTGTTTTTAGACCTGATGGTATCTTGTAGCTTCCGTTTCTGAGAATTGAACCACAGGAAGTTGTTGGTGTGAATGTGGGTCAAACAGCAGCGCAGCTTATTGAAAATTGTGTAAGCTCACAAACTTTTTTGGTCACTTAGACCGGCTGCAAAAAATTCAACCACTGCTGACAGTCCCGTCTCAACTTTATTATACCAGGACACAAACCCCACATATCCAGTTTAAGTAGCAGCAGGGCTGCTCATACAGCTGACATATATTGTTCTTCACCTTTCAACATCAAAGTCAATTCCTGGAGACATTGACGTTTTCGTAGTTCGCTGTATCATCAACTTCACTGTGAATCTGTGAAAAACAACACAATTAAACAGCTTTCCAATCTTGACCGCAAAGCATTTGTAAAACAACAGATATAGTGACAGATCAGTCTGATAAAGACATGTGTGCAATCACTACAGTTAAATACCACAGACTTAAATACCACAGAAAAATTACCATTTTATCATTCTTCTGTTGTTTTTTCCCCTGAAAGACTGAAGAAATAATCCACTTTAGTTTCCAAAGAGAAAAACAATTTAATAAAAAAAAGTGTTTTTATCTTTAAATGCCCTCACCTTTAATCTTTATCCAGATGTTGACAGTCACAACAGTTAAAATGAGAGCTGACAAACCCACAGACACAATGATCAGCCTCCAGCTGCCTGCAAAGACAATGAAAGATAAAGACAGACATTTTGAGATTTAAAATCTTACTGAATATACTGTATACTGAAAGTTTATATCAAAGAGTTATATTCAATATTATATGATTTGATTCATACAGTACTTCATTTTCATTTTCTACCATTGTAGGTGTCAAATTATACCATATCCTTTCATATCATATCATATCGCATTGCATATTTTATCATATCTGTCCTATGAGGTTGTATCAAATCATATTATATATCATATTATATTTTATAACATCATATCATATCACATGAATGAGTATCATGACATATATTATTTTGTACATGTATCATATAGAGTCATGTCACTATATAATTTTACATCATTCGTTTTTTAATTTAATGTATTTTGTATAAGGTCCCTTCCACCAAACTGTGGAGCTCTAACTCATCATTGTGTCTCATACGGTAAAGTAAATTGGCCATCTTTACATGTGAGCCGGCTCAGCCATTGGTACATGTTGATTTATAAGGCTATTCTTCAGTTGACTCCATCTTATTTATCATCCTTTTTGATCTTAAATAATAGGGCCTATAGTTTCTGCTCCCAGGACTTTTGTCATTTACTGTTTCTAAGGTCAGAAAAGAAATGAAGAAGAAAGCTTTTAGATTTTCTGCTCTGAGTACATGCAACATCTTGTGATCAGACCTGAAACTCCAAGTCTGGTATCTCTGAATGTATTCAAATCCATGCTACATTCCATTACATCCAGGCTTCAGGAGTGTAGATGTTTTATTTGAGTGCAAATGTTTGACTAATCTTGTAAATTCTTTGAACTAATTTTGAAAATTCAATTATTATTTGTATTCTTTGTATTCTATATGACTAATGTGATTATATTGAAACTGTATGTGCTGCCATTCTTTGCCAGGTCTCTCTTGCAAAAGAGATCTTGGATCTCAATGGGACAAACCTGGTTAAATAAAAGTTATGAGAGTGAATCCAGAGTCTGTCATTACCTGCTTTTATGATTTCTCCATTTATTTTTGTTGAGTCAGTAGTCGTCTGCTCTGCGGTTGTTCCTGGTTCTGTTGTCATTTTTGGTATTTCATTCCCTGAAATAGAAAAGCAAAACTCAAAAAAATCCCACTCAGTACAAAACTCCTGTTGTGGTTTTTCCTCGTCAACTGCAAATAAATAAGAGTAATGTGTTTTTCAGTATCATTTCCACTAGTTTGAAGTTACTTTGAACTGCTCAACATCAACTCACCTGAGGGCTGAAGTCTGAAGGGAAACAGCTGCTCTGCGTCATCCTGGGTCACTTTACACTGCAGTGAGTCGTAACTTGAGTTGTACATGGGGTGGTCAGTCTCAATGGTCACAAAGGTGTAGCAGTGAATACTAAATGTATTTAGTCCGTAGTGATGCAGACGTCTGCCCTCAAACAGCCAGCTCAACTTGTGCAGACATTTTCCAGGTGTCGACACAGAGCAGCGAAACGTCACAGAACCCTCAGTGGTCCTCAGTTCCCTCACTGGAGAAGGTGAAGAAATGCGAAACCAATGACTTAAAACTACTTCTGTGTTCAACTTATTTGCTTTATTTTTAGGTTTCTGTTTTAAAAAGACATTTTGAGCTGACAATAGATGTTTTAAAAATACTCACTGGAAAGAAGAGACAAATAAATTTGAGCATCTGAACTTTTCCCCTCGAATTTGAACCGTTGACAGTCGTAGCGTCCAACATCTTCTGGGCTCGCTTTCTTTATGAGCAGAGAACAGTCCTCTGTAACACTCAGTTTTTCCGATATCACTCCATCTTCACCAATCTGCCCTCGCTGAACCAGCTCGGTGGTGTTCCCTGAATGATTTCGGAGCCAGGTAGTGTACTGACACTTGTGTTGATCTTTAATCACACTTTCATCGCAAGACAAAGTGACTTTCTCTCCTTCTCTGACAGTCAGGTAGACAGGCTGCTTACCATCAGCTGCAATGAAAAGAGAAACTAAAAATCAGAAAAGGCCTGACGTGTGAAAATTTGAGTATGAAGGTTTTTTTTAAAGTCTCTTACAGTAAAAATCTACTTAAAGCAGATCCAGAACATTTATTTTGAGTATTTTTGTAGCCCGAATCAGCTATTGGCTATTACAGTTTGGGTGTTTTTGGCTGCCTTAAAGTGACTTTACTGTATTTTCAAAGTTGTACAGCCAGAAGAACCAATATGCAAGCTAGGCTATAGTTTTCTACATACAATGATGAGTCTACTGCTCAATTTAGCTAAGAGATTGTGTCTTTTGTAATATTGTTATCTATCCACGTATGCATCCTTACCTGTGAGCAGGAACACCGCCGTAAAAAACAGAGAAATGTAGATCCACTCAAACTCAGCAGTCATGTTTCTGCTCTCTTTGTCTTTTACTCACAGCAGTCTGAGCTTCTGAACTTACTCTTTCATGCGAAGATGCTGAATCTACTTCCTGTGGTTAGTGTGACGTCCCCTCTTCTCAGTAACTTTGAGTCTGTTTGAAGGTTTTTGTGCGTTTTGTTTGGTCTTCTAGGTCGGTGGGACCAGTCGGAGCAAACATTTATATACTGAGTCCAGACTGAACTGTGTGTGATTGTCCTGACCAAACCTCCTGAATAAGGACGACAGATCTGCCTGGGGTTCATTTGGCTAATATAAATGTTCACTAAGATACGTTAGGCAAAGGCGTCTAAGTCTAACGCCTCCACTTCACAGGTGGTTTGTGGTTTTCATGCTAAGTGCACAACAAGCTGGTCTTTTTTGATGTGTGACCCATTTATTTTTATTTTCATGTGCATCCCAGAAGTGAAAAAGCACCACTGGCACTCACATTTCCCAGCATAACTGGTTGAAAACACAAAGACACCTTGCAACAGCCAACCATGTAATAATCCTGTGAGACGTTAATTTTCATTATTGTATTAATTAGATATTTACTGATCGACTTTGTAGCACAACAATTTAATTTCTCCGCTGTGTGGCAAAAAGAGTCATTTTAATTTTTACTAGAACACTGAGATGTCAGTGTGGACAGGATTATCAAATAAATAAATATATATATATATATATATATATATATATATATATATATATATATATATATATATATACATATATACACACACCTATGATAATGCCACACATTTTTAGAATTAGCAAAAACACTATACAGTTACTTTAAGCTTTTATTTTAAGGTTGCATTTGTGTTACATGTTGGCAGAGTGGAAAACATGTTTTATTTGAGGTCCACAGCAATACAGAGCTGTGCATTCAGTACTTACATGTAATTCTGCTACTGAACACTAGGTGGAGCTTTGGCTTGTAGAGGGAATAATCCAAGGCTGTAGATGATTGAAAAGAGGTAAGAAAACACTTTTCCCATATGTGCATCTAGCACTGAGATTATAGTTTATGTTTCATGTTGTTGTTTTTTTAAATGTAATTCATTAATATTTGTGAGGATTAAGTTTTAAACAATATTATTTCCCTTTTCATTGAGCTTTCACTTCACCTTTGCGTCTTGCTGTAGCACATCTGTAAACCAAAATTGTACTTCGTTTTGTAAAAAAAAAGTTATAAGTTCAATGGAGATGTAAATGGCTGCAGCTGTAAAATAAAAAGCTGTTACTTAAGTCAAGGGGAAAAAAAAATCTTAAAAAAAATTTAAAGCTCCTGTGAGGACTTGATTTTGCATCAAAATTGGCTACCCCTGTGGACAAAGCAGTCTTTGTTTCTCTTGACTTCAACATGGTAAAGAACAAAAATCTCCCCCTGCAAATTGTTCACAGTCAAATTAATTATTTATTGTGAATATTCTTGTGTAAATTGTAAAAACATGTCTGTTTCTTCAGCTGCTTGGCTGACGCCTACCCCTTTAAACAGTTATAGGCCTTAAAATCACAGCATTAAAACTAAAAATCTTGTTGCAGATGGCCTTGTTTGCCTTTGTCTCATATAAAAAGGGATCAAAATGAATTCCAGTCTATTTAATACATGTCAGAAAACTCCTCAAACGAGCTGTAAGGAAGTCTAACAGAGTTAAAATGATATTTTCCGAGGTATGGTTTAAATTAAAAGACTTTTTTTTTTAAATTAGAGAGAAAAGAACAGCAGGCTTCTATCAAATAAAACCTGCTGTTTAACCACTGCTTTAAAACATCATGAGCTTATCTGTGTCATCAGTTCGTCTCTGCAGAAGATCAGATGATTCATACATCACTGTTTTTATCCTCTTTGTGTCCATCCCCAACCTAAAAAAACAACACAATACAAGTAAACCCAAAATGAATTTATAATTAGAGACAGAGCTCTGTCCAGAGGGGCAGCTAAGGGCCCCCCTCTGAATCTGCCTGGCCGCCCCATAACTACGAACCATACCTGTACTGGACTTAACCAACATATCAGTAGCTGGCAGGACAGCAAAAACAGTAAAAAAAAGACCTTCACAGTCGCACAGAAACTGCACATTGAATTGAATTTCCCCTCAGGGATCACTTCTTCTACTTCTTTTTCTTCTTCTTCGTTGTGGAATTTGCTGTAAGTAGATAAAGCCTTTCACAGGGGCACCGTTTAAACCTTTTTCCTTTTGGGACAACCAGAGTGACTTATACTCCAGATATTATGGTATATTTACTGGAAATGTTTTGGTATAACTGTGATGATAAAAGTATATTGGACTTTTGGACAGTCTACTGGATTTCAAATGTCTTTACAGTACAAACATCTTTGTCCTGAGACCTGAAGGATCTAGTTTAAAAGATTTTTGCATATTTTCTCCCTCCACAGTGTCAGGTTCTGTGGGTTTGTGTGTGCCTCTGTTTCTTGTTCTGTCTCATTTTAACAACATAAACAGGATATAACAGATATAACTACTGACTGTCTCTCATTATCACTGGAAAAATGAACATAAGGATGATGGGTATTATGTAAGATTTTTTTTAAAGCCCTGTCTGTCAAAATGACCGACAGTAAGTCTCACACAACCTCTTCAGGTCATCATCAGAAACACTGGTTCACCACGTCAAGAACAAACTGTAATAATGTTTCAGTTTCTCTTTTTAAAAACTCACCACATTTTCATCCCTCTGAGTTTTTCTGAGTTGCACTTACAAATGCCGCAACAAACTGTAACTGGTTTTCTGAAGTGTTCCTGAGCCCATGTGGTGATATCCTTTACACATTGATGGTGGTTTTTGATACAGTGCTGCCTGAGGGATCGAAGGTCATGTGCAATCATAATTGGTTTCCATCTGTGCCGCTTACATGCAGTGATTTCTCCAGATTCTCTGAATGTTTTGATGATATTATGGACCGTAGATGTTGAAATCCCTAAATTCCTTGCAATTGTACTTTGAGAAATGTTCTTAAACTGTTCGACTATTTGCTCACGCAGTTGTTCACAAAGTGGTGAACCTCACCCCATCCTTGCTTGTGAATGACTGAGAATTTTTGGGGAAGCTGCTTTTATACCCAATCATGGAACCCACCTGTTCCCAATAAACCTGCTCACCTGTGGGATGTTCCAAATAGGTGTTTGATGAGCATTCCTCAAATTTCTCAGTTTTTTGCCGCCTTTCCCAACTTCTTTGTCACGTGTTGCTACCAATAAATTCTAAAGTTAATTATAATTTGAAAAAAAATAATAAATATATAAATGAGTTTGAACATTAAATCTTGTCTAATTTGAACAATATCTTGTCTTTGTAGTGTAGCCAATCGAATATAGGTTGAAAAGGGTTTGCAAATCATTGTATTCTGTTTTTATTTACGTTTATCACAATTTCCCAACTTCAATGGAATTGGGTTTTTTATTTGATGTGGTAAACCACATCTGCTTTTACCTTCCTCATTTTCTAGCAGCTGACATGTTCACACCATGTGATGTTAACACTGACCTCAAGTATCTGAAATGTGAGAATTATACATTTCAGGGTTTTCAAGGACTCTGAAGAGTGACTTGGTCAAGATGATCGGATACTGACTTCCTCCTTGCTCTTACAGCTGATAAAATGATCGGTGGTGTAGGTGGACCGGTGCTCCTCCAGAGGATCTAATAAACCAAGGCATAATGGTGTATTTTTTTAGGTGCTTATTCAACTGCAGACAATGCAGCAAATAGAAGAAGAAGGCAAAGCTGGAGGCCACTTCTCACCATCTACTTGTCTCAGTAAGTGTTGTCCTCAGATGACATTCCCATTTCTGGTCATTATCTGGCGTTGGACCCGAAATGAAACAACCTTTTATTTAAGCATTGATATATTTTTATTTGAAATTCCACACAAAAGGCCACTGTTTGTCAGCTTCTGCAGTATCTCTGTGCCAAGAATGTACCGAGCGGGACTCTCGAGAGCTGCAGAGCTTCACTTAACATTCCCGGTGAAGAGCTGAGCTGTCAGGGGGTGTAACCTAACAACAGCAAAGATGAAACAAACAAGAGCTGAAGACACTGATAAATGTAGTAGGGACGACATTGCTAGGATTTAGGGTTTATCTCTTTTCCAAAATACAAGACAAGTTCGTAATGTTACATGTAAAAAGTTTTGGGAGGGAAGTAAACGACTGCTTAGAAGTGAGGAAGACAGAATTATGACTTAGTTTTCTCCATACTTTATATAAAATGTTGACTTTATTCTTGCATTTTCATATTTCCTCTTAAGACCTTGTTATTTTTTCTTCCTTCATGTGACCTAAATTCTGCTTTGAGGGTGATCATTTATGATACATTTATTTGTATTAGTAAAAATAAAGCATCTTTCTAGGTGACACGTTTACTTTTATGAAATTCTGAAAACTGTGTGTGTGGCTAATGTGTCATTTAAGCCACACACAAAAATACGACTTCCTGTTTGATGGGGAAAAAATTAGCTGCTGTGGCAATAGTGGTTGGTGTATTCTTTGGCGGGTCAGAGGAAGGTCTTAGGGTGTAGTAAAGGAAGTTTCTGGAGAATTCAGTGGACCAGATAGGATCTGATAGTAGTCAAATGGCCACCCATGTGTTATTTATTTATGATTTTAATATGGGTGTGTTCAGGCTGGGACCCCTCATATGAGCTCAGATGAAAAAAAATCTCAATAAAATCCTTTTAAAGTTTGTGGTTCTAGAGTGACAAAATGTGAAAAAGTTCAAGGGGTATAAATCCTTTTTAAGGCACTGTAGGTACTTTAGCTCATATTCTATCTGACGGTGGCTTTTACCACCTTTGTCTTCAGACTAAAGAAAACTGTTTTATCCCAATTTGTTGAAACACAGTGATAGTTTTGATAATTAAACATGTTTTCTTGAATAAAAATCTCACAGGTTTATGTTAAATGATTTGAGAGTTATAAGGGAAAACGTGATAAATGCCACCCCAGGTCCCCCCTATCAGAGAGGTGCATTACGTCATCCTGTGGGCGGGGTTATGTAAAGTAAGAAGAAAGAGCAGTGCGAGGGTGTGAGCGTCGGTCTCCCCCATCACCACCACCATCCACTCAAGTGTGTCTGCACCGCTGGAGCCGCAGACTGACACACACACCCACACACACCCACGCACACGAGACACAGAGCGAGAGACCGAGCCGGTGGACCGATTGAGGACGACTCCTTCTCTTTGTCCACCCGGAAAAATGGCGTCAAAGTGTCCAAAATGCGAGAAGACAGTGTATTTCGGTAAGTGTATGTTTTTTTTGAGCACGGCGAGTATTTCAGGGTTTGACTGTTGTGTCCCTGTGAACGCGAATTCTCATGAAAATACTCTTCAATATTCAGCAATTTTCTCGTGTTTTGATGCATTTGTATCCAGAGGGGATTTAAGGTTAATCCAGATTAGGTTAATTACAGACCAGGCAGCTCCAGAGGTCATATGATCTGAACTGGCGTTTACCAAGCCACCAAAAGAAAGAATTTATTTGATTTGATTTTTTTTTATTATTATTACCCCTTTAATCAGTACCTGAATTAAAAAAATGGAATATACACTGTTTATTATTTTTAATTATTATTCGCGTTACCTCTTTAATCAGTACTTGAATTAAATAAAATGAGATAATACACTGCTTTTTTTATTATTGTTCACATTACCTCTTTAATCAATACCTGAATTTGAAAAATAAAATCAGAAATTACACTGTTTGCTTTTTTTTTTTTGTATGTTGATCTCGTGTTATAAGTATAGAGTCAAAGTGCAGATTTTTTTAAGGAGTGGCGCAATTAGCATAGAAAATCCAACTCCTGTAGGTGTGTTATGATGACAGGCCTGTGGTTAGGGCTGTATCATTAAAAAATCCATAATAATCTGTAGGATTTCTGCTTATTTATTTACATCAATGCCTTCTTTAAATATTAAAGTAGTAATTTCTACCTTTAAATCTGTAAAAGATAGTTCAAATCCTCATTACTAAACATAATAACACCCTAAAATTGAGTTATTTCAGTAGGACAGTTTAATCAACAATTTGTCCTGTGAGGCTGCTGCGTCGTCTTTGTTTAATTTTAATTTAAATGCAGATATTTAGAGGAGATTAGACAATATCCTGGACCCTCTATAGTCAGGACCTGCAGGTGAATGCTGGGGCGATACTGAGGGGGAAAACTTAAGCAGCACTTGTGCATGACAGCAGAGGCAGTGGCAAAAAACGAGGCAGAGGTCAGAAATCTTGTAGCTGAATTAGAAAGATGTGTTTGAGAGCTGGTTAGTTAAAACTCTGAATTCTTTGCAAGCACAGTTAGTAGTAAAATAAACTGTTAAGTCTCCTTTCATGTCGACCAAAGCATGTCTGTCTGTCAAACTGCAGAATTTTACTTTTGTATATTTTGTATGTGCTAGTTTTAAAGGGACCGTGCATGAATTTTACACTTTAAGAGCTTTGGCCTAATTTTGTTGATAATACTCACTAAATCAAATGCCACATTCCCTCTCCCGCCTCTCCCTGCTCTCCTCTCTACTTCCGCCTCTTCCTACTCCTCTCTCTGCTCTCCTCTCTCCTCCTCCTGCCCCCTTACCTGCTGTTTCCTCTCCTCCTATGGCTTCCTGGTAGTTTGGGTAGCTGCTGCTCCATATGTTGAAGATAAAATCTGATGAATATTCCAGCTCGTAGTGACTCATCTCATGTATGAAAATCAAGTTGACTGCCTGGACTAGCTCCCAGGCTTTGCTCCGTTTCTGCAAGGTGCAAACAGACAGTGCAAGTCTGTAAACTCAACAAAGGCATTTCTTTACTGTGCAAAGCTAGCATGTCTTCAAACTGCCAAAAACATCAAGATGTCATGTTGTACCTCCATAACCTCTCTTTAAGAGTCTGTAACTACCACCTTACTTCTTTCTGTCCACCACTCCTGTACTTGAATCCAAAATAGCCACATTTAGCAGACGATGCATTCTTTTTTGCCACAGCACAGTCTCGGCTTGCTCGTCATACTCCTGCATGTCAGCATTCATGTTGTTCCCTCTGCTCTCTGCAGCCTGGATAGTCACGTGACCATAAAAACTCAGTCAGAGCACCTGATGGGTGTAACCAGACAGACTCCAAACAATCAGAGGGGAGGCTTAAATGTTTACAGACACACTTGAGCATGTTTATTTGATTCACAGCCTTCTGCGTGGTTGTGTAATTGCACATTCTCATATGGTGGCTGCAGCTGAAATTGGATCAATCATGCAGCACTGTCATGTTATTCTAACAGAGAGGAATAAGGATGAAAAGGCTTAAAATGTTATTCACCTAAAAGATAACAGTCCAAGCGACCAAACACTCCTCCTACGGGGAGCTTTGCTGCAAATCCACAAATATACAATAATGCAAAAGTCCAAAACATGCAATGCAAAGACAGAAACATTCTGCAAATAGAGGGATGTGGAGCAAAAAGCCAAAATAAACCTGCAAATACAGACACCAGAGCTATAGTGAAACAAAACATAGATAGATAGATAGATAGATAGATAGATAGATAGATAGATAGATAGATAGATAGATAGATAGATAGATAGATGAAATAAGCTTACTCATGAAAGTTTTAATTAAAAGTCATTACTGATTAGCGTAGATATGAATAATACAATGATATCCCACAGGAGACAGAAACCTGATTTATGGACTCTGTTACTGTAATTAGCTGTTTAATGTCTGATCTGCACTGCCTCAAATATGGATCATATTAAAAAAAGACTGATGGGGAGTCCTAGACTCAAAGTGGTTTGGACAGAGCTCATACCAGGCTATAAATGCTTCACTATCTCTAGATAAGATTACAGGGATCCATTAACAGCCCTGTTTGCTTCTGTTCATCAGACTAAAGTGTGTTATCTGACAGCCAAAGACAAAGCACCATCCGAACTTTTACATTAATGCCAGCTTTCTTTTTTATCATAAAGGATTGGCTCTGTGTCATCTTTCTTTGTGGAGAGTTTACTCGTTTTTATTCTGGAGCTTCACCACATGGCTTAGTAAATAATTCATCGATTGTACATGCATCACAGGGATCAATTTTCTTTTTGTTCTCTCCTCTTCATCTCTGCGGTGAACCCCGCCCTGCCGGTTCAACCAAACATGCTGATGTCTCTTTAATGCCTGAACTGCTGCAGAAAATATCATACAAAAACTACTCTCATGTTTCTTGTGTGATTTACAGGGTAATTTTTGCTGTTTAAAAAGTGAGTTTTTATGAGTTTTAGCTTGAGAAATCTTAAAATTTGAGCCCCAGAGATGCTACTCTCACTAAGTTCACCTCTGTGTGATTAAAGGTCCTTACAAACCAGGACCGATGCAAATATACAATGCGAAATTACGAAATGTTCGGAGGTGAATTTTGAAGCACCATACACATCGAGCCCAATGCGATTTTGTGACTTTCCGGGGGGGAAAAAGACGCGTCCCAGGTGGAAGCAAGAAGACTGACACAACAGCAGACTGACTGTTTGCAGTTCTGATTAGACACTAGTGTTGAGATGTCTGTCTGTCATGATAGTATGTACTGAGTCGGGGTCAGTACCAGATAAGCACATTAAACTATAATCCATAAATGTAAGGTAACAACCGAGACCTAATGGTGCTGTGACAGCAACGCAATTGAGTTTGAGACAGTGAAAATATGGTATGTTGTATCTGAACAGGTTAGCATACAAGCTAAAGCTACTTAGCACAGCCTAAAGTTAAAACAAAGACGTTTAGCAAACTGTTAAAGCACACAAACTATCCTTCAGGTCGTTATTTTTGTTATATTTCTGTCTTTTATCAAAAAACACTCTGTTCCCCGACACATAAACAATCAGCCAGTCGGCCATGTTGGATATACCGGTGAATCAGACGTCACAACAGCACACAATCTGATTGGTCAGAAGTGGATGCACAGTATGCGAATCTTTAGAAAAATTGAACGTGATCCGAAAAAATAAATGCTGCAATATCGCAGGATGGGAAAATGTCGCTGATGTGAACACTGGTTTGAAAACAAATATTGACGTCTGAAATAATCGCACGATAAATATGGTCCTGGTGTGAAAGGACCTTTAAAAAGTTTGTACAACCACAGTTTAAAAAATGTAAGACTCCGGAAGACGTTAAAAAAGACAGGTTCATTTGACCCCTGCATTTGGATTTTAAACGACGTGTGTCAAAAATTTAAATTTGAAAAATTTGATAACAATTGGCCTAAAGACAAAAAAAGACTTATAAAAACCATCAAACCACATTTTCTTTTGTGAGCAGTATGCTCATTTTAAATTTGATTCAAGCAAACGTTTTAAAAAAAAAAGTGCAACAGGGACAAGAAAAGAATCGAAAAATTGTTTAATGCTATATAGATTAAAATAAATAAACAGGATGACCATCACTAAAATGATAAGGTTGATTTGTACCAGGTTAGTAACCTAGCTGGGTATAAAAAGGACATTTAAAGAGGCCGAGTCTTTGAAGAATAAAGGCAAGAGGAGGTTTACTATTCTGTGAGAGACTGAGTATAGTTAAAAAAAAGTTTAAAAAATCCACTCAGATTCACACTCAGTAGTTTTCCTGAGTGTAAAATTGCAAAAAAATCCAGGTATTTCATCATCTACAGAACATTACACCGTCAAGAAAAATCTGTACCAAAGGAAGAAAACCAATACTATACTAAAACCAATACCAAACCAATACCCTCAAGCAGCACGACATTAAAGGGGATGGGACTCTGAAGTGGTAATCATAGTATGGGCTTGAAATTGCTTCCAAGAACTATTGTCTGTGAACTGCTCTACCCTTTCGGAATACGGGCAGCAGAGCGAAGGTGATTTCCTGTCGCATGTCTCAGTGACACGCTGCTCGCTGAGTCTGAACAGGAATCGTCATTGCGTGCGGAGGCGTCGTTTTATCTGTAGGGGTATTCTGGGAGCAGGACAGACTGATAAATGACTATTTGTGAACTTCTGTATCCTTCACTCTGTCCTCTTCAACAGACCACGACTGTTGGTGAAGTTTCAAGTCAAGGAAAGTTAGAGCTCCATTTATCAGCATGTCAAACTGATGTGACTCCTCTGGGAATTTAATGCAAGGCTGCTGGAAAAGAGGCTGGAGCCGATAGTTGAACCTCGGGTACTGGGGTTCTTGCCTCTGCCAAGACTGTCTCTGGACTCTGATTTTGTGATGATGTGGTTCTGTCGGCTCCTTCAGCTTTGTGGTAAAGAGAGAGATGTGAAAAGCATTAGCTGCTGGTAATGCTGGTAGTTAAAAATAGAGTTCTAGGAATGGGGGTATGTAGAGTGGCTTTGTTAAAGTCTGGATTATTATGACCCAGAGGACTAACTGAGTCTCCCTGTGTCAGCCTCTCTTCAGACACAGTGGAAAAAATGTGCTCGGAGTTCATATGAACCGTTGAAGAGTCTTGCATCACTTAAAGTGTGACAGTCCCAGTAAAATAATCAGTTCTGCTTTCATTCGAGTCACAGTTGAACCTGGGACTGGGCTCTATGGATAGCTCTTGAGTTATGCATCTTTTCTTTGAGCGTCTCTTAGTATCAGTTCTGAAGATCGTGGGTTCAAACCTCATTATTGTCTCAGTCCAGACCTCCTTCATTTCTGCCTCTTAAAAATCTGGTTTACAGATTAATGTGGGCGACTCACATCAGCATGAAACATGACGGCAGGAACTGAAATCACACCAGAACAGCAGTTCTTTCTTTCTTTCTTTCTTTCTTTCTTTCTTTCTTTCTTTCTTTCTTTCTTTCTTTCTTTCTTTTTCTACAGAAAACAAAAAGGAAAAGAAAGAAGGCAATGAAAGAAAGATGGATAAAAAAAGGAATAAGAAAAATTTAAGGAATAAGATAGAAGAGGATAAAAGAGAAAGGAAATGAGAAAGAGAGGATACAGACAAAGAAGAAGAAAAAGAAAGAGTAAAGTATGACAAAAAAATTACAATCAACAAAAAAATTTTAAAGAAAAAAGAAAAGAAAAAGGAACAAATCAATTAAAAAGAACGAGAAATGAGAGAGACAGAAATTCACTGAAAAGACAAAGAAAATTATTCAAAAGAAAAGGAATAGACATGAGGGAGAAATAAAGAAAAAAGATAAAAAAATATATGTCAAAAGAAAGAGTCAGAAAAAAATTAGGAAGAAATTAAAAATTGTTAAAGAAAAAAGAGAAACAAGTCAATTAGAAGAAAAAAGGAACAGAGAGGAAGAGAAAATGGACTAATAAAGAGAATCAAAGAAAGAAAAAGGAAAAAATAAAGAAAGGTTGTTAGTAAGTAAAATAGGGAAAAGACAGAAAAAAATTAAAATGTTGAGGAAAAAAAGACTCTTCATAAACTTTCTTGATTTTGGGCTCATGTCTTTGTGAACTCTAGCTGGTTTTCATTTTAACTAAAGATAAAATGTTTCCAAATCCTTGTTTTTAGCTGAAGCAAGAGACACAGAGTTCATCGATTCATCACTCCTTTTTTGTTATTTAAACTCATGCTTCACTTGTTCGGTCCAAACTAACTCGCAGGATCTTCACTCAGTACACTTGAACTGAGAACAACGAGTATCGTGTTTTTTGTAGCTCCATGAAACAGGTCAGTAAATCTGTCTTTTCTTTCTTCTTCTGCAGCAGAGAAGGTGTCCTCTTTGGGGAAAGACTGGCACAAGTTCTGCCTGAAATGTGAGCGCTGCAACAAGACGCTGAATCCAGGAGGACATGCTGAGGTCAGAGGAAACTCGCTGATGAAGGCTTCAAGCCAAGACGTCTATTCTGACAACCGCTTCTGTTTACAACCAACATTTTAAACATCATGATTGTGTAGCAAACATGCCAGACAGTCGTGGTGTTACTGTCGAGTAAATCTAAGAAGTGATACAGCTCATTTGTGCCTCTGACAAAGATAACGTAACCAAAGGAAGTGCGTGTGGTTTCCCTGTGGTATAATTCATACAGTCACACCAGTGTCTCGCTAACCACACCAGAAGTGAGCAGATATGGCGGCACAGTGAGAAGTGTGACTCTGACCACAAAGAAACCTCAAATACTTTCTTTAGGGTTACATCCTGTCAAATGAAGAGCTTTTGTTGTTCTTTGTTTCACATTTAAGATGTGATAGTTTCGACACTCTCAAGTGTAAATGTGTCAGCGATAGGACATGTAGATGTTCTTCAGCTCTCGTCTCTGTTGGTGAATGCTCTACCATTCTGTTAAGCTTCAGGACTCATTAGTTCAGATATTCACAAGTACTTTTGGGGGGTTATCCGTGGTCACAGACGTCATGTGGCCTTCAGTACCAGGCGCTGCACTTGGGCTTAATAACTTACTGAGATTAAGATGTTTTTTTGAATTTAGCTTTGAACTGGGAAGTAAGTGGTCAACCACAGCTTTCAGCCAGAGCAGCTCCACAGTCCTGAATGTCTCGGTCACAGTGTTTTTTCAGTCAGATCAGTCTGAATATTCGTCTCAAAGAGAAAATATCTTGATGCCTACGATGTAAACAGCTGCACTGATTACTTACTGTCCTTACTTTATAAAGTATGTTTTATATAAGTAGCCTGATGTGCAAACTGATTAGAAACAAGAACAGAATTTGACAAGATATAGAATTTTAAAAGGCCAAAATATGAAAAAAAAAAAATATATATATATATAATAGCATATCATACATGAATATAATGGTGTAGTAATAAGACAACATGGTGTGGCTAACATTAGCAGAGCTAGCACTACCTCCTTGCAGGATTTTCTCCACCCCTGTGCGTAAACACCATGTTAACCAAAGTGGTGACTCACAGTGTTGAGATGTAAAGCCAGTGTGCAAATGCTAACAACTGCAGTTCCTTAAGTGTCCACTGGGGGGTTGGCTCCAGAAGCACATGGTAGCCACATACACACCTGATCTGCAAGAAGCTGAGATTTACAACACAAATACACGTTTACAGCCTGATTCATGAAACTGTTTTGGTCTGGATGGGTAATTTCTGCATTTCTATTTGTGCGTGTTTTGTAGCATGATGGGAAGCCTTTCTGCCACAAGCCCTGCTACGCCACCCTCTTCGGACCCAAAGGTGCCTTTTCTTCCTTTTAACAGCTGAAAAGATCTTTTCGAGTGAACTCTGTGTCAGCCAGCTTCTAGTTTTCAAAAGGTGCCTGTGCTTTTAGGTGTGAATATCGGGGGAGCTGGTTCCTATGTGTATGACAACCCTGTCAACGAAGCCCCCGCTGCAGTTTCCATGGAAACCAATGCCAAACCAGAGGAGGAAAGAAAAGCCCCCGCAAGAGGCCCAGTGAAAGGTGAGAAATATATAGAGCAAAAACTGTCACATTTTGGGGGAGGAATTCATATTACACTAGAGAAATGTCCTCTGATGAGAGGAGGAGGGATGGATTCAGTTAAACAGGTGATGAAGATGGGGATACTTAAGGTGAATAGAGAGAAAATCAAGAAGAAGGAAAAGGAAGAAAAGTTGGATTTGTACAAAGCTGGACAGCACATGCCCACATTGTACAAAAGTGAAGCTAAAATACCCTGTGCTAGATCCATGAGTCTGTGCCGGCAGGACAGATGAAAAGTATAACTTTTAATTTTCCTGTAGAAAATCAAAACTGACAAAAAGCGGAATCAAACCTCAGTAAAGAACTTAAATTCTGTTGTAATGTGACTTTTTCTCAGCTGCGAGCTTCTCATCTTTTTCTGGGGGACCAAACATCTGCCCTCGATGCAACAAGACGGTTTATTTTGGTAAGCATGTTGTCATTAGGATATCTCTTCTTATCTGGCTGTACTCACCAAGCGATGGAATGTTTCTAAGTGACTGGTTGTCATGGTGACTATCCCTGTAATTGTGTGTGTGTGTGTGTGTGTGTGTGTGTGTGTGTGTGTGTGTGTGTGTGTGTACAGCTGAGAAGGTGTCCTCTCTGGGGAAGAACTGGCACCGACCCTGTCTGCGCTGTGAGAGATGCAGCAAGACCCTGGCTCCCGGCAGCCACGCAGAGGTGAGAAAGATGTACATGAAGACGACAGATTAAACTGCATGTTTGAAATTGGACTCTTTCATTTAAAGGTCTGTTTACTGAGGTCCTGTTCAAAATAACTTCTGTCCCTGCTAAACCTTTAAAAAAAGACTGTAAAGGGTCTGTAAAGGTCCTTTCACACGGGACCATTTTTGTCGTGCGACTATTTTGGTAGTTAGTTTTTTTTCGAACCCCTATCTTGTCAATACAAGCGTTCACATCAGCAACGTTTTCCTGTCCTGCGATATTGCGGCATTTATTTTTTCGGATCACGGCCGAATTTTCTAAAGCTTTGCATACTGTGTGTCCACTTCTGACCAACCGGATTGCGTGTTGTTGCGACGTCTGTATACCCAACATGGCCGACCGGCTGATTGTTTACGTGTCGGAGAACAGAGTGCTTTTTGATAAAAGACACAAACATTACAAAGATAAAGACCTGAAGGACAACTTGTGGAGCGTCATAGCGTCAGATCTCTCATGTGACGATAGTTTGTGTGCTTTAACAGTTTGCTAAAGGCTTTGTTTTAACTTTCATCTGTGCTAATGTAAGCTAACGGTTGTTACCATAGTTTCATGTGCTTATCTTATCGCCTCTGATTGGCTATAAGTGCTGACCATTTGGCTTGAGCGTGTGATGACGCTTCCAGCTTTTCTAGTCTTTCAGAGGCGAAGGAGGCGGGACTTTCCCCGGGTAAAGTCTTCCCCGGGATGCGTCTTTTCTCCCCCAGAAAGTCCCAAAATCGCGTCGGGCTTGATGTGTATAGTAAGTAAAATTCGCCTCCGAATATTTCATAATTCCGTGTTCTATAATCGCGTCGGCCCCGGTATGTAAGGACCTTAAGAGTGCCTGAGAGAGTGTAGGTGCCATATGCAGAAGTGGTTAGGTTTGTGTGTGTTGACATCAACTGTCTGGGCTGCACCTTTCATGCACGTCACGAGGGGGTGTGGTCAAGGCGCGATGATTGAATGATTGAATGAATGGACATATAGTCACCTGGGTGCTGCGGCGGCTGCATGGAGAGGGGGTGAGTAGGGAGAGCGTATTTTTTGTTGACCGCTTGATTTAAACGTCAAACTAAGCCCATAGATCATCTTGCCTTGCCTTGCCCTGTCTGTCTGTTTGTGCGGCGTTGGAAATAAATGTGAACTCAATCGGAAAACACGGAAATGGCTTGTGGTTTGTGTAGCGAGTCACCAATGCGGAAGCTCCCTCACTTAGCCTCTCAGTGACTTTGTTTTCGTTCCTAGTCACTATATTTTGTCAACAAAAAAGGAGTACCAACACCCGAACGGCATATACGGACGCGATCACGCCACACGGTGTCTAACTGCAACGCCAGACTGATCGCAACGTGGACTTCAGACCGGTAGGACTGTATCACTCGCATCCATTCATTCTGTGTATGTTGGACGGAACGCAGTTTGATTACAGCGCATACAGCGCATCCATTGGGGAGCGCTGTGCGTGTGTGAAAGTCCGCTGAGACAGCCTGTCCTGCTCGTTGAGAGTAAATACCTGTGGTGTTTTCCGATGTTAATTGATGTGAAACAATCTGTGGAAAAATAAAACTATGCTGGGTGTATTGTGGATTCACTGCGCGAACCACTGAACTGCCGAATCTCAAAAGGACAATATGAGTGAAGCCATGGAACAAGTGGAAAACAATGAAACTGTGGTTGCTAAAAGGAATGTGAAACTTACTGCAAAAGCATTGGCATATAAAGTGGTAAATCTACAAAATGAACGTAAAACACATGTGAATAAAATAAAAGGCTTAATACCTGCAATGAAAGAGCTGATGAAACGAAAGGAAAATGTACAGGAAGTGAAATCTCAGTTGCAAACTATTACTCAGCTCCTTGATACTGCTGTCAACCTGCATCAAACAATAATTCCACTGTTACCCGAGGATGAAAAACTTAAACAGAATGATTGGTTCTCCAGTATTGAACGTTACAGCAGTACATTCAAGGATGATGTGATTCAGTGGTTGGATGAGAATGAACATGTTCTAAATATCGTGGATAATGATGAGGCCGCAGCAACAAAGCATGTGTGTGACCCTCAAATAGATGATGCTTTACAGGCAGCAGCACAGGACACAGGCCCCATCACACCTTATGAAGGTCTACAGGATGACGTGAACCCAAGTGATAGCATATCAAATGTGCAAAGCAAACGATCTGCAAAAAGTGCTGTGAGTGGAAAAAGCTCTGGGAGTGGTAAAAGGTCCAACGTATCAGGAACTTCTTCTGCTCGCATCAAGGCAGAAGCTGATTTAGCTGCACTGATGGCACGGCAAAAACTTTTACAGGACAGACATGCACTGGAAGAGGAGGAGCAGCAAATACGGAAACGCAAGGAAAAGCTCAAGTTGGATGAAGAGATTGCTGCACACTTGGCTAAAGTGAGCGTTCTAAGGGCTGCAAGCATATCTGGTTCGAAAAGTGTTACAACAGACAGGTCCAATGCAATGAGTTCCTACGTTAAAAATGAACAAGAAACAACAAAGTTCAATGTCAATGCCACTCCTTTCATTCCTCTGAGGCTGGAAACATCTAAACAGCAATCGAAAATCATGGACAGTGACCCTGTGACAAGGCCTAAATCAGATGGATCGACCCATGCTGTTCACTTTCAGCCTCCCACTTTGAAGAGCCACTTACCTGATTTTAATCCTCTGCTCAATGCTCATAATGATCACTTACATCATGGAATCAGTCTTAATGTTGGGGATTCAGCAAGTCATGGGGAGCAAAACAATGTTCTTGACATCATGAAAAGACAGAATGAAATTACAACACTACTGATACAACAGCAGCAACATGCGCTCTTGCCTAAAAGAGACATCCAGGTGTTTGATGGTGACCCACTGCAGTTCCATACGTTCCTGAGAGCCTTTGAAAACTGTATTGAAAGCAAGTCCAACAGTCATAGTGATTGCCTGTACTTCCTCGAGCAATACACTAGAGGTCGTCCAAGAGATCTTGTGAGAAGCTGCCAGCATATGGACCCAAACAGGGGCTATGCTCAAGCTAAAATCCTATTACAAGAACATTTTGGGGATGAACAAAGGGTTGCTGCTGCTTATATGGACAAGGCGTTGTCATGGGCTCCAATAAAATCAGAGGACGTTAAAGCTCTCCAAGATTATAGCCTATTTCTCAGAGGCTGCGCAAATGCGATGAACGAAGTGCAGTATATGTTTGAAATGGATATGCCTGCTAGCATGCTGACAATAATAAAAAAACTGCCTTACAAGCTGAGGGATCGATGGAGGACAACTGCTTGTGAAATACAAGAAAGACGTAACCAAAGGGCTACATTTGATGATATTGTCCATTTCATCGAAAGGCAAGCAAAGATTCTAACAGACCCAGTATTTGGAGACATTCAAGACTCATCACCAGCAGCAAACAGAGGCATGAATCGAACCAGCTTAAAACCTAGATCTCGGCCAAAGGGAAGTAGTTTCGCTACAACAGTGACTACTGTACAGCACAATTACACAGCAACAAAAGGAAGGAGGCCAGACACAACCTCATCAGCCAAGAAAGTCTGTCTGTTTTGTGAGGGTGGGCACATGTTGGAGTATTGCTCTCGAATGGAGAAGATGACTCACACTGAAAAGATCACCTTTTTAAGGGAAAAGGGAATATGCTTCGGCTGTTTGTGTATAGGACACATCAGCAAGGACTGTCGAAAGCGCCTGTCATGCAAAGTGTGTAGTTTGAAACACCCCACAATGCTTCACATCCATTCAAAGGAAAAGGACCCAGTGACAGAAGAAGAACCAGGCGCCGCAGTGGGCTGTGCTCTGGTATCTAATGGGTTGACTGGGGCTGGTGGCCATGAGTGCAAGCTTCCTATAGTTCCTGTATTGGTTAAATCCAAGAAAGGTAATCATGTAGTGGCTACTTATGCCTTCTTGGATCAAGGTAGCACGGCTGTTTTCTGCACAGTAAACCTCATGAACAAGCTCAACCTCTCAGGAAAAAGGACAAGAATCCTTTTGCGGACAATGGGTCAGGAGAAGGTCGTTAACAGCTGTGTGGTCACGGGACTGGAGGTGGCCGGTTTGGACGGAGAGACATACTGTGATTTGCCCAACACCTATACACAGGAGTGCATGCCGGTGCATAGAGGAAATATTCCATGTCAAAAGGATCTCGAGAGGTGGGCATACTTGAGAGATGTTGACTTACCTGATATCGACTCCGAAGTTGAGCTGTTGATTGGAACAAACGTACCAAGGGCACTGGAACCATTACAAGTCATCCGTAGTGTGGACAATGGACCGTATGCCATCAAGACTATTTTGGGTTGGACTGTTAATGGGCCACTGGGGGGAAACAGTGGTGATGGAATGGATGTTGCGACCGTTAACAGAATTTCAGTCCTGAACTTGGAGGAGCTCTGGCAGCAGCAGTTCAGAACAGATTTCCCAGAATGTGGCTACGATGAGCAACCTGGCCAGTCAAGAGAGGACCAAAAGTTCATGAAGTTGGTCCAGGATTCAGCCAAGCTTGTAGATGGTCATTACCAGATTGCATTGCCCCTGCGAAGCTCCGTGACCATGCCAAACAACAAGAAGGTTGCCGAGCAGCGTGCTCTAAACCTGAAGAGGAGGTTCAAAAGGGACTCGTTATTTCATCAGCAGTATACTGATTTCATGAATGATATGGTCACCAAGGGATACGCAGAGCAAGTACCTTCAGATGAGCTGGCACGTACTGATGGAAGATTGTGGTATATCCCACACCATGGTGTGTATCACCCTCAAAAAGGAAAAATCCGTGTGGTTTTTGACTGTGCTGCCACTTTCCAGTCAGCATCTCTCAACGCTCAACTGCTGCAAGGGCCGGATCTCACTAGCTCGCTGATTGGCGTCCTGGCCAGATTCCGGAAAGAACCGGTGGTGATCATGGCAGACATAGAGTCCATGTTTCACCAAGTAAAGGTGCCAAGGGAAGACGCTGATCTACTGAGGTTTCTCTGGTGGCCCAACGGTGACTGCACCCAAGACCTGGTAGACTTCAGAATGTTGGTACATCTTTTTGGTGCAACGTCCTCACCAAGTTGTGCTAACTTTGCATTGAGGAAATGTGCTAAGGACAATGAAGAACAGTTCTGCCAAGAGACCATTGAGAGGATTCTGCACTGCTTTTATGTGGACGATTGTCTGGTGTCGACGGCCAGTGAGGAAGAAGCAGTGGCACTGTATCATGACCTGGCCTCTGTATGTGCCAAAGGAGGCTTTAAGTTGACCAAATGGATGAGCAATAGCCGTGCAGTGATGGCAGCAATTCCAGGGGACCAAAGAGCTAAGGGCATGAAGGACTTGGATTTGGACCATGACCTGCTACCAGTGGAGAGGGTGCTCGGAGTGCAATGGTGCATCCAGTCTGATGTCTTCAAGTTTAGAATCCTGGTGCAGGACAGGCCCCTGACAAGGAGGGGGATCCTCTCTGTCATCAGTTCAGTATATGATCCTCTAGGAATCCTGAGTCCCATTGTTCTTTCTGCCAAGATCATCCTGCAGGAGCTGTGTAGGCAAAGACTCGGTTGGGATGACCCTATACCACCATCAGCTGCACAGGAATGGACGAGCTGGTTAGAGGAGCTCCATCAGTTAGAGCACTTCCAGGTTTCGCGGTGCCTTAAACCCCCAGACTTTGGTGAGGTCACTGTGGCGCAACTGCACCATTTTACAGATGCAAGTAATAATGGTTATGGTGTAGTGACCTACCTTCTCCTGCGGAATGCATGTTCCCAGATGCACAGCAGCTTTGTCATGGGAAAGTCCAGGGTGTCTCCTTTGAAGCCGGTCTCAATACCCCGCATGGAGCTCACAGCTGCTACAATGGCAAGCCGTCTGGACACCTTTTGGAAAAAGGAGTTGCACATCTCATTAATAGAGTCAACGTTTTGGACTGACAGCACCTCTGTGCTGAAGTACATCAGGAATGAGACTTCCAGGTTCCGTACCTTTGTCGCCAACAGGGTAGCAGAAATACTCAAAGTGTCAGATCCATCGCAGTGGAAGTATGTAAACACCCTAAGCAATCCTGCAGATGTGGCCTCCAGGGGACTGAGGGTTGACATGTTCCTGAGGAACAAGGCGTAGTTGTCAGGACCTGCATATCTCCTGCAACCTGAACGAGACTGGCCTGTGAGTCCAGATTGCTTGGGGGAACTCCTGCTGAACGATCCAGAAGTCAAGGCCAGTGTGGCAGTGAATGCAGTGCAGGCCTCAGAGGATGTGGATGCAACCACTCAACTAATCCATCATTTTTCCTCTTGGACCCATCTGAGAAGGGCTGTGGCTTGGTTTCTCAGGCTAAAAAACATGCTGCGGGGTCTCAGCCAGAAGAGGACTGACTCTGCGTCCACTCAGTCGGAGTCAGGGAAACAACAAAGACCGTCCTCGGAGCTTGGAAAAGGAGGGTTCAAAGACCTGGCACCGAGAGGTTTCCTCACGGTAGACGAGTTGCAGGTAGCTGAAAAGGAAATCATCAGGTTTTGTCAGAGGAAGAGGTTTCCTGATGAACTCTCTAGTTTGCAGAAGGGCGAAAGTGTGAAAAGGAGAAGTCACATCTTCAAGCTCGCTCCTGTGTTGGAGGATGGTATCCTGAGGGTTGGTGGTCGGTTGAGCCGAGCAGCCTTACCTGAAGACGCAAAACACCCTGCCATTCTGACCAAAGAGCTCCACATTTCAGACGTTCTCCTGAGACACATACATCAACAAGTTGGTCATGGAGGACGCAACTACATGTTGTCCAAACTACGTGAAAGATACTGGATTCCTGGGGTCAGCACAGCCATAAGGAGAATTTTGTCAAAGTGTGTTGTCTGCCGCAGGTTGCAAGCTGCCCCAGGGTGTCAGCTGATGGCTGATCTTCCTGTTGACAGGGTCTGCCCAGACGAACCTCCATTCACCAGAGTCGGTGTGGACTACTTTGGACCATTCGAGGTTAAGAGCCGGAGGAGCATTGTAAAGAGATATGGAGTCATGTTCACCTGTTTGGCAATACGGGCTGTTCATATCGAAGTGGCTCCTTCGCTGGATACAGACGCCTTTATTAATGCACTACGACGATTCATGGCAAGACGTGGCCAAGTCCAAGAAATTCGATCAGACAATGGAACGAACTTTATTGGAGGAGAGCGTGAGCTGAGAGAGGCTATCAGAGGTTGGAATCAAGCTCAGATAAATGGTGTTCTTCTTCAGAAGGAGGTGAAATGGATTTTTAACCCCCCAGCTGGATCGCACCATGGTGGTGCCTGGGAAAGGTTGATCAGATCAGTGCGCAAGGTCTTGAACTCCATCTTGAAAGTTCAAAATCTGGATGAGGAGGGATTACACACTGTCCTCTGTGAGGTGGAAGCAGTCATTAACGGCCGTCCAATTACTAAGGCCTCAACCGACCCTAACGACCTCGAAGCTCTGACGCCTAACCATCTCTTGCTGTTGAAAACCTCTCCTTCCCTGCCACCTGGGCAGTTTCAAAGAGATGACATCTACGCTCATCGACGCTGGAGGCAGGTCCAGTACATGTCTGATTTATTTTGGAAGCGATGGACTAAGGAGTATTTGCCACAGTTGCAGGAACGTCAGAAGTGGACTGGTATCAAGCGCAACTTTGTAGAAGGGGACGTTGTGCTTATTGTGGATGAAACAGCACCACGGAACTCGTGGGTCATGGGAAGGGTTATCCAAACCTTCCCAGACAGAAGAGGATTTGTGCGATGGCTGCAGATCAAGACCAAGACCAGCTCCTTGGAAAGGCCCATAACCAAAGTCTGTCTTCTGCAGGAATCGGATGCCTGACTCTTCCGTTCTGGAAGGATAGTTTGATTGACTTTACTGACCGACAGCACGACATGACTTTCCTCCGTGAAGCTGTGTGTCTGAACTTTTGAACTTTTGAACTTGGCTAGACTTGACTTGTGTTCCAGGAAGAAGAGCACATTGATGAACTGTATTGATGGACTATCACAAGAACATTGGTGGATTTCGTGGTTCATTTATTTGTCATAGTGTAATTATTATAATGGTAATAATTAGGGGCTGGGTTGTAGGTGCCATATGCAGAAGTGGTTAGGTTTGTGTGTGTTGACATCAACTGTCTGGGCTGCACCTTTCATGCACGTCACGAGGGGGTGTGGTCAAGGCGCGATGATTGAATGATTGAATGAATGGACATATAGTCACCTGGGTGCTGCGGCGGCTGCATGGAGAGGGGGTGAGTAGGGAGAGCGTATTTTTTGTTGACCGCTTGATTTAAACGTCAAACTAAGCCCATAGATCATCTTGCCTTGCCTTGCCCTGTCTGTCTGTTTGTGCGGCGTTGGAAATAAATGTGAACTCAATCGGAAAACACGGAAATGGCTTGTGGTTTGTGTAGCGAGTCACCAATGCGGAAGCTCCCTCACTTAGCCTCTCAGTGACTTTGTTTTCGTTCCTAGTCACTATAGAGAGTACGGGGGGGTTCCTGTCATGCTACTCTTTCTAGTCTGCTCTTGGAAAAATTATTTTTACTCACCATGAAATTTGCATCACATCTTTCAGGAACTGACTTTACAGTAAAATGGTGAACAGTGTCATTTCCCCAACAATAATGAAATTTCTCAGGATGAGAGTGCACAGCACAGCTCTATGCAACAGAGAGTAAAGATGCTTACAGCTCATCTCCACCATCAGAAGCAAGACAAGAGCAAACTGCACAGAGCTGCACAACTTGATGTGCATTTGCTTATCTTTAGTGCAATATTCCCTGTGAATTGGACTTTGAAATGAAGTAAATGATGTGCAGTTCATGGTGCTTAGCGAAGCCATGATCCATTTTTTTGTGAACTAGCCCTTTAACCTAATAAAGGAGGATTCATGTGTTCTGTGTTGCAGCATGATGGACAGCCTTACTGCCACAAACCGTGCTACGCGGTTCTGTTTGGGCCCAAAGGTGAGTAAAGAAACATACTGCGTAAAACACCTCACAAAGTTCACCTAAATTGGAGTGAAAATAAAGATGTTTTGAAATTTTTACTGCAAGCAAGTGGTCAGTGTTCATTTAATGCAACTGGTGCAACACCAGGTGAGCAGGATGAATTGAAACTTTGATTGTCAGGATTAGAATAGTCGCATTGATATAAATGCAACAGCTGTCACCAGAGTGAAGGTCTCTGTTGCTTCTAACTAATGATACTTGAAGAGTATTTGATGTCTGAGGTCTTGATCAGACAAGAATGAATCCACTGAAAATAAAAAAGAAGTCTCTCCTTTGTACTTTGAAGACATTCATCACACACACACACAAGGATCCTCGAAAAGGACTGACAAAGCTGGAGAGTGCACACCAGGTTAGCAGTGGTATAAGTTTGTAGTGACACACAACTGAAGATGTTTCATACCCATGTATGAGGAGGTTATGCACGTGTGTGTATTGGGCAGAGAATTCACTATTTTCAACGGAACCCACACCTGCTTTTCACAGTAACAGACAGGGTGGGAGTTTCAAAAGACTGCTCTGGAGTCTGGTTTCAGTGATGCATGAGAAGTCTGATCCAAAGGTGCCTGGATGCTGTTAGTTTGTTGAATTCGTGTTGAAAAAGCCCTTTAAATCTAAAGCCTGTGTGGTCTCCTCTTCCAGGTGTAAACACTGGAGGTGTCGGCAGCTACATCTACGACGACCCTGAGGCCGAGGCTCAGGACTGAACCAGGACTTAGTCTCACCTTTAGGACCCTGGATGTCTCTAATTTGCCTTCTGAAGTGGCTCTATATGTACTCCACTCACAGAGACGATACTTAGATCTTTATGTTGTATTTGTATATTGTTTATATATCTATTTTTTGTACTTAAAACCAACGTCCTCCCAAGTGAGCTTCAGATTTGCCTTTAGGTTTCTCGGTTCTCTTTGCCAAATAAGTATCAGCGTATTCGTAGTGAATCAAAGCGCTTGAGATTTTTTCACTTGTTATTGATACTTTTTCAGACTTATGTGCACTTAAAAAATGTACTGTATGGAAAAACTATTACCTGTCAGTGTTTTTGAACCAGTTCATATTTACTCCAACAGGGGAGGAGATGTAGAAGTAGCTAATGTACTGTGCGCACAGAAACTTACATTTGACTGACCGTTTGGAAGATGAGTTTGGGGTCTGTTGTGAATAAAAACTGCACATCAGATTTTATACAGTCCAGTTTTGTGTCTGTTATTGTACAGGTAACTATAAAAATACAAAACAGTTCATTTGAAGTAGCCTTGGAGTGAAATATTTAAAGCCTTTACTGTTTTGTTTGTTGTTGTCTTTGTTTTTCATGATTAAGACAAATGCCTCAAGAAAATTAAGGGCCCAGAATCTCGATTGCTCGAATACTTCCTAGGATTTACCAAAAAAGGATTGAAAACATTAAAATCCGAGATTTGAAATGAAGGTGTAAGAACAATACAGCGTTGTTTGGAAATTAAACTCATTGTGATTTAAGTAAACTCTTTTTAATGTAATATTTTCCTCCCCTTTTGAGTAATCAACCAAAAGTACCACATACGTAAATATCCAATTCAAGAAAATAAAAGATAAAATAAATGAAAACAAACGAGCACTTCCTGAAAGAAGTGCAAACAAATAACATGGATAATGTCACACATATAGGACAAGAGACAGTCACGCCCCTTCCTGGAAACTCAGTACCCGGAAAAGAAGAGGACTGTCAAGCAAAACACAACATCACTGGGAAATGATAGGCTACAACTACAGAATAAAAGGAGAGAAATTTACAATAAGGTGCTGCAGAACAGCAAAGGTTAAACCAAGATATAGAATTCTAGCAACATATTACTTACTAATTATGCATCTTCCTTTTGTTTGTATATAAATACCTTTGATCTAATATATATCAAACAACTGCAATTATACATCAATTTTACAAAGTGATTCAGAACATTCACAGCTGTATTTTTGAAAAGAAAAAGTAACACATTTCAACAATCTGAACTGAAACTCTGATCCTCTCATCAGACTCCTTTACTTTCTCAGTTGAGCCACTGGCTCAACTTACCCCAGAACTACTATGATGACTTTATTAGTCCTCGAAGCTAAAATGGTGGACTCTTATGCTAGGTTTATGACCTCATTTAGTAGCTCTTAGATACCACAATTGATGAATAAAACAAATTTAAATGATCTTTTTTGATCTGAACATAATTCTAATAAAACTTATGACAGACTAAATTCACTTTCAAGAGTGAAAAATGTATTTTTGGAAATAAATGCCTAAACCCTTCACCCATGTGCTTCTAACCTTCACTGACTCCATGAATTGATGCCCAAAATCTCGTCACATGATCAATTTCTTTTATCATTTCCAAGCAACAGGGGGTGGCTCAATTTACCCCACTCTCCCCTAACTAGCGTTACGCGTATTTGCTGTTTAGTCATCTTATTTTGAAAGGCCAAAGCGGAAACTTCCCGCATCCTGCTGTATCTGACTATAAGCTAGAGGACCTTCTGCTCAATCAAGCTCGCTCGTACCGACGCCATCTCGACAAAAGGGAAGTCAGTCGTTATTTTAGCGACATAAATATTTCAAATAAATAACAATACACTCTGTGGTCACTGGGGCGGTAATTGAACGACGTCTCCGCTACGTTATAACCGTAGCTTGGATAACAGCCCGTATATTCGACGAACAGGAAGAAGACTGTTAGCTTGTGACGTTGCTAGCTAAACCGTCTCCGCCGCGGCAGGAATTTCACAGCCTGTTTATGTTTTGGTCAAATCAGAGACATGTTGGACGGGTACTCGGCACATATCGATGAAGCCAACATTGGCAACGTCGAAAACAACAACCCGGTGTCGCTGCTTTGTGGCGGCGGCAGCAGCGATGGGGTGAACCCGGGCCACCGAGCGAGGCTTAAGAAAGGAGGGAGGAAGCTGCTGCATCAGCAGAAACTCCCGAAGAAGAACGGCCCCAGCCTCCGTCTGTCGGACCACAACAACAACAACAACACTGTCACTGTTTCATCTGCGTGTAGACCAGCAGCTCAGCCCGGTACCGAGCTCCCTGCCGGTACACAGGCGGTACTGAGCCTCCATCATCTCAAACAGGGAGCCAAGAAGGAGGTAACCCTCTCAATAAAGATATACTCTCCTGCTTTATATGCTCGTATTTGCCGTTTGTATAACATAGGGTACCTTTCTGTGAGTCATATAAATAGTTTGAAAACAGTAGCTTTAAAACAGTATGCACTTGCCCACTATTAGTGGTGCAAAATCTCCTGTTTTAACACTACAAGTCCTCTGATATTTGCAAACAAGTGTGTCACCTGCTGTAATCTTCCTCAGCAGACAGAGGAAGACTAGTCTACTTTCGTTTCTTCAGAGCTAGAGTTAGTAACTGCGCCATTTCAGATAACATCCGCATTCATTCACATACAAGAGAACTGCACTGTTTCAGAGGGCTATGGCAAAACTTAAAATTACAACTATGTAGATTAATATTGATGTCATGACTATTAAATATGAGTACGAAAAATATTCACCCATGATTTGACATCTGCATCACAAACATTGAAGTATTTTAAAACCTCTATGAAACTATGAAACGCTTCTATATTTGAAAAACACAATAACTGGTCTGTCAAACTGAAGGGTTTTGTTTTTTTAAAGTCATGTGCACCACTAACAAGAGGGACCAGGAATGGGCATTTTAAGAAAGTCCCTCGATCGATTAATCACATGAAATAACGACCAATCATTGATTAGATCAGTGGTTCTCAACTGGTGGATCCCGGCCCAAAAGTGGGTCGTGGACATGTTCTGGATGGGTCGCGAATAGCTGGTCAAAAAAGTAAATATTTCATGCTTATCTGATGTTTGGCATGTCCTTTTTTTTTTGAAAAATAGCTTATTTTGAAAAGCATATATTGTGTCATGGTCCTCCTGGGTTTCTTATTAATGTGGCCTGAATGCAGTAACTATACATGTTTTTTTATTTTATTTTATTTATTTTTTGGTCTTTATTTTGAGTAATTTGATATTTTCTGTATATGCTACTTCAGTAGTTGTCGTCCTCATGTCGTGCTCTGAAATGCACTTTACTCAATAAAATGGGTGTATTTATGTTAAAGATTAGAGTCTTTAAAGGGTAATTAAAAAATTAGCTCGGTTTGAATTTTATAAAAGTGGGTCGCAACTTAAGGACCATGGGAAAATGTGGGTCCCAGAGTAAGACCAGTTGAGAACCATTGGATTAGATTAGTGCTGGACGATAATTCGATGACAATATATATCGATCGATAGACGTGTGGTGCGATAGAAAAAAAACGGGTCGATAAAAAGTTCGATAGAAAAACACAGTTTCCCTTTCTTTTTCATCATAGCCTATCATGTAGCTTTTACTACAGTCATTACTTCCTCCCAACCAATCACAAACGCAGACCCAGGTACGCTACGGCACCAAGCCCAGCCCCTATCAAACCACAACAGACAGCACGTGTATTAGAAGAAATGATACAGCAAGGAGAAGCGGAGGACATTGTCCCGAAAAAAGGTTTCAGTAGTTCACCAGCATGGCAATGTTTTGGTTTTTAGAAGTCTGACAAAAAGCGAACAGCGGTCGTTTGCAAAATTTGCAGAGAATTAGTAAAAACCAAGTCTGGTAACACAACCAACTTGTTTTACCATCTAAACCGATCGCACCCGCAGGAGTACGAGCTGTGTCGGCCGCGCCGCGGCTCCACGTCGTCGTCGGAGGAATCCTCTGGAACCGCTGCCAGCACCAGCACAAAGCATGTGAAGCAGACCAAACTGGACTTCGTTTCTTGCCAAAATACGACAAAGCGTCCGAGCGGAATAAGGACATCACCCATGCAGTAACATGCTCCATAGCGAGGGACATACTGCCAGTTACTACCGTTGAAAAGCCTGGCTTCCACCAGCTTCTAGCCACTCTCGACCCGCGATATGAAGTGCCCGGCCGCAAGTATTTCTCAAACACAGCGCTTCAGGCATGAAAATGGGTCAGGAGTTGAAAAGGTGAGAAGGGTGCGGAGGAAATACGTTCCGGTGTTGTGCCGTAGAATGCACCCCTGCATCCCGTCCACTCATTAGCTTCTTAAAGTGGAAGAAAATGAGCTCATATTTTACAAAGACGCGAGTATTTGGATCATGGCTACTAGCAGGGGGTGCATTCGGCAGGGGTGCATTCTACAACACAACACTGGCGTGGATAAGTCCTGCTTCTCGTGCTCAGTTTGTGTATTAAGTCAATCACATGATAATTAAAAAAAATAAATCTCCCGACCCCGGGAGAAATATTTCAGTGTTCAGACACCAGGCTGTGGGCAGTTTCCCACACAGTTAAAACTGGTAGTATGCTATTCCCACCTAAAGCTATTCTGTTTATTTATATATTTGTTTGTTTTGTTTATTTTCATCAAAAGACTATTTAAATATTTATCTATCAGATTTTCTGGTCACTTTAGTCTTTATGTTTGTCAGTATTTACTGACGTCACTCAGGCCACTTAAGTTGATTTCTTTTTTTTTTTAGTTCTTTTTTAAAAAACTTTCAGTTGTGGTAAAATAAAAAAGGTGGTTGAATAAAGGTTTGAATTTGAATTCAGTGCTTGTGTGTTCTTTATTAAAAGTAGGTCATTAAGCAATAGCATAAAATAAGGCTGCACAATATTGGAAAAAAATAATATTGCGATTTTTTCAACCCTGCGATATATATTGCGATATTAAAAATACAGTATTTTCACCAGATGACCTGAATAGCACTTAATGTTATGCTGCACTGCTGAAATCTTGAGGACAGTTAATCTGCTCTGATCTTACCTCTTTTTGTGAATGTTAGTAGAACGGCTTCTGTCTGTCTGTCTCAGAGATATTTTTAGCTTTTATTGTGCTGGGACGTTATTGTGGCAACAGGTGAACACAGAAGACGTGTTTTGGTCGACATCATCCTTCTTTTAACCGAAATAATTCCAGATAACTGACTTTCCTTTTCTTTTTGGCAACAAATCTTCATTTTCGGTGGTTTTCGCTTGTTCGTTGCTCATTTTGCGATCGTTGTTGTTGTTGTTAGCGGTGTTGTGCCGAGAAACGCATGTCCTCCGAGAATTGCATGCACCTCGCAAAACGCGCACTGCTTATAGTAGAGTGGTCCACGGAAATGTACAATTTAAAACCCATACAGTTCTTATTTGTTGGGCTTAACAGTCATGAGTAAAGTTCCGAAAGTAATTCTCAGCGGACACACGTCTCCCTCCATGTGCAGAACATGTGCAGGGGTGGGTTTTCTCCTCCCTGATTTTGATTGACAGCTGGCAGGGTAGTCTGATTGGCAACTGAGAAGTGAGTCTGATTGGCAACTGAGTTAAGGACGAAGGCGATTGGTGGATCGCTGCACAGCACATGCAGAGTCACATGGAGTGTTTCTCAGTCGGTTACCCTTGAAATTAAATGAGTTCATTCACCTCCAATATCGCAGGCTCTGCGATGTGACTATCGCGCACACGTACATCGCGATGACGATAGTCAAACGATATATCGTTCAGGCCTAGCATAAAACATCCAGGGCTGCAATTAAAATATATGTTAAATAATTATAATAATTATATCGATAATTATCGATATCGATCAATATGATTTATTTTTTATCGATATGCTTTTTTTCTATATCGTCAAGGCCTAGATTAGATCATTTTAGTGGAAAAAAAGCACAAAAAAAGTATTTTCCTCACTGCAGTTTTTGACTTATCTTTGCAGGACTCGACAGTGCGACCGTTTCACTCGCATTTGCGACTAAAAATAGATGTGTGCGAATTGTAAAATGTATTTTGGGGCGCGTGTGTGCATAAAAAAAATCAGCTACAGCAACAAATAGTTTTTCATCTAAATACCACGGTGAAGTTAGTTTTAGGTTGGAGATTCAACGGACATTCACTGTGGATCTACCAGTGTTTCTCACTCTCCACAACCGGGAATAGCAACAGCAGTGCGGTCAAATCTACTCTGCACCCTCGCTGTCAACGTCAGGTGTTGAATAAGGGACCATCAATAAACTACCGGTTGATGCTCTCAGAAAAGGCTGTTTTCCTTTAATAGCTTCCATGTCATGTGACCAGTTGACCTAAAATTGATTTTCAATAATAGTACTTATGTTGACCAATAAGACACACCTCTTTATTTCCCTAATTTGTCCTCTAAAAAAACTTGTGTAAAATTTAAAGGCAAATTTTGAACATTTTCTTCAATAGCTTCCATGTCATGTGACCAAAAGACTTAAAATTGATTTTCAGTTATAGTACTTAGCGCTTTTATTGATCATATTTTATCACAGGCTGCAGATCAAATCAGTCTGTCCTTCTATGATTTTATATAACGGCCTTTATAATGTTAAGACGTGGAACATAGTCTCTCTCTCTTTAGTCGGGCATTTTGAGCTCATGAGAGCTTGTGCACGCTTGTAATCACCACAGCCGTCCTCTCATCAGGCTTATTTTATATCTTGGATTTTTAGACGCACACGGAAACACACACCTGCTTCCACCTTCTCTTCTCCCTGCTCTCTTCTCTCCTCCTCCTGCTCCTCCCTCTGCTCTCCTCTCTCCACCTGTAGCTGGCTGATAGTTTGTACTGCTGTTGCTCAGTGCATTACAGATACAGTCCACCGTTAATCTTTACCCGAGCTGCAACTTCCTTGTGCTCCTAAACTTCGTTTCACTCTTGATCCGAGCTGCTTCTGTTGAATTGAAAGTGAAAGCTGTTGGAGGGGAGGGGTCTCACCACCAACTCTACTGTCTGCTTTATTCTACATAAATCATGTCATCTTCCCTGAGAAGTTTGAGGCTTCTTAAAATGACGCAGTTGTTCATACATTTATCATCAACAGGCCGAAAAAACCTCTTTAGCATGTTGCTCATTCTTGTTCTGAAGAAACAGAAGTAGACTTGTCTTCCTCTTTTTGCTGGCAGCTGCAGGAGGATGATTGCAGCAGGTTGCACATAGCCGGCACACTTCCTCGTACATGCAGAAGAAAATGAGTCACTAGGTGAAGAAAGGTTCAAAGCCATCTGATTATGGTACATGAGATGATAGAGATTAGCAATAATACTGTGTACTAAAGCTGTCAAAATTTTAAAGCTCGATTTTTTTTTTAAACATAAAGAAACTAGTTACAGCTTTAAAAAATACATTTATGTAATTGATGTATTTTATTTCACTGGATTTATTATGGTTGATTCAAGCAGTAATTGAACCAGTCATCATGCTGCATTAATGATATTTTGTGTCTGTCGTTCAGCTGCTGAAACCTAAAGGAGGCAGATTGGATCGTGGGACCATGCAGCCGGGCGGCCAGCTGTCCCGCAACACGCCCAAACACGATCAGATCTCCCAGAACGGGATCGCCCGCAGCCACAAGCCCAAGCAGGCGCAAAACCCCGTCACTCCTCACTCCACAAAGAAGAAAGACAACAGCACGCCGAGCAAACCCTCATCTCTGCTCCAGCCTCCACTCCGAGAGCAGAAAACACCCCTCCACGCCTCCAACAACGTGAAAATCGTGAACACCACGCCTGCTGAACCCGCACCCGAATTTAAAGATGGTGAGAAAGTCTACGCTGGAGCGAAGTTCAGTGAGCCGCCTTCACCGAGTGTCTTACCCAAACCACCCAGTCATTGGGTCGGTGAAAACAAACCTCAACAAAGCAACCAAAGCCGAGAGCAAATGACTGTTCACCTCAAGTCACTGCTGAAGGTTCAGGATCGATCCTGACCAAAGTCTGAAGGTTTGAATTTGATCCAACATGGAAGCCACACCCAATTGGAAGATATGCATTTAGATAAAAATGAGATTGGCTTTTAATACACTGCAATATAATGTCGAAGGAGTTTACCAACAGTAGTACAATTTTTCATCATCCAACATGCTGCCTGCATTTTTAAGCATTTGAGGGACGACTTGTTTGGACTGGAGATCCGACCACAAGCTGAACATTTCTGCCCGTCTGTGGGCAGAGCATCGGGGCGAAGGGAAGTTTGTTTTTGCGTCAGAATCTGTCTGTGTTTTTTTTTTTTTTTTGTTTTTTTACAAGACGTGAGCAGGAAGAAAACGGCTTTGCAGGAGTCCGGGGTCGTCTCCAGCTGCAACACAATCAGTCTGGCGTTTACAGTTTGTGAAGAGACAAGGACACTTTCTCTGTGAACGTTTTTGAAAAGGCAGCCTCGTGTCGATTAACTTTTTAAAGAGAAGCTAGTTTAAATGTACATAATATATTGTAGACATATATTGATGTATATTTTTCCTTGTTGTTTTAACTGAGATTCTAGTTTTGTTACTGATGTTTTTCCAAGAAAAAGCAAAAGAAAAGAAAAAAGTCCTCCTGCAAACTGAAGCACTTTGTTAAAGCTCCCTCAGCGGATGGCAGAAAAAGACTTTTCTCTCTCTCTCTCACTCTCTCTCTGATTTGCACTGAAATCTTGAAGCAGGGAAGGGCAGGAAACCTCACTCCGATGCTCCAAAGCTTGACCGGCCACTTTGACGAGTTCACCAGCTGAATTGGAGCAAAGCGGAGGACTTCTAGATCCTGGCTGGTTGCGTTTGAAAAAGCGAGTGGCTGAATTTCTTTTCCCTCCCTGAAAACGGGTCCAGCCGGAGAGGATTGGAAAGTTCAATCAGGGACTGTGAGGCTGATGAAGCCTCGGCAAACCTGGAGAGAAGATGTCAATGTGAAACGTCCCACAAGCAGCTGCTGCAGGGAGCCAGAATCCAGACCTGACGCTTTTACTCTGCTCACTTTATTGCACTGACTCAGAATACGTTCACATTAAGCCAGATACACTCGGACAGCATCTTTTTTGTTTTTGAGACTCTCTTAAGAACACTGACTTTTGTTTTTCACGCTGCAAAGTTATTCCACATTAGCTTTATCAAACAGCAGATTTTCTTTTGCGCCCCTTCCTCAAAAAAAATGTCCTGTTCTCTTTTTCTCTGACAGTCGGGATGAAAATCGGCTGCAGACATATAGACACCTGCAGTGTTTTTGTACTTCAAAGAACTTGTTTACCGCAAATCAACTAGAGAAAAGCCTTTTGGCTGCTCAGTTTTGCATAATCAGGTTCAAGATCTGATCAGGAAACAGAAGTTTTCACACACTCCCCATGAATGTACAAACACAGGAGGTGAAATCGCAGTTTTTAAAGACTGTCATTGTAGTTCCTCTGATACTTGTACTTTTTTTGGAGAGTGTGGCTAGAAGGCGAAGAAGACCTGTATCCTCTTGACTTTTTTCTTAATGCCAGTGCAGGTAATCCCTTACATGTAGGTCAGAGAAACAACAACCGGGAAAGTATCTTCAAGCAGAGAAGTTTACACCTACTAGTCCAATCCTTATCAGTGAAGATCTGCAGGTTTTTCTATTTCAAGTCCTTGTGATTGTACCGTAAATTCGTCCAGGTTTCTGACTCGCCCTGCGGATAGAGCAGAAAGTGTAAGGATGAGTGGGGCAGGTTGGTGTTGAACCCAAGCCGTCCACTTGGATGATCAAACGGGGTGCTCTGTTTCACTTTGAAATCATGACCCCAAAACTCTGTTGAATCGGTGCCAGTGAACTCACCTCTGATTCATTTAATGTTTTGCTTTTCAGTCCAAGCTTTTATTTTTCTGCATCGATGAAACTATCACTGATTACTGATACATGTACATTAGTATTCAACTTTATTCCACTTTCCATGAGTGAAATAAAGTCTCCGTAACCTGATTTATGTTTGTTTGAATATTCCAAGCACTGCCATAGATATCACCTTTCTGATATTTGACCTTTTAGATATGCTGATCAGTCGTTTTTTTTTTTTAAAGTTCTGAGTCTTTTGTTGTTTTATGTGACGCTTCACGAGTGCATCTCAGTAAGTCAGCTGACAGCAAAAATCACATATTTTCCATCAGCTAATTAAAGTCGGACTGTGCGCGCTGAAGAGTTTACCCTTACTTGAGGTAAAATATTTTCAGCATTTTCCCGTTCGGGTTTTGATATTTTTGGTCTTCAGTTAAAGGAATTCTGTTTGAGATGCACAAGTAGATCTTTCTGTATGAAGTTGGCCGTATGCGTGTGAACAAACCAACTTCAAAGTCTTTCTAAGTACGCTGTATTCGGCTGTAAATCGATTGCTTTGTGAGCAGGTCAGTAGCTTTTATTCTTGTTTCAGATGAAGGACCAAATCTTGAGTCATTTGGAGCAGTGGGATCTCACACTTTTTTCGCTCTCACCTTCTGTCACTGTCATTTCCGACCTGGTGCAGTTTCTGGTACTGTAAAGCTGCACTTGTTTGAACTTGAAAGTGTTTTGATTTTCTTCTCTAAACTACAACGAGGCTGGAGAAAGAAAAATCTAGAAGAATCGCGAGCCCAGCTTTGATTTAGGTGGATCAAATCGGAGTCTCATTTCAGCTGGAATTCAATTTTAGCATTTCGCTCACACCAATCAGACAGCTTCAAAATGGCATGATCATTGGACAGAAATAAACATATAGAGAAATAAACATAAACGTTTTCCTGTTGGACATCAGAGGTTTTACTGAGTGGAAACAGGTGGAATAAGAGATCCAACTGTTTGATGTTTCAGGTGTTTTGATTTTGGATGCAGATCTTTATCGAAGCAAATATTTTGTAAACTGATTTCTTAAAACTTTGGCTCTATGTGAACGTAGTCTCACCGTGTCTGTACATTACTTTTCTCAAAGGGGACGTAACCTCACACAGCTTAACTTCACATACCTCTTTCTTCCTTTCTTTACCTGTTAATTTGAGGCACAGCATTAACGTATTCCAGGAGTACAGTATGTGTTGAATTTGGCACAAGTGATCTTGTGACTGCAGAATGTACCATGTATGTGTTTCTGTTTTTTATTTGTGTGCTTTCTGTGGATGCAGGCAGCTGCTCGATATCGTTTCTTGGCCTCAGTGACGTCATGTTGATGGAAAGTTGTATTACTGTGGGAAAAACTGTCCATTTTATTGCAGTGTTTTAAAATTGATTCATTCCAGTTATAAAAATGTCATTAACAGCTCACTTCCCCCCAAGATAATTTGGAAAAAAAAGAAGTTTGTTTTATGAAGCGTTTCATATCTAAATTAAAAATTGAATAAAACATTGGATACCCCGAATATGTCTCGCTTGTTTATTTATTTTCAAGATAACTTATTCTCCTAATATTAGGACTTTATCGAGAGGTAATAATTGTTACAATACAGCCTTGCTCTAAGCACCACTTTATTATCCTGAGTAAATGACTTTGCTACAACTTTGTTCTTGTGAGAAAATCACCAAGAATATTTTTTATCTTGAAAACAAATGAAAACCTTGAGAAAATATTAACGTCTCAAATAATCCATTGTAATTCATTTCTAGTATTTTTTGTTGTTATTTTTGTGTCCTCATCTTAAAATAAATTTGTTTTCTCAAAAGCTGAAGAATAAACTGAAAAAAGCAATATAGTGGAATTAACAAAATCAAGTTATAATTCTCATTTTAAATGTCTTGTTTAGTTTAAGGAAATAAAAGTTATAATTTATAAATTTACACAAATTAATAAATAGATTACAGATTACAAAAATGTGAGAAAGACGGTGAAGTTAGGGCAAAACTTGCAAATTAGCAAAATTAAAGTTGTAGATTTACTTAATAAACATTACAAATTTATGAAGAAGATTTTTTTCAAAAATAGCCTTGTGTAAATTTACAAGAATTATGGTAATTTTAAGAGATTAGAGTTCTTCATGAACAAGATTATAATTTCCGGATAACAAAAATATAATTTTACAAGAAAGAAAGTTGTTACACAGTGTAATCCAAATGTAAAACAGTTTCTGACCTTTAACAAAACATATACACTTACTATAGCCTCAAAGTTTTACTTATTTTGTCACAGTATCAAAACTTTATTCTCATGAATATTTTGCTTTATTCCCAAAATCTCAGCTCTTTTTCTCCCATAACACAGCCTTTAAACTTAATCGTACAACCAGACTCCTTTGACAAAAACAGTAATTTACCCTCATGAAAGAAGGATAGATGGGTCAACCCTTGTAGATGCATTGGCACTATGATTTGCTGTGCAATCAGTGGTACATTTTATGGGGTCCAAGATGAAGGTCTACAGCTGTCACATTATCAAACATGTCAGAAGAAGGGCATACTGATGTGTTAATATACTGTGTAAATGTAAAACTAGCTATCACCGTTACTTTTACAACACTGGCAGTTTTGAATCAGTCTTGGGTCTCTGTGTTTCTTTCAGTGATACAAAACTGCACATCAGCAAACCTGTCAGCAGAGGGCAACAGAGTCAAAAACTTGGACTTAATGTCTCAGACTTTGCTAAGTGTTTTATGTTTGGCATGTTGCTAATTATAAAATTTGAAGTCTACATGTATCTGTATCAGGGTCTAGTCATTAATAAGGGTCTAATAAGGGTCTGGGCTTCTCCTCTGGTTACCTCTTTAGGTTAACAAAGATATAGTTCTGCAGTTCAAGGAAGAAAATGTATGATTACTACCTCATGGAAATACAGTCTGAGTTCTTGTGTATCTTGCATTTACATATAAATAATGCATAAACATTTTCTTCCTTGAGCTCTGGAACTCTGCTGCACTCAGTGATTGACTGGTCAGGGCTCCCCCACAAACAAGTGGCTGCTGGAGGAGAGTGGGTGAGTTGTGTTTGGTCTCTTTGTCATAGAAACCAGGAAATTGATTTGAAGCGATTAGACTGGGATGTACGTATTTTTTGTCTTGTGTGATTATATTTTATTTCATGGGACTTTATTTTATGTATATAATGTTTATATGATTAGTTTTTGTGTATTCATGTGTTCAACAAAGAGAAAATACAAAACAGGATGACCTTCAAACAAACTGGAGCACGTGAGGAAAAAATGTTTAATTGTAACTTCATGGTCCTGGCATTTGAACACAGCTCAGTTCATTTTCTTTTTTAGTTTTTCAGATAAAGTGAGCCCAAACCTCCCTACGGTTTTATGTAGGTATCAGAACGGTTTGGTGAGCGGCTCTCTGCCTAATGTCTAAAAAAAAATAGGCACCAACAAATCTCAGACCAGTTGCATATCATCAACTAATCCAATAGACATTAAGGTTTTAGGTCTGGTGGATGAGAAAAGTCCCTGGTCTGTTTCCAGTAAGCTTTTATCTAAAGGAAGAGAGAGCTATTTCTTAATATTTATCTTCACTAATAATCTGCATACCTTCAACTTCGGCCGCTAACTCTTAAAGGCAAAGTTGTGGGTGAACATCATCACCAAGAGGGGAGGACTTCACAGCATCTCTGCTCTGCTTCAATGACCTTTCAGACTCATCACACCGAGTACAAACTCAGACACAACTCACTGCAGTGTGGAGTGACAGTCGATAACAGAGTGCAGCAGCTTCCCTTCAGACCTTGGGTGTGAACATGATTCCTCTTTTTGAGTCACTTTAGACGAAAGTAAAGTCAGTGTCATCCACATAACAGATAACACTCATGTACCATGCCTACACAGATTTGCCCCATTGGGGAGCATGTATATAGTGAATAAAAGGGGATCCAAGATAGACCCCTGGGGGACTCCACATTAGAAAGAAGAACACGAGGGAGTAGAGGTTTAGAGAGGCTATTTAAGCTGCAGCATCAATTCATGCACCAACATGGCTTTTATATTGACCCATGAGTTTTCTGCATTTTTATGGACTCAGCAGAAGAAGGGAAGTTAAAATGCCTGCTGGAGTCTGATGTTTTCCACTCAACAGGGTCCATAAAGTTTGTTGTTGTTGTTTTTGTAAGATTGTGGTTTAAAACACACTGAACACTCTGTTTCAGGTGAGAACAAAGGAACAGTGCCAACAGATTCATCAGCACTAACTGAGGATGTCATAAAGGCAGGCACTGACAGCATATAATACGATTTTCTGCCCTTTTTTTAACTTGACTGGCTGGTTACAGAAAAAAAAAACATTAGAAAAGAGAAGAGAGGGAACGTGATGTTAAAAAAAAACTGTTGATAACCTGCGCCCTGCAAAGATACAAGTGCAGCTCAGAAAGTTGTGATGTCCCAAAAAAGTTGACCAAAATATTAAAATTATTATTCTTGTTTATTTTCCAGCCCAGTGGAGGTTCATCATCATTTCCGTGGGTTTATCAGCTCTCTTCATAACCGTTTGTGACTGTCTACATTTGGACCAGAACCAAAGGTGAGGATGTCAAAAGATTAAACTCATGGAAAACAATTTTTTTTTAAACCTGCATTTTTTTTATGTGGAAGCTAAAGTGGACTTCATCTTTCTTTTTTTAGTGAAAAAATTACAAAGGGAGGAAAATACTGTGAGATTTCCTTAATGTCAGACAGTGGTGTGAGCTTTGTGTTGCAGATGCATAAACACACATTCTCAATTTGCAGGTTGTTTAGGACAAACTGCTGAATGATCAAATTTGGTGTATTCAGTTTTAGTGGCTATATACTTCTTATTATGCGCTTAAATATAAACCACTGACTGGCTAGGGCTCAGAGGAAATAGAGTGGCATCTAAAAGTTGGTTTACTCAGGTGGGGGATGGTCATGATCATGAAAAAGAGGATGCAGTGAACAAGGAAATGATGACATCTTCAGCAGAGGAACAAACATCTTGTCCGACAACAGGAATAAAGAGCTAATGTTTAGCACAAGTCCTTGCAATCTCTCTCACTGAGACTGATTTTATTCAAAAAAGTGACAAATACACTGTTGTAACCTGAAAATGCACAGAAATATAAGATACAGCTGACCACATTTGCAAATTTAAAGGAACATGAATACATGTTTTACATCCAATAACATCTTTGATAGCATCTTTATAAAGTTTGACTGCATGTTTGCTTCTGAACATCACTATATCCTGTTTCTCAGTCTAAAGAGGAAAAAAGTACATTATTGCGACATCCATCTTCACCTACAATCATCACAACTTTATCTTTCAGGCATCAGCTTGAGGGATGGGACCTGAAAGTACATCTATAGATATCTGTTTTCCAAATTACACAATCTGAAGGGGGAGAAAAACATGATAACACACATAAATCTTAACCTGAATCTGAACTTTCCAAAATGTTCACACCGACGTGACTGTTGGCTCGGTGCTTAGGTTTTGGCATTTGAACACAGCTCAGTTCATTTTCTTTTTTAGTTTTTAAGATAAAGTGAGCCCAAACCTCCCTACGGTTTTATGTAGGTATCAGAACGGTTTGGTGAGCGGCTCTCTGCCTAATGTCTTAAAAAAAAATAGGCACCAACAAATCTCAGACCAGTTGCATATCATCAACTAATCCAGTAGACATTAGGGTTTTAGGTCTGGTGGATGAGAAAAGTCCCTGGTCTGTTTCCACTAAGCTTTTATCTAAAGGAAGAGAGAGCTATTTCTAAATATTCATCTTCACTAATAATCTGCATACCTTCAACTTCGGCCACTAACTCTTTATTTTCCGGAGGTGAAATGTCAGCAAAATATGAAGATACAGATAAGAGCGTCAACTTTTGACTGTGTGTTACCAGTGGGAGGTTGATGCAGCATAGCTCTGAGAAAGCTCACCGTGAGACACACTCACTTCAGACCTCGACGGTAGACAGAGAGAGACAGAGGATCAGGATGGGCCGGTTTAGAAATGTTCAGGTGTTTTTATTTCTTACAGTGCTGGGTCAGCTCACAGGTAAGATTATTTATGTCATATTTAAAAATTAAAGACATGATGCGTTGAATAGAATAATGAACAAAGTAAGCATTTTCTGATTTTCATTCCTTTGTAGCAGGACAAAACCAGCCCCACTACTTCACTGTCCAAGCTGGAGATGAAGTTGTGTTGCCCTGTAAGAACATGATCAACACTCAGCACAAGTGCAACAGCGCAGTATGGATCTATGACAGTTACAGAAATACAGAGGCAATAGCGTTAGTCAAAGATGGGCAGATTATTGAACAGCACAAGGACAGACTGAATCTCACAGACGACTGTTCCCTGCTCATTAAGAAAGTCGACCTGGTAGACACCGGCCGATATGACTGTAAAAAGTTCATATCAGAACATCAACTCGGTCCAGGCACAGAGGTCCATCTTTCTGTGGCTGCCTGTAAGTATCTACATTAGGGCTGTTGCAGGGAGGAAACTGGTGGTTAAGGGTGGTGCAATAACACGGTATGCAGCTTTATCAATGCAGAGGTCTGTTTGTCTTTAAATAGTTCATCATTGCTGTAACTTTTGATTTACTGTCAAGGTGATGATTTGTCAAATCATGTAACTTGAGCAAGATTACAGCCTCATGAATTTGATCTCTGGATTTTAGGGATGTAATGTTTGAATTTTAGCTTTTACTAGACTTGGATCGTGGGACCCTCTCTTTGGATCCTCGAAATGTAGTACCTTGGTATTTCATTTTTGTGGTTACTGCAGCAACCCTAATCTATATCCTCCTTCTCAGCTCCAACTGTTTATTTAGAATAACTCATTAACAAAGATGTGGACGTATTTTCTTGTTGTCTCACTCTCATCATATCACCATCTCCACCAGTAACCACTCTTAAGGGCCCAATTCTCCACTGCGGTTTGCTCTCACCTGAAGTCTGTAGCTACACTGTGAGGTGGCTGTATGTGGGTGAATATGTGGATGAAGCCCTCGAGACTATAAGATCATCACCATTCGGCGAAGGCTGCCTCACCTCCTCTGAATTAAGTCCTTCCTTCACCAACTCTTCAGACCCTAACCTACTCATATGTGAAGTCACAAACGGTTTCACTGGAAAAGTTCAATATTTTAACCAAGAGTCCACAGGTGAGTGTTTTATGAATACAACAAGTATTTTAGCTGTATTCTTTTATTAGTTTTTAAAGTTCTTCATGGTCTTGGTCCTTCTTATTTGTCTGATTTGCTTTTACCGTATGAGCCTAGTAGAGCCCTCAGGTCTTCAGGTGGTTGTTGTAACTAAAACATATGGTGAATCATCGTTCCAACATCACAGTCCCCATCTGTGGAGCAGCCAACCTGCAGACCTGAGAGCGACATCTACCGTTTATATTTTAAAAACTAAACCGACCTTTTTAGTCTGACTTTTAGTTGAATTTTGGTTTTAATCTTTTAATCTGCATTACATGATTTTACCCTATTTTTGTCCTACAGTAATTATTTTGTGTTTAATTAACCCTTTTATAATTTACTTTCTGTTATTGTTTAATTTTAAAACTGTTTAATTCAATTAACCTTTAACGCTGTATTGCCTTTATTATATTTTATTATGGTTTTATCGATTTAGTCCTAGATCCAGTGTTTCCTCATTTTTTAAACTCAAGATAGCATTTCCTCAGTCATCTGTGGCAAGTTGAAGAGTCCTCACCTGGTCTTTTGTGTGTGTGAGCGTGTGAGTGCTCGATGTGTCGAATGGGGGTTGGCTGGGTAGGTCGCTGCACGAATGGACAGCACTTTGTGTTACATTCTATGTATGAAAAGTGCCTTAAAAATAAAGTTTGATTGATTGACTGATTGATCAAAGACAAAAAAAAAAGTAAAAAATGAACAGGGATTTTTTTCCACAAGAATGAAGTCATATTTAAAGACATTAATTTGGTCAGCAATGGTGGATTTTATTGGAATCTCTGACAAAAGTGTGAACCAGATCAGCCTGTAGAAAACGCAATTGCAGTTTCAACCTCTAGTGGGCAGCAGCTGAGGCATATTCCTAACACAACACGAGAATTTTAAGATTTTGTGAGCAGATGTTGACACCATAGACTGTATATACTATGGACAACTTGGTTCTGCCTTCCCCCAGTATATAGATTTGAAGCCAAGAAGCTCTTGGTAATGCCACGTTTTCTCTCCCTTTCCTGAAACCAACATTGCACAGTTGCGTCGTACGCACTCCAGTAGCTACGCAACCTTGTACGCCCATAGGCTGTATCAAGTGTCAATCATAGAAAAGATGAACCCCCTGATAACTTTGAAAAATGGAGCTGCATAGAAAAAAGAGGACTTGAGCACAAAACAGTCTTACAATAACTACATGTCAACATTGCAACCAGGGGGGAGAAAAATGTATGTTCTGTGTAATTAATTTCTAAAGTTTGTCTACAGCCCCATAAGCTTTGCTGGCGGGAGATTTATGACCTATACTGCAGCCTGTCACCAGAGGGTGCTGTTCTTGGAGTGGCTCCCCCCAGCAAGGAGGCAGACGACATCCATTCTATATACAGTCTATGGTTGACACACAGACAATATACAGATCAACACTACTATTAAATCCCGACATGAATTGTTGTTTAGCTGAAAATAGTGGTCTGGGGGTTAAGTTACACTTAACGAACAATTTAACGAGACTTTTCCCATTTCTCATTTTGTGCAGATGGCTGGCTGCTCACCGTAAACCAAAACTTTATTACAACTTTATTCTCCTAACATTTTAAACGTTTCTCATAACTTTGATCTCATAACATTAGACTTTATTTTCTTCTGACTTGATTCTCATGAGAAATGGCTTGGAAAAAACTTTATATTCTGGAATGTGGCCCTAATAATCGTAAGAGAGCATGTTCAGATAAAACTGGATTGAACAGAAAATAACTCACTAAGAGAAAGAATTATAACCATATTGTATAAATGTGTGTTTTTGTGTGTTATTCACTGAACTGCAGCAAATACAGAAGCTGTCCTCTACACTGCTGTGGATGGAGATAACGTCACTTTGTCTTGTGGCAGTGTGACTGAAGATCATCATAATTGTAATGATATGACATGGACCTACACCGGATCAGAACAAAAAACAGCAGAGCTGGTTAAACTCGGGCAGGTTGGTGAAAATACTGGATCCAAATCAGACAGACTGGGTGTAACAGCGAATTGCTCTCTGGTTGTAAAGAAGGTCAGAGACGAGGATGTTGGACGTTACATCTGTCATCAGAACAACTCAGGACAAGGACCAGCTCGGTTCAGTCTGGTCTATCTGTCTGTGGTTACCAGTGAGTATTAGAGCATAACTTTTCAGTGGGCTTTCTACGTAGAGACCCACTTTGGAGTTAGTTTGTCTCTTTTTTGCTTTCAGTGGCTGAGCAAAGAAACAATGGGAGTACAACTTTGATCTGCTCCGTGTCCTCATATGGAAAGTGCATGCGCAGAGTCACCTGGCTGTTCGAGGACAAGGTTTTGAGCGAACATCACCAAGGCCGGCTGACTCCACAGCATCCCTGCTTTGTCTCAGCGACCTTTCAGACTCACCAAACCATCTACAAACTCAGACACCAGTCACTGCAGTGTGGAGTGACTATTGATGAAAACATGCTGCTATTTCCTTTCAGAGTCCAGGCCCCTACAGAGAAATTAGGTGAGAAGATAACACCTCGATTAAAGTCACCACTAAGCAAAGTTAATAGATTTACAAATTTGTGGTTTTAAAATCATTAAAATGCTCCATTGAGCTGTCATCTGTTTCAGGTGAGGACAAAAGAACTGAGCAAACTGAATCAACAGCACCAAGTGAGAGCAGCATTAAAACAGGTAATAACAGCGGCCTCATTGTCTTCTTATCGACGGGCACAGGCTCCCAGTTTCTGTTGGATTTAAGGTCCTTACACACTGGGAACCACACAAATATACTATGCGGAATTACGAAATATTCAGAGGAGAATTTTGATGCGTCTTACTATACACATCAAGCGCAATGCGATTTTGTGTTTGGACACACCTTCTCATTCAATGTCTTTTCTTTGTTTTTTTTATATGACTACTTACATTGTAGATTATCACTGAAGGCATCAAAACTATGAATGAACACGTGCAGAATTTTGTAGAAGTGTGAAATAACTGAGAACATGTTTTATATTCTAGTTTCTTTAAAATAGCCACCCTTTGCTCTTGATAACAGAAGTACTTAGTCACGAAGTAACCCTGACAAGGCACACCTGTGAAGTAAAAACCATTTCAGGTGACTACCTCATGAAGCTCATTGAGAGAACAGCAAAAGTTTGCAGCGCTATCAAAAAAGCAAAGGGTGGCTACTTTGAGGAATCTAAAATGTAAGACATGTTTTCAGTTATTTCACACTTTTTTCTTAATTCCACGTGTTCATTCACAGTTTTGATGCCCTCAGTGAGAATCTACTATTTAATTAGTAATGAGAATAAAGAAAATGCATTGAATGAGAAGGTGTGTCCAAACTTTTGGCCTGTTCTGTATCTGAACAGGTTAGCTTATGAGCTAAAGTTACTTAGCACAGATGAAAGTTAAAACAAAAACGTTTAGCAAACTGTTAAAGCACACAAACTATTGTCATATGAGAAATCTGACGCTATGACTCTCCACAAGTTGTCCTTCAGGTCGTCATCTTTGTAATATTTGTTTTTTATCAAAAAGCACTCTGTTCTCTGACACGTAAACAATTACCCGGTCGGCCATGTTGGATATACCAGTGAATCTGACGTTGCAACAACACGAAATCTGATTGGTCAGAAGTGGACACTCAGTATGCGAAACTTTAGAAAATTTGACTGTGATACCTAAAAAATAAATGCCGTAATATCGCAGGATTGGAAAATGTTGCTGATGTGAACGCTTGTGTTGACAGGATTCGTGTTCGAAAAAAAATATTGACGTCCGAAATAATCACACGAAAAAAATGCTCCCGGTGTGAAAGGACCTTTACTCTGGTTTCTCAAAAGGTCCCTGACATGATGTTACATCTACATATGCTACTTGGTGTTAAAGGGATATTCCGGCGTAAAATTAATTTACGGTCAAACACACCATAACACAGAGTTAGACACCCCCTTGAGACATGAATGTTGCCGACCGCTTGCTTCTCTAGTTATACCAACTAGAGTAACAACCGCAGATTGCAATACACAGCAGTCTGAAGAGCCATAAACAAACCTCAACCAAAAAGCCACTCTGTAGCCACAAATAATGCCCAGAACAGCACCTAACTTCATCAACAGTACATATAGGGTCCCAGCCAGAGCACTAGCCATCAAACATCTTTTTTAGCTTTGCCTGGTGTCTTTAGCAAAGAGACTAAACACAACTCACCTACTCTCCTCCAGCAGCCGCTTGTTGGTAGCAACCTCAGGTTAGTCCATTACGGACTACAGCGGGGTGATGCAGCTCAAGGAAGAACATTTATGTTCATTTTTTCATGGAAATGCAATCAGACGGAGACACTAAGGCAGAAGAACTACTGTGTCTGCAGTGCAAAATGATTAATATGGTGATTATTACTTCAAGGAAATGATAAAGTAATGACATTTCTTGCCTTTCAGTCCATTTGAGGTACATTATCGTGACTGTGGGCTTATCAGCTCTCATCATTATTGTTGTGATGGTCAACATTTGGACCAAAACTAAAGGTGGGATTCAAGTTTTTATCAACATGGATTTGTCAATGAAAACGTTAGGTGACTCTTTTTTTTACTGTTTTTATCTTGTTTGTTTCAGTGAAAAAATCACAGAGGAAAGAAAATCAGGTGGGTTTTTTTGTTTTTAAACACAAAACAAGCTAATATGATAGACAATCACAAGTAGGTATACACAGGTGCAGTACAAAAATTATGAAGTCCCTAAAAAGTTAATATTTCCCATAATCTAATCTAATGAGTGAACCTCCCATTTATCCCAGATATATCACACACAAAGTGAAAATTTGAAGACTGTTTTTGTTTGAATCTTGATGATTTTGGCTCACAGAAGTCAAAAATCCACTATCTTCAAACATTTATATATTGGGGAAAAGTCCAGTTTCTTGTTAGTTCCTTCAGTCTGTAAAGGAGCTTGAATCAGCTCTGAACACCTGTCTGTGATAATTTGAGGTGCCATGTCATCTGCTGCTGCTGTTGGTCTTTATCAAGTCCAGAGTCAACACCACCTGAGGTCTATCAGGAGGTTTGCGAGACCTTAAAGGGACATTCTGTCATGAAATTAAGTTAGGGTCAAACACACCGAAACACTGAGTAAAAGACACCCCGTCGAGAGATGACTGTTGCCGACCGCTTGCTTCTCTAGTTATACCATCTTTAGTAACGACGGCAGATAGCAATACAGAGAGCTACGTGCTCAACCAAAAAGCCACTCTATAGCCACAAATAATGCTCAGAACTGCACCTAACTTCATCAACAGTATATATGGTCCCACCCATAGCACTAGCCACCAAACATCTTTTTAGCTTAGCCTAATTTCTTTAGCAAAGAGACTAAACACAACTCACTGTTTAACTTGGTGTTACAATGTGTTTGACCCTAACTTAACTTTACGCCAGGCTATTCCTTTAATGCTTCCATCTGCTGAGGTGATTTATAGAGATACAGACTTCCTTTTCCAGCTGCACCTGGACCCTGCCCACAGCGCCAAAGATACCAGAAACTGGTTAGCTTAGGAATCCTGTAGACTCTACAGGGTTCAGGTCACTAGAGCAACAGTACAGACGAGCTGAAGGAGCTATCAGAGAGACTTGGACTTCAGTAAGACCCCAACAGAGACAGACTGATCAGCTCCATGACACGTCACACTGACGCAGGAATTCATGATCAAATGATTGAATGTGATGAGTTAAGTATGTGAACATCAACATAACTGAGAAGGACCTAAAGTTGACTACTGTTGTGTTTGTGTTTACTCCCTCAGGTGGGGGGTGGTGGTGATAATGAAGATGCTGTGAATGATGAAAACATCAGATCTTCTGCGCTGGAATGATCAACAGCAAGCTGATGTTTGATGGGACTTTTTGTAGTCAAAATCCACCTGAAAATTTGACAGAAATGTGTCTGAGATAACCTGTAAACAAAGAGGAGTTATATTTCTGCGGTGTAAGATACATTAGATCATCTTTGAGGACTTATAACTGTAAATACATATTATTCTTTCAATAATGCTTTTCATTCCATTTAATTTTTGACTGCATGTTTGCCTTTAAACGTTGCTTTTTTTCCTGTTTTGAGGATTGTGTTCATGTTTATTAAAGTTGTTTTACTTGTACTAAGGTGTAACTGAGGCCTGCTGTTTCTCTCTTTTGAATCATGAGTTTCAGTCATGTGACTTTTTGTCATGGCTGCCATATTTGGGAACTTAGCTAAAACAACACTATTCGAATAATATGATTTCTGATTTTAGGGACTTATTTACTTCCAGGTTAACGACAAACTCCTTGCCTGAAATTTGAAAAATGCGTCTTTTCCTGCTATCTTGATCCCATCCAACCTGTATCATCTTCACTGCAACCAATGTCAACATCATCATTATTATCAAGCCATTATCCTCAGAGCTTGGTTTAAAACTTTTCTCAGAAGTAGAGGGGAACAATTTCAGGTGTGGTTGGGTAACTCAGTGTGTAGATGTTCTCTGAGGAGCTGAGTCTTAAGGGTTTTTCTTAAAGGTACAAATGGACTCTGGGGATCGGATGGAGAGGACAGAGTCCATCTGCAGAGGTTTGGATCTGCACACATGGTGACCTGCCAGTAAGGAGTTGCAGTTGACGTGTGATATTACAAGAAGGGATGATGTTATATAGAGGGTAAATCTGCATGACCAAAGAATCCATGTGAACCATGAAGGCGAGCCAATCATAAAACCCAGATTCTGAGTAGACTTCGTGGGCCTGAGTTTGTTCATTCCAATAGGTCCAACTCTGCTTTAATTTCAAGAAACTCTGGCTCCAGCGATCGCCTCAGTTTAAGTGTACATTAGAAATTTTCCTTGACTATTTTCTTCCGTAAACTTGACTTTGAGTTGCATCCCAAAACAAATTGACTTTATGATAGCAAAGAGCTAAACATCTTCTCAGAGGAGCTTGCACTTAAACCAAGATGAGGGCTTTTGTTAGGATCTCTCCAAATTAGACAAATCCGCTGTCCACTGTCTGTAGCAGTTTCTCATTTAAGGGGCCAAAGCAACCAGCAACCATTGAGTTTGATATACTTACAGTGACATGAAACTCACACAACATCACCTAAAAGTACTGAAATATCCCTTTTAACTGTATTAGCTATTCTTACAACCAAGTTTTATTCTTGTAAAATTTAGTGAAGCACAAGAGAAGATGTAGTAGATTAACTGATAGCATTGTAGCCCAGCATGACCAGCTGCCCTGAATGTAAATGAGCTTCATGTACATTCTTATCAGCTGTCAGACATCTAAATTAGCATATATGAGGTTGTACGTTCACATTCAAACTTAGTCATTTACCATAAGTACTTCTATTCCTTCCTTTCAATTATTTTAGTTCTCATAAGAGCCTCTTCCAAGAAAAGGAGAAGTGACTCAAAGTTTATCCTGACTGACATACTTGTGAAAGTCTGACAAACTTTGCAAACCTAAAATGGTGTCAGTGACAAAAACTTGTGATCAGGGTGACTTTCATAGCAGATAAGAAGAGGAACAAAAAAAGCTGATTTTGTGTACTTAAGGGCAACAAGTGTGAACATTCTCTTCATAGTGTGGCAGAAGCAACAAGGAAGTCCCTTTTTATTCATATGGGGAAGTAGTTGAACAGTTTACTTCAAGAAATGCCATCAAGCAGAAGGAACAGAGAGACAAGGGTGATGGGTGAATTTAAACATATTCAGATGTTTTTACTGTGGATCCTGGTGCTTCGGTTTGCAGGTAAGGAGAAACACACAAGACACCTTTGGGTTGAATTATCCTCAAGGAGTCACTGAAAGTCATTCTTGTATTTCAGCCTCAGAAACAGGACTGTCTACCCCCATGTACAACGTCAGACTCGGCGACAACGTGACTATGGCTTGTGAAAATGTAATAAAAGGTCACCACAAATGTAACAGTACAACCTGGGCTTTCAGCAGAGGAAGAGACCCCAAAGTGGAGCTGGTTAAACTCGGGAAGATTAATGCTGAATCAAACAGGCTGAGTGTCACAGAGGGCTGTTTTCTGCGTATAAGGAAGGTCAGAGAGGAGGATGTTGGTCGTTACTACTGTCAGCAGTATGTATCAGGAAAAAAACAAGGTCTAGATGCCGAGGTTCACCTGGCTGTTGTGACCAGTGAGTGCAAAACTGTAAAACTTTTCCTTAACTTAAATTTTGTTTATGCAGTTGATTTTACTCTTTGTTGTGTTTCTCACAATGTTTCAATCTTCAACAGTGACTGAAGAGAAAAAGGGTGATGAGGTGACGCTACGCTGCTCTGTGTGGACACATGGACGGTGTAAGCATGGAGTCAGGTGGCTGTTTGAGCTTGACGATGTTAAGAAACAAAATCAAGGTGCAAGGACATTCGAGTCTCCTTGCAATGGCAATGTGACCTTTGACATTTATAGTTTCATGTACAAATCAAGACATGACTTATTGGACTGTGAAGTTACTTACGGTAACAGAGGGCAGCTGATTCCCTTCAGACTTCAGCCCTCAGATCAGAATACAAGTAAGAATTTCACCTCTCTATATTAAAAGTAGATTTAAATATTTCAGAAAAGAACGCTCAGTTTGTAGAAAGACTTAACATTGTTTCATGGTTTGTTCATCTGTTGAGGTGGAGGGTCAACAACATCAATAACTGAATCATCAACACCGACTGAAAAGACTGAAACAACAGGAAAAGACATAAACTCTGCAGCGGAGGAGTCATCAAAACTAACAGGTATTTTATGTATGTTTATATTCTCCTAAATACGACCAAAGTCATGCAGTTCAGTTATCTACCATCTGTGAGCTCGATGTAGCACCCCCTACAGTTAGAAAGACTTTTTTTTTGGAGGTGGTGTCTTTGTGATGCCACAAATTGAGCCAATGAAAAAAGTGCCAAAAACCGCAGTACCTCGTGTTGCCACTTTAGGCTGTCTCCAAAAGTGAGTCCAACTGCACAATGTCCTTTATTCTACTGGAGCTTTAAACATGTTACTACAGCAACAACAACATATTTCATTGTGCACACAAGATGATCAGTTACCCTATCAAGTTCCCATGTGATTTATTTTTGCACACACAGTTGCTTGTTCTATCAGGATAATTATCTTCTGTCTATAAGATTTTATTTTTTCTCAGACAAGATATTTATCTAACTCCCACAAGCCCAATTTTTCCACAGAGGATAACAATTTGTTCTTGCAGGTTTATAATCTTGTGTGCATAATCAAGAAAACTTATTCTTATGAGAAATTACCTTACACACACAAGTTACAATCTTGTACAAACAAGATAATTATCCTCTGTGCACAAGGTTATAGCTTGTTCCAACATGAACATAGTCTTGTGAGTGGAAGATTAAATCTTTTTTTCATAAGATAATCATTTTAAGCCCATATTTTGTTGTTCCTACAAGATAGTAACCTTGTAGGAACATACCACGGTAACTGTACATACCACGGTATACTATATTTACCGCTAAAAGATAACTATTGTGTATAATATAATAACTTGTTTTCATAGGATAATGTTTTTGTGTGCATAACAGAATATCTTGTTTTCGTAATATATTAATCTTGTTTAAAAAGATAGAAGTTTATTCTGATAAAATCTGTTAAGCACAAGATTAAAACTTTTCTCCACAACAATGCTGCCTTGTGGGTGAAACGTAAACTGAAACTTATTTTCCTGAGATAATCACCCTGTTACAACAAGATTGGTATCTTGTTCTCACAAGATTGTCAAATTGTGCAACAAAAAATAAATTGTTCTGACAAGATAACAAATTTTAGCCTGAAGTAACCTGTTGCTTCAAGACAGTTATCCTGTGGGCATTGAAGAATAATTTCTTACCGCAAGATAATTACCTTGTGAGACTGTAAGTATTTCAAAGGGATACTAAACTTTACAGACAAAATTACTTGATGCTATACTCACAAGATAAATGTGTTCAGTATATAGAATGGTATTTATTCCGACAAGATCTGCAAAATTTATGAGGGCATTTTTCCTTTAGCAGCAGGATACAGAGCAAAAAATAAAAATCTGACACCACAATGTTATAATAATACCTGCTTCACCTTTTCAGATTGGCTCTGGTTGTTTGTCACCGTACCTTTGGTGGTTCTGCTCTTACTCACAGTCACTGTTGTCATTGTCATCAAAAGGAGGAGAACCAAAGGTAAGAGCTGGAATAAAAAATCTTACAACGAATCTGGATAAAACTTGGTGTCAGTTTCTTTGAGTAGCAAAATATTGTTTCTTTTTCTTTTTAGGACAAAGGAGGCAAAGGAATGATGGTGTAAGTTATCAGTTACCTTCTCTATGTGACCCAGCTGAACATAGGAGCCTCCACTGATAACATGTGCACTGTGGTTTCTATCTAGGGGCAGACCTCAAACGTCACAGAGGCTAGGTCTGACACGGTAAGTTCTTACAGCTCCTTGTGTTTGTTAGCATTGGAGAGAGAGTAATCTTGAAAGTGTTTACTGAGAAAAGTGTGGCAACTTACAGAGGTCTTCAGAGTTCAAGACAGAGAAAGAGGAAGGTAGATAATACATGTGGTGTAAAAGCCAGAAGTCTGAGTTCCAAAGAACATCAAAATCCACTACAGCTTGTGGAGACATTGCATAAAAACTCAAAACCTGATCTTTTTGGTAGGAGAGCAAGACCTGAAACCGGAGCTGGCCCAAGCCATTTTTTGCATGTATGAGCAATGCTTTCTGTATGATCAAATATATATTATTGTCAAAATAAAATAAAAAAGGTTTAAGTGCTGCTGCTGATGTAGGCCTATGATCCCATATGCCAAATCTCTGCCACCGTTATGTGCCTTCTGCTGTGCAATATGCACTGAGCATCCGAAGTGCAGGTAGTTGTGGGGCAAAACAATGTCACAAAAAGGGCATGTCCTTCAGGGGCAGAGAAAAGAAAGCAAAAGAAAGAGGAAGAAGAAAAAAAACGCCAAGATAAAGGTATGTTTGCATGTCACAGAATGTTAAAGAGATTTGTGAAGGTGTGTGAACGATCAACATTCAATAATACTGGTAGATTTAGAGGGCCCCAAATTCAAATTTTGCTTAGGGCCCCATTGAGGCTTGGGCTGGCTCTGCCTGAAACTGTTCCTGTGCTCAAAGCAGAAATATGACTGTACACGTGAATGAGCAGCAGTTTGTTGTCTGTGTCTGTGTAGGCTAATCCTGAAGATGGTGTTTCCTACGCCTCTGTCAGCTACACCAGGGGGACCAACAGCGAAGCCCAGGTAAAGCTAGTCACCAGTCTGCATGTTTGACCACCTTGTGCCATCTGTGCAATATAGACATGACCAGTCCATCTGCATGTTGTGGCCCCGCCCCTTTTTAGGGAGCAAGCAGGCCATCTGAATTGACTGGCAGCAGATGAAGACTCTGGTGTCTTTGGATGTCTCGTAGCTTAAGATAAATGAAAACTTAAATGGCTGTTGAGAACATCAGTCGGATGGCCTCTGAAGGAAACACATACATTGTGTCAGCAAAACACTTTCTGGTAGTTTTGGCACTGTGGGCAGGTGTCAGGTCCTGCTGAAAAAGGAAACCTGTAAAATAACTCTATTTGTACATCATATACTTTGTTCCATCACACTTGGTTATTCTTGTGTTGTTAGTACTCTGTAAAGCACATAAATATTTGTACTTCTCCACATTTATGATTTGTACCTTAATGATGTCTCTTTTTTTTGTAATGTGCTTTTTTTCAGGGTAAAAATGGAGATGAAGTGACCTACTCGACTGTGAAAGTGTCCTCCACTGATCCTAGCAACCTCTACGCCTCTATTAATTAACCAAACAAGCAGAACTTTTTACTTATCTCCTTTGATACCTTTTAATCTTTGGAGAATAAATTCATAGTTCAAGAAGATAAACAATTTTTTGACTTGGTTAAAGCGAGTGGCACAGCTTAAATCGAAATGAGTGGGAAGAACTTAAATGTTCTTGTTTGTTTTTTTAAGTTATTTTCTGTCTTTATGTTTTCACCTGTCCTAGTTTTCATATTAAGTATTTTTTTATAACTTATTTCTTATCTTATTTAGTTTTTTACACCCTGAAACTGTTAAGAGCTGTAATGTAAGATGATTTTGGGCAGCAGTGATTGGTTTTGTGCTTTTTATGTTCTATGAATACTTGTTAAGTTAAAGTGTTAGACTTCATTATATGTGAGTTGGCCGTGTTCCAGTTACAAGTTGAAAGCCATTTTCTCTTATTTGTTGTTGGCATTGTGAGCTAATACTGGAGGATAACCCCCTCACTGCAGCAGTGTGACAACATATCCAACAACAGAGGTTTTCCTTATTTTTTTTTTACACAATTTATTCTGGGGATAGTTTTTTCTTGCCCCTTTTGGACCCCAAATCACATGTTATTGCTCTTAATAGGCCATTTGAATAGAAGAAACACTACTTTTTGTATGGCAACAGTGGAGGAGGATTCTTAAGTGCTGGGTTACAGAGCTTCTGAGAGGTCTTCAAGAGACTTATTTGGATGGAATTAGTTGTGTGTTAGTTGTAAGTCATGTAAAGCTACTACAAAGTCATTAAAAGGACAAGAAAAAACGTGAAAAAACATTACACCCCCTCTTTAAAGCTCCTATGAGAAACTTTTAGTTAGTGTCAATTCTGTGCACCCTCTGTTGACAAAGTGGTCTTTGTTTAACTTGTCCTCTACATGCATAAGAAGTTATTTTTAACATAAAAAGACTCATCCTGCTGACCTTTGGCAGTAAAATAAATTATTCATTGTGAATATATTATTCAGAAATATTAAAAAGGTTGCTGTTGCTATTTCTCAGCTGACACTTGTGTTCTTGTACTAGTATTTGTCATTGAAAATTAGTACATGAGAATCTTCAGTCTTGTCACTGATGGTGTTGTTGGTGTTTGAATACTATGAGGTGGCATCAGTATGAATTTTAGTCTAAAATGTCAAAAAAATTCTATTGTGAGCTTTAGGAAGAATCGATGTATAAAGTACATATGTAGTTAAGCAAGGAAAGGTGACAAAGCCCCGTTCATTAACTAATGGCCTTTAACCTTCCTCCTGTGTTGGCTTTTACAACGTACCCACCATGTTAAGTGTCGGTTTTGACCCGTGTCTTAAATCAGCTTAAATCATCCAGTTTGGTTCTCATCTCTAGGTTACCTTGTTAGGCTTCATTATCCATGAAAATATTGCTTGTAATAGTTTTTGTTGTGGTCCTCTGGGCCTTTCTTTGTCAGTATATACCTCATACAGACATCCATACTGAATTGATCTCACGTGTCTGGACATGCCTGATGTTGTTTTTGTGCAGGGAAATACATGGCAAAATGAGAATTTCACAAAATCAATTTCACATGATTGGAAGAGGGTCTGACTGTCAGTGTGGTGCCTGACAGTAGACTTATGATTTCAGTTTTTGCTCTGATTATTAGATATTATATAACATTTACAATAAGAGAAATATAAAAAGGCAATTAGTGAAAAGCCTGGTTAAAAAGGTGACTTTTGAGCCTCTTCTTAAAAACATCAACAGTCTCTGCGGCCCTGAGGCTCTCCGGCAGGCTGCTCCACAACCAGGGGCCATTGAATTGAAACTGAAAGCTGCCTCTCTGTGTGTTTTTGTTTTGACTTTGGGTAAGGTTAAAAGGCCTGTGCCGGAGGGCCTCAGGGTCCGCAAGTGTTGATATGATCAAAGTAAGTCAGATAAATAGGAGGGGCCAAAACCATTAATACATCTAAAACCAATGAAAGAACCTTAAAATCAATCCTGAACCGGGCGGGGAGCCAATGCGGCGATGCTAAAACTGGGGTCATATTGAACTAATCAGGTCAACAGCAACCCTAACACGTCAAGTGCCATAATTTGAATAAGAGCATTTTATAATTCAGTCAATTTATTTTTTTGTTTTAATTTAGTTGAAATGGAGGTTCCTGACAAGGTCTAAAAATCTTGACGCAAAAAAAGCTAATTTAAGTGGTTCTTCAACGCATTTAAAATCCAACATGGGTAGGTGCAGACCCTAACACAGAAGGAGGGTTAAAAATGTTGTTTTCATGGACTTTCTGGGACACACAATCCAAAAGCTTTGTTTCTATGTCGTTGCCGTAACTGGTCGTTTACACCCCAGTCCAGCAGGTGGCGGTTAAGCGCTTTTACGTTTGTTCACTGACCTTTAGAGAAGAGCGAAAAGCAGGAAGTACCCACCCCTTGACCCAGAATTGGTTACCGTCGGTGTGATGTTGGACCGTCTGAGGATTTGGAGCTGATTTTTTCCTTTTTTAGAGGATACATTTTCACCCCTTATTTTAGTAACTGATCCTTAACCGGCTGCCTGAGTGAAGGAGAGCTGCTCGGTGAGTAAAAACCCGAACAAATGTACAGAAGAAGAAGCTTAAAGGTGACGCTAGCTCAGGTGTCAGGTGTCTGTAGCGGCTGTAAACAGCAGAGCTCCTCTTCATCTGTGACCCTCCTCATTATCACAGCCTGCTGGAGAGGATTTTGTCCTGCTGTTTGAGGGTTTTTACTGGAAACAGGAATACAACACGTACTTACGCTTCTCTGGTGCCTTCGTTTACCTCAGATCGTAGCTAGCTAGCATATGAATGTGGTTAATTATCATTATTATTGTTCTGGAAAATGGCTGTAAAACACAAATAATGACACTGGAGTTATAAACCTGATGCAGCTAAAGCTAAGGAAAAAAAATCCAGATTTGAGGCTGTTTTACTTTTCAGATCTGGTTTGTATCTTAGGAAATATCATGAAAAACTTCTTAATCCGGAGTTTTATCAGAATATTGAAACTTTGATGCTCTGCATATTGAAATAGATGTACAAGGAAATAAATCGAGGATTTTTTGTTTGATTTGTTTTGATTATTTTGGCGTGTAACTCACACAATAAGAAATTCAACATCTGACACAAATGTGATATTTTTATTTTCCGTCAGTCAGTCCTGCAGTCACTTATGTTGACAGTCACAAACTATTTTAAATACTGAAATTGAGATATTCTGGTAATTTTGGTCATTTATACACTCTATATTTGGTTATTTTATTGCTTTAATCATCTCTTTGCTGTGTTTCTATTTATTTTATCTGCTGCTTTATGTTATTGATTTTCCTTTTAGTGCCTTTTTTATTGGCTCCTTACTCTTTAAAGTACCAACTAGAGTAATAACACAGGATAGCAATACACAGAGCCACACGCTCAACCAAAACACCACTCTGTAGCCACAAATAATGCTCAGAACAGCATCTAACTTCATCAACAGTACATATAGAGTCCTAGCCATAGTGCTAGCCACCAAACATCTTTTTAACTTGGCTGATTTCTTTAGCAAAGAGACTAAACACAACTCACCTACTTTCTTCCAGCAGCAGCTTGTTTGTAGCCATACCTCGGGCCAGTCCATTACAGGCTGCTGCGGGGTGACGCAGTTCAAGGAAGAACATTTATGATCATTTCTTCATCATTCCCTTAAAGTAATAATCACTGTATTAATCATTTTGCACTGCAGACGTGGTAGTTCTTCTGCCTTAGCGTCTCGCTCTGATTGCATTTCCATGATCATAAATGTTCTTTCTTGAGCGTCACCCCATTGCACTTGGTGGACTCGCCCTGAGGTCTCCATACAAACAAGCAGCTGCTGAAGGAGAGTGGATGAGTTGTCTTTAGTCTCTTTGCTAAAGAAATTAAGCAAAGTTAAAAAGATGTTTGGTGTCTAGTACTATGGCTGGGACCCTATATGTACTTTTTATGAAGTTAGGTGCTGTTCTGAGCATTATTTGTGGCTATAGAGTGGCGTTTTGGTTGAGTGCGTGGCTCTCTGTATTGCTATCATGCGGTCGTTTCTAAAGTTGGTATAACTAGAGAAGCAAGCGGTCGGCAACATTCATCTCTTGACAGGGATGTCTAACTTGGTGTTACGGTGTGTTTGACCCTAAATTAATTTCACACCGGAATATCCCTTTAAGGTCTCAGTTCAGATGCCTCTTACAGGTTCTGATGCTGTCTCGTGATGGTATCAGATATATCGTTCAGGTCTTACTCTAGAGGGAAACACGAGCTGCTACAAGTCTTGACGTGAATATTGGAGGCGCTCTCCATGCTGTGAGCTGCCTCTGCTTTTCCTCAATGTCTGGTTTGTTTACCTACATGTAGATGTGACTCTGGCAGCTGTCCATCATGAGTAACAGCCACCCTTTGCGTCCCCTGGCCTCCGTGTCGGAGATCGACCACATCCACCTGCTGTCGGAGCAGCTGGGAGCCCTTGTGCTTGGAGAAGAGTACAGCGATGTCACCTTCATCGTTGAGGGGAAGCGCTTCCCTGCGCACAGGGTCATCCTGGCGGCTCGCTGTCACTACTTCAGGTACATGTCTGAACGTGGTCTTCCTGTTATTTGTTTAACTTTTGTCAGACTTAAGACTTCTGCTGTAAGCTTTAAACTTTAAACACATCCTCTCAGGACAACTTAAGAGCCACACAAACTTAACTGTAAGAATAACAAGGGTGAGGAGTCACTTTAGAGCTCAATGCCAGCTTTTTATTGACACCCTATTCAAACACAAAGTTAAGTTTCATCCACACTATTGACAAAATCTTCAATGTGATTGTTTCTCTGTAGTGTTTCAGGGCTGCTGTTAGGTAGCAGACACAGCCTAAAGCTAAACAGGAGTTTCTATCGTGGTGGTCTGGTTCAGGATATCCTCCAGCTGCTGATAAAAACCCTCTTTTTGCTCCTCAGGGCTCTACTGTACGGTGGGATGAAAGAATCCCAGCCACAGGCAGAGGTGTGCCTCGAGGAGACACGAGCCGAAGCCTTCTCCATGCTGCTACACTACCTGTACACGGGCCGGGCCAGCCTCAGCTCTGCCCGGGAAGAGGTGCTGCTGGACTTCCTGGGTCTGGCTCACCGTTACGGCCTCCAGCCACTGGAAGACTCCACTTCTGAGTTTCTGCGTACTATCCTGCACACCAACAACGTCTGCTTGGTTTTTGACGTGGCCAGTTTGTACTCTCTGAGCACGCTCAGTGCGGCCTGCTGTGCTTACATGGATAGACACGCACCAGAAGTGTTGAACTCTGACGGCTTCCTCATGCTCTCCAAGGTAGGACGGCGCAGAGGAAGCTTCAATTTCCTCTTATCTAACCTTGGCCTGTTGAAGCGGTCTCTAAAACAATGTCAGCTTTTAAGTCTCAAACCTGACACAAATATGACAAAGTTTATTTCTACCTTTCTACACTGTACCTTTAAATTAAAGCAGGTCCTTCAATTTCAGGTTGATGAGGAGGTGTTTTTTAGATTCTCTGTAAGGCGGTTTTTACTGTGAATTTTAGTGTTTGAGCTGGAAAGAGCAAGTCTGTTTAACATTCAGCTGTTTTCCTAACAAAGGCTGACAGTGTTTGTGAGCTGGCTAATCCAGCTCAATGATCTTCCATTGACAGCTCAGCCCCTCTTCCTTTAAAAGCTAAGCCTAATTACTGATATATGTATATTTGTTATTTAATGCTAAAGCTGCTTTTCTTTTACTGCTGATCTGAACCTCGACGCTCACATCATGACAGCTTCTTAAAACGAACTTTGGTCGATCACTTCAACTGTTACTTTATAAAAAAGTTTCACTCATTTAAAAGTGAAACCCTCTCAGGTTAGAGAAAACACTTCTTTACACTTGAGGTGGGAGATGTAAGTTTTGGTGCAAAAGATTTAATGACTTAAAACTGTGACTACAGACGGCGCTGTTGACCGTGGTCAGGCGGGACTCGTTTGCTGCCACTGAGAAGGAGATCTTTCAGGCTTTGAGTCGTTGGTGTCGGCAGCACGTAGACGGGACTGACACGAAGGAGGTGATGGGGGCGGTGCGGCTGCCGCTCATGACTCTGACAGAGATGCTGAACGTGGTGCGACCATCCGGCCTGCTGAGCCCGGACGACCTGCTGGACGCCATCAAGACCCGGTCCGAGAGCCGCAACATGGACCTGAACTACAGGGGCATGCTCAGTCAGTGCATTGTATTTCTTCTTCTTGCTTTTATTCCTGTCATGAAGTCTGTTCCTATACATAAAGTTCTTCTTCTTGGGTTTCAGTCCCAGAGGAGAACATCGCCACAATGAAGTACGGTGCTCAGGTGGTGAAAGGAGAGCTGAAGTCGGCACTGCTGGACGGAGACACCCAGAATTACGACCTGGACCACGGCTTCTCCAGACATCCCATTGAAGAGGACGGTCGAGCTGGGATCCAAGTCAAACTGGGCCAGTCGTCCATTATCAACCACATCCGCCTGCTGCTGTGGGACAGAGACAGTCGGTAAGAAAAAGAAGAAGAAGAAGAGGAAAAACTTCATCCTGATCAGTTTTGGCTGCAGTGTTGCTAAGCTTCATTTGCTGTATACTTTGCTGAGAGTAGGCATGTGCCGATATGAAAATTTGATATCACGATATTGGTGGCCCAAAATATCATGATTCACGATATTATCACGATACAAGCGCATTGCTTTAAACGTTATTAAAAACGGCTAAAAAGTGGAAATCACTTCTCTGTGCACAGCATGACGAGCACAAACAATATGAGCAAGAAGCAGCTAACGTGGCGTTGGAACCATTAGCTTTTTGGAGCTAAAGTTAGCAGAAACGTCTCTAACATTGTCAATAATAAGCTGTAGAGTAGACCAAACTTGTTGTGGTCATGTTGTTTTTACCTTGATTTGGGCGAGTGATGCTGGATGGTGTTCACGGAGGTGGGCACGTAGGTTTGAAGTGTTAGACAACGGTGCTGCAACTTCCTTATAGCATAACCTGCAGATTGGTGTCAGGTTTACCTGCTCCGTCTGTTTTGTGAAGCCGTAAAACGTCCATACTGTCAACGAAACCTTTTTAAAAGGAGGATACAGCCGAGGCGTTTCGTCATCCTCAGTCTCCACTGTTCTTGGTCCGGTGTTATGCCATAGAATGCACCCCTGCCGTTGAATGCACCCCTGACGGAAGCGCGGTTGAAAGTATATAACAAGGCGAAATAATCCAAGTTTTCCTTACTGTTGAGTGGATTCAAAAGTGTGTGCCTTAAATGATTTCATTCAGACTATACTCGTGTTTCTAAAATATCAGCTCATATCTCCTCCACTTTAAGAAGCTAATGAGTGGATGGGATGCATTGTGGACACACTCCAACAGTGCTTTAAGTGGCTGCAATACATTGTGGGTGGCCACGCATTTTGTTGTAAAATTTCTTCATTTTCTCTTTTGATGTTTCCGTTTTTGTTTGGCTGGCATTAATGTACTTAATTCAAGAGTCTTTTTGGATTTGGGACTACTTTTGTGGTGGTTTGTTTGTACATTTTGCTACCGAGGCTTTGACACCGTGGGTAAGACTACAAGCGGGTTAGGTTGATAAGTACTCGGCTTCGCTCACCTCCGCTAAGTGATGCTGCATTATAATTGTGGAGCGATTTTAACAGTACCTTACGATTTCATAATCGTGGCCGTTTAATATCGCATATCGCGATTAAATCGTGTATCGGCACATCCCTAGCTGAGAGTATTTTTTTTAATAGTTGTTGCATTTTTCCTATAAAGGTTTTGTTTCTGCACATATTGAACAATAACAGCACTGATATAAACTTCTCATCTCAGGTCCTACTCCTACTACATCGAGGTGTCTATGGACGAGCTGGACTGGGTGCGTGTCGTGGACCATTCGAAGTATCTCTGCCGCTCCTGGCAGAATCTGTACTTCACACCACGAGTCTGCAGGTAAAGCCAGCCTCACCTTCACGTCCTGTGCTCACTTGTAGTTGCACCTCTTCGGTGTTGCCGCAGATTGTGTCGGCACTAAAGAGACTTAACAAATCTGACAAAGAGAACTCATCTCTGCTCTGTGCTGGGACTTGCCTTGACCAGGTGTACACAACAATTACAGCAATCTGAAGCTCTTGATCTTCGCTTGATGTGGGTTATAATCTCAGTGTTTACCAACTTCACTGATGTTTGCTTGGCAGAGGACAGACAATAACACTACACCTCTGAAAAGCTGTGTTGACAGATAATTTCCACCAATTTGACCTTTATTTGGTGTACTTACACCCTCACTTACTTGTAGTTTTGAAGAAGTGTTGATTTAACTCTATGGTTGCTATAAGGATTGTAATAATGGTGCGTTTCCATAAAGGAGTCTGGTTCGGTGAAGTACTTAAATAACAGACCTGGACCGTCCTATGAATTTGGCGCCCTCCTGTTGGGGTACCAAGCATATTGAATCATATCTCTCCTAACCTGACTTTATTAAATCTGTGCATTAAGACTCTGTCTTGTGCTGGTTTTTATTCTTTTAAGGAAATGCTTTCATAGTTTACCTGCAGCCAAAGGAAGTTACTTATTTTACCAGATACCTGCCCTGGCTTGAACTTCAAAATAAAAGCGTTACATGAAAACAAGGAGGGGGGGTTCTCTCTGCAGAAACGAAGATCAGGCTTTAAGGAACTACAATCATATTTTTCCCGCATGTGACATACTACCTTCGTACCTCTGTAGCTCGTCAAACAGGCTGTAAATCCAGCAGGTCCAAAGACTGTGACCTCCGTGTCCGTCTTCTCCCGGTTGTTTAAACTTTGGATTGCCTCTGTTTGGTTTTTCATGTCCATGGTGTCTCTCGTGGTGTCACAGGTACGTTCGCATCGTGGGAACACACAACACAGTGAACAAAGTCTTCCACCTCGTGGCGTTTGAGTGCATGTTCACCAACCGTCCATTCACGCTGGAAAATGGACTTCTGGGTGAGTTACAGGAACCGAATTGTGAAATCGCTCTTTCCTTTTTATTGTTGAAAGTTTTAAAAAACAGATCATTTACTCACAAAACAGCATTTTTGACCTCATCTTTAACCCTTTATCTGCAGTCCCTAATGAGAATGTGGCAACCATCGCGGCCTGTGCCAGCGTCATCGAGGGCGTGAGCCGCAGCAGAAATGCCTTGCTCAACGGCGACACACGCAACTACGACTGGGACTCAGGCTACACCTGCCATCAGCTGGGCTCCGGAGCCATCGTCATCCAGCTCGCTCAGCCGTACTCCATCAGCTCTTTGAGGTAAATCTGAATCCTGTCAAGTGCAGCTGTAATTATTTTGACTGTTTGAGTTAATAACCCACTAATTATTCAGTTATGGAGCTGATACTGCAGATTTAACTCCTATTTTTTAATAAGGTAAGAGGTAAGATTTTAAAACCTGATTCACAACAAAGTTTGGATTTTTGTCAGAGGCTGATGAAATTATTCTTTCATTTTAGATTTAAAATCACGTCATTCTGTGATAAATTCCAGTCTGATGGTGCAGAAAACCCAAAAGCTATTTTGGGGGCAAAAAGGACAAGGCTGATAAACCAACACTGCATTGAAAATAGACTTGCCTCTGTAGTGGAAATCTATTTATACATGTCTGAATGCCATTTGCACCTGTAATATACCTACCTCTTGCTAAATCTCTACGCATCTTGCTAAATGCCTTATTTACTGAATTTGAACCCATCATGCTGATCCCCAGTACTCAGATTTCAGAGTATTTCCACAATCATGGTTTTAACCCCCCAGAATTTTGAGCACAGCATGGACTCAATCATCTCCATAAACTATTTTCTGTGAATACCGTTTGTCACCACATCCACAAATGCAGGTTAAATCTGTGCCACGGCAAGATGACTCAAAGCAGTGTTCATGACTCCCCCCACAAAATTATGAAGCAAACTTGACACAGATTAAAGAAATCATGGAAGCCACATCCTCCACTCTAAAGAGGAAAAGGACCACAAGCTTGTTCTCAGTTTCCAGTCCAAATCCATCGTACCTGATGGTTCGGGGATCATCAGAGTCCATGTCATGGCTAGCTTCCACATCTGTGAAGGCTCCATTCATGCTGAACAACATCTACAGGTTTAGGAGCAACATCTGCTGCCATCTCGACAATGACATTTCAGGGAAGACCTTCATATTTCAGTAAGACAACGACAAACCACATTCTGCAGGGATTACAACAGCATGGCTCTGTAGTAGAAGAGTCCTGCTGATAAACCGACCTACCCGTAGTCCTGACTTGTGACCTACATTAAAAGTGTTAAGCAGTTAAAGCGATCATCTAGATGTTTTCAAAATAACCTCCAGAGAAAACGTGACGAGACTCTTTGGCAAACACGTCGCTGGTTTAATGACAACGCATCAAGTATTTGCAAACCATCAAACTCTGTTTTTATTAAATTTTACTCAGTGTCCCAACTTTTACAAGTTTTAGGTCTTTACAAAGAAGATATTTAATTGTGTTTCATGAAAGAAGCTTGTGTGCAGAGATTAAAAACCTGATTTTGAGATGTCTCTGTGAAAAAAAAAGAAACAGGAACATAGAGTTTATTATCATCTGTTTCATTTCCTTCACCTGTTCAGGCTGCTACTGTGGGACTGTGACGAACGCTCCTACAGTTACTACATTGAAGTCTCCTCCAACCAGCAGCAGTGGACGAAGGTGGTGGACCGCACCAGGGTGGCATGTCGGTAAGAAGCCGAAATGAAAATATCAGAAACCCCTTTGAATGCGCTGCAAAACACTTCTGAAACAGGAATCATCTTTTTCCAACAGATCATGGCAGACGTTGAAGTTTGATAAGCAGCCTGCTTCCTTCATTCGAATCGTTGGGACTCACAACACAGCTAATGAGGTGAAAACAAGCTTCATCTTGTATCTTCATACAGATTTGAAGTTTTCTGTCTGTGTCACAAACTATCTCAATAAAAAGAGAAAAAAGAAAAGACTTGGGAGAAGTCGGGCTAACTGATACCTCTCAGAGGGTGGAGGCCTTGTTCCTATTTATATCAGTTAGAGCTCTTGCATCCTCTCACACTCAAAGACACTTAAAAGGTGACGTTAATTAAGCCAGTGAGAGTTCAGGAGGGGCATTTGGATTAGGTCTTAGCGTTAACGCTCCCTCTCTCTGCTCCGTCCTCAGGTGTTCCACTGTGTTCACTTCGAGTGTCCCGCCCAGCTCGACACGGAGGTGAGCGAAGGCAGCCCGGGCCTGGACTCCTCAGACTCAGGGTCCACCACCCAGCAGCCACGACCCCAGCGACCATCCCGCACACACAGCCTGCTGCCCTCCTCCCAGCCCTCGTCCTCCTCATCCTCTTCCTCACAGTCCCATCACTGAGAGAGGAAGGGGGGGCCTCAGAATGCCATTTTGCACAGCCTTCCTCATCCAGACTGCACTGCTACTACGCTGCTGAAAGCGTCTCATTGTCATAACTCATGGTCCGTCTGTCATAAGTGCAACATTAGAGCCTGGGGTATCTGTAGCAGCATTTAGGGCTCCAGTCTTCCCAGTTTTGAGACAGAAAGTTAGCTACTACATCCACTGGCTTGTACACTTTTGTGAAGGTACTTTTTAGCTACTCAGACTCCGGGTTTTCTCCTTATAAAAATCTTTAAAGTGGAATCTTGACTCCTCCAAAGACGAGGCACACACTGAGCTGGGGTTATGCTGTACCACCAAAGAGCAGTAAGACCAGGGTAGGTGGGTGGGTGGGTGGGTGGGAGGGGGGGTTGCTATCTCAATTTTACAAGTTACTATTTGGAGAAGAGAAGGATTTTATCTGAACACAAGCTATTTTTTTAAGAAACTGACAAAATGTGACGCTACTCACTTTTCATACCATCAAGCTAACAGAGTAGCGGTCAGATATTTTTCAAAGTTTGGAATTGACTTCTTCAAACGTTTGCCAAAGCTGTGGAGCTAATGCTTTCTGTGGTGTTTGTATGCAACTTGCACTTAATCCTATTATGCATTTGCATATTAAGTGATAGCTGTTTGTCGACAGGATTTCACACCCCGACAGCCAAATTCAGCGGTCCTTCTCTGGTGTGACAAAACACGTACCTCAAGAAAAGCTACTTTGAATCTAAACTTTGATTAAATTAGGGTCTTAATTTAGCATTTGATGCACTTGCATAGCTTAGCACAACTGATTTGGGCAACTGAGAAGAAAATAACGCTAAGAGGCTCGGACCAAATTCTGTATGCACTCTGAGCTGCAGGGAAGAAAGTTCTATATAGTAAAAATACACACGAGCAGCTGCTATTGGCACTTTATCTTACTCAAGTACTCAGAAATAACGGCTGCAGCTTGGGTCTATGACTGAAGTACAGAACTGAAGTGCTGGATTTGGTAACTTTCTGTTTGTTTGATGAATTAACTGCAACACCTCGCTCTGTGCTTTGGGTTCAAGCTGTCTTTTTTTTTGTGTGTGTTTTTTTTTTTGTTGTTTTTTTTGGAGGTTGTTTTAAATTAAGCTATCAGTGCTGTGGTTCTTGTTTGTTCTCCTTTGTGTCCAGATGTTGCACTTTTAAGTTGTTTGTCTTGAAAATCTCCTTTAATTTGAAAAGTCTCCCGAGTCCCCCGGGTGACCCACTGATGTTTCTCTAAGCCTTCTTTAGTCATCCTCATTCACATTTTACTGACGTTAGAGTAGTTAGATAGTTTGATAAAGTCTTCCTCAATAATTAACCAGAGAGTTAAAATAGGGCTTTAGTCGGGTTACATTGTAGAGTAGAGGACACTCTCCCCATCCCTCCTTTTTCCCTCTTAAATGTGTATAGTTTGACTTAATATATATTAGTTTTGACCATTGATGTGTGATTGCATTTCACTGCCTCCTGTTCGATACATTGCCTGTCAAAAATGTGATGATGGAAACCAGTGACGTTGTTTGTTAATGTTCATCACTGAGAGGGGTCACACCCGTGTCTGCTTGCCTGATTCGCTCACAGCGCAGGTCTTTGATACAAGCAATACAGTGATGTCTACCTTCTGTTTGTGTCTCCAGAGCTTCTGTTACAGGCCCCGGTGTGGCGATAAACCAGTACACATGCATTCATCATGGTCCAGACACAGATGTCCTACCAGCTTTTTAGATATATCTGTGGTCTAATATTGTTTAAAGAGCTGTTTGGTTGTTCAGGGAAAAAAAATTGCAGTGTTTTCGAACGGCAAAAAAAGAATTTTCAGTGAGGATAGTGGGACATAGAGTAATACAGAGGTGATGGGGATAAGCCTCACCTTTTATAAGACTAGACTTGCTCTTTATTTAGACAACATTGACTTTTGTAGTAGTTTCAAGAGACTAACAATAGAACTGTACAGATGAAAGAGAGTAGACCATTTCTCTATGAAACTGATCAGTCTTGTTGCTGATCCATGCTGTATGGTTAAGGAGGCCGTATAAAGAAACCAGCCTTATTAGTCTGTTTTAGAGCTAGCAAAACTCATCGAAGTTGCCTTACACCAACAACTAACCATTTACAGAATGTATCTGTACTTAAGTTTGCTTTACTAAATCTTTCAAATGACTCAGATACCAAATAGTGGAGACCACATTTGAGCTAAACGTACAGCCGCTATCAAACGTTGGTCCAAAGAGTTGCCTAACCTGACAGATTTTAATACTGTAAGAGTAGATAGACACTACATGTACAAAACTATCCACAAAAAAAGCCAAAAACTGATTATATATCTATTATTTTGCTGTTTTTAAGAGATATAAATGCATCAATGCCAGTATTTGGTTTTTATTTGTCCTGACTCCAGGTTATTTTACCTAGTGAGAGTAATGAAATAACCCAGCCTTGCCTGCTACTATAACTAATCCAGAATAATCATTTTAAAATTAGCATTTTGTAAACAATTTTGAGGGTGTAACTTAACCTTACAACACATGAGCAGGTTTTAAACAAATGTTTGCCCACTATTAGATAATTCTGGTCATCTGTTAAATTGGTACTGTTGTAATTTATGCCATTACACATTCAAATGTCATTTTTGACCCTATTATAGTTGTATTATAGTCTTTTTCTGTCATCAGATAAACATGGTTATTGTAAGGCCAATGATCAAAGCCAGACAATCCTTCACAAATCAGCTTTTGGGCTTAATTTAAGTTAAAACCCCCACTGTAATGAGCTACTTTTCTTATTTATAAAGGATTTTACAATGTTTGGGGTATTTCTTCGCTACTTTCAGGCACTGTTTCGCCTTCATTTCGTTGGGCAATATTGACATTTCTGGTTTGATGGACGCGTTTCCGGCCCTGCATACTCCGCACAAGCGACGTGTAAATGGGGGTGGTGAGGAACCGTTGAGAGGGGAAGCTTAAGCAGAGGGTGTTTGTTTTCTCGTTTTCGGGCTCTTTTGTCATCTTAAACATTTCAGGTTTGTATTCCATCAACATTTTTTAGATAAGTGGTACGATTTTAAGCTCGGACGTGTCGAGTGAAGCTCCGGGACTCCCCCCTCTTTCTGTCCGTCGATAGTAACGTCCGAACGTCCAGCTGATTGCTTTGAGTACCGTTCAATTATTCCAGTTCAAACTGAGCCGTTTTGTTTGACTTATCGGGAGGCTTTCACAGCCGAAAAGGACCGAATTTGCCTTCTTTTTCACCGACTTGTGGACTCTTAACACAAAGGGGACATTAAATTTTTGTTCGGAACTTGAATGCCGGATCGTTTTTCCTCACGAAAGGACCAGGCCCCGGACTCATCCCCAGCCTCGCTTTTTCATATCGGTTTTTGTTGGAAGTCATGGGAGACACCAGTGAACGAAGCAAACCTCCGAGTCTACCTCCGCGGTGTCCCTGCGGATTTTGGGGGTAAGATTCAGCTTTAATACACACTTTAACAAACCCACTGTCTTAATCTCACAGTGAAATACTGATAAAATACGCTGAACGGGTTCAACTAGTCCAAACCTATTGTTGTTGTCCTGTTGTAACGTTACAGGCCGAGGGTGGGGGGTTGGGAAGTTAGCTAATAAATAAACCTCCTAGCCTGAAAAGTGGCTGTATTTTTACTCTTTTCTTACATTTCAAACCCCCTGTTGTCATGTCAAGCCCTGGCTGTTATGTTGAACCGTGTTTTATCGTGTTTTTAAGACGTTTTAACAGCCAGGAGGTGACGTACCCGAGATACAACATGATTTATTGCCAGCAGGTTCCTTTTAAAGCAGCCCTGTTTTTCCTGAATCACCTCGAAGGAAATCGACTATAAACCATTAAAATATCACTTTGGTTCAATCCTCAGGCGAAACAGTGTAAGTTAAGCAGTTTTAGGCTCATTTTACACCCTTTTTACATTCGGTCTTGTCAAGTGGTGGATGTGTGTTGCATACCGGATGTGATTCACTGATGTCTCCAGTCTTACCCCACAGGATCCTTTTTTACATTTATTTAAAGTCCCTGGGAGGATCTTTTAGACCTGTACACGAAACTGATAAAAAAAAAATCACAGCTGTGCCTTTTTATTATCTAGAAAAGCAAACAAGACCGTCAGCAACAAGCCTGTCAGTCTCTGTCCTGTAATTTGAAATGCCTGAAACAGTTGCGAAGGGGGGTAGGTGTCAGATAAGACTATTTACAGCACACAGGAGAAACAGCCTTTTTATTTAACCGTTTACACCACCTTTATTCACTGTAGGTGATACTTTTAACTGTCGAAAGAGAGTTAATCTGTCAGAAAACACAACCAGTCTCTTTGCCTAGAGGGGGAGCCAGCATTTACAGAAAAATAAAGATCCTCACATCAGCTTTAGATCCTTTATTTGATGCTGCAACTATAAAAATATGAAGAGATATGTGGGGAGGCATGTGCAAGAGTGACTTCCAGAAAACAAGTGAGATGATTAGGAGAAATATGATGTCATGATGTCAAATATAACTCTGGGGACTGTCTTATGTTGTTTGCATCAAAGTATTTAAACTTAGTGTAGCTGCAGTTTATGTTTAAATGTCCTGTAATCTGATATTATAGTATTAGGCTCAAGTGTGAGCAGACAGCAGAGGTGAAAAGGTAGTTTTTACCATGGCGCCTAACAGGTTAACATATACAATGTGCAAAGATTAAGATATGATAAGATATGAAATGCATTACGAACCCAAAACAATCTAACTACTGCTTGATGAATATAAAAGTCAGATAAACTGGGGTAAAGAACACCAGATTTAAGCAGCTATCCTGGCTCAGCTGACATTATTTGCTCATACTTTTAACAACCAATTTAAAACCAAAAGTCTGACAAACCTTCAATTTTAGGAGAGATCATGCAAAAGACCCGAAATAGGAAAGTATAGACATAAGTGTAGGGTTAAAAAGTGCAATGTTACTATCAGGGAATGCCTACGGGAACAAGACTGTCTCAATACAATAATGCGATGGTTAAAAAGACAATCATAAAATAACATGCTAAGATATCTGAATAACTAAAGATTAAAAAAAGACCCCCAAAAGAGCAGGTTTAATGATCTCAGTATCACCAGGATGTGTCATAAAGTTGTGTTATTGTGATTCAAAATTGAAAGTGAAATTTATTTAGTTGGTTAATTAAGGTGTGTCAGCATTAACGCATCAATCCCGATAACAATAACGTTCTTTTTGTCTAGTTTTAATCAGATACTTTTTTAAGGTTAATTTAAACATCTACACCTCTGTGCTTTTGAGGAGCACATTTTACTGTAAATACTTCCAAATATCTCAATCGACAAGTCAAAAGCAATGTACATTTTGTGTCACATGAGATCCAAATTTCACCAAAGTACTAAGAGTTTGAGCAACCATCTCCAAGCTAAGCGTGTAGGCGCAGCTGCATCACAAAAGCGGATAAAGCTCTAACTTAAAGAGTGATGATTGTCTGCAGACACAACTAAACTAAAGGAGTTGACTGAGGGCTCGCCAAAGTGGTGGTGAGCCAACAACAGAGCAGTCAACATTGTAGAATTGACTGAGGTTGGAGGTTTGCACGCCGTGACCAGCCTCTGCACTTAAAAAACTGTTTCCTCCCTGTAAGTCATGATTTTAGACCACAGCGTAAATCAGTGCAGAATTTGTACAAGTAATTGAACGAACAGTCAGGACAATAAAGTATATTTCAATTTACGTTGATCCCTAAATGGAGTCACTGACAGTTAAATTACATTCTTATTAAAGACTTAAAACCTGTTTAAAATGCACAAATAAAGAATTCTAGAACTGTTTAAGATGTGATTAATTGCCACAAATGTCAAGAAATCAACAATTTTTAACCTTTGATAGTTGTTACCAATTATATGACAGCTGTACCACACAATTTTGGATGCTGATATGTTTCTTTATCAGTATTTCTATCTCCTTACAACATTATGTATGAAAGAAGCCATTTAACTAGTCAGTTGATGACCAAAACGCCTTCAGATAAATTAACCTGTCTGTTATTTTGGTTGCAATATAAAAGCTCATTTACTCAGCCTTTAATACAAAGAAACAATAAGCTAAAAAAATAAGATAAAATGTTGAGTAAAAGCCTTTATTGATAAATGAAATGGATACATGCTAAAACTGTTGAAATAGTCATTATGACCATCATTGGGAATGCTAAAAAGAAAAAAGCGATACAACAGGGAAACAGAGTATGAGAAATAATTTACTATAATGCTTGATCAATAAAGTGAAAATAGAACAAATGTAAGGAGAAAACATTATGTTGACACATTTTTTACTCCACATTACATTCAAGAATTACTTTGTATGAAAAACACCCTACAACCACAAAAAGAAGAATGCAAGATAAAGTTCAGTAAGGTTAGTAAAGTTGGTTTTTGTAGTTAATTGAAGCTCCTGTGAGGAACTTGTGGTTTTCATAGATTTCAGCATCCCCTATGGACAAAGCAGTTCTTGCCGATTTCTTCTTCTGTGTGTAAAATAAGAGGTTTGGAAAATTTGTGTAACTGCCCTTTAATGACGGTCAAGTGAACCACTGTTGGTTGAGAATCTGCCTTGTCTTGACTTTATCACCCATTCCCCCCACCAGTGGTCTCAGACATCAAAACAACAGTTCCTCCTCTTGTTTAGGGTCTTTTAATTTTGTTATTTTGGTCCTAAAAAGACATCTAATTTCAAAGTTTTTCATCACCATCTAAAATCTCACCACAGGAGCTTTAAAACTTTTTGAACCTTTTTTTTTTTTTGTATCTTCATCAAAATCAAGATTACGGCGGCAGCTATATTATAGCTATACACCGACTGAGTGAAACTAAACATGTCCAGCACAGACAAACAGACCCTGACAGTCCTCTGAAAAAGTGAGTTTTACTTCAACAAAGCTGGGGCATTAAAAACCAAAAATGACTACTGCTGAGACCATGGTGTGAAAGTAACACAAACATTACTGCTTCTCCCAAGAGGACACGTTAGCTCTTGAAAGCAGCAGTAAAACACTCCAAGATAAGATTAGTGTTATCTTATTACTGACCTCTAGAGACATATTTAAAACTCCTGCCATAAAGAGATACAGTGATATTAGTCATGTTAGAAAGGCTGCAAGTTACTGCAGAGTTAAATCGAGGCAGGAGGAGAATAGACCCTTCTGTTTGGAGGCAGTGTTAAACCTCACAATACTTCACATTTAGTTACAAGAAGACTCCCTCAAGCCCCATCCCCCGCAGGTCACCTTCTTCTCTAATTGTCCAGTATGCAAACTGGGACCAGTAAACCCACCTGTCAGTGTCAGGTGACAGAAATGGCAGTGTGTTGTGTGTTTACAGCCCTCCCTGCTGGGGCTCAGAATAACACCTGGCTGCCCTGTCCCACACAGGCTGTGCACACATGTCCCTGAAACTCAAGGCCTCTTACAGAGGACTGGAAGGAGGTTACTGGACCTCTTTGAGAACCCCGTGTTGTAAGAATCACTGGCTTTGTCTTAAATAGACTCTCACAAATGATGTATAGAAAACAACACCCAGGTTAGGGTTTGAACTCGTTGGAAATCTGGATTAGACGTGAGCGTGTTGTTGTTTTGACTAAACGAGCTCACGTGAAATTAACAGCCAGGGTGCAAGTGCTTACACTTAAAGTTTGCATACTTCTATGTAAAGGTCCTTACACACCAGGCCCGACACAAATATAGAACGCAAAATCAAGAAATGTTCGGAGGCGAATTTTGACGCGCCTGACTCCACACATCAAGCCCAGTGTGATTCTGCGACTTTCCAGGGGGAAAAGATGCATCCCGGGAAGACTTTTCTGGGGCAAAGTCCTGCCTCCTTCACCTCTGATTGGCTAGAAAAGCCGGAAACGTCATCACACGCTCAAGCCAAATGGTCAGCACTTATAGCCAATCAGAGGCGAAGGAGGGCGGGACCTCCTCTTAACAACCTACAGCCTCCCGGGTGGAAGCAAGCAGACAAAAATGGAATTTACTTCAACTTGAAGTGATGGCGAATTGGTACTCCTTTTGCTTGCTCGAAAGAAAAAGAAACGTAGCACATGGGTGCAGCTAATATTAAATAAAGGAAGAGAACTTGGCGAGTTTTACTGCTTGGTTCAGGAGCTGAAATTGTACCACGGTCGAACCTATTTTCCGATGTCCGTTGGACAATTTGAAGTTCTGCTGAACGGTTAGCTCCAAGTTTGAAGAGGCAGAGGACTAGACACTGGTGTTGAGATTGCTTTCTGTCATGATAGCATGTACTGAGTCGGGGCCAGTACCAGATAAGCACATGAAACTATGGTAACAACCGTTAGCTTACGTTTGCACAGATGAGCAAACTGTTAAAGCACACAAACCATCGTCATATCAGAAATCCAACACTATGACTCTCCACAAGTTGTCCTTCAGGTCGTTATCTTTGTAATGTGTGTGTAAATGATCATAAACAATCAGCCGATCGGCCATGTTGGATATACCGGTGAATCTGATGTCGCAACAACACATAATCTGATTGGTCAGAAGTGGACACACAGTATGTGAAACTTTAGAAAAATCGGCCATGATTCGAAAAAATAGATGCAGCGATATCGCAGGATAGGAAAACATCGCTGATGTGAACGTTTGTATTGACAGGATACGGGTTCGACAAAAAATATTGATGTCCGAAATAATCGCACGACAAAAAGGTCCCGGTGTGTAAGGACCTTAAGGATGCATCTCTAATTTTCAATAAAAAGGACAATAAATATCACAGTTATCATCAGTTATGAATTCCTCAAATATCTCTGTGATCTGATTCAAGATAGTGACACTTAAATGACGCACAGATGGGTCACTCTGCTGCATTAGTCACCGAGCTCTTGTGGGAACAATGATGTGTAAAGCTTTCGGAGCTCCAGCCTTTGACACCATTGACAAAAACGGCTGTATTGTGGTGGAGTGAAAATTAAAGAGGAGTCCAGAAAGTTAGAGAAAGACAGGACAAGGCTTTAGGAACGCTGCAGAGGAAAACCAGGAGGTGGATGAGTTTGGTCCAACATGCTCATTTAAGATGGTCTACAAGCTTTTTCCACCTTTTTAAGTTACCTGGACCTGCCCAAAATGTAACAGAAGGAAGAAAACAAATGTCTCTCTCTGCAGATAAGGATGAAACTACAATCAGCTGTAGTAAGAAAGAGAAATAATGGCATTATCACGAATGTACTTCCCCTGGGTGTGATCCTCCAGCTGTTTGCTTCTCCACATTTATTGACACACAGGCCTGATTCCCAGATTGGCAAACATAAAACAGCAGCCTGGATGAAACATTAGAGGCGATTATGAAAGATGTCATGGCTGACACTCCGGATATGATATAATTGTCATCTGAGAAATTAGATAAAGGGGTCAGGTCTTTCCAGAGGATGACACAGCAGCAGTGCCAGATTACAGTCAGCCTCTCTGCTCAGGAAAAAAAGAGGTATTAATGGTATTAATGGTGAAATTTTGCAGGGATCAGCTCCTTCAGATGATACACGATAAACATTCACTTGATTTTATGCAACCTTTACCTTTAATTCCACTGTAAGTTGCTTTTTAGAAAAAGTGGATCAGGCTGTGATTAATTTTTCCTGTCTCTCCCTGCAGGTCCAGTAAAACTATGAATCTTTGCTCCAAATGTTTTGCTGGTAAGTCTTTCTAAATACACTTCTTTTTTGCTTTAAAGTGACTTACTATATCCTGGGTGATGCTGACTTACCTCGCCCTAGCTGAAGAGGGATTGGGTTTAATGGACAGTGAAGGGGGTAACTTAACTCTGAATTCAGTGTAAGGTGGTATCAGTTCAGAGTGGAGCCGTCAGAGCTGACATGACAAAAATGTGACATGGATGGGAGAAAATCAGCAGCCTAACTTTTGCTTTCCTGGTCACTGGCAGGTAACCAGCTGCCATTTGGTGTTCTTGTCTTCTTCTGAAATGTTGCACAATCCAAATCTGAGATGCAGCAGCAGTATTTGAGGCCTGTGTGTCAGAATAAAACAGAAATATTTGTGTATGCATCATACCAACATGTGCAGATGTTTGTAGACCAGACTAAAGATTGTCTTTTCTGCATCTCTGACACTGTCTTTGAGGGTAACCTTTCGCTGGTGTCCTGACAAAAATCTGTAAAGGAACAGTTCACATAAGTGTCTTCCTCCAAGCTTAATTTTTGGCTGGCAAAGAGATTCAAATTGGCGCCTCAAACACAACTACAGGCAGTGTGCTAGAAAACTTGAGGTAAAAATTCAAACAATTTCGAGGAGTCATTCTAGGAAAATGTAACGACAAGCAAGAGTTTGACAACAGATTTAACAAATCTCATTTTTTAAAGAAGAAGTAGGAGTCTTTTTTTTTATAACCTCAATTCCACAAACTGTCCTTTTGTAAAATGATAAAAACAGGTTAATGGTTTGCAGATCATGGAGAGCCCGAAATTACATGAAAACAGTGCAATGACAGCATGTGAAATGCTGAAATTGAACAGTGTCAATGTTATCGTTTTCTTGTTATTGGTCTGAAAATACAGTCCATGAATTTTCAACAGGCTAGTAACAGAACTGGAATAACTGTGAAAATCAGACATCATTCTGTAGTGGAAATCATTGCATGGGCTCCAAATCCCTCCCACTTTGTCACTGCGTTCTCACAAGCTGGTAACAAGTGTGTTGTGCACAGAAGAAAAAAACACATAGTCTTGATTCAGAAATGACATTGAGCCTTGAGCCCTTTCAAGATGAACTGAGGGGAAGAGGAAAATTGCGTAGTCCGGCGTATCAAGTCAGCATTCCCGATGGTTTAGTGTCAGATGACATAAACATATGCTGCCGTCCAGACCCTGACTCTTTCAGAGAGGACCTCTTGTAATACAGAATGGCAGTGCCTGACCACATTGTGCAGCATGGCTCCGAAGTAGAAGAGTCCCGGTGCTGGGGTCTGGGGTCTTAGCTTGTCACACTTGCATCATGAAAGAACAAATCCAACAAAGGAAACCCTGAAGTGTTGAGCAGCTGAAGGCAAGAAAGGGGCAATGATTAATAGGGTTGGGAGAAAAAATTGATACAGCATAGTATCCTGATATTTTGTCTGATGATATATCGTATCATCTCATTTACCAAGTAATTTTTTTTTTTTTCAAATTAATTGTCAATATGAAGTCATATCCATGGTAATGGAAAAATAAATTCAACTAGTTGTCCAGTGAGGTTGGCAGAGGTGACATCACAGAGCAGGAGAAAGTTAATGCAAAAAAATATAGCACCCCGGGAAAGACATTAGGAATGCAAGCAGTGCACGAATGAGATGGACCTGACATATACGATTTGTAAGATGTGCTACATGGAAATAAAATACTGTGTAAATAAGACAATCGATATCGTATGGTGGTCCAAGTATTGTGATTATATCATATGGTGGCCCAAGTATTGTGATAATATCGTGTGGTGGCCCAAGTATCGCGATAATATCATGTGGTGACCCAAGTATCGCGATAATATCGTATGGCGGCCCAAGTATCGTGATAATATCGTATGATGGCCCAAGTATCGTGATAATATCGTATGATGGCCCAAGTATTGTGATAATATCATATGGTGGCCCAAGTATCGTGATAATATTATATAGTGGCCCAAGTATTGTGATACTATCGTATGGCGGCCCAAGTATTGTGATAATATTGTAAAGTGTCCCAAGTATCGTGATAATAATTTATAGTGGCCCAAGTATCGTAATCATACCTTATTGTGGAGCCACTGGTGATTTCCCCCTCTGTAATGATTAATCTTGAGAACTCCAGGAACTGGTCGTTCTGGTCCCCAAATATTTACAGCATTAGAAAAAGTATAGATAATTCACCATTTTGAAACTCATGCTCCTGTCTTTGCACTACTTTTATTTAAATATGGAGTTGAAATGATTTGCATACCATAAAATTCTGGACCTTACATCTGTAAATTAAACGTCAGCAGATCCTTTGTTAATCTGATATGAGTGCTATGATTCAGCTGTTTGTTATAAACCTGTCTTACGAGTTGAAAGTTTTTACATTCTGACAAGATTCTGACTGAGAAAAATGCCCAATTTAAAGTTTGAAATGTCAAGGTATGCGAGAAGTTTTCCCAATGACACCCCCGGTCTGGTTTAGATGGATGGGCTGAGGGTGCACTGCAGCCCCTGTCGGTGTCCATGGCAACCGGTGAGTATGGCAGACAGCGAGGACCTAAGGGCCCAGCTTTGAGTCTGGCATCACAGACTCTGCTCAGAATAGACTCAATACACACGAGCGCAGAGGCAGAGCAGAAGTGGGTTAGTCCACATGTGGAGGAGAAAACTAAAATGTAGGCTGACCCGCCTCACCCTCCCTGGAGGAGAGAGAGAGTGAGAGAAAAGACAATCTCCTCCACCATCGATCGATGGTGTCTGAGATTATCAGAGTATACAGAGGTCTGGAGAGCAGCTCTGTTGTCCAAGGTGATCTTGTCTTTCCCTCACAAAATGATGCTGCTGTTGGCAAAGTTTACATATTAGTCATGTGGGTCTGAAGGGGGGGTTGAAAACTTCCAGGATTTGGAAAATAAGAGGGAAGAGAGAGCGCTGCAGTTGATGAGTTTAAATCAGATTAATGAGTCAAAATGATTCATCTTCGCATCACTTATCATACAAACTGCTTAAAAAATGGACTTTTGAACATTCTGACATGAACATCTTCAATGTACCATCTTGGCATGTGTGCAATTTAGTCGACTAAACAATCAGACATATCATCAATTTGAGCAATGAAGTTTATCTGCATCAGGACTGAAGGTGGGGGGTGCTGGCTCTGCTATTGGTAGCCACATTGTCAAACTTGAAGTCTCAGCTTTCAGTTATGCTTTGAGTGTTATCTCACCTGTAGACTAGGGCTGGGTGATAAACCAAAAATTTAAAGATATCGAAATTTACAACAATAACCAACGTCATTTTGCTCATGTTGGTATATTTTGTGTCAAAAAATAAATGAATAAAAGTTTGGTTTTGGATGTGTATAGGTAGGCTATGGTCTTATGTCCCTTTTAAGATGCTGTCCTACGTTGGAGATGTGACTCCACCCTATCCAGTCTGTAACAAAGAGGTAAAGACAGGTGAGGAGATGGAGGACGGTTCAAAAGTTGTAGCAGCTGGAGCGGTGGCTGAAGTAGACAAAGTTAATGTGGGAGGGGGTGAGCAGCTCGTGGAGTAGTTATTGTCCATTTATCGTTCTCAATGTGAACTGCTCAATATATTGTGATATTGATTTGAGGCCATATCGCCCAGCCCTACTGTAGACCAACTGCTGGGGCAAACTTTGAAAAAAAGTCCCTTCGGAACATCGCTCATGTGTTCCCGTCATGAGTCGTTTAACTTACTAAGCCAACTCTGACCCCTTTTCCACCATGTGGGTTCTGAGCTGGTTGAGGGCCCGCGCCTCATCTAGAACCATTTCTTTATGTCCTGACCCCAAAGAACTGGCTCACACCCTGAAAATACAGATCTGGGTAGCACCAACATCTTGCAGATCTACAAGAAAGAAAGCTTATGTTGGGGGCTGAGGAAGGCCCAAAGATTACCAGCTAAAACCATGATCGTGTGTTTTAATAACACTTAAAATGAGGGACTGTATACTTTTTTAACAGAAATTTATGTTGCGTATTCAAACCACTGGAGAGTTGGCTTATCTTACAAAGAGTCCTGTTTGAATGGACTGCTTCCTGTAATCCCCCCCCTGCAGCTCTGTAGAAGTAATGCAAGCAGCTTTACTCTCCAGACTCCAGGGCTACCTTTTATTTCTTCTTTACCATCTGTTTTCTGCACTCTAGGACAAACCTGTCATTACAGGCTCAGCGTCAGATGTCAGGAGGTTTGTACTGCAGCTGCACTTCTGCAAAGATGCATGAATCTAGATTGTTGACTGTACTTCTTCCTTTTTTCTCCCTCTCCGTCTGTACTTCTGTCCTAATTTTACAACTCTTGCCGCCTCTCTCACTTCCCGTCTTGCCGTTCTTACCCGCAGACATCCAGAAGAAGCAGCCAGGGGAGGACTGCACCTCCAAGCCCATCCAAAGCACTGGGAGTAGCCAATCGCCAGTTTTCAGTAGCGAGACGAGCAGTAGCAGTAGCCAATCCCCTTTGTCGTCGCCTCCCTCCAGCTCCGAGCAGCCGTCAGCAGAAGAGCCTTCGCCCACGTTCCCCAGCACAAGGGAAGGTAAGATGGGGCGACACATTTTCGCGGTTCATGCAATTTTTTTTCCCATCGTATCCACATCTGTTTGGATGTCACCTGATCTATGCAGTGGGATAATGCGTCCGTGAACAAACAGTCGGCTGCAGGACTGAGGAAATATTCTCATGCTGTGATTTCCAAACACTTACCAGGCGCACGACTCAATCATGGGTGTCTTCTCATAAATACTGGTAGTCTGATGTTTTTGAGCATGGACCAGTTAGACAAGCTCAGACGTCACTGTGCAGCCGTAACAATCACACAGTAACTACAGTCATGATATACACGTGTTATTCTGCCTTTTGATAGATAGAAAAGACAAAGTGGCGCATGGTACAGGGACATCCTGAGCTCACAAACAGTGCCAAAGACATTTCTCAGCGAAGGCAATGGAAAGACACTTCCTCTGTTTTACAGGCAGCAAGTGTTATCAAGAGCTTGACCCAGGCCTTGACAAGAGATACACAGTATACGGTAGATTGGAGTGACGAGGACTGATAGCAACACTGGAGTCACTTATGATAGAGAGAGAATTCTAGTTTAAAATAACCCGTGATAATGAAAAGTGAAGTGAATATACAGTGTTACAGAGAATGGAACAACAGGTTTTTTAGGGTTTTGGGGTTAATATAACATCATGAAGTTGGTTCCTTTATTCGTCGCATAGCAGTTTTAATAGACCTTCCCTCATTTTGCGCGACCCAAGCAAATTAATAATGCTTCTTGTTTTGTGTTATCGAGCTAGTTCAATGTCTTTGTCAAATAAAATGGTCTTATGAGACCCCCGTGGTTCAGCAGAATTCCTTATTTGTGATGGAAAAAAACGTCAATTTTCAGTAAGAATTCGCTTATTCCCAGAGGAAAATCATGATCAGACAAATGTTGTAGAGATTTTTGTCGTATTTATTACATGGGGGAAAAGAAAAAAGAGCAGAAAAGAGGTCCAAGAAGAGTTTCATTGGGACTTTATATTTGATCTGTTAGTCTCAGATGATATTAACCTGCTTTTAAAAAGGACATGACTTGTTCAATGAATTACATCAGTGAAAGAAACCCCATCAGTGCTGAGACAGAATATCACAGTTTAATAATCATTTTGGTGCAGAAAACACTTAGCAGTAAATTAAAGCTCCAGTGAGGAACTTTAGGTTTGTGTAAATTTTGGACAATTCTTGTTTGTGAGGCTTTAAAGTGACTTCTGTCTTCTTCCCCCTGCATTTGGGGGACCCTGAGATAACATAAGTCAACTCTAATATTTCTCAGGTAAAAATGCAGGATTCTTCATGTATCATTTTGAAACCAGGACTAATATAGAAGACCATTTCATGCAGCAAATTTGTGTTCCTCATATAAAATATGGTAAATCCAAAGTATAAATGCACAGTGTCTATGACGCTGTTCTGCTGGAGGAAGGTTTTACTGTCTCTCAAGACTTTCTTTGTGTCCCGCAATGTGCAGTTTTAATGCAGACGTCTAACCCTCCCTGCTACCACCTGTTTGACCATCCTGCTGGTTACTGGTTCAATTGTTGAGCTCAGTTTTAGGTGGTGTGGACAGATGGGAGCTACAGACAGACTCACTGCTTATAACCGGTGTTGTCTTCAAATGAAAGACTCCACATGATGGAGACATCGGATTGAATTTTGCATAATTCAAAAGACACCTTGATGTTTTTCCAAGATACGTTTCAGTTATTTGTAGCATTTCTTTCCAATATGGATACTTTACTTTACAGCATTGACCATCCCGTCTCACATATCTTTTCTGTCTGCAGGCATGTCGTCCACAGAAACAGCCCAGGGCACACTCTGCACACCCACAAAACGTCCACGAGAATCAGGTGCAGCCAACCTCTTCCTCCCCTCCCACTTTCTTCTTCTTCTTCCTGTTTTTCTTGTGCCTGTAGCTCTTTGTGACCTGCCCCACTTTTCAGCACTAACTTTCACACCCGCCTTGTGATTTCAGCGTCGGGCTCGGAGAGCGAGGCCACGCCGGAGAAACGGCCGCGGCCAGACGAGAAGGAGGGGAGTGGCGAGGAGGCCCGCGGGACGCCCAAGCAGAAGAACCGCCGGCGCTGCTATCGCTGCCAAACCAAACTAGAGCTGGTGCAGCAGGAACTGGGCTCCTGTCGCTGCGGTCAGTACCAACCCATGACGGTAGCTCGACAGTCATATGTTTTCAAATCAGGCCGCCCTAACCTCGATCTTCACAGCTCTGATTTTATTTTCACTCGCTCTTTCTCCTGCTGTGGGTGAAAATTTGTCATGAAACGAAGTTACATCCTGCAGCTTTTTGACCTGAAAAACTGAAACCACCTAAGCCACCAACATTTCTGCATTGCTCTCTGAAAGTAGGGCTGCAATAAGTTCATGAGAAAACTTAAATTTCCCCTTAATGTATTTTTCCCTGCACTGCTGTAATAATACAAATTTTCTCTATTTTATATAGTAAAGGATTATCTTATCTTTGTGGTACTGGACCATAGACTGTATGTAGAAGGGACAGAGTCTGCCTCCTCGCTGGGTGAAGCCACTCCGAGAACAGCGCCCTCTGTTGATGGGCTGCAGTATAGGTCATAAATCCTGCCTCCGCCAGCAAAGCTTATGAAGCTGTGGACAAACTTTAGAAATTTATTACACAGAACTTAAATTTTTCTCCCCTCTGCTTGCGGTGTTGACATGTAGTTACAGTAAGACTGGTTTGTGCTCAAGTCCTCCTTTTTTTCTGTGAAGCTCCGTTTTTAAAAGTTATTAGGGGGCTCATGTTTTCTATGATTGACACCTGATACAGCCTATGGGCGTTCAGGGATTGCGTAGCTCTCCTGGGGGATACGCTGTTTGAGCCGAGCGTCATCACAGCGACTCTCGTTTACTCTCCTGACGAATGCGCACAACGCTAATGCGCAGCACTGGTTTTAGGAAATGAAGAAAAATCCTGGAAATACACAGAGCTATTTGGCTTCAAATCCTTATACTGGCGGTAGGCAGAACCAAGTTGTCCATAGTATATACTGTCTATGTACTGGACCTGAAATGATATTCAAGTCCATTAAAGTGGCTAATGCATCTACTTATGCATGATGCATAATGCTTTAACTATCGTTGTTAAAAAAGATGAAGAGGACTGGGCGTGCAGATGGCTAAGTAGGTTAGTGTGCCCTATGTATAGGGACCACGATCCCCCCAGCGATCGCAGGTTCGAGTCTGGCCCTGACCATGTGCTGCATGTCCTCGCCCCCCCCTCTCCCTATCTCCCCACATTTCACCCTGTCCTATCCATAAAAGGTAGAAATCGCCCAAGAAAATACTTGGAAAAAAAAATTCATATCCTGGACATGCACATATCCTGGCCACCCCTATGAAATTAGGTGCCACCCCTGTCAGAATGTCTGGACACGCCCCTGCAGAGCAGCACAGAGAACACAGCAGAATCTGATACTGTCAAGATGTCAAGTTTGGGCAATTAAAGCTGTAAGAAAATATTTCTCTGCTGCTTTTTAAAGAACACGACACAATTAAACCCTGAAGGACATTAAAAAAGTGAGTCCCATACTGGCAGGAGGTGGGATGTAGTATGGAGGGGGAAACTGTACTTCGTGTGTTCTTGAAGACAACAATGACTACAGTGAGAGGCAGGGGGACTCTGCAGCTTTAGCTGGCTTGATATGGAAATAAACATGGAAAAAAAATATGAAAACTTAAGTATTGTTTGTGTGACTGGCAGGATATTTACAGTACAACATCAGCTTTAGAGCAAAAACAGTGAAATGCTTGAGCAGCTCCACAGCCTTGCATGTGCATAAATACTGTAACTGATGATAGGAGTAGGAGGGTCTCTTCTTCCCTCTACATCCCAGGGTAGTGTGTCGGCTCTGATGCTCTCAGTGCACAACTCCATAAATGATTAAAATGATAACTTCAGAAATTCATATTTGATTTTTGGCCTTGGAGGAAAGTGTTTTAAATCGATCCTCAAAATTAGTCGCAGGCTTGTTTTTGAGTGTTTGTGATATTTCCTCGCACACTCAGCAGGAATAACAGATCGTTTATTGGGGTCACTTCCTCCCTAACCACTCTGCTCTCTGTTTCCCTCCCAGGCTACGTGTTCTGCATGCTCCACCGTCTCCCTGAGCAGCACGACTGTCTGTTCGACCATCTGGGTCGCGGGCGTGAGGAGGCTGTCCTCAAGATGGTGAAGCTGGACCGCAAGGTGGGCCGCTCGTGCCAACGCATCGGGGAGGAGTGCTCCTGATTGGCCACGTCACACCGTCACCCGCCATCCGGTTAGAGATGAGGCGCTTACAAAGAGGAGGAGGAAGGAGGAGGAATGACAAATGGGGTTGATGGGTGGGAGGGTAAGGGAGGGAAGGAGGGAAGGAGAGGAGCAGGAGGGGGAAGAAGGGAGGGAGGGAGCACGGTCTTTACATCCTGCATCTGACCCGACTATTTTGGATCTGAGCTCAACGCCGCCCTGTTGATGTCCTGATTTCCTGCGCGGAGCTTCTGTTTGGACTCTGGACTCGGCCGCTCGGGGCCAACAGGGAGGCCTGGCGGTTTTTCTGTGGAGCCACGTTCAGTATCGCATGCTCACACACACAGCCTTAACCCCACACCCCCCTCAGTCTGTGGAGGAAGGACGCCGATGCAGAGAGGGATCCAGTGAAGTCGTACAGCTCTGCTGTTTCTCGCCGTGGTTTCCTCCTCTTCACCCACGCTCCTTTTTTTTTTCTCTAAAAACTGTTGTAGCGTCCGATTGAATTGTCATACGATTTTTTTTTTTTCCATTTGGTGGTCACGGGTTGAGGGGTCCAGCTCTATCCAACGACCACACCTCAGGTTGTCATCAAGGGGTTGGAGTATCAAACCTGTAACCCCGCCTTCCTCTTCTTCTTCTTCCTCTTCTTCTTCTTCTTTTTCTTTCTTCCACTAATATTTGGTCCACGTGCAGCATCACTACAATGTTTTGCCTGTGCATGGTACCAGCAAACAGTGTATTTGTGCAGGTTTGAGTGTGGTTACGTGAGGCAGTTCGAGGACTCCGTCATGGTTTGATTTCTTTTTTTCTCTCTCTCTCGTGTGGTTGTCACGGTGATCGCTCCGTTTATACAGCTCATCCACGGCATCGTGGAGGACAACACAGCCAATCCCTGCCTCTGCTCACATGGACTGTTGACTAAAAAGAAGAATTAGTTTAAAGAAAGGAAACCGCACTAATGGACACGAGTCACTTGGATACATCCTCTGTGTAGCAGATCCTCTTCTCCTTCTTTCCCTCCCACTTCTTGATTTCCTGAGTAGTACTGTTGTTTTACACAAAAGGGGAATACGACTGAATTTTTGTATTCAAGTGAAGAGTTGTTCGCCAAACGCCATGTATTCATCACTGAGTGTCTCGACAGTTGCAGATCATTGGTTAAGCGTGCTAAACTGGATACATAACCTTTAAATTTTCTATAATTTATTTCTTGTTTTGTGTTTTACGGGAAGGATTGGGTGTCATATATATTTTTGAACATGATTCTTACTATCTTAAAACTTTCTTCCTATTTTTCATCATTTTGCCACCTGAGGCGTTGTTTCTGCATGTGAGGGATCATTGGTCCTGCAGTTTAAATCAGTGATGTCCCAAAAAGAACACAGGAAAAGAGAAAAATAACAGGAGAGCCGGTGAAGTAAAATATGCAAAAATGGTGAAGGAAATGTGCATCTAAACTAGATTGGAAAGACCATTAAATATGGCTGAACTTTCAGTATGATTGGAGTCTTTAGGAAAGTTGACAAGCATGATCAGTTCTCCCCTTATTCAACTTGAGTATGGATAAATCAGAGCTGGACAATATGATCACTCACACAGTTTTTATTTATTTATCTTTATCACACTATCTTTTTCATAGTTGTGCCAGTCTGAGGAGTTTTTCACTTTTTAGATAAGGTTTATTGTTGGTTCAGTTCATCACTTCAAGTTGGTTAGTTACACTTTTTGAGGTAAATATTTGGCACTGTTTAAAAAAGAAAACACACTAAAGCAGTGTCAAGTTTGAAAAAGTATCCCACTTAAGGAGGCTGCTAGCTGAGCTGCTGCCTGAATCTGCACAGTTAATGTTATGTTACCTTTTTGTGTTCAGCACCATCCCTTTATTTGGGGTTTGTTTCTTCACTTCTTTTATGGATTGTAATCCAAAGTTCCTTATTCAGAAGATTACTATCATTAGTGGTATAAACTGCAGCGGTCTCCTCGCCTTCAAAGCTAACCTCCCTTCAGTTTGAGTTAATTTTGGAGCTCCCTGTAGCACCTTAACAGTCAGGGATATCATCCATTGACAATCTTCCCATGAAAAATGTTCAGAAGGCAATCCCAGCAGCATGTAGTCAGTCACTATGACTTCAGATAAACCATTATAGGAATAGTCTTCATTTTGACAGTCCTCATAGGAGCTTTAAAGAGTAAAAATCACCTAAAAAAAGCAGGTGTAAATCAAAATTTGGAAACACTCTTGCAGACAGGGGATGCCTGATTTAGGGGCTGCTAGCTGAGCTGACAGTAAAATCCTTTCTCATCACAAAAGGAAGACGATGTGTACAAGAAAAATGTAGAAAAAATGGCTGTTCGGTCTGTCTTTGTTGAGGTAAAATGTCTGCAAATTTGTCAGGATTTATGAAAGTACATCTGTGGACATTATCGATTTAAACTGCTGCTGCTGCTCCCCGGTGAAAAACAACGCCTCAGCTGGTTTCAGCCGCAGAAAGAAGGTGAATTCTTAAATTGAGTGGTTTCCCCTTTTCCTTATACTTTTTAATTTTGTCATTTTTCACCTTCAATCAGCCTAAACAGTCTACCTGCTTGGACTTTGTGCTGTGCATATTGTTCAGTTACACACCTCTATTCCTTCTTCTCCTAAAGGGACATTCTGCCAAAATCAACTGTTTTGTTGGTGATGTTGCAGACACTTTTTTTTTTCTTCCTCCAATTTTAAGTTGGTATTGGTTTAGTATTCGGCGTACATCATAGGTGCATTAAAAGTTGTCGAGGACAGGTACGGAAGCTCCATATTAGTACTCTGCAGCATCACAAGAAGTGCAATTGAATGATGTTAAACTGTGTATTTAATTTTTTCCAATTAGAAGAGCTGAGACACAAGCAGCAGTGGGTTTTTGTGATATGCAGGTAAATCAGAAAACATCATTTATTGCAAAGAACTTCAGAAAAGTTGATTCGGGTGGAGAGCCCTTGAAACCAGACATCACTTAACTATGCTAATCCTCATGCACAAGTCGGTTCCCCTCGTCTCCCCTCTCCTCACCCGTCTTGTCTTTTCCTGTGAGAATACAGCGACCGAGGGGGACAAAGGGAGCTCAGAGACACGTCGTGGCTGGTTCTTATTTTGATATTTTGAAAAAAAAACAAAAAAAAAACTTGTTCCTTTTTTGAGTGCTAATGAAAAATGGAAGAAATGGAATATCTTTCTGTACCTTTTAGAGAAAAATTATTTAACCTTATATCAGTTTGAGTTACTTACACCCTAGCATAGAGTGGCATATTTAGTTAAGTGTATAAAAAAAGCAAGAACATAATTCTGTCCTTTTTTTCTCCTTTAATTTTATCGTGTTCCATTTTCTGCTGAGGAAAATAAACTGGATTAGAAGATGTGGCATGTGTTTTTCTTTTCATTTTAACATCTGTTTTCCAGAAGTGAATGAATAAATGCCCAAAATACGATAAAATCCGCCCTCTTGTCTGCTAAAACGATCACTTTTCATTTCTTTTTTCTGTAGTCATTTTGTCAAAGTTGCTCTTATTTTGATAATGAAATTAAAGATAAATCCTACTTTCAGTAAAATGTATGCTGGTATCAGGTATATTCAGCCAGAAGAGTAGCAAAGAAGTTGGGTGAGGATGCAAGAGTTGATCAAATAGGCCATGTTCTAATTAAGTGTCGTATAAACCTCGATATTTTGAGCAACTGTCAGAGCCAACGGCCGCCGTTGTTTTGGTTCATACAGTGACCCTGTTAATTTGCGACTTTCAGCTGAATCATATTGTGGTGGTCATGGTAACAGCATAGACTGTATGTAGAATGGACGCCATCTGCCTCCTCACTGGGTGAAGCCACTCAGAGAACAGCACACTCTGGCGACAGGCTGCAGTATAGGTCATAAATCCCGCCTCCTCCAGCAATCCTTATGGAGCTTTGGACAAAATATAAAAAATTTATTACACCGAATAAACATTTTTCACCCCCATGCTTGTGATGTTGACATGTAGTTAATGTGAGACTGGTTTGTGCTCAAGTCCTCTTTTTTTCTGTACAGCTCTGGTTTTAAAAGAGCCGAGCGTCATCACAACGACTCTCCCGCCAAATGTGTACAATGTTACTGCGCAAGTGGTGAAGTGTGTACCACGCTACTGTTCAATGTCGGTTGGCTTCAAATCTGTATACTGGCAGAAGGCAGAACCAAGTTATCCATTGTATATACAGTCTATGAGTAACAGTCTTAAACCCTCCTGTTAACACGATCAATTATTTAACCATAACACCAAGTTCCTAGCATCTTATTGTTTGCTAAATATGTAACACAAAGTCAGACCAAAACAAACACGAACACAACATAGTTATCTATGAAATAAGTTTACTTGTGAAAATGTTTCCTTTTCTTTGTTGTAGGCTAGCTATGATTTTGAACAGTAATGGTAAATAAAAGGTGGCTGGATGCTAACGTCAGCTGTGTTCCTATTTTAGCTTAAGAGCTGTCAAATATGCAAACAAAATAAGAGTTTTCCATAGTGGGAATATGGTTCATTACATGGAGTGAAAAGCCAAGAGATTAAGTGGCCAACATATCTTCATTTTTTTCACCATTATAATAACTGATAATCACCACCTAGCATCTCCATGTCAAGACTTAAAAGGCCCAGTAGCCTACTCTTGGGTTCTCAGACTCAACAAATGCCCTCTTTACTGCTATTGTTCACATCAGATATGATTATTGTGTCAAATATTAGACTATTACAAAATAAATCTGGATTCAAAGAAAAAAGTTCTTAAAAGTTTGGTCCCGGTGAGCTTTGGGGCAAAAGAAATACATGGGTCTTGTAAAAATACAAACTTAAATCCTATTCTCGGTCCAACCCTATTCATGAGAATTTGATCACTGTGTAATACAGGATTAAATAGCTTGCAATTCACTTATATCTCATATTTGATTACAACATCACATATTTTCACCACAACAAGATTGAGATTTTAGAAAGAG